GCCCGACAGGTCTATCTTGACCGGCAACAGCAGAACTATCCCAGTCGTAACAGTCGGTAGAAGAAATGGTGCCTGACTGGCTTCATGATTTCCTGGGAGTTTTCTCAGAAGAAGAATCTAAGTGCTTCCCTGAAAGAAAGAAATGGGATCATGCGATAGATCTTAAAGATGAGGGCGATCTTCTGCCAAATGCGAAACCCTATCCATTGTCACCTAAAGAGATGGATACACTGAAGGAATGGTTGAAAACCGAGACTGCACTAGGACATATTAGAGATTCACAATCTCCAGTGGCAGCACCTTTCTTCTTTGTGGCCAAAAAAGATGGCAAGTTAAGACCAGTGATGGACTATAGAAAGCTCAATGAGAAGACGGTTAAAAATGCGTACCCGCTACCAAGATCTCAAGATTTAATTGATGCTTTAACCGGTGCCACAATGTACTCTAAGATGGATGTATGATGGGGGTACAATAATATTCCCATGAAAGAAGGAGATGAGTGGAAGGCGGCCTTCAAAACACTGTTTGGTCACCACAAACCAACCGTGATGTATTTTGGACTCATGAACTCGCCTGCAACCTTCCAAACTATGATGAATGAAATTCTGAGAGACCTGATAGATGGCAAAACAGTAGTCATCTACATTGATGATATAATGGTATTCACGAATGGAAATAGGGAGCAGCACCGAAAGGTGGTACGAGAAGTCCTGAAATGGTTAAAGGAGAATGACCCGTTCTTGAAGCCTGAGAAATGTAGCTTCGAACAGTCTAAAGTTGAGTTCCTTGGGTTGATCATGGAAGAAGGCAACATGTCGATGGACTCTGTAAAAGTAGAAGGAGTATTAAAATGGCCTGTTCCCAAATGCGTAAAAGATATCCAAGCATTCATGGGCTTTGCCAACTTCTATCGAAGATTCATACTCGGGTTCTCGGATATAGCCAGACCAATGAATGATCTGCTAAGAAAAGATGTCAAATGGGATTGGACGGAGAAACAACAGAAGGCTTTTGATGAATTAAAGAAACGTTTCACAGAAGCTCCTGTCTTAGTCATGCCAGATGTTGAGAAGAAAAAGAAAATAGAAATTGATGCTTCTGATTACGTAACAGGAGCAGTTCTCTCTCAACTGATGGAAGATGGATTATGGCATCCAATAGCATATTACTCTAAGTCAATGAATGATGCGGAAAGAAATTACGACATTCACGATAAGGAGTTATTAGCAATCATTAGAGTGTTGGAGGAGTGGAGGCACTATGTGCAGGGAGCACCTCACCCGGTTGAGATATGGATGGATCATAAGAACCTAGAATATTTCATGACGAGTCAGAAGTTGACCAGAAGGCAAGCTAGATGGAGTCTTTTCCTAGCGGAGTATGAATTTACACTCCAACATAAGCCTGGCGTGGTTAATGACAAAGCAGACTGTCTTTCTCAGAGATCAGACCATAGAGGGGGTAGAAAACAATAACTCAAATTGCATTCTTTTGAAACCAGAATTCTTTACCGTAAAAGCTGCTAAAAGAGGTCAAGTTTTGGTGCATGGAGAGGAAAAATTAATCCAAAAGATACGAAAAAGCACAGAATGAGAGCCTGAAGTCACTAAAGCATTAGAAACGCTAAAGGCAGCACCAGTTCAGTTGCGTAGAGGAGTCGAAGAGTGGAATGTGGAGGATGGATTGGTGTTATTCCGAGGATTAGTTTATGTTCCAAATGATAAAGAGATCCGCCAAGAAATATTAGAGTTGTTTCACGACTCTCCACCAGCTGGACATCCTGGATGAGCTAAAACCTTGGAGTTGATTTCCAGAAATTATTGGTGGCCTTCAATGACGAAGTATGTCCACGATTACGTAGATGGTTGCGATAGGTGCAGACAAATGAAAGTGCTTCCAAGTAAACCAATGGGGCCTTTACAGCCAAATGAAGTTCCAGAAGGACCTTGGCAAACCATCACCTGTGACCTGATAGTGGATTTGCCAAAGAGTGAAGGGTGTGATAGCATATTTGTAGTCGTTGATTGATTTTTGAAACAAGCACACTTCATTCCCACCAATAAAGATGTAGACTCAAAGGGTATTTCCGAGCTAATTTGAAAAATGTATGGAAACATCATGGAACACCAAAGAAAGTGATTTCGGATAGAGGAACTCAGTTCATATCAAAGTTCATGAGACAAATGTCAAAAAGATTAGGAACTGAAATGGTCTGCATCGACCTCCTATTATCCCAGAACTGATGGACAGACCGAACACGTAAATCAAGAAGTCGAACAATACTTGCACATGTTTATGTCATACAGACAGAATGATTGGGCATCTTGGCTGCCGATAGCAGAGTTTTCACATAACAATGCAGTCACAGTAACCAGTCACAGTCTGTTTAAAGTTCTCTACGGATATAACCCAGATTTCATGATCCACCCAAACTCCATGTCCGTAATCCCCGCCACCGATGAGAGAGTTGATGTCACGAGTACCTTTAACAAACCATTATTCTTTCCTAAATCTTCCTAAGCGTCAATACACAGTGCCTAAGTCAAACCCTAACCCTACCTTGAAAGTGTCTATCATTCCCGAAATACCTTTAGCGCCCACGACACGTGTCTTCGATGTGACTGATGAAGAAGACGAGTTCTTTGATTGTGAATAGATTAGATAAGATATGATAAGATAAGATATGGTCACGTGATGCTTCTTTAATATTCTATGATGTTCTATGGTACGATTCCCTTTTCTATTTTATGATTGGCTAGTAGTTGTAGTTCAGTTTCAATCTCTGTTTCAATAGTTGTATATAGGTAGCACGTCTTGGTCGATAGTTCCTTAGTTCAAACCTCTTGTATCTACACTGTAGCAATCCAAGACGTACCTGCTCATTATCTTTTTCGTTGTGATAACCTTAGTCTGAGTCCTAGTCTCCGCCCAGCATTAATTTGTTATTGGGTTGTGACAGTTGATCAAATGAAAGAAGCAAGAGATGATGTGGAGAATACTCTAAAGATGGTCAATGAGCGCATGAAGCGATTCTATGACAAAGGAGTAAAGGAAGCACCTCAGTATAAGAAAGGAGACAAGGTCTGGCTTGATGCAAAGAATCTTAAACAACGTCGCCCAAGTCAAAAACTGTCAGATCGACGTCTAGGTCCCTTTGAAATACTAGAGAAGATTGGTGAAGTGAACTACAAGTTGAAATTACCGGAAAAATATCAGATTCACCCGGTTTTCCACGTAGAATTGCTTACTCCATATCACGCATCTCAATTGATTCCTCATCCTCCCCTAAACCGACCACCCCCAGAATTGATTGACAATCGGGAAGAATTTGCTGTAGAAGAAGTACTAGATAGCCAATTGTTCTGAGAAAAGCTGCAATACCTAGTGAAATGGGAAGGATACCCGAAAGAAGAATCATCTTGGGAGCCAGAAGAGAATTTGAAGAACGCTCCAATTCCTTTAGTGGAGTTCCACAAAGAAAATCCCATGGCTGCAGCCAGAAAATACCGAAGAATCAAAGGCTCAGTACTGTTTACGGAAGATTTTAAAAGATGGAGAGAAAAGAATATCTGACCTTCATTCGTTTGTGATGACACTCACCTTAGAGAGGGGGTAATGTCACGAGTACCTTTAACAAACCACTATTCTTTCTTGAATCTTCCTAAACGTCAATACACAGCACCTAAGATAAACCCTAACCCTACCCTGAAAGCATCTATCATTCCCGAAATACCTTTAGTGCCCACAACACGTGTCTTCAATGTGACTGATGAAGAAGACGAGTTCTTTCATTGTGAATAGATTAGATTAGATACAATAAGATAAGATATGGTCACATGATACTTCTTTAATATTCTACGATGTTCTATGATATGATTCCCTTTCCCTTTTTTATGATTGGCTAGTAGTTATATCTCAGTTTCAATCTCAGTTTCAATAGTTGTATATAGGTAGCATGTCTTGGTCAATAGTTCCTTAGTTCAAACCTCTTGTATCTACACTGTAGCAATCCAAGACGTCCTTGCTCATCATCCTTTCTGTTGTGATAACCTTAGTCCGAGTCCTAGTCTCTGCCCAGCATTAATTCATTATTGGGTTGTGACAGACGGTGAATGAACAGTAATATTTTGCAATGCAACTAAGAACTACAAGAATATTCTGGGTGATCCGCAGAGTTGGGAAATGGCTCCTAACTACTGGATGATGATTGCTATGGGTCACTACAGAGTATTTAAGTAAGTACATAGAAATTCGGAATACTACAGGCAAAGATAGTAGCGATATATTTTGGGTCCGATGTCCTATGTAATAAGACACGAGGTGCTGCGGACATGTAATAACGTGGTCCAAATGTCAGAAAACGTGCACGGGAATAACTACGCACCTAGTCAGGCTAGTTCGGATGGACAGGACACGGGATGGACAAGTGCACGCAAAGTGCGATTGGCCAATGCGATGTCCGAAGGTCCAATGCACCGGATCCGGTATGGAGTGGCTCGGACATGTGCAAAAGTGCGTCAGACATGTGCGCATATGTTTTGGGTGTTGACGTGAGTATGAAAATACATGGTTTCAAGCCCAACACCGCGACCATCGCTACACTGTGCAGATATCTTGGCAGCGCTATGTACTAAACAGCTAGATCTACAGTTTGTGTGGTACCTTGAACTTGCAAAGGTTGCCATCAAAGGACTCGATGAATGGGATGATGATTTGGATAGTTCTTCATCTTCGTCTGCATCTGGAGACTCGATGGTCAAGTCCATATCATCCCTCTCATCCAAGTCATCTGATTCCTCACTCAACTCACTCTTCTCCATGTCAATGTTGTCAGCAACTGAAATACTAACAAGTTCACGTGCATTCACCGAATTTTCTGACACAATTGAAGCCTTGCAGGATGAAGTTGAGAGGAGTTGCATTCTATTTACACGTCCTAAGTTGAGCTGTGCACCACAGCTGCATCTTCTCGAGGAGTGGGCATTGGACCACCTGAGAAATTTCGTTGTAAACTTCATGTGGATCCCCCTACCTTTGTGCATCTCGTCAACATCATCATCAACCACCCTATTTTTCAGAACAACTCAAATAATCCGCAATTACCTGTGCCAGTGCAGCTTGTGATTTTCTTAAATAGTGCTGGCCACTATGGCAATGCGGCAACAACAGAAGATATTGCAGAATGGGCAGGTGTCTCGACAGGCACAGTATATAACTGTCACCGTCGTGTCATGATCACACTTCTGCAGCACCATGATGCTGTCATTCACTTTGATCCACTCTTTGAGGACAACCAAACAGAGTGAGAGAGGGCCAAACAGTGGGTTGAAGACCGAACATGTCCGGAATGGAGGGGGGGATTTCTTAGTGTTGACGGTACACCAATCAACCTCTTTCAGAAACCAGGGTGGCACAGAGAAGGTTTTTTTGACCATAAATCTAATTATTCTCTGTCAGCTCAAGTACGTCACAAGATATAACTGAAAAAAATGAAACTGATGTGTTTGAAAGGTGGTAATTATGCCACATAATCTTTGCATTGTCAACTATGTCATCGGAGTTCCTGGGAGTGTGCATGATTCAAATGCGTTTTCGAAGGCCTGAATTGCACGTCATCCCAACACGTTCTTGGGCGGAAATGAGTAGCTTTGGGCAGACTCAGCTTATGGCACTCGTCTGTGGTGTGTTGTGCCCTTCAAATGACCAGCAGCTGGGGAGTTGACTAGGGATCAAAAAAAATTCAACTATCACTTGTCAAAAGTAGTTCAAACCATCATCACACATCAAAGCCGCTAACTTAGCATTTACAGGTTCGCGTTCGATCAGAGCATGGCTATAGCGCTTTAAAGGGACATTTTCAGTCCCTTCACAAAATGCGAATCCAAATACAGACTCAGCAGGACCTTGACAAAGCTAATATGTGGATATGTTGCTGTTTCATTCTTCACAATATAATTGTCGAAATCAAGGAGACACTTGCTTGTGGAGACACATTCGAGGACTTTGCGAGAGAAGCAGGACAATGGGGTGCTGAAAACAATGCAGAGGAACATGATGCAGATGGTGAGGGTGGTACCGGAGATGAGAGCTTCATTGGTAGCGAAGAACAGATTTTTTGTGAGATGCTGATGAACCATTTATTACGCAGACAAGAAGGTAGTTTGTAGACACACACCTTTATAAAGTTTGTACCAGTAACACGATGTAACGATGGTTGTGGTGCTGGGCTCGGAACCAGGCAATCCAACACCTATGTCCCATACCATTCCCCGACCTCCCTTGACCTTCCGAAGGCCACGCGCACTTGTCTGAACCTTCCACAGGCAGTTCTTGCATTCCGAGGCCTGTCCGAACCTTGTGAGTTACCATACCATGTCCTATCCTCGTCCTTTTGACTTTGCTGGTGCATTTTCCCTTATTCTAACTATATGTTGACTACGTCTTAATGCTACATGGATAAATTCCATCAGCATCCTGTCAGGAGCCTCGGAATACATATAAACAGTACACATCACGGCTTATTACATGTATACTTGCATTGCTGCTTGCCTCGCAGCTTATTACATAGGTTCGGACTTGCTTATCTCACTACTAGTTTTGCCTATGGATTCCGGTCTCTCACGGAAGTAGGATATAATCTCGCTCGCTGGCTACTGATACTTCACTTCACTTCCTGTACTTCGAGTCGTAATTAGTAGAGTCACCTTGGTATAATCGTAACTGCACAATTGATCTTTGTTCATTCGGAATGATTGTTTGGCTAGACCACTGCCAATTCTGCACTTTGTTTATTCTTGAGTTCCGATAGATTAGCGTCATTCCGGACTTCGGACATTTTGCAAAGTCTTATATTGTTATTCGACACATTGACATACCAACACATTGACACACTGACATATATTGACCTTTGGACAGCTCTCGCAAGCCTCGGAAGGCATCGCACTACTTTGGACAACACTTTCGCAGCTTTGGACGACTTTCGGTCACATCAGACAAGTACCTTGGTACTTCGGACATAGTCTTGGAACTCTGGATGAACATTAGAAAGGTTTACTTCCAATATCTTGTCTACTCTCTGACTGTATAAGACTTCCCTTGCATTATCAAGGTAGTTCTTTAGATTGTCTCTTGGGACAAAGCATACTCACATCTCTCAGGACTAGGGACTCACATTCTGTAGAGCCCAGCCCAGATCTACTCTTTACAATGATAGTTGTGCTCAAAGGGTTCATTGTTAGTGACAGGAGGGAAGTGCGAAAGAGGGATCGTCCATGACATCAACGCGATAGTTGTGCTCAAAGGCTTCATTGTTAGTGATGCGAGGGAAGTGTGAAAGAGGGATCATCTATGACATCGACGTGATAGTTGTGCTCAAAGGCTTCATTGTCGAAAGCAGAAGAATGGTTACATTATCTAGCTATGATGAACAACACAGGACTAGAACAATTTGAATGTGAGCCTAAACACCAGCAGCATGAATGGAAAAGCACAAAACCCTAACAAGAGCTCTCCCCCTTCTCCTTCTCCTTCTCCTTCTCCAGAGCCAAGCAATCCAACTTGATTTGCTCGAGTTTGACCTCCAACTCAAGCTGCTTTGTCCGCTGATCTGCCATTGCAAGCTCATGAATCTGAGTTGCCAAAGCAGTGCACAACAAGTGTTCATGCTCATCTCGACTTTCATGAGCCTTGAGTTCCCTAGCAGCAATTTTGGTCTCCATCTTCATGCGCTTGTGGTCGGCCTCAGTTACTGATGATTCCTGGATGTGCTGAATAAGGGTGTCTGATGCCTGGCTCATCTTCATTGTAAACTCGGCCATCACATCATGCAGCCGCTTGCGAGAACTTCTAGAGGTAGTAGACATAGTCAGCAAAACATCTGAGTCCTGATCAGATAACATGTGACCGGAATTACGAGTGTTTAAAGAGCCACTGGCTCTGCATGAATGGATTGTTAGTGATTTCATGATGTGGCTCATGGCTATATCAGAGTCATTGGTCGAGTCCATCGAGTCGGTGGGCATAGATTCCAGGACTGCTCTGCTCTTACCAGAGGAGATTGTAGATGACAAGGGGAATTTTTGTCCCGTGGTCATTCGATTCTGGAGAGTTGAGCGAAATGAAAAGGCCTTGTTGGGTTGTATCAAGGGGGGGTATGACTGGGCGATGCTGGATAGATGTGCATGGTGGACAATGAGGGATCTGTATGGTAGGCTCAGGTGATGCTTTGTCCAATGTGTTTTCATCATCATGAGGTATCAGGGCTCCATCGTCGACATCAGCCATCATAAAATCACCATCTCCACTCTCAATCTAGAATCTCGCCAGGCTCAAGTTCCTCATTGAGAGGTCCTTCGTCCCCCTGTCCATCATCATCCTCGACATCAATGTGATCTTCATTGTCCACAGCAATCTCTTTCTCCTTGCCTTTGTGCATCCCAAAGAGAGTCGCTGCCTCAGCTGCAAAGTCTTGACCTGGATCAGCCATTGAAAACGACGTGTTGTATGCAGGGTTCATTCTCCACCATCCATGGAGATCAGCCCACCATGGGAATGTCATCAAGAGATGATCTATAAAACCTTTAGAGCATGTACAGATGGAAGAGAAAGTACTGACCAAGAAGACCCTTTGTTTCTCATTCTCATTCAGCTCCTCAAAAGATAGTCCAGCACCAGTCTTCCCAAGTTGCACATTAACCTCGTTGTACCTTTTGCATAATCTGAAGTAACTAGTAAGTAGCCAGTTTGGCACTGAAGGCATACAGGCATGTAATCAAGACTCACAATGTAAACTGGCTTGTAATTGGCTTAGTGAAGCCAAGAGGTTTCACATGAAAGTACTCCCTGACCTTCAGATCTTCATCATTCTCGAAAACAGCTGTTGCAAGCTGCTGCAAGTACATGTTCTTCTGCATGGTCATTTGTTGGCATGTCCGTCCTTCCTCCTTTGCATCCTTGGCAGAATCAGAGAATATTTTGAGTCAAGCATCTTGATTGACCTTGCACCACTCAATCAGGCGAGCAGTGCATGCATTGAATTTCTTGCCCTCCCAATATATTGCAGGCACCCTGGATCCTGGTGCTGCACTGACAGATGGATTAGCACTTGAAGATTTTGGACGACCACAACCACAACCACAACCAGTTGTACTTGCCATGATAATCAAGTGCAAGTACAACAACAACAACAACAACAACTATACCGAGTATGCAGTTTGTCGGAGTTTAAAGATGCCATGATGCCAAAGTTTTGTGTTTGTAGATTTCAGCTTTATGTCAGCTTTGAGGCCCATTATTGATAAGGATTAATATTAACACGGACCTAGGCGATTTGAATGTCTGCCAAGGTCCGCCACCATACTAGATAGTCCCATGAGTTCACGCATTGGCTCTAGCACACGCAATATTCTGCACAAATCCTTATGTATGTTGTATATAGGTTCCTCCCAACATAATACACATGACCATGTAATTTTTTTGGCAAAAAATGAAGTGGATCTTGTGCCATGGTCGAGTTATAGGTGTTCGAGGCTCATTTTGTGCATAGATACTCCTTCTGGAGGTCAGATCTCCACAGAAAGATCTGAGATGCGATATAATGGTTATACATGATTATAGAATAAAATTTTCCAGGGCTACATGCTTGTCAGAATCATCTGCTGTGAATGAAATACAGCCCAGACGTGACAATCCATCCAAAGTGTTACAATGAGACTACACACATCTAAACTCCGCTGTGCGCCCTTCAAACAGATCGCTGCGGTAGGTGTTCGAACGGTGCGGAATGTGAAACGGCACCGCGGCAGACGTGTGACATGGTGTGACGAAATGCACGAACTCTAGGGAAAACCGTATGGTGTTATATTTGCACATTTATTATTTGTGCGTTGCGCACCATGCGCGCTGCGCATTCTGTTAAATAATGTCAAATAATGTCAAATAAAAGAATTAGCGCACCATGCGCACCATGCGCGCTGCGCGTTTTGTCTTACCTTTTGACTCCGGATTCCTGTAGTGAGTCCGTGTTGCTAACATGCAAAGACAAACCTTTCAAATGTCGAAGCTTGACATCCTGCAAACACATGCAGACTCAGCTTGCCAGTATAGTAGTTGCCAATGCTGATAACTTTGAATTCGAGAACATCACGGTAAGGCAGTTTTATATAATGGAAACGTGTTGTAGGAAACATATTGTACAAGTTGAACACCAATCCAGCGTAAAAGGATGAAAACATGTGGTAATACAAGGTTGAAAACTAGACTGATGAAGAACATGGAAATTTGCATGGGACATACAAGTAGGAACAAGATCTATGATGTGATCCTTCCTCTCTTCTTTCTCATTCCAGCTTTACCCACATTGACATTCTCCTCAGCAGCACGCTTGAGGAAGTTGCGGTGCCATGAACGGTACCGATTGAATCCCGTCTGCTTCACAGCTGCCCGTAGTTCTTTGGTGCATTTATCCCAGTTGAGGACCTCGCTTGGTGGGGACCAATTCTTCACAATCTGGAGTGCGTCGCTGAAAATAATAGAACTGTGTAAGTTACAATAACAGTAAATGCTAGCAGTACTTACAGTAGTGTATCATCATCCTCGTGCTCAGCCTGTAAGTGCTCAACAACTGCATCGCGGATTCTCTCGAGCGTGCATTGGAACATAAGTTGCACTTTCTCCAGCCCCCCCTCGTCTTTGTTGGGATGGAGTACCTTGTGAATGTGAATAGTCAGTTTTAATAGTATCAGACAACTTTAAGGGTATGTACAGCGCTCGCGAAATACCTAGGATGACGAGACCTTAAGTTCAACGGTCTCTTAGGAGGGCGTATCCATGTAGAGATGGTGACTGTTGCAGGATGGAACCATGTGTCGTCGTTGAACGGTTCAGCAATGTTAGTACCAAATGACTTGGAGAACTAAACATGACCAAATAACAAGAGATTCCTTGGCCCTCACTGCTCAGTCTCTTGGACGAACGTCCAAGTTCTTACCAATATTACGATGTCTGAACCTAATGCACCAACTCGACACCCAATCTATTATTTTGATGCTTCAAGTCACATTTTCCAGTTGAGTTTTTCCGTTTATCAATTCATTCCTTATTTGAAAGTTGCTGTGTTGGAAGGTCGAAAATGTGCTGTACAGACTCTGCAAATCAATCTTGTCGACAGCTTCTGTTGTGTTTCGCAATATGTTTACTTCCCTACCGGATGGACAAACAGAACTGGATGGAATGAGTGATAAAAAGCCCATCTATCTCGACGGACTGTCCCAGGAGACCTTCGAACTATTTCTTGAATATACCTTTGGAAGGTATGTCCACTTGTTCGTGCTTAATATTCAGCCGTTGAACTGTTCGTAGAATGCGCACTGGCCCTTACAGCACTGACGAGCTCTCGAAATTCCTTCACTTTTGCGACATGTATCAATGCCGCCATGCACAACAATTTGTCGTGCACCGCATATTTTGTTCACGTTTTAATTTCCACCCAGCTCAGTTGATCAACCTGGCCATTAAATACCATGTACGCTCCCTCTTTCCTTTCGCTTTCAAGGAACTGGTAGAAACACCTATTACTGAAATCACACGCACGCACCAGGAGCTAATCGGGCAAGAGGTGTTTTTGAACATTGTTTACGTTCAAGCAGCGCTTGATCATCATCGTCAGCTCGTAGCTGCGGAGGAGCCAAAAATCTTGATGCACTCGGATGACTGTCAAGACCCCACAGGTTGTAGTGAGGATTGGCACACTATTTGGTGGAATGGAATGGGCCGGTTCCTTCTCGATGGCAGGAATCCACAGCCCTATAGTGATGCTGTCAAGCGTTTCAAGGAATTGAAGTTTGGACGGGTTAGTGAGGGTTGCAAAGAGCTGATGTTCAAGAGCCTGAATCAAGGAGCCGCATTTCGTCACGCTGAACATTTTATTTCTGAAGCTAGTCGCATATTAGTTGAAAAGTTGATTTTCGAGCCGTAGTTTCACTCATGTTTGATAGTACCGCTTCACTTGATCCATGGATTTTTTATATTTGTGAATGACATGGTCTTGTGTTAGCCCGAGTTTTAAAAATGAATGCACGTTAGCAACACGGACTCACTACAGGAATCCGGAGTCAAAAGTAAACGCGCAGCGCGCATGGTGCGCATGGTGCGCTGATTCTTTTATTTGACATTATTTGACATTATTTAACAGAACGCGCAGCGCGCATGGTGCGCAACGCGCAAATAATAAATGTGCAAATATAACACCATAAAACCGCACTTTTTTGCGCGGTAAGTCTCCGCTGGACTCAACACGTCGATTTTAAAAGAAAAAGCTAACGGGCCTTGTACTTTCGATGTCAGGCTATCCATCCGTCAAAAAATTATATTTTTATGTGGATGTGTTGTAGAGATATAGATGTTTTCCCAAAAATGCGCGAACTCTAGTGGACATCTAGTAGTGCCGTACTCTGCGCCGGACTGTCAATGATTATCTAAGGTTATTACCCTTTCAGTAGCTGGTCAAGCGTTTCGCACTAACTTTTGAAGATAAAATAATGCCAACACCAACTCATACAGATGTCTCCAAAGTTGCGAAAAAAACTCGGATCGAGGCGTCTCCTCTATGGTATCAAAATGTACCCAAACTATCTGGGTCATCTACTGCTCTCCCACCAGTCACGTCTGCCAAACTGTCCTCCCTGATGGAGCGCGGCGCATCTCTCCATGCAAAGGCGGTAGAGACATACCAGTCCGGGTCATCCTCAACAATAACATCATCCGGCTCAGATTTTGCATTTTTGCAGAAAATCTTGCACTCAGGCACGCTTTCAGACAGGCTCAGTGCTCTTACGCTCCTCGTGCAAAGTAGCCCATTACACAACACAAAAGCGTTGGAAACTTTGAAGGGGATGGCCGAGCGAGGAAAAGGGAAAGGAGGCCGGGAAGAAAGTCTCAAGGCTTTGCGATGTATACTCGATTGGTGGGTTGGAGGTGGCGCGCCGAACCGAAAGTTAAAGTGCGTATGGACATGCTGCTTTTGTAAATGAAATTTTGATGGTTGCTCAGGTATTTTCGTGATCAGCCTCTATCATACCAGGGCATCGAGGATGATCATATTCTCTTTTGGTACTTCGAGGATTGGCTGAAGAAGTATTTTTTCTCCATCCTCCAAATTCTAGAGGTGGGATTCTAAGCGTGTTCAAGTACAGGAGCTCACACATTTTCCAGGGCCTTTCAATGGACCCCTTGGCATATGTGCGCACCCAAGCGCTCTCCCTAACTTACACGCTCCTTCGCGATAAACCTGAGCAAGAGCATAACCTACTTAGGCTACTTGTAAATAAACTGGTAAGCGGAAAAAAAATCAAGCTGTGAAGCAATTCACCGGTCATGGTACTTAGGGCGATTCCGAAAAATCTATATGTTCTCGCGCTTCCTACCACATCCTTCAACTCCTACAAGCTCATCCATCTATGAAAGGTGTCGTCGTACGCGAGATGACATCCCTCATCCTTCGACCGAGTATCGCGACACCCGCCACCGCACCGACTATCAATACGCATATCCGCTTCACTGACGAGATGACCACCTCGAATTCCAAGCCAAAACCGAAACCGAAACCGAAGTCGAAGCCTGACGGAGCTGCAAAGAGAACGAGCAATGACCACGCGCGCTATTATGCAACAATAACGCTTAACCAGATCGTTTTTGTTCCGGGGGACAAAGATGTTGCTGTTCAAGTCATCGACGTATATTTCCAGATGTTCAAGGATCTATTAGGCGAGAGTCGATCGTCTAGCAAGAAGGAAAACGCCGAAGAACAGGACGGAGAAATTATTGGGAAGAAAAAAAAGCGAAAGTCAATGAAAGAGGTAGTTGGTGACGGTGGTTTTACGGAAATCGAAGATGCGTTTTCAAAATCGATTTCTGCCATACTGACAGGTGTGAATCGCGCGTTGCCCTATGCCAAGTTGGGACCATCGGATGTCAGGTAGGTTTCTCCAGCATGATATATGCTCACCTGACACTCTCCGACAAGCTTGAACAAACATATAGACACTCTGTTCCTCATCACACATACCTCAACGTTCAACACTTCTTTGCAAGCCCTACTCCTTATCCAGCAGATATCATCCTCGCTCTCCCACTTACCCGAATCTTCATCTTCTGCACTCTCGAAGAGTATTGTGGATCGATATTATCGAACATTGTACCAGTCTTTACACGATGGTCGCCTCGCTTCATCCTCGAAACAAACCATGTACTTGAACTTACTCTTCAAATCTCTCAAGGCCGATAACAACTCCGAACGTGTGAAGAGCTTTGTTCGCCGCTTCGTACAAGTCCTTGCCAGTGGCAGTGCTGGTGGAACCGAGTTCATTGTAGGAGGATTATACCTCTTAGGAGAAGTAAGGCACCTTGTTCACCTATTCAATGGACCACCTAACTTGGTTCACAGTTGTTCAGTACAGTTCCAGGCTTGCGAGACCTTTCCAGGGGATCCCATTCCACTTCTGAAGAACAATACGATCCACGAAAACGAGACCCGCAGTTTGCGCACCCCTCAGCTTCTCCCTTGTTCGAATTGGTAATCGCTCATGTACATTGATTTTACAAGACCTCATGTTGCTTTTAGATTCCCCTCATACACCATTATCATCCGACTGTTTCTTTACACGCACAACAACTCCTCTCGGGCCAACCTATCACGTCAAACCCAGATCTATCTTTAAATACTCTTTCTCATTTCCTCGATCGTTTTGTCTACAAAAATCCTAAAAATGTCAAGACAAAAGGCTCCAGCGCCATGCAGCCCGCAGCCAGCGCAAATGACAGGGTCGGCGTGAAACTATTGAAAGGCGAATCATCTGGCGGTGCTCTACCAAACGACGAGAAATTTTTGAGTAGGCCATTAAAGGATATCCCTGTTGACGAGGTAACGATCTGGTTATTCGGTGACCGAGACCGTGCTAAAGTCACCCAAGGTCTTCTTCCATAAACACTTTTCCAGGAAACGTGAAAAGGACAAGAACAAAACCGCTCATACCGGCAAAGGGGATAGTGATGCAGAGGCATCGGATAGTGCTTCTGATGTAGATACTTCAGCGAGCCAGTTGAACGAAGCGCAGGACACAGACGTAGTAGATGATGCTGAGCGCGATGACGCCGAAGACAGCGACGCCGAAGAGGCAGATATATGGAAGGTACTAGGTTCTCGTTGCCATTTTTGCATCCGTAGCTAAATTATCTTGCAAACAGGCGATGCAAGCCAGCATGCCTCGTATGGCAGGAGATGAAGGTCTCATGGTGGATAGCGATAGCGTCGCTTCCGATATTGATGGTTCCGATGGGGATGAGGAGGCTGAAGAAGATGAAGATGAAGATGAAGATGACGGTGATTCCGGTGATGATTTCTCCATGGTCGAGGCTTCTGACAATGAGGATCTTCTCGGCTTGGATGAAGTTCCTCGAGGTCTCACCGAATATGACGGAATCGCTGGTGAAGACGGTGGCGACGGCGAAGAACAATGGAATGGCTTCGGTAGTACGAAGAAGCGGAAACAGGAGAACGAGTCCAAACGTGAAAAGCGAAAGAAGCTGAGAAGCTTGCCGACATTTGCAAGTTACGAAGACTATGCAAAGATGATCGAGGACGGTCCCGAGGACGACATATAACATTAGTGTGGATATGTTACTTACTGGCATCATCTAACAATTTTCCAGACCTGCCTGACGGATGCAGCGTCTGTCGAAACCTTGCGTTGCCCATCCTCAAATCTCAACCTCGCCCGGCTCGTTCGTCCGATTGTTGTTCGGTTATTCAACCTCTTCAATGCATCACCCTTGCCAGCAGTTCAGTGCAAAGAAGCAAAAAAAATTGAACTGTCGAGTCTTGATTCACGCTATTACGCGCAATGGACATACTTCGCTAACACTGCGCTCACGAATCATGGTATTTTTGTGAATATGTGTGAAGCAGGCCGGCGTATCGATACACCAGCTACGAGTCAATCGTGCTTGTCTATGGAATCATATCCTTCCTCTGACAACATAAGTAGCAAAGACTGAGTACGATAGACGAATTTTAGTGCCACGCATACATAAGAGCAAAAGGAATGGAAAAAATACGCCGAAGGGGAGTCGAACCCCTGCCGCTTGCTTGGAAGGCAAGCATGATAACCGCTTCACCATCGGCGTGTACGACAGTATCGGTGCCAATACGTAATATTGACTTTGGCCAGATCTGCCATCAAAGTCTCGATTTCTTTACGATACATGCGAGAACACGTCGACAATGATAAGTACGTCGATGAATCAATGATAGCAAATATTGATAGGATAATATCTTCACAAAAATAAGCAACGTAATGCAAATTAGTTACAAGGCAAGTATTGTAAAAGGGTTCCAAGCGAACGCTATCCTAGCTATCCCAGCATGCGGAATCGGATAATAGTTCGTCGACCCAGTAAAGTACTGTGCGAGTCGTCTGGAACAACCGCTACCTCCAGCTCCCCAGACACCGACTTCATGTAAGGGACATGTGATCGCGAAGTGTCGGTATCCTTCGAGTCCATTGTATTGGGTAAAGGACGGAGTGGGACAATCAGCTCTAACGCACATTTGTATCGAATTATTACCCCTCCAGACTTGATTATAAAACCTTCTGTTGGCCTACAGGATAGGCGACATCAGCCATTTGACTACAGCTCGCACGACTAAAGACACATACTTGAATTCAGTGAGGAGCGCATTATCGAGCTCCTTGACAGTGGAGGCAGCTTCCTTTTGCAGCTCTGCTTCCTGACCGTGCTCAGGGTCGGATTTGTCTTGGACATTATCTTGGTATTCCCGCTGGCCGGTCACTGTCGAATATTCACCGTCGAACGCAAATAGCACAGGATCAAGCTTCAACAATGCTTTCTCGCCTGCTGTCTGAAGCTTCACGCGCAAGTACAATATCTGTGCTTCCAAGAACCGCCCCAGCATCGCGCCAAACTCTGATAACAATACGCTACGATTTTGAAAGGCAGGAAAGGGCGAAATGTCCGATGATGAAGTCTGCTCCACCGGTTCTTCCAAGTCCAGGTTGGCTCCGGGGGTCGATCGTCTTGCTCTTGCATCGTCGCGAGCACGCATGCGGCAAACTCCGCAGCATTTCCAGCGGTGTTTGGTCACAGGTAGTAATTCTGTGCGACAACGAGGAACGGCGCAGATGCGAGAACCTTCCATTGGCGTCACCTTATCTATTTGCTCCTGCATCTGTGGTCAGCGATTCAAGGTCAAACAGGAACCCTTTATGTGCCCTACCTCTGGAAACGATGCAGAATGATCGCTAACGAGAGCAGACTCACGGGCGTTTATCCGAGCTAAAATTACGTACGGTTAGCTCGGGCGATTTTAGATGCAACAATCATGCTCACAGAAGTTCTCCATACGACGGCGGATTTTCTCCATACGAATCCTTTGGTACTTCCGTTGGTATCTCCGACATGAATCACAGATCTTCCAGCGGTAATTCGGAGGCAATACAATGTTACAGCGCTTGATCCCGCAAACCCGCGCCCTGGCACCTTTAGGAAGTTGAGAAGCAAGCACAGGGATGCGAATCTTGATCGTGGATGACTCTTCGGTATCAGGGTCCGAATCAACACCTTCGTCTTCCGAGGATAGATCTGTCAAGTCGCTGCCCCATCCGGAGATGTAAACGTTGTTAATTTCGGGTTTCACGCGAGCGTCTCTACCACGCTCAGCAATGACTGTACTGGAAGTACTTGCAACTGCCGCGGAATGAATGATGACTTGTCCTGGCTCTCTGTTTTTCGTAACTCGCTCCACCACGAATGTATCATATGGCGGAGGCCCAGCGCCATGCATAGCCACATCGGAATTTGAAGCACCCTCATGTGTACCGTCCATAGGCAAAACAGACTCCCCGGTTGCACTGGTAGCAATAGCAGCCTGCTGGCGCTCTTTCCAGCGCCGCAAGCTGCAGTTATAGCACCTCTGCCATGTAGCCGACGGAGACACAGTTCCTCCGCACCCGAGCGTTTCACAGATGCGCTGTAAGAACCCTTAGTCTAACATATATTAGACAGTGATCGAACAAAACTGACTTGGACTAGCTGAGGGCTTAGAGAACGAGCGGTAGTGTCGATGACCAGGGGCGATAGCCGCGAAGGCCCGTGTTCCAAGACAGCACCTGGAGGTGGCACATCGTCACCAACAGTTTTCGCTGTCGAGTCGACAGAATCTTGTGCTGTAAGCTCCTCATCCTACTTGGCAGCTCAGACTCCGTGATGTCAGCAAAAGAACTTGCACCTCACTAACTTCAGGATACGTCAATTCAAGGTCCAAATCATCATTGTTGCGTGGACCAAGTTCTGCAAGCGTTTCCTTCCGGGGCTGCTCAAGGGCCTCGGCCCTCTGTGCAGCATCTATATCCCGCTTCAAATAGCCATGTTTCAACTGCATTCTAGACAGAAGAATATACAAACAACTTTACCTTGGCCTTCGAGATGAGCACCCCAGAGAGAAGTTCATCTCTTCTCATACGTTTCGGAAGTTGCTTGAGGGCAGGGGGCGGTGCAGGCGCTCCACGGCCAAACCCTGATCGCAGACATACATCGCAAAAGTTGAGAAGCTGGTTGGGTGCTAGTTGTGCCCCACAGCCAAAGCGCATACACAAGCGCATGGGCGCCACGGTAACCTGACGTCAATCATGGGCAAAGTTCATATAAGGGAAGAATTTATAAATACTCACAGGGACAGGGGAAGGAGCAACGATTTCTCCGCGGGAGTTGAAGAAACATGGGCGGGGAAGATCATGGGATGGTGCGATCACGAGTGATGTGGGTGAGAGTAGTGGTGGTACGTTCTGATTAATGTGTCTTGTAGGCTTTAGTTTCATGCCCTCTTGCCTCGTTCGACATGCAGTGCAGAGTATGTAAGAGGTAGAGGTAGTTCTTGATCCCTCTACGGTCATTTGGCACAAAGCACATATTGAAAATGACTGTGCCTGGTAACATAATCAGGATGACGCCAAACATTCAACCCAGTATAATAACCCTGCCGGCACTTCCTGGGTATATGTTACAAAACGCAAAACTCACAGCTTGTCCAAGCGCCGTCGCATCTTGATTTACAGGGAGGGTGTGTGCGGGGGAAGGAATACCTCGGGTCCTGAGCGGTGGTAACTGGCAGTCATCACAAACTATCCACGGAAAATCTTGTGGTAAAACGAGTCCACACTGATGGCATATCCGGACACGAGGTTTTGATGAGGGGATGAAAGCGGGGGCAGCAGGAACTCTCAAACGATTCGCTGTAGGATCTTCATTCAGCAGCATGCCTCAGTATAAGATATTATACGCCGGCCACATAAAATCAGGGTGGTCTGTTCGAATGCGTCAGCTGCATGAAAAACTATAAGCAATTTCTGGACATATACTCAGTATAGATCATGCATACACCAGCAGGTGTTAGAGAGAAGTAAGGTCTATCTGTTGAAAACGGAGAGCTTGCAAGCCAGGGTCAGGCGATGTCAAATTCAAAATTGAAAAAAAAAAAACTAAGTTTTCAAGACTATACCATTCCCGATTGGATCCTCCTCGCGACCTACATCATGTCTTCCTTCTATTTGACAGTAATCTGACTACTGAGGGAGGCGGCCGAAGTACGACTCGGTACCGACAGTAACCGACCTCGTAGTAAAACTGCAAAGGTGACACCGCCGCCTTCGCCTTGCACGATGTCGATGAATTCCCACTCCTTCTCTGCTCTCACCAGCTTCGTCAAATGTTGAAGTACAAATGATGCATAAAAAATCATCGCAAGAAAGGGAGACAGACTAGGACGTTCAAATTGAACTCATGATCTAGTGGCCTCCAAGATTCCCTCTTCATCAGTAGCGTAATTGGTAGCTAATGGACATCGTTCATCACAACCTAGCAAGTTATAATTAAAAACACATCATGGTCGAGTACTACGACTCGGTACCGGCCTCTCTCTTCGACTTGTCGTAGCACTCCAAAGTTACGCTCGCCAAAAACCCGGGTATACACTGCTCTTCATTCACCCAGAATCGCATCAGTTGTGGGAGATCTTGCGGACCGCCTTCGCCTTGCGCAATGAGCTGCATCCTCGCTCCTTCTCCATTCTCGCCGGGCTTCGTCAAAGGTTGGAACACAAATGACGCAGAAAGATCGTAGATCGAGGTCACGCGGACTTGCCCATTGGGGTAAAACGCGAGTTTGAGTCCGAGTATGGACGCTATGGCTTCTCGGAACTCAGCGCTCTTCGCGGTGAAAACCTACCGAACGATGGTGACGGTCCGTCATCAATTGCTGAGAAGAACCGTGGAGGTGAGGATACACACACCTGTTGTAAGCGCAAGAGTCTCTTCTCTTTCTGCTTTACCACTTCCTCAAGCTCCTTCTTTTCCTTATCGAGCACGTCCCAACTTTCCCTGGGAACCAAATCATCGCGCGGAATCCCGCCCTCATCTACCACTGCTCCGCTACTCTCAAGCTCACGCAGGCGCTTGATGAGCGCCTCGTTTTCGCTCTTTAGACGGTCCATCACCGATTGTCGTAGATCAGTCCATTGCTGCGCCGGATTATCGCGCAGACACAATACACGCATGCCTGGTGGGACGTGGTTTCCACCACCGATTTCGCCACGGAGCTCAAACAGTGTTTGTTCGAGCACCTCGATTTTGTCTCTCTGATGTGTCAGATCTTTTTGCGCTTCTTGCAGACCTGCATGTATGTGTGGCATTGAGTGAAGAAAAGATACACATTTCTGTTGAGTATACCTTTCGTTGCTTCGTCCGCTGTGGCTTTCTGTACGTCGATTTCCTGAACGAGATCCTTGCGTGTGCGTTTCGGTCCCCCTATGGCATTATCAGCCTCGGCGGCATCCAGTGTACGCTGTAACCGAGAATTTTCGGATTTGTAATCAGCTATAGACTGCTCAAGATGCTGGATCCGCTGCTCAGAAAGGCTGTCCACAGCTGGTGACTCGCGTGCAGCTGACTCCTCAGCAGTGAAGCTGGCCTGAAATAAGTGATAAACTACTAAGGCACTGATTCGGGGCGTAAACACGTACGACGAGGGCTTGGAGGAACCGGGTTTCTCGCTCTGCCAGCTGAGTTCGTTGTTCTCGTCTTACTACCTTTTCTTTCAGCGTTTGCACCTCTGCCTGTAGGGCATCCACAGTTTCCCGAGCTTCTGATGCTGTCTTGTCAACGTTAGATAGCTCGGCCTCGCGGAGGCGAAGGAGTGCCAAGTTTGCGCCGTGTTCCTCCATCATTCGTGCATTCTCCAAACGTAATGCTGATATATTTTGCACCAAGGATATGGAAGTTTGTGATGATGTGTCGGATCCGCTGGTTTTGCTTGCCCTAGAATACATAGATTAGCTTCAAACGAGGAGATTGGGTCGGCACTTGCCAATCTTTCCGTTCTTGTCGAGCAGCATCAACTTGAGCCTCTAGTTTAGCAACTTTCTCTCGAAGCCCTTCCATAATAGCCACCTTGCTTTCTAAAGTACGCTTCTCTTCTCGAAGGACTTCTACGCTAGCGTGCCGGTCTTTGTACCGTGCAAGTTCAGTGGTGAGTTTTGCGTTAATCGACTCAAGGGAACGGAGGTATCCTGCTTGTCGCTGTAATTCGTCTCGCACAACAATCCAATTCTCGTTTTCATCGGAGTTTCTCGCAGAAGAGTTGGTGGCAGCATGAGCATCGTCCAACTGTTGTTGTAAGTTCTGAATTGCATCGCCTCGCTCCTCTGCAATAGCTTTAAGGTCTGCAACTTCTTTCTCCAATGCTGCGTTTTGGCGAAGGAGAACTGAAGACTGAGACTTGTGAAAAGCAACTGATTGTGAGTGGTCGCGAGAAAGGTTCGAATGTTTGTCCTCGAGTTCCGCAAGGTTCTCTTGGACAGCAGCGAGTGAACTGCGTAGTTGTCGAAGTTCTGAATCTGTCTTGTGCTACAAAATAATTGTGAGCTCCGACGGCATGCATGCAGGCGTGACGCACCTTTTCTTCTTCTCTCTCCGACTGCTCCTGCATTTTTTCTTCACGTTCCTTTTCCTCTCTCTCCGCAAACCACCTTCTATCTCTTTCCAGCCTCTCGATCGTAATATCTTTTTCGCGGAGTTTGGCCTCGAGCTCGGTTTTACTGGCCTGTGCAGCTATCAGCTGGCGTTCGAGAGAGGCGTTTGCCATGTGTGAGGTGAACGCATTAGAGCGCTGCTGTCGCTTTGCAGTCGAGTGTTGTGGGTCTGCAATTTGTTTGGGGTCAGGTTTCTCTGGACATGAGCATGCCGAAGGCGCGTCTCCTAAGCGGGAAGGCCAGTGAACTCACCCCGTTCGAGCTCTGCCATTAGGGAGTCACGTTTGGTGGTAGCTGAACGTGAGGACAGCGATGAACCCTTCGTGGCAGGCTTTGAGAACGTTGAACTGCCATTGAACATCGTCGGCGTTCGCTACTGATGCGTAAATGACCGTAAACAGAATTTAGAATGATCGAACGCTTTGTTTGCACAGCCATCCTGTCGAAGTTTGGTTTTAATTTCCTTCAAGTCACTTAGCATTCAAAACAAGCCAACTGGCAAGAGCTAGGCTTCACGCTAACATTCGAGAGCAGGCACTAATCATCATGAATTCAAGCGATTCTGATGCAGGCGACGAGTATCATGATGAATTCGAGCTCGGTGGCGGCAAGCGCTCGGAGAAAGATGACGGCGGCTACATACTTAGGAATGTCCTCAAGCTTCCCCGTGCCACAACCTACACGACGCAGGCGCTCTACGGTAAGCCTCTTGTTTGTTGTGTTCTGTGTATGTATTCCCATTAACTCAATTGCAGAGCAGATCGTTGGCAACGACATTAACCTGGAACCTGAGTATCAAAGAGGTCCGTAGAGTATTTCCTACAATCCAGATCTGAATGACTAGAGCTACGTTCTCTCAGATGTTGTCTGGCCAGAGGCAAAGCAAGTAGGCCTTATTGACTCTATACTTCGCAACTTTTATATTCCACCTGTGATCTTTGGTGAGCATGATACCCCGGCGGGCCATGTAGCGCACCATTCATCTTCTCCGTCCATTCATCCTCCAGTTTCGCATCAGCACCCAGATGGCTCAGAAACCAAGACGTGTGTTGATGGAAAGCAACGACTCACATCAATATATCGGTGCATTTTCTCGACAATTCATCTTACTGAACGACTGACCGTTATTTTCTCTCTTCCGCTGCAGGTTCATGGCTGGACAGGTTGGTCATATCTATCTGTTCTGTGCAATCCAACTTACAGCATTCTTTAGATTCATCGTTAGTAATTCCGTTCTTGTTTTTACTTCTAATCATAACAAATACTCGGCAGACAAAGACCCGTAAGTGAAAACTACTCGATGTCGATTTCCTCATTCAATTAATATGACACTATACAGACAAACCGGTGACAGGTACTGGTACAAGTCGAACGCTTCTAACCAAGGCGGACGGTCCCCGAGCTACATTCTACCTGATAAATATCAACGACTGTTTGCAAATAAGCAGATCGTATGCATAGAATATCAAGACCTTCCTGATTCCGAAGAACGCGAAATTTTCCAGGTGGGTCCTCAACACATTCTATAACTTCGTCGCTCATCCAAGTACAGAGAGTACAACTTGGAATGGCCCTCACCCCTGCGGGTTTGTGCATACTCAACTTACATTTAAATTCGTCTCACCCTCTGCTTAGAAAAATTGCAGGTGATCAATACCCCTATGTCTAGCTTCGTGCGACAGCTAGAAGTAGAGTATTTCGGACAAGACAAGCCTCTGGGTGGCGATGCCCTAGATTGGGAACGTTCGCGCGGTGGGGACTTCCGGTGTATCGCTCAGGCGCTCTACTGCATCTCAAAGTACCCCTCCCTCCAGTCCGTGGGTACCGTTCTGCAGATAGAGAAATGGCTGCATAATCCCACCCGACGGACCAAAAGCAAAAAGAAAGAAAGTGAGGACGAAGACCTCACAAAAGATGAACTCTACCTCTCATCCATCCACGACACGTTCCGCGTTTTCTCTCAGCTAGTCAGCGACCCTGATCTCCGCCCCATATTCCTACAACCTGGCTGGCGCATCTCGCCGGTGGAGTTTATCACCATATGTCTCTTAATTTCTGTGGAGAAAGATAAGCTGGAACTGCGGGCGCTCGCAGAGAAGCTCGGGCGCATGCGGGAGGTGGTGCGCGAAGAACATGTAGATATCAGAATGAACGCCCGTGTCGCTAAGACATTGCTTGACTTCGTCAAGGGGATTGGCTCTCAGGTGCAAAGCACTTCCGGGACGAAGCGGAAGCTGGAGGAGGAAGATGTGGCAATGCCACCGAGCGCACAGCGACAACGTACTGAGACCTTGCCAGTACCGTCTCCTGTTGTGGGCTCCTACAACCAAATTCACTTTGTCGATCCTTCTATGCTTAGTGCTGCCACTTCTCTACCGCCGCCGCCACGTCCAACATCCATTCCTGACAGACTGGCAGCCTTCCACGATGCCAAGAAGTCTATTTCAAATCCTTCCCTTTCACGTATCCCGCCGACTGCACCCGCTGCTCTACGGAATGCTGGACCAAGTAGATAGGCGCGTTGTATGTTTGCTCTGCGCTTGCGGAATCTCAGGAGCTATATTACTACTTACTATCGTGGCAGGATCTGTATCATATCAGTACTCTTCAAGTTGTATCAAGTACTTGGTCATCAGTCCTGGTGAAGGTATCGATGTTGGTGGGTAATCTTGATTTGATAAAGATGCTGGCGTAGGTGGGTAACCTGGACCTCGGGTGGCCGTGCAGGGGTAGCCCATGTGCACACCCATCACGCCTGCATCTTATTGCTAAGATATGATATGATAAGGACTAGTATTGGTGTATAGCTTCCGGGTGGTATTTGGCGTATCGTCATTCTAGAGATATCTGTAGATTATATACCCAGTTTCAGAGCGGATTCGACGTCATTGTGAATTCTTATACAAGTATTATTATGTCAGCAACGTTGGAAACCATGTGACATTGTGTGACTCATGGAGTAGACACGGTGTGTGCCAACATGGTTACATGGCAAGCGCGATAGTATTTTCGGCTTTTCCGAAAGTGACCAGGATCTCCTCGCACACTTCCGCTTCTTCTTTTCATAACGAGCAGAGAAGATCTGACTACTTTATAGGTGTCCTTCCGCGAGACCGTCCGACCGGCCATAGGGGGATGGATGCTTGTGAAGAATATGCATGCAGTTCCCATCCGTTCTCTGATCAGCATGGTACGTTCCTCGAGTTTGCGTGCTAAAATTCCACTATCGTGGGCTCGGAAATCGATTTTCCTCACCATTAATTCTCAACTCTAGATTCCACAATGAATATGCTCATCATTTAACCGGCACACTATTTATATAAATTCTCCTCAGCATGCCTCTTCTCTTTGTTTGACCACGATAAGAGATAGGCTTGCTGTATCGGGTTGAATGTGCCATATCTGGTCAATCAAACAGATGTACAAGCCCTTTGCAGATGCGACTCAAAATTTGTACAGCTGGCAGGTCGGCCTGATATTGAAAATGCAGATGCTTGAGCATAAGAGACATCAGGCGGCAGGCCGCTTATCATTCAAGACCCATGTGAATCTGCTCCCGAAGCAATTTAAGAGGGTTACGAGTGTGAGTCTTGAGGATTGGCAGTGTCATTCTTGATATCTCTGTCTACTATTGCTGTTTTAATACCAGCTGTGGTCATACACTTAGCATGGCGGTTGACCTTCAGGATGAGCGGTACAGCCCGACCGATTTCGAGAAGAGTGATATCAATGTTCCAGGTGAGCTGGTGAAGCATCTCTCCTTAATGCTTATCTTACTTTATAACAGAGGTCCTCCAAAAGATTGCTGACTTTGACGACCCAAACATCGATCGTGAGGGTGCTGTCGCCGGAGCCATTGGTAAACCTCGCTTGTGATTTTTAGTCATAGTACACAACCTCACGATTTCTGTAGAGGATGATTCGCCATATCCAGAGGTTCGCAGTGCTGTAGCTAACACAGATGATCCGTCTATCCCTTGCAACTCGTTCCGCGTTTGGGTCATTGGTATGCTTCATTTTTTCCCTCTTAAGAGAGATGCTTGATGCTGATAGGCATGGCCGGCAGGTCTCGCATGGGCTATTTTGATTTCCGGCCTGAATCAGTTCTTTTACTTCCGCTACCCATCCGTGTCTGTCTCTAGTATCGCGGCACAATTGCTTTCTTTCCCTGTGGGTCGCGCCTGGGCAAAGGTAAGACAGTCCAGTCCGAGATGTTTTTGGTTCCATTTCATTTCATTTATTTATTGCAATCATTGACAATGAACCTCGTTTGGTCTAAATAGGTCGTGCCGAATGTTCGCGTCTTGGGTGTCAGGTTGAACCCGGGACCATTTTCAATTAAAGAACATGTCTTGGTTACTATCATGGCCTCCGTTGGTGGATATTGTGCGTACTTCGATAGTGTTGTCTCTGTTTTACGATTAACTAAGAGTGTTTAGCTGCCTATGCTGTACGCCTCTCAGCTGTGAGCTTGTCAAGAAGTACTCACACGATGTCGCTTTCAGACTGATATCATTGCGGTCCAACGAGTCTATTATGGACAAACGCACAATTTTATTTGTGAGTGCCTGAGCAAGCATAGTGAACCTTACTCACAGACTGTCTGACTTGCCTATTCATTGTGGTTTCGTTTTTTTGACACCTTCCCACAATATCACATCCCCTTTCTGTCTGGACGATTTTGGATTGTGTTGCTGATTATTCTCTCGCGCGTATCTTCATGAATGGTATCTGTCATCCATAATCCTTTTTTGGTCAACTTGCGAGGTAGACCAATGGATGGTGGTCATGTCCACTCAGCTCATTGGTTTTTCGATCGGTGGTATCTTACGGCGATTCCTCGTGCAACCTCCCTCTATGAGTACGAATTTAGCTTCCTTCCCACCTTTAATCCGTAACTCACACCTGGGCACAGTATGGCCAGCCAACCTCGTGACGTGTGCTCTTTTCAACACCCTCCATTCACAAGTATATGCAGGTATAGGTACCCGTGGAGGAATTTCACGTGAACGCTTCTTCTTCTTTGCATGGTTGGGTGGTCTTCTATGGTATTTTGTACCTGGATACCTCTTCCAGGGCCTATCTTACTTCTCATGGGTATGCTGGATTGCGCCAAACAACATTCCGGTCAATCAGATGTTTGGATATGTGAGTGGAATGGGAATGAGCATGGTCACATTCGACTGGTCTCAGATTACTTACATTGGTGAGTTTTTAACACGTCGTCATAAATTGTATTTTAACTATTGACCCCAGGTAGTCCGCTTGGTGAGTCATTGAACTTTCTTTGTCGAGGAATGGCTCAAGTTATGATCCACTTCTTTCCACAAAGCCACACCATGTACGCAGAAAGGATAACCTGTCAGATCGGACCTGATTATTTATTTGCATAGGGTGGGCTGAGGTAAATGTTGCAATTGGCTTCGTATTCTTCTTCTGTAAGCATTCTTGCTTCGTAGCGTCATCTTATTTGCTAAAAAAGTATCTAGGGGTCGTTGTCCCAGGGCTGTACTACACCAACGCCTGGGATAGCAAGTACATGCCGTACGAGTCATTTCATTGTGTCCCTAGCTCACCTTGAAAACATCGTCCATCACTATTAGAATCTCTTCGAGGACATCGTTCGACAACACTGGCGCCTCATACAATATCTCTCGTATCATCAACTCAGATGCCTCTCTTAACTTAACAGCATATCAGGAATATAGCCCTCTGTTTCTCTCGTGCGCCATCTTTACTGTCTATTTATTACATCGCACCTTATCTATCCTGATACAGGACGACTTTTGCTATGTCCTATGCCCTGTCGTTCGCCTCCATCACTGCAACGCTCATGCATGCATTCCTGTTCTTCCGGAAACAAATATGGGTCCAGAGCAGACGCTCGATGCACGAGCAGCCTGACATTCACGCAAGGCTCATGACCAAGTACAAACAAGTACCAGAATGGTGGTACATGATCGTTTTTCGTGCGTCATACCTCCCAAAGTTCCCGATGACCCCGCTGATCTGTATGCAGTGATCATGTTTGTAATCGGTGTTATTTCTATTGAGCTGTGGCACACTGAGTTCCCAGTTTGGGCTTTCGTCTTATCCTTGACCATCGGTGATTTACTCGTGTCAAATATTATAAGGATTGAAATCCTGATTGGCTTCCACAGCATTCTTTTACGTCATCCCCATCGGAATGATCCAGGCCATCACCAATCAGCAAGTTGGACTGAAGTGCGTGAAGATCATCAATGGTAAATGAGATTTTCTGACGAAGCTGACGTTTACAGCGTTATCACTGAACTAGTCGTTGGATATGCCCTTCCTGGCAAGTAGGTCACAAGGTCGCCGTGGCATTGACAACCCAACTAACAAATTGCGTCAGACCCATTGCAATGATGATGGTAAGAATGGTATATTTGAAACACCGTGAAGTGAAGTAAATCTCTGTCTGCTCAGTTCAAGACCTGGGGATACATCACCATGTACCAAGGTTAGCCTTTCCGCCTCGTCGATCTACACACATCTCTAACTGAAAAGTCTGTAGCTCTCACCTTTGCTTCCGACTTCAAGCTTGGTCACTACATGAAGATTCCTCCGCGGACCATGTTCTGGGGTTAATGGATTTCATATTCTTCCTGTCGCACGCGTTACTGAATGCCGTACAGGTCAAGTCGTAGCTGCTGCCATCGCAGGAACTGTACAACTCGGTGTGCAAGCATGGATGTTTACCAACATTCCAGACATTTGCAACCCTCTTCAGAAAGACGGCTTCATCTGCCCCAACACAGAAGTCTTTGGAACCGCCAGCTTTATCTGGGGGGTCATTGGTCCACAGAGACAGTTCTCGTCAGGCCAGGTCTATCACGGTGCGCAGTTCTTGAGCATGTTGCGTTTATGTGGATCTAAGGCTTCTGCACGAAGCGCTTGTATATTTCTTCCTCATCGGCGCAGCCTGCCCGGTCGTCGCATGGTTGGTCTCGTTGAAGTGGCCAAATAGCTTCATCCGCTATGTCAAGTGTGTCCTCTCTTCTCTGCCAATGAACACTTCTCACGAGACCATACGAGTGCAGCTTTCCCGTTATCTTCAGCGGTGTTGGGGCCATTCCCCCAGCCAGTGCAGTGAACTACGTCCCATGGGCAATTGTTGGATTCATTTTCCAATATGTTATCCGGCGTAGACATTTTTCTTGGTGGACGAAGTACAATTGTAAGAGGTCCCCCTGGTCTCGTGTTACCTTTCGCCCAAACAGATCTTTTACCAGACGTCCTTTCGGCTGCCATGGACTCTGGTTTGGCTATATCCATTATCCTGATCTTCTTCTGCCTTCAATATCCCCAGAATGGCACAATTGGACTGAACACCGTCCAGTCGTGGTGGGGCAATACTGTTTTCTTGAAGACGGCTGATGGAAAATCTATGCCTCTCTTGACTTTACCAGAAGGCTCTACTTTCGGGTGAGTCACTGTTCGTTGTATCTTTCGGCAGTGATCTTACCGGGCACTTTACAGTCCGACGACGTGGTAATTATTAGTATGATGATGTGACATGATGTGCGAGATCTGTGTACGATGTGATACGAATATAAATTCTTGACGAACCAAACGGTTTTATCTCGACGCAGAGAGTTGAAATCATCGCTGGTCTGTATGCGTAGGGATCTGCGCAATCTGTAAGAACGTCAACGTAGCGTGATGCTCAAGGGAACCGTTCTTTTGGCATCTAGTATAACCATCACCTTTAAAAGTGAGATGCTACCATGAGAGGTAAGGTGCCAGTGGCCGATCTCATATCCTTTTCGCGCCAAACTGATGCTTTTGATGGAAGGCGTTCCGTGTAGTACATCCACTGTACCTACTAAGCTTGGACACTGTCTTTTTCTTTTTCTTTCATTTCATTGACCTTTGTACTACACACTTATATGCATAAAACTCAGGCTCGTCTTGTTGTCATAATCCTTTCTTTCCATTCCATTCTCCCTTTCACACTATAAAAGACGACCTGTATCCTAGTAGTACGTTGTCGAATTCTATCAGGCTCCAAACTCAAGTTTTTGCTTACTGTAAGTAGTCGTAAAGCACTACGGGTGTTTTCGGAAAGTATCAACCCTAACCCGAATATTAAGTTCTATATAGGGATCACAGCGCTGCAAATTTTTGCGGACTTCCACAAGTCAAAGATCAGATTGTCATATAACTAACTGGTGTTCTGTTGACATCGTCAAGCTGATTTCTCTGCGTTCGTGGGCGTCCTTTCGGGCACTCTTCCCAGTCAATCTGATGTCACCCAATCGCGGATGGCGCGCGAGACGGAATTATAATGAAAACCAAGATGATCGCTATTACAGATACGGTGGTTCCAGCTATAGCGGCTCGTATGGGCAGCCATACGGATACGACTACCGCTCGAATGGATACTATGCAGATGCTCAACCAAGTCAGGGGTATAACTACTGGCACGACAGTGACCAGCATTACTCCCAAAACTACTACCGTGACCAATCCCCCAGCAACTATAATCGCAGCCATGAACATGGTAATGACTCCTACCACGCTGAAGGTTCTTACAGAAGACGGAGGAGTCGGCGAAGCGACAGTCCGCAGAGAAATTACCATTCGCATGCAAACGCCGATTCGTCAATCCCATATATTCCTTCTCCTTCTTTTCGTCTAAGAACACCTGATTCAAATTCCCTTACTGCATATATGAAATCACCAACACCAGCTTCCCCACCACCCGCGGAGCCGGATCCAGCATATATGGCGCTCTCGCTCGAGCCATCACATATCGTTGACGACCCTCGTGCCTTTCGAAAGCTTCTCATACTAGATTTGAATGGCACTCTACTCATCCGATCGCAGCATTCACGCGCACGACAGAAAGATTCGTATGGTGGTACTTACAGCAGCTCAGCACCGCGCCTTCGCGCGGTGCAGCCGCGTCCTTACATACCCGCTTTTCGTGCATACCTGTTTGCACCCGAGACTCAAGAATGGCTGGACACCATGGTCTGGTCTTCCGCGCAACCCCACAGTGTGGCGGACATGGTCGACAAGGTTTTCGGTGATGTCAAAAGCAACCTTATCGCAGTCTGGGACCGCGGGAGTTTGGGACTTAGTAAAGAGGACTATCGTGAGTGTTTGGTTATTAGCCGTTGAATCATTTGTGATGTTACGCTTTGCTGATATTATCGGCAGACCGAAAAGCGCTGACGACCAAGGATCTTACAAAGCCTTGGGCATTGCTTCCATCAGGCACCAGCCCATCAGAGATCGCGATACCATCGGAAGCAGATTATGCTGCTGAGCCAGCTGGGTTGGCTCCCTCTATTGCACACTCTGCCTTGAGCACCCTCCTCCTCGACGACTCTCCTCACAAGGCTCGTCTCCAGCCATACAATCATGTCTGTATACCTGAGTATAGTTCCTCATTCAGGGACAAAGACCTTCGACAGCTTCAGCACGAGAAAGCGGCTCGAGCGCCTAAACATAGGAAGCAGAAAGGAAAGGCAAATGAATATGTGCAGGACCAAAGCGAGTCGGCAGAGATATCAATGCCCTCTTCAGACTTTGATCCGGCTGTAATCAGTCCTACCTCCGCTCATGTCGAAGAGTCGTCTATCCCCATTCCATCTGCAGAAAGAGCATACATATCATCTCGATCATCTGCTGAGCCCTATGACCCCACCATTCTGGCAGTTATTGGTGTCCTGGACGAGATTAAGAAGCAGAGCAGCGTTGCTGGGTGGATCCAAGCCGGCGGTCTTCAGAATACTGTTCCAGTTCCCGGGGATGAAGGAGAATATATTGTCACTCCACCAGCCTCAGACACAAACATTGTCGAAGATCTCACAGACTCTCAGGAAATGCAACCCCTCACGAAGAAAGAGCTTCGGGCAGCAAAAAAACTTGCAGCGAAGCAGCAGAAACGCGCGGAACAAGCAGCATTGTCTGCCGGACAAACTGTTCTTATTTCCGACAAGGAAGTTATGCAGACCGGGGATGATGAGTCTATCATCGCTGATATTTCGGTTGAGAGTATTCCTGCTGCTGCACCAAGTGCTAGTGTAGAGAGTTTGGGAATGTGGTTCAGTGATGAGCCGACGATGTCTTACTGGGTTTGGAGAGGGCGCCAGGCGCTGGACAGTTTGGGAATTGAAGCGGATCATGGAGTAACCGGGTAGTAGAAATTGCACTTGCTGGCTACAGTAAGTGTACTGTACCTCTCACGTATTTAACTTAGATGTTTGTCCCGAATAAACATCAAGCTCGGTAGGACTAGTGGACTGTTTTCTGACGACCAAATTGAGCCAATCTGGTAACCAATATTTTGGGTGTCATATTCTCAGCGACAATTGCCAGACACCTTTGAACATCAAGAATGCGTACCGTACACGGCAAAGCCTTCGTGTCACTTACTTTTGTACCGTTGCTTGATCACTCACACTGACCCTTGATGTATTGTTATCAACGTTGATGGAATCGAACCAGGCATTTGTCCGAACTCATGGCAGGCTGACATAGGACTGGATAGGAGTGGAGTGTCATTTAAAGTCAGTCTTGCACCCCGGGTCTCTGGTAAATGTTCGCTCTTACTCAACTCCACTCGATGATGCTTTTTGTAGCAGGCCTCTTACTGGGGTTGTACAATGAAGTAGTAAGTGCACAGAACTTTACAAGTGCACAGACATCCATTATCAGTGAGCGACTGGCCCAGGGTGCAGTGCACAGGTGAGCATAGGCTGTCACTCAACATTCTGCATTGGGCCGTGGCCCCACTTCTCTGTTCTCCTTGATCGTCCTAAGGATTATAAATCTCATTGGTGGCACATTTATTTCTGCAGTTGGGAGTATGGAACACGCATCGAGGCTCTGCTAGAACTCAATGCGCCGACATACTCCGTCATGTCTTTCAACGCCATTCCGCCTCCCCATAGCATTCCATCCAATATATCAAGTGCGCTAGGAGAAGTGTTCACGATTGCGCACAACATCGTCGCCGCCCGAAGCTTGTCCAATATTACTGGCCCCCAGCCCCTGATCGCTGACACGAGCGCAGGAGATCCAGCAAGCATTGGAGTTGCCGTGTTACTTGCTAACTGGACGGGACAAGGGGCACTAGATAGCCTAAACTACGCAGGGGCGGCGCAGGACCAACTTGACTTCCTGTTTCAAAACGTATCCAGGACTACAGATGGTGCCCTTTCTCATAAAGTGGACCAATTGCAACTTTGGTAAAAACAAAAAGTGATGTATTGGACACTCCCGTAAACAACTAACGTCTTCACATAGGAGTGATTCTGTGTACATGGTTCCTCCGTTTTTGGCGTATTATGGTGTCCTGACGCAAAATCAGACCATTTTGGGTGAGGCATACACACAGATTTGCTTGTACCGAAAGTATCTTCGAGATACGGCGGCCGGCAATCTATGGAAGCATATACAGCTTGGTCAGACAGGAGATGATGATGGGCACTGGTCGACAGGTGCGCGGGTTCTCTTGAGCGTAGCATTAATTCCTTGCACGGTTCATTTACAGGTAATGCATGGGCGGCGGCAGGCATGTTACGGGTCCTGGGGACTATTCAACATTCCCCGTACGAGAATTCGCTCAAGAGTCAGCAGGACAACCTTGCCCATTGGGTGTACGAGATCCACAGAGCAATGTTTTCCCACATTGTGCGTCTAGTTCTAAAACCGGCCTGTCAGAGTATGTTTCATTACCAAACCAGAACTCCAACGGATTGTTCTATAATTACGCTGATAACAACTCCACGTTTTATGATGCCTCATCGACTGCGTTACTGGCCAGCACGGTCTATCGGTTGTCTCTCCTTGGCAATATCCACACATACATCCCACTCGCTGAACAGGTCCGCAAAGCGCTCTTAGCTTCTGCTGGCACTATTGTTTCTATAACCACTACCTCGACAACACCAGCGTCAAGTGCAACATCCACCGCACTTTCCGGAACGGCTACAACCACGTCTGGCCTGCTCCACTTCACCCCGGAAGGATGGCTCACACCTGTAGTGAATCCCTACTCTTATGGCGCACAAGGCTCCGACAGTCCAGAGGGACAAGCGTTTATACTTGAGCTGCAGGCTGCATGGCGTGACTGGGTAGCAGACGGGGCACAGGGTGCAAATGACGCCCGCGAAGCTCGGCCTCGTGTCTTAATGATAGGGGTTATAACGGTCTTGCACTGCTTAGTGATCGTCATAGGCTAGTTAAGGTTTTATCCATATTTTTATCCATAGACCATTTATTGCTACTTTATTGACACTCGTTTTTGTACTGAAGCACACATCAGAACCCTCCCAACACAGTTCATACGGTATGATGCAGATTAGCTTTATATACAAGCTAGAAAAAAAGTGATGGTACTTAAAGTGTCCATTATAAACGGGTTGCGATAAGTATAATGAATGAACGAGTTGCAGTGGTGTTTGAGAGGTATGCTGTCATGATGATACAAAAGGTATGATATGTCACAATATGAAACCCAATCATCACGAGGACACATGATGTTGATAGGGCCGCAGAAAGACTTTGAAATGAAGCGCCCTGATTAACGCCTAGAACATCACATAAGTACAAGGGTGGATGGACACACTCAGCCTCAACCCACAGCAATTTCCATTGAGCTATTTGCTCACTTATGGCTTCCGCCAGCTCTCCCCCTTTGACCCCAACCACTATCCCTTCCTCTATGGCTGTCCCACCCGCTTGAATCCCGCCGGGAATCATTACGTCGATAATCTTTCTCATAAGACCCACCGCCTCTCGAGTAGTCCCGCCGTTCATAATCGCTATATCGTCGCTCATCTTTGAATGATCCATTCGAGGGTGTGGAATGCGGCGGCGGCGGTATTGGCGCAGTCGATACGCCTGTGTTGACCGGGGCTGGTGCAGTCGATGACGGCCGAGGTGGGAGAGAATGATGCGAAGGAGGGTGGATCTCGGGTAAGAACCCGTTCTGTGATGGGCCAGGCAGGTATAATGGAGCTTGAGGGCCTCCCTGAGAATACTGGAAGGACGGAACAGGCTGCATGCTCTGTCCAGAACCACTGATTGATGCACCCTGCGAGAAATTCGAAGAACCTGGGGCAGAAGTACCAACCCCGCTCAAGATATTCACACCCGACTGCATGGCTGTCATAACCTGTTCAGGCAATGCAACAGGGGAATTCATTGGCAGTTGTTGATTATGAGGCACCACAAGTCCATGCGCCCGCAAAAGGGCTTCAACCTCCGAAGGGTTTATTTGGAATTGTTGCCCCAAACCGTTATATAGCAGGTGCGGGCCTTGTTGTGGCAGAACAGCAACAGCCGCTGGAGATGGCCCAGCACGGCGAGGATCACGCATAGCTGCCGAGCCATCCATGTCAGGATTTGACACGGAATTTACAGCATTATGCTCTGTGTGAGGAGCAACAGGAGAGTGAACCTGAGAACCAGTATTTGTTCGAATGGCCTCTTTCGCGGCTCGGATAGGACCAAGTATATCAACTGCTGGTACACTAGATGTAATCGCAGGAGAAGGGTATAGCGAAGCAATACGTGGCTCCGACTTTACCACCGGAGAAACCTGAGCATCAGTCCTAATGGGCACAGGGGAAGGTCTGGCAGGATGGGCCAATCCTTTATTCGATTGAAAGGGGGGTACTTGTCCAAAGGATGGCGATGGCCTGGTAGATGTCGTAGGAGGAGCAGGTGTCGGAGGTGGCGCTGTTGCTTGCATCGGAGCTTGCGATTTTTTTTCAACAGGCGGTCGAGAGTTCGAGAAAGCTTTTTTCTGCTTTGATTGGGACACTGCAGGAGTAGCCAACACTTTCGTTGGCGCAGGATTTGACTTGGATTCAGTTTTGTGTTGAAAAGCAGATCCTGAAGACTTTGATTTTGAAGCTATATATGCAAGTAGTGGATCAAAGATTTATCAACCAAACTTTAACAAAATGGCTCACTTAAAGATGCAGCGGGCAGCGCCTTCGATGCAGTTACTTTGCGAGGCTTCTCTTCCTCCCCACTGTCATCATCATATTCTGCGACCCTCTTTCGTTTCTTGGCTTTTGTAGGCTTTCCCGCGGCCGGTTTGTCACCTTCCCCATCAGTTTTTAGCTCGGATATTTTGAGCCTTTTGCTCATGAATGACAACATATGTTTGGTGATCCTGCCGTTTGCTCGAATATCTTGGTGATCATCGCGTACATCTTTTCGCATCTTTTCAATGGCAGAGGAAAGTTGTGTAAGCGACAGCCGATCACGGAAGAGGTAAATCAGGACACCGATCATCACAAACTCTATAGGCGAAACACGAGTGGGCTTGTTGAGCGAGCGACTGTATTTCTGGTCCCGAGCAAGGATGAGAAAGACACGGAACGTATCTAGCAAGTCCTCGCGAAGCTTCGGAGAAACAGGGTCGCTCTTCAAGAGCCACTTTTCAAGTGTCGGGGCCGAGGGAACAGTGGGCTTGGGATGGTTCTCAATGAGGTAGCCTATAGATGCCACGCACTGAAAGTCGCGTCCTCGTGCGTGACCCCAGTCAAGATAACCCTGAAATCCATCTTCGCCAAGTACTTGGCTCTGAATCTCCCGGATGACCGTAGGCCAGGGGCCAACAATTGCTTGCATGCGTTCTACAACGTCATCACGCCACCGTGCAACAATGAAAAAAAGAAGTGCTGACCTGCAGGAGTAAGCGCAACCCCTAGTTGCACTCTCTTAATAATTATGTGAGCTAGTAGCATGAAACGAGGCCCCAGCACTTACCTGGAAGATCTCACGTTCTTGATCTGGATTGATGTCGCTGTACTCGACGCATACAATCTGCTTGTTCGAAAATTGATGGATAAGTTGTTTTGGAAGGAGCTTTCGCCTAGCCTGAGTAGCGCTTGTTTTGTACCAAAGCTTTTCGTTTGTGAACCTAGACAGTATTGAATGATACGCATCATAGGGAGATTAGAGGGACGTACGAATCTTTATCTGTGATGGCATGCTATATTGAGTGAGTGCATGCAGCAGTAGCATGTATTGACTAACGTGGAATCTTGTAAATGCAGATTTAGCAAGAGGATTTCATTGCAGATAATAGAATTACAAACCTGTCCATCTATAAACCTGAATAAAAATTGTGGTATATCAGCCAATCATTCCCGTTCATTTACTGTATATACCTTTGTATTGAAGTCAGCCTTTGCTTCCCATCGATGCAAGTTCGCAGTTCACTGCCATCATCGGCTGTCGACACCGCTAGTGATACCCTCCCTATCAATGCATGAGTAGACTAGGAGGACAAACAAACTTGCCAAATATTATTGGAGGCATGTAGTAGTTTCGCAGCATAGAGTCGATAAGACCGGACTGCTTTAGCTCTGGCCACACAACATCTATGAACGAGATGGGACATCAGAGGACGTTGCGAGCACGTAGACAAAGAGAACCATGTTTTTCAGGGCGAGAGACTCACCACGTTGGTATTCTGGGTCAAGGTCAATCGCATTTTCTATTATTTGGTCTGCAAGAAGAGTAATGTACGAGAAAACACTGCTAGTAAGCCACTCGACTTACCATACAGTGACTTGGCTGTATACGATGTGGTCCGTGGCGCACGCAAGACGCCTGAAATCTTGTATTCTTTGGTGGCTTTCTTTGACGAGGCTGTTGTCCGACTTGTTTTGGATCGCGGGAAGTCATCATCGTCAGAGGACAAATCTGTTAAGTCAGATACGTCTGACAGCGACATGGTAGGAAGAACACCGAGTTATATAGGTGGCAGCTGGCCAAATCGCCAACAATCTAGTGGTTGTTTGAAAGAAGATATCTTCGCCTCTGAGCTTCATGTGTGTTTAAGTTTGATGCCAAAAATAAAGCGAAAAGGGAGTATTTGCGCCAATCTGTGTTAAAAATTCCGAGTGTCAATATTATGTGCTTAAGACGAAACAACGATCCAAATCACATTCCAACTGGCAGGCCCATCTGAGAACGGCTGGGCTGATAGACGCCAAATTCCTCGCGCTTAATCGTCACACAGACGCTTCCCCATATACAAGAAGGATATCGATTAGTAAAAGACTTACGAAAAATTTATGTATGCAAGATTGGTCACGTGCAAGGTGAATCTCCGCTACAAACACGCGTCGCGTCACGGTCGCGTCCTACTATATTCAACACCAAATTTCAATCATGCGGATTGAAGAACTTGTGGTCGAAGGTATGACTTTAAGTAAATAAATAAGTTGTTAGGTGACATTTTTATAGGTTTCAAATCATATCCAGTCCGAACTCAGATTACGGGTTGGGATCCATCGTTCAATGCAATCACTGGCCTCAACGGATCCGGCAAGTCCAACATACTTGACGCGATCTGCTTTGTGCTTGGTATCACCAATATGTCTCAAGTGAAGACACACCGTCTTTGCTCTACATTAACCGTCGCACTCACACGCGCCGCAGATGCGAGCTCAAAACCAGCAAGATCTTATTTACAAGAGAGGCCAAGCTGGTGTAACCAAGGCCAGCGTGACAATCGTCTTTGACAACTCTGATAGAGAGAAGAGTCCCGTTGGATTCGAGAATTTGAAGCAGATTACGGTCACACGTCAAGTACGTTCACTACGTGCGACAAATTTGTGCTCGAAACTCATGTCCTACGCAGATAGCGCTTCCAAACATATCGAAGTACCTTTTAAATGGTCACAAATCACAGCAGAACAATATCCAGACTCTGTTCCAGAGTGTACAGCTGAATATCAATAACCCAAATTTCCTCATCATGCAAGGCCGTATCACCAAGGTAAGTTTACTTTCGTCACTTTCGCAATTTGGATCAGATATTTTTGATTAGGTCCTTAACATGCGTCCACAAGAAATCCTTGGCATGGTAGAAGAAGCGGCAGGTACCCGCATGTTCGAAGATCGAAAGGACAAAGCCAAGAAGACAATGTCGAAGAAGGAGAAGCGCGTGCAAGAGATAACTTCTCTCCTTGAGGAGGAGATCACACCTAAGCTAGATAAACTCCGGGAAGAAAAACGCCAATTCATTGCGTTCCAGAAGACTCGGACAGAACTGGAGAAGATTGGCAGGAAACTGCGCGCTTGGGAATGGACAGCCGCCAATAAGAGAGTAGAGAAGGCTCAGGATGATATTGAGAACAAGAAAGCAGAGATGGAAACGACAGAGAAGCGGAAGAAGAAGCTTATCAAGGAGACGAGGGCTGCCGAGAAGGAGATGCAGGAGGTCAACGCGAAACGGGAAGCAGAGCGGAAGAAAGGTGGTAGGTTCAAGAAGATGGAGGAGGAGGTAACGCTCTTGGAAAAGGAGCTGGTAAAAGTTCGAACCCAAGTCGATCTCGCAAACGGTAATATCACCGACGAAAACAAAAGCGTCGCCAATGCCGAGGCAGAGCTACAAGAGCTCCTTAAATCTCTGGAGGAAAAGCGTACCCAGGCCCAAAAACTCGAATCGTCCTATATGTCCGTTAAAGCGAAGCACAACGATACGCAAGGATTGCTCTCGAAATCAGAGGAGCTACTGCAGACGCTGCTCACTGGTCTCTCATCAAGCAACTCTGGAAATTCTGGAGGTGGCTACATGGGTCAGCTTGCAGATGCGAAAGCCCGCATGGCTCAAGGGTCGGCTGAGGAAGAGCAAAATCGCGTGAAACTCAGCATGAGTGAGAAGGAGCTGAAGGCATTGGAAGCAAAGTGGAAGGTTGTAGAGAAGGAAGCGGGCCAGGGGAAGCGCAATATGGAAAACATGCGCATGGAAGCCGAGAAGCTCAAACGTAAAATCGCCGACTGTGGTTGGAGCGCCGAACGAGAGCAAGAAAGCCAAGTCTCACTAGCGACTGCGAGGGGACAAGTCCGGCAGTTTACCGAGGTATGTTTTATGCTTTATGTTATATGTCGTACCTATATATAACATCATACAGGCGCGTGATGCAGTCAAACAACGCCTATCATCATTGAACTTTGAGTATGCGATGCCATACCCGAATTTTGACCGCACCAAGGTGAAGGGGTTGGTCGCTAACCTGACCTCGATCCCTCCCCAGCACCAGAACAAATCCCAGGCGCTCGAAGTCGTTGCCGGGGGCAAGCTCTACAACGTCGTGGTTGAAGATGAGAAAGTTGGCAAGGACCTCCTTCAGAATGGAAAGCTGAAGAAGCGCGTTACCATCATTCCGCTGAACAAAATAAATTCATTCGTTTTAAATGCTCAGGTGCGTATGTTATTAGCTCAGTTAATGAAGGAAAGACACTCATTTTTCACCAGAGATTAGCGCAGGTGGATCAGCTTGCACCCGGTAAAGCCAATCTGGCACTATCACTCATCGGCTACCCAGAAGAAGTGGCTCGTGCCATGGCGTTCGTTTTCGGAGACACTATCGTCTGTGAGGACGCTGAAGCTGCCAATGCAGTCACATTCGGTGCAAAGGTTAAGTCTGTCACTTTGAACGGCGACGTGTACGATCCTTCTGGTACGCTTAGCGGAGGAGCAGCTCCAAGCGGAAGCGGCACACTGCTAAGGGTACAGGAACTTCTCAAGGCAGAGCGCAAGCTGGGAGAGGCACAGTCCCATCTGAGTGACCTTGAAAGAGCAGAAGCGGCTAATCGAGAGAAGAAAGAATCATGGAGAAAGTTGACTCGCGAGCTCGACATCAAGCTGCACGAAGTCAGTCTTTTGGAGCAGCAAGCAGAAGGGAGCAACGCTGTAAGGGTGAGTGCAGTCGTCATCATTCGTTCAGTTCAATATTCAACAATAAATGCCATCTAGCTCAGCGCTGAGGTAGAAGAGCTGGAGAAGACGATCAACGCTTTAGAATTGGCTGTCCAGGCAGCGAGGGAAAAGCAACAGGCCGCCAAGGAGGAGTGCAGTAAGCTCGAACAGGACATGGATGAGTTCAAAAACAACAAGGAAGGCAAGATCAATGAATTGAAAGTGGGTACCCTACCATCCTTCCTTCAAGCACGCTGACCGGTTCTGCAGGCCGAGATTAGCAAGCAGAAGGCAGCTGTTCAGAAACAAGCTGTTGTGGTAAAGACGCAGCACAAGGAACACCAAACTTCTGTACTCGAGCTTGGTAAGGAAAGTTTTGAATTTTTCCTCCCGCTTGCTAATGACTCCCAGAACAAATGGAAACGGATATCAAGGAGGCCCAGGACAGCATCAAAGGTGCTCACGCCCAAATCGCCAAGCTTCACAAGGACATGGCAGCGCTCAATACCAAGCTTGCCAAGCACGAGGTACGATTCTCTCAAAATCCAACGCCCTGACAGATCGTTCTCATGCGGCATAGGCGGACCACGCAAGAGCGGAGCACAAGCTTCAGGAGGAACGGGCAACGCTGACTCAATTCGATAACGAGCTCAAGGACCTGGAGAATGCTATTCGTGAACAGAAGAAGGGAGTATCCGACGCAGAAATCGAGCTGAAAAAGCTGGAACACGATATTGTCGTACTTGAAAAGGATAAAGTCACGCAGGCCAAGTTTGTGACCGACTTGGAGAAGCAGCATGAGTGGATTCGGGATGAATACCAGTGGGTAGTCCCTTGCTCTTTTTTGGATACTTTGACGTTCTCGAAGGTCATTTGGCAAACCCGGCTCGCAGTATGAGTTTGATCAAGATATGCCCTCGTTGCGAACTAAAGCAGACGAGCTTGAGGAGAAGCAGAAGGGGATGAAAAAGAAAGTCAACCCGAAGGTCATGAACATGATTGACACGTGAGTCTTTGACTTTTCAGCAAGACATTGATTTGATTTAAATGACTTGTGGCTAGCGTCGAGAAGAAGGAATCAGATCTCAAGAAGATGTTGGCCACAGTTCTGAAGGACAAAGAAAAGATCGAAGACACTATAGAGGAGCTGGACCGATATAAGCGTGATGCCCTCCAGAAGACATGGGAGAAAGTGAACAGGTATGATGATTCCTTCATCGTCAATCTGTCGTGACTCATCCACCTGTGTAGTGACTTTGGTGGCATATTCGCCGAACTGCTACCTGGCAACTTTGCCAAACTTCAGCCTCCTGAAGGTCAAGACTTGATGCAGGGACTGGAAGTGAAAGTACAACTGGGGACTGTTTGGAAACAAAGTCTAACTGAATTGAGTGGTGGCCAACGGTACGAAACAGTTAGGAGTAAAATATTGTGACTGACGAGTATTGTACAGGTCTTTGATCGCGCTTTCTCTCATTATGGCTCTTCTCCAATTCAAGCCGGCGCCCATGTACATCCTCGATGAAATCGATGCCGCTCTCGACCTCTCCCACACTCAGCACATTGGCCACCTATTCCGAACTCGTTTCAAGGGCTCCCAATTTATAGTCGTTTCACTGAAGGAGGGCCTGTTCACAAATGCAAACGTACTGTTCCGAACACGGTTCCGTGATGGCACGTCGGTAGTCGAGCGGACGGCGAATAGGTCAACTTCATCACTGTACACATAATATAATCCTGTATGATTACTGTACGATCATTGTCACCGCCATAGCGACGCATGCTAATGCAACGTATGGGGAGAGGCGTTCTCCTGTAGATATGTTGGAATGGGGTCTGTTTTTCAGGAAACCAGCAAGAAATCGCATGTATGAGAACCGCACCTATCCGCGCAGACATGAAGAACAGTCCGAGAAATCTGTTCACTTTCTTAGCATTCACGGACATCTTATAATAAATATGAACATACCCTGCCTTGTTTCTATCGACTAGACGTGGGGCAACTGCACGAACGTAGGTGCAAGTGCAGATCATCAACAAGATGACCAAAAGCAGGGATTGAAAGTTGAAAAGTGCAGACTTTGGGCCTTCAGCTTGTGTACATGTAATAACAAAAATATACCATACCATGAGGAAATTGACGGCCTGCAAATGACCTGCAATTGAATGTGTTTTTGAAAGCGGTAATGCTGCGAGCTCGTCATGAATGCTTACTAAGCGTTTGATTATATTTGGGCCCAGCTTGTTGACTCCGAGTCCATGGAGTGTACATGATATCTGCGGCTAGCATCCTACTGACTTTTCGCCATCGAGAATTCATAATGTGCAAAGTGAATCGCGTATACGACATTTGCATGAGCGACGGAATGTGACTCGTTGCGCATTAGGTCTAAATGTTGAACTACCTCGCAACTACTACTTCGGCTCAAGCGAATTGATACAGTCTAGCACACAATCATCCTCATGGTGCAATATTTCCAGTGCCGCCTGCAATGTCCTGGACGATCTCCTCACTGACACACAACCCCTCGTGATAAGCACCATGAAGGAAGCCTAAATTCTACTAGTGATCCACTGATTCCACTCCACCTTCTGAAAAAAGGAAGATCACGTGTACGTGAACTTGAAAATCGTACTTAGCATGCTGAGAACAAGAGAGGGGTCAAAACCGTCATCGCCCAAGGGAAGGTCCACGGTAAGTGAAAGTGAAAAGTAAGATTTCGATCTAAGATAACCCGTCGGGCAAGTCACGTCCAAAGCGAAGATCAAGGTCGAAGGAAACGCTGCCAAACGCAAGAACCTGCTTGAAGTCGACTTCCCATAAAATGCTGGGCAATGAGATCGCAGTATGACTCGTAGGGATATCTTAAGGCAAAGTAAAGTTTACTATCCATGACCCAGTAAGCAATTGCGCCGTCGTCAGTGGGCTTGTTGGGACTCGAGAGATTTGAATTTAAAGCGGCGCCAGGCCCACTTGTGAGATCCAGGAAAGCCAAAAAACATTCAGACTCCAGGGAGCAAAGTATTGAAATGTGGAGATAGTCTGGGAGATCGACTAAGTCGGGTTCACGGGTTAGGTTGGATGCAAGAGATGCCGTCGACTGGGCAAAAGGTATTAGAGAGACTCAGACCCGACCGGCGCAAGGAAGAGCCAGTACAGGCAAGTCGAAACCAATCGTTTTCAGCGGGTGACCGAGACATCGATTGACTGTTAGAGTCGTAAAGCCCATCAAAAAAAAACGCCGCGAACCCAACCTCGGGCCAGAGCAAATTCAGATAGTCCGAGTTGAAACCGCATACTCGAAATTGATTAGATCGTACCAGGCGCGTGGTTCGAATGACAGGTTATTTAGATACAACAACAGAGATCGAGTCGCCATGATGAACATCGATCAGTGGTTTTAATTGTAGGGGGAGATCGAGTCACTGGGCCTTATCGTCGAACGCAAGCCCGACCTCATGTCAAAATAAGTCCAAGTCGCAACTCGAGATCGATTGGATCGTGCCAAGTTTGTAGTTCGGAGTCGTCTCATCGAGTGCTTGTGATGCAGCATGGAGTTAAACGTAAAACGAGTGGAGCAAATGAAGTGGAAGGAAATGAAGTAGCAGTGTTGGTAGAGGGCAGCTTTTATACATGCACTGACGACGGAAGAAGTCACAACTGTGACACATCCGACGATCCGAATCATCCGATTGCGGGCGGGACTGTAATGTCTCACAAGTACTGCAAGGATGATGTCAAGATGATGTCATTCCAATCTTGACCGGTGCTGGTGACTGACAGGTGGAACCCTCGCAAAACATTCTGCAAGTGATCACGGGTCACGAAGGTGCACGCAGGCCATGGGCCCGTCGCTATCAGGCTTGTGAACCACTGTAAAGGAAACGACCGTCTTCATTCCTTTCGGACTGGGTCATGGAACGAATGAAGAGGGTTGTTGATAACTGCGGCGCTCGAATACGATACTAAACACTGCGACAGCAAAGCTTTAATATAGGCACTTAAGGCGTGATATTAAAGAACGGATAGGGGAAAGCATCAAGCACACTATTCAAATGCTTCCGCCCAGTGCATGCAGTGTCATTAACGCACTTTGCGATCTCTTCCCCAGCGTTTAACCCCTCGAAATATGCACCTTGAAGGAAACCTACGCACACACATATATATCGCCTCCATGAACAAAACAAACAAACTGCAGTCAGAAACAACACGCACCGTAATACTTCAAGCTCGTAGCTTCACCCGCAAACCAGAGCCTCTTATCTACAGTAGCCCTCAGATTGTCTGAGTGACTGGGAAAGAAAGAAGGGGGCCAGTTGGAGTATGAGCCACGGAAGAGAGGGTCCGCATGCCAGCGTTTGAAATGGAATGCGACAGGTTCAGGAATAGTCATGTTGGGGTACATGGCTCGGAGGACTTTCATGACTTCCTTTTGAACATCTGAATCTTGCATGCCCTCGATGCGCAGTGAGAAATCACCCTAAATATCTCTGGAATGAGCGACACAGATGCATGGAGCATGACCCATGCAAACTTACGGTGACGGTCACAAAGACGAGACCAGAACCAGGAAAAAATCTTTGTGGTCAAGACTCTGCCAGATCGGATACCATCCCCGTTCCTTGTCTGCATATATGGCCATCTATTCCGGATACGTCAGAGAAACATTTAATGGCGATGTTCATATGTACCTCGGTATCAAACCAAAACTTTTTCTTGAATTGCAAGAATATTTTGGTATACGTGGCCTGGGGGCAGTTGAGTTGTCGAAAACATTAGCATTGAGCAAACATACCATGACCATGCTCTGAATGGCCTCAATCTTCCACGAAGGAAGAGCAGGTTTAAATGCGATATCACCATATTGTAGTACTCCAAGACTAAACGTGCAAAGCACGTAGTCCGCGGTGAGAGTAGTACCATTTTTCAGTGTGACCGTCACTCCATCCCCGCTGTATGCAATCGTCGTGACAACGGAATTCAGGGCGACTTGCTCAGGGTGAAGAAAATCTGCAGCTTCGGCCTGGATGATGGTTTTGAAGCCACGCTGGTCAATGCAGAGATTACTTTTATTCGAGAAGCCGCCCATATCGACGTCAAAGGTAAAATTGTTGTTCTGTGGGATCATCAGGTACTGGTAGGTGCGCACTAGATACTATGTAGATACCCAAGTTGATGCTATCCACGAAGTCTGGTCCGGGGACTAGTACGAGACAATGAGAATAGCAATCAACAACGTGATCAAGTTCTCGCACCTGTGCATCTATTGGATGTGCAGTTGCAATGATTAGCAGGAGGATATGTCCAAGAAAAAAATACTTGCATTCCTGACGAGTTTGAAATTAGGAACGCGGTGAGCTTAGACAGGAAAGACCCACATACCCAGTCGACTTCATAATATTGGCAAACTGCTTCATACATGTTCTTTGGAGTTGCGCCGGTGATGCCGTACGCGCTTTGAAGGCTGAGGTCAACCTGCTGCGTCCTAACGCGTTCCCCTTATGGAACATACGAGCACGCACAGCTGACAAACTGCAAATGCCATACCTGCAACAGCTCTGATTTCATCAAGTTGATTGACTGATGTGTTCAAGAGGTCACGATAGTCTTTAAACCCGCCAGAGTCGTAAGTCGCTGTTCACCATTGATGAGTCCAGACAAAATGAGATCAAGATAAAATGGTAAACATACTGATACTGCCATCAAGATCACTTGGCTGGTTCGTAACGTTGTACTTTCGAGCTAGCGTCAGAATGGGGTTAGCTTTCCCATTGTCAGTCTGCGTTCCCTGGATCCAATTAGGACCGAGTTCTACGGTGTACAACTTTCCAGGGATGCCGGCGATAGTATAATTCTGCATCCTTCCACCTAGTTCATCACGTGCTTCGACGATCAGGAATTCGTTGACACCGTTGAGGTGCAATGTGCGCGCGGCAATAACGCCAGCAACGCCTCCTCCAAGGATTAGGACTTTGGGATCTTTGGTCGAGCGGTGGTTATTATGAGTAGTAGAGGGTGATGATGGCAAAGCTGTGGCAAAAGCAGCAAAGCCAAGGAGCAAGGCGAAGTGGATTTGGCGCATCTCCGTGATGGGTGAGGACCCACCTGATCCAATTGATGAATTCGAGACATTTATAACAGCAAGGAAGGATGTGACGCTGGAGACTTGGATAATATCTAGACGTTTTTCGCACAGCTGGAAGCGAGCAACCGAATAACAGTATAGTAGTGTATGATAATGTTAGTAACAAAATGACATAGAATTCGAAGGAAATCCGATGGCAGTGATGTTTTCGGTGTACATATCATGATAGCCGGTTTAACCTTTGGTATGGAAAGCTAGACGTGCGCGCTCGTCACGCATCCATAATAGGCAGTAGGACTTCGTACACCGCCGATATTAGTTGGCTCTGAGTAATAATAATTTCTCTGCGATGAACGTTCCTCCGTCTCGCCTCGTTTAATGAATTCCAAGATTACTATATGTACATGACAAGAAAAAATCACTACTCATTCACCATTTCGTCCTCACTTTCGCAGTCCGAGAACTCCCAAACCACCAAACCAGCATGATCAAGACCCACCAAGTCTTCGTCAATTCCCAGTGTGATGTTGGGCTCGTCATTGTCTGTCAGACTGTCTAGCTGATGAAGGTGTTCAGTATCTGGCAAATCTCTGAGTCAACAAATTTTACCCTGTCAGAATTAGAGACGATGAACCAAGGCCTAATCCTCCATCCACACCACCCATGTAATAGGTGCCATTGGGCTCCTCGCGAGAAGGTAAATCTTGATAGTCATCTATTCATCATCTTCATCATCATCCAGCAGCTAAATCTGGTGCTGTAGTTCATCAGCCATCTGCAATGTGTGTAGTAGAAGTAGATAGATGTTCCAAGCTGATTGCTGTGTGACCACTGGGTGACCTAAGCTCATCATAGCAGTGTTGGATGCACCTGCCAAAAGCCTCTGGAACTAGATCAAACACGCAATGAGAGGGCTTGATGTAAATATTTCGGACATGATCTAGGGCCTCGCGTTCAATTTTGATCTATAATATGGTAGGGCCACAATTAGAATACTACCAACAGTAAATTCAACATGGGTACATACCTTGAAATCTAAGGCCCCAAAGTCCTCAGATAAATCATAGATGAGATTAGGTACTCCATGAGGAAGAATCTGGATGGTGCATGAGCTGACTCGAAGATAATGATGGGAGTAAATACACCTACTTTGTTGCAGTCACGTTGTTTTGCAGTGTTGTTAACATGATCCTGATATGCATCCAGCTCCTGCTGAAGCCACAGTATAAAAATCCAACGGAAAACCATCCTGCAGGCCAATGTCATATCCAGTACTCAGACCAAGCATAAAAAAGTAGTGCACACTTGAAGAATATTATTAGAATCATACCAGCCAGAATTGACACCATGCTCTAGAAGACTCTCAAATCCTGGTGTGAATCAGCGGCGCAGTTGAGACCATGCAATTTCTGGCATGACATTTTTTTTGCTTCGCATCCAGCGATGCTGGAGGGTGCTGTGCAAAGATGGATCGTGCCACTGTCGCAGCATCATATGAGCATTTGCAATCCCATAATTTTCTGATCCTGGATTGCTTTGAGTCACCATTGGCATATCTAGAACATGGGTCAAACTAAGTAGGTACTGTGAGTGATATGACATGAGAAATACTTATGGCCGAGTGCCTCAAGCGTGTTAAGATAGTAACTCAGGATAAGCTGGGGATTTTGGTTAGAGTGCTAGACCCAGATCCACATGATCCGACCAGAGAAAGGCTCGATGCCAGTGTGCAACCCAAGACCGAACTTGAGCCACTTATCATGCTGATCCACTGCAAAAAGGTCATTCACCCCTGCAGCCCAGAAGTGTCTCCTTCTAAGGCGACAGACCTTACGCTGGCGGACGAGTTCTGGCTCATACAGAGCAAAGTATTCCATTACAACCCTCCTAGGACATGAAACTCGGATATCAGTGATTCATGTAACAGTATGAAGGTAGAGATATCACCTGGCCACACTCATTTCCCTTTCATAAAATAGCAAGCTTACCATTTCGCATGCCCCAGCACTCGGATAAGTAATACGTAGGTCGGATACTGCATCATGAATGGTCTCGACGGTGTGACCCTGTTGACGGGTTCATTGAAGACCCATATTTTTCTGAATCTTGAGAAATGAGGTAAGGCTAGCATACAGTGAGGTTAAATGTCAATAACTGTTACGACTTGGATAGTATCTGTTGGCGACGCTCAAACAGAGCGTGTGTCGTCAACGGTCGAGGACGTCCTTGGGCTAGCCCAAAGTTAGGAGTCTTACTTGGCGAGGCTTCGTCAAGTAAGATTTAATGCCTATGTCCAAATCGGGTAGCTTATGTCAAGCGGGGCTCAACGATAAGCATATCTGCCAAGGCTTACAACACCCGAAGGTTAATCATAAGATCTGCGTTAATAGAAGGACAGAAGTCCGACTAGTAACAGGGGCTTTGCTCAACGACGAAGTCGATGAGTAAAGATCGAGACTATAGACTTATCCGCGATGAGCAGATAAGAAAGTAGAATATAGACAGCTGGCTAGGCTGAAGGGATCACTCTTGTTAGGAGTAGGAGGTCAGGAACCAAGTAGATTCAAGTTAAGGAACTGGATACATGGTAGCGAGTTTATATAGAGGAGAAGAGGTGTATTAGTGGGTGATAACTTGTACTACCAGAAGGGGAACTGGTCAAAGGGTGATACTAAAAGAGGAAGGCATGTTTGTTGTGAGTCATGGGTGAACTGAACGTGCAGATAAGAAGATGAGTCAAAGAGCAGAAACAGGAAGTGAAACAAGCAGGGGCACGATCATGCAACTGCGGAACTAAGTATAAGTAAAATGTGCGACTGTGCACCGAGTCATAGATCAAGAAAGGGAATAGGGCAAAGGGGATGCAGCGTGCATCATATCATAGGTTACTGTCCGGACGGTAAGGGCAAAGGGGACTGTCCACAGGATCAGTCAATGGGTGGAACGGAGCAAGTGTATGCTTCGTCGGAGAAAGGGTCTGGCCAGATGTACTGGCTCTGCTGGAGCGATGGGTAGAGGGTAAAGGGGAATGCGAGGATGACAAGGATAACAAGAGCAAGGTCGGGGTAAGGGTGTGATGCAAGGGCAGAGACGAGGAGGATGAGGAGAAAAATGGTAGGGGCCCAAGCATCTAGATGTTCTTGTAACAATAACTAGAGATCTGGAACACTCACCCAATGCCATAGCGTGTTGTGTCAATAAGTTTTTGAAGTTCCTGATGTTACAATAACATTTAGCATTATTCATTTTTCTCTTTCTGTAACCATAGCGCCAACTCCAGACTCATCTAGACTTGGCTATTCTCTTATCAAGTGGGCTGTCCGCACTTCTTTTCTTCTTGATTGTATCTTGACTACTATCATGCGCAGCATGATTGTTTCACCTATCTTTGCTATCTTGATAGGTTGTACTATCTCCCTATCTTTGTTACCTTTCTTGACACAGCTGCACCTTTTCCTGTTACCTATATAAACCCCATGTACAACAGTAGTATTCCTTAACTTAATCTACTGGGTTTTCCCCTTGAATCCTGTTCTATAAGGTCTCCACCCTTATAGTCTGATACCTGATTCTAAGACAATCACTCATTGTCTTAGCCTGAACTGCTGATAGGCAGAAGTGCTAAAACCACTCGCCACTGAACCTAGATAGAAGCCACAGTGCTTGTCTAGTAGGAACCTTTGAACTTGAACCCTCCTTGTACTAGGAGTTCAGAACATGCTGTCAACCAGACTGGTCTATCTTTGACCATTGACACAAGAACTATCCCAGTTGTAACAAAAGATTAAATTCCTCACCCAGTACCTGTTTCCCAACAGTACTTAGCAACCATTGATCCCATATCCATGAATATCCTTGCCACAGCATTCGGAAATCTGGCCAGACCAAGCGGAAGAATGTCTAACACATTGAAGCCCACTGAAATCAAAATCGGAACACCACCAATTTATGATGGGAACGAGAACACTGCCAAAAGCTTCCTTCTGGCAGTATCTGCTTACCTTGATATCAATAGTGAAATCTATGATACTGACAAGAAATGCATCATCTTTGCCACCTCATTCATGAATGAGAAGATGGCCCTCCTATGGAAGGAAGACTTCCTGGAACAAGCCCAGAACTCTGGAAAGAAAGATAAGAACGATGTTCTTATTGGATATGGAACATGGAAGGATTTCAAGAAAGCTTTTCTTGATGCCTTCATTTCCGCAGAAGCTGAAACTGAGGCATGGATCAAACTCCGTCGAGAAACACGTGCCGATTATAAGCGCTTGCATATTGAATGACAGGGGAGAGGGCATTTGATGCAGAAAAAATATGTTCAATAGTTCCGAAGTCTTCAAGACCTGCACCGTCAATCCCAAGTGGATGGTGCTTAGTCTGACAGCAATAGTTATGTGCAAAGCCATGAAATGCATCGACACACAAACAACAGTCCATGTTCTTAAAAAGAGGGCCCAGGCTACTGGCCATGACCGTGGATGAGAAGCCACAACCGATGTCATAGGCACCGAGTGAGTGTTCACCAAGAAGTTCGAGAACTTTAGCAATGATGGCGAGAGGGTACTTGGCGCTGTTCATGTAACTATTAGCCTTGCACCTGACAGCTGCATCAGAATGACATACAGCTCACCACTTCATACCATATCTGCATACCATAGGATGAGGCCATGACAGCATGCACTGACGAAAATACCAGTCTCGTCAAATATACTCCACATCCTCTTCTTTTCATCAGAGGCGGCTGCCTTCCAATTTTTGCTACAGTCAGCAGCAATAGAATTAGAGGTGTCATTTGATACAGGAAGGCGGTCATGAATGCCAGGAGCTGAGTCTTCGTCAGGAATCGACGATTTCGGTCGAACTTCACCTGCGAATGTTTTAACAAAAGCGTGGGGAAGGAGGTAGTCACTATCTCCGAAGCAACGTAAATCTCCTGTTTGTCGCTTGGTGAGTGTCAGCATGCACTTTGCAGAGTTACCTCCATCAAAGACATACATGCGGTTGAATTTTAGTGGGGGTTCATCTTCCAGCATGTAGGTGCAGGCAGGGCAGGCATTCAAAACACGCCAGTTAGGCGAGTCACGTTGAAGGGCAGCTTTGATGTGTTTCTCAACTTCATGTAAGATGGTAAGATATATGTTGAATGTCGATGATAGAACAGTGCGGTAAGTCCTAACATAAGGTATCTGTGACAGCGTCAATGAGGGATAATATGTATATAATAAAAAGAAGACTTACACCATATGAATCACATATGACCTTTGCAAATGCCTCAACACTGAGGGATGGCTTGCAAAGACGCAGTAAATGATAATGCTCAAGAGTCTGGAGAGAAACAGCATATGATGGGGAGTGGGGTGTATTACCCATGTAGCCTTGTAAAATAAGCGCAATGGATGGTGAACGACAGTCAGCTGAGTGTTACAAGAACATCTAGACGCTTGGGTCCCTACCATTTTTCTCCTCATCCTCCTCGTATCAGCCCTCGCATCACACCCTTACCCAGACCTTGCCCTTGTTATCCTCGTCATCCTAGCATTTCCTTTCGCTCTCTACCTGTCGCTTCAACAGAGCCAGTACATCTGGCCAGACCCTTTTGCTGATGAAGCATACCCATGCTCCGTCCCACCACCTGACTGATCCTGTGGACAGTCCCTTTGCCCTTACCATCCGGACGGTAACCTATGATATGACGCATGCTGCGTCCCTCTGCCCAGTTCCCTCTTTCAATCTATGACTTGGTGCGTAGTCGCGCACGTGTACTTATACTTAGCTCCACAGCTGCACGATCATGCCCCTGCGCATTTCACTTCTTATTTTGATCTTTGACTCACTTTCTTATCAGCACGTTCATGTTCACTCGTGTCTCACCTCGAACGTGCTTCCCTTTTATAGTCTTACCCTTTACCGATTGCCTCTCTTGGTAGTACGAGTTATCACCCACTAATATGCTTCCTATCCTCTATATAAACTTGCTACCATGTACCATATTCCTTAACTTGAATCTACTTGGTTCTTGACCTCCTACTCTCACCAGAGTGATCCTTTCTGCCTAGCCAGCAGTCTATATTCTATCTTCTTATCTGCTCTTCGCGGATAAGTCCTTAGTCTCGATCTTTACTCATCAACTTCGTCGACAAGCAAAGCCCCCTGTTAACTAGTCGGACTTCTGTCCTTCTAATTAACGACAATCTTACGATTAACCTTTGGGTGTCGTAAGCCTTGGCAGATACCGCTTATTGTTACAAGAACATCTAGACGCTTGGGCCCCTACCATTTTTCTCCTGATCCTCCTCGTATCAGCCCTTGCATCATACCCTTACCCCGACCTTACCCTGGTCATCCTTGTCATTCTCGCATTCCCTTTCGCTCTCTACCTGTCGCTTCAGCAGAGCCAGTACATCTGGCCGGATCCCTTCACTGACGAAGCATACCCATGCTCCGTTCCACCACCTGACTGATCCTGTGGACAGTCCCCTTACCCTTACCGTCCGGACAGTAACCTATGATACGATGCACGATGCATCCCCTTTGCCCTGTTTCCTTTCTTGATCTCTGACTCGATGCGCAGTTGCACATGTGACTTATACTTAGCTCCGCAGCTGCATGATCGTGCCCCTGCGTGTTTCACTTCTTATTTTGATATCTGACTCACTTTCTTATCCGCACATTCAGAGCTCACCCATGTCTCACCTCGAACGTGCCTTCCTTTTATGGTCATACCCTTTACCATTTACTTCTCTTGGTAGTACGAGTTATCATCCACTAATACGCTTCCTGTCCTCTATATAAACTCGCTACCATGTAACATATTCCCTAACTTGAATCTACTTGGTTCTTAACCTCCTAACTCTCACCAGAGTGATCCTTTCTGCCTCGCCAGCAGTCTATATTCTATCTTCTTATCTGCTCTTCGCGGATAAGCCTATAGTCTCGATCTTTACTCATCGACTTCGTCGACGAGCAAAGCCCCTGTTAACTAGTCGGACTTCTGTCCTTCTAATTAACGACAATCTTACAATTAACCTTCGGGTGTCGTAAGCCTAGGCCGATATAGCTTATCGTCTCGCATCCGCTTGACATAAGCTACCCAATTTGGACATAGGCATCAAATCTTACTTGCCGAAGACTCGCCAAGTAAGACCCCTAACCTAGGGCTAGCCCAAGGACGTCCTCGACCGTTGACGACACACGCTCTGTTTGAGCGTCGCCAACAGATACCATCCAAGTCGTAACACTTATCATCTAGCATCCACTTGACGTAAGCTACCCAATTTGGACACAGGCGTCAAATCTTACTTGCCAAAGCCTCACCAAGTAAGACCCCTGACCTTGGGCTAGCCCAAGGACATCCTCGACCATTGACGACACACGCTCTGTTTGAGCGTCGCCAACAGATACCATCCAAGTCGTAACACTGAGCATGAGATTAATGCAGACCGCTCCAATGTGAAGATGTCGACAGTGTGTATTGTAAAGTCGTATTCAGCAGCACAGGAAGCTGGTCTACCCAGGGGACATCGGCAGTGACCTTTGGCTGAGTCCTTCCAAGTGAGATATGCATCGACAAGGAATGGGATAAGCGATGCCCAGTTGGCATGAAGATTCTGGAGTCGTGAGCGCCACGTTCGAGAGTCTTTATAGCGGCGACCTGCATAGCTGCATGCCTGACAGTGAGAGTGTGAATAAAGTACAGTGGAAGGGTGACTTACGGGGTGTCTGCAAAGTCTCGGATAGCATACAGAAAGATTTCATTATCTTGAAGCTGTTCAGGAAGTGTCTCCCACTCCATGTTAACGCCATAGTCTTCTCCAATAGTATCAAGCGTAGTTTCAGGAGGTGGAGACTCTGCTTGCATGTCACTGAGTGCATTGAGAGTCTCAGCCGCAAGTCCTATTGCTCTTGAGTGTGAAAAAACGAATAGATCCAGTAGGATGACTCACCACTAGTATTCAGCCTGTATTTTTCCTGACCTGCAATCGTCTTGTCTCTCACAGTCGTTTGCTTCACATATTGTGCTCTGAGTTGCCCATGCTGAGTCCCTTCAGTGATGTGGATGCTACGAGAGAGGCCCTTGTTCTTTGACCGTGGCATAGCGATAAGCTGTGAGCGTAGTTGCCTAGAATGGTATGTTTGTGGTGGCCAAACATATGGTGGCTGCCGCTGATAGCTTTGTTTATCCGAGGTTTAGATATTGAGCATTTAGTGAGCTAAATACTGGCAGTGTAGGGCATTAACGTATTCTTAGCTAACTAGCTTGTCGCACCCGGGTGGGAATACCAAGCTATTTAGGTGAGGATTATGTGAGAACGAGGTGGGTGTACGGTGTCCCAGTCCTGTGATTGCCTTATTTGGGTTATGTCACGGCGAGTAACGGAGCGCGCATGTCCAGCTTTCCATACTTTAGTAAAGTAGCGACCTAAATGGTTTATTTATTAGTATTTTTTTCGGTTGAGTGGTGGCTGTGCCAATTAGGATGGGTTTGCAGAAAACAATTGTTTTGACAGGTGCAGGTGTCTTCGTACTTGTTGCAGGTGCATCGTATCTATCTGATCAACCCATGCTAAATTCATTTCTTCGTCGTTTCACGACCTCGGCGTCGACTGCAAAGCCTCTGTAAGTAAATATCTTCCTACTCATTCATAAAAAATTGATTCAGTGTCACCTACCAGGTCTTCGCGGGTCTTCGTAAGTTCCAACAAATGTTTATAAGATGTCACCAGAGCCAATTATTCGTTAAAATTTAGTTCGATGTTGCAATAAACAACAAGCCATCCGGACGTATAACATTCAAGCTCTACGACGACGTCGTTCCGGACACCGCGAAGAATTTCAGAGAGCTTGCTACGGGCCAACACGGCTTCGGCTATGCTGGAAGCACTTTTCACCGTGTCATTCCTGCTGTAAACATATTCTTCCTCTTTGCCACCTTCTATGGCTGAAGAATCTGGTCTTTTTATAGTTCATGCTTCAAGGGGGTGATTTCACGCGGCACGATGGCACTGGTGGGAAGTCGATATACGGCGAGAAGTTCGCAGGTTGGTTCCTCTGAAGTCCATTTTTCTTGTTATCCGATGACTATCCAAATTGGTAGACGAGAACTTCACACTGAAGCATGATAAGCCTGGATTGTTGTCCATGGCTAATGCTGGCCCGAACACCAACGGTTCTCAAGTGCGTGATTATCTGGTGAATCTTTGGATTGGATATTGATGTTTTGCAGTTCTTCATCACCACGGTGGCCACGTCATGGTTAGATGGCAAGCACGTTGTCTTTGGTGAAGTAGAAGAAGGGATGGAAGTTGTGAGGAATATTGAAACTCAGGGCACGAGGAGTGGGCGCACAACCAGCAAAATCTCTATAACAGCATCTGGTACTGTAGAGTGAGGATCAATCTGCTCAACATCTTATACGACATTGTCTGCATTGAATTTATACTAGATTATTGTTCTTCATGGGCGGCTACACTTGTAGCTACACGTGACAAGTGTGTGTGATGATATTATATATTAGCTGCACAGCGAGCTCGGCCTTATCTACTAAGTATTCCCATATGGCTTCCGCCATCGCTAACCTTCCAGCAGAAGTCATTGAAGCCGTGCTTATCGTTGCCGCAGCCTCCGGGAACCCGGATTCCATAGCAGCACTTTCCCAGACCAGCAAGTCATTCTACGAGCTAATCCACTGCTGTCCAGACCAACACCTCTGGCGGGAGATCTTCCTTACTACTTTCGATGATCCCAGACCAGCTCTGAAACATCTGAGCACCATATCAGGTGGTCACCATGACTTGCAGATCAATTGGACTCAAGAATACATTGAGCGTATCAGTGCAGCTAGGTATATCAGACGTGCGGTCCAAACGACTGCCCCAGTAAGTTCGCAGTTGGAGATTCTCGACATCTCAGCGTCATTATCCGTGGTGAAAGCACTACTCTCAGTTATCACCACCTCCTTGCCCTTCCCGTCATGCCCACCTATATCTCACACCATCCTGACTAACTTTCCCGAGCCCAAATCCCATTTCACACCCACGATCAACTCTCCCCCACCCCTGCTTATCTTGCTTAAAGACAATTACAGTGCCATGCTCGGTAGCGTCAATGTAACGTGGCTTCAAGATTTGCTAGAAATCGGATTCCCCCCTGAACTCACACGCACGCTGATGGCAAAGCTGTCCTTCAATGTCCAGGGTCGTGCACCGTACCAGCCCACTCTAACATCCGCGTCACACTGGGATGGATCAGAAGTCAGTCAGCTATTCCACAAACTCATCTGCTGTACCGGCTTTAGACCCATTGCCGCATCAACACCTGAGCCCATTCCCATACTACACCCACGATCCTCGTTATACATTCCTGAAGAGCAGTTCGCTGATGCCCGCACCCTCGCACGTAGGCGTGTTTACGACATGCGCTACCTCGGACCTGCACGCATGTGGGGTCCCTTCCTACCCGTGCGACGCAGCACTACTGATTCCCCCGAATCAAACCAACTTGAAATTTTGGATGAGGATGGGGATGAGAACGAAGACGATGACGATGTTGAAGACGAGGACGACGACTTTGGTCTGATGCACTTTGGGTTGATGAACGGGCCTCGCATCCCTGATATGAATCCTCCAATAGAGCCGTATGAGCTTGTACCGGACTATGTGTGGCTTGCGTCTGCGCGTATCGTCGTGGAGGCGAACTTAGGGGAGATGCCGACTGCATTTTCGACGGGAATTTTGCCATATATGCGCAAAATGTATACGACATGCATAGGTGGGTCACCTGGGTATTGGGATGCATGGGTAAATCGGCCTAGGGAGGCACACAGATTCGAGAACAGCGGGAAAAGCAAGCAGGGCGAAGTTGAAGGATGGGATTGGGCAGGTATCAGTGGTATTTGGAAGTAAGTTGCGAGCTATGCATGCTTCGAACAACTCAATTCTGTTGATATTACAGGCGGTGTATTTGCTGGCTTGATTACCGAGAGCTATTGGGTAAGTGGTCTCGTTTATTCTCCCTTCTCATACTGAACGGTCTTATGCAGTGCACAACGTGAGCCACATCATCTGAAAAGCGTACCATCTAATTCGCAGCTGCTACAGCTCGCACCCGAAAGGTTCCTCGAAGACCACGTCCGTGAAGCTTGTCGAATCATTCCCATTAAGATTCGCATAACTGGCTACTCGGAATACCCCATCCCACCAGGCAGCACCACCCGCCCCCTGCCAACCATCCACTTCGAGGGTGAATCTTTAGGGTCTGACCGCAGTCTTAACGACTTACGCAAAGTCACTGGTACGGTGAGCATGATCGGAGATGGCGCTATCCGATGGTCAATGGTAAGTGCTCCGTTTCCTCTTGTAGCATAATACACTGCATACGTATTGCTGATTTATTCGAAGGTATCCACTGCAGCTGGGACAAATGAGCCGGAATGGTCGTCAGAGGCGGTTCAAATTGGAGGGCCGGGTGCGGCGGTTGGGTTTTTGGGGATGTGGACGGGTGCGATGCATGAGAGGCCGGACCCACTTGGTGAGTGCTTGTGCTTTTCTGAGGCGTTTAGCTATTGACAGTTCATGGTCCATGCGCTAGGTCCATTTTGGGCTTGGAAGGTCGCATGAAACGGACCTGCGGTAGCGAGTTGTGTGTGATTGGGTGATTGTGCATGGTTCTAGCTATTTGGTCCCGGTAGCCTGGTTTACAAGTCACTGTCACGACTCACGAGGGTCTCGTAACTCTGTATCACTCTAATAAGACTGAGGAGACATACGAGCATGGAGGGCGGTTCACGAGGTAAATCTTTCATTGGAAGGATCGACTGGCTTGGTGAAACTAGGTTGGAGTTATGCTCTTCGCTGTAAAAGCAACAGACATGAGATTAGGGATTTGGATATACTTATGTGAGCACGGCATGATGCAGTTAGTAGGCAGTCTTCAGGATTTGAACAGACAGACTGCCTACTAAATGCATCATGCTATGCAGCCTGTGCTCGCATATTATCCAAATCCCAAGTTTCATGTCTGTTGCTTTCACAGCAAAGAGCAGACAGTCTTCATCTGGTCTAAAGGCAGAATCGAAACACATGAACAAGCAGGTGTTCGTGTACACATGGAACTATGGGTCTACGTCTGCGCTAGTGCTGCTTAATTTCAAGGAAGGGAAGGTTGAGGTTGACCTGGGGGAGGTCATCGGAGGAGTAGCAGGGTACACTGTACACATTCGTCTTGGGCAACTACGAGAAGGAGGCAATCGGACTGGAGGCGAAAGTCACTCTAAGGGGCTATGAGGCGTGGGTGTATGTCCGGGAGGCGTTGTTGAATTGATTGCATAAATACGAGTTCAAGCATCCAGGGAACGTGTAATACATCTGTAAGTCGGGTCGCAACTGCACAATAAGAACTTGGTGCAAAATGCAAATTCGAGGGCAATAATAGAACGAGACGAAAATAAGACAGCTGTTTGAGAATGAGACTTTGGGATGAGACAATCGACTTTTAAATGGAACGTTAGGAACAACACGACCCCGTACAGACTACTGTTACAGCACTGCTTAACTATCATAAGTCAGTAACGAGTGGCTTGTGTGTTCTAATGGTAAGGGAAATGGAACTCCAAGTACAAAGAAGAAAAAGAGTGGTGCTAGTAGAAGGATGTATCCATGTGTCTCGGATGCGAAGAGTAAAACCCTTCGCATCGATAAAACACGAGAACGAGTTGCACCTTGTTCGGAAGTTGTGGTTGGCACGGGAGGATATCATATCCTTACGATTCGCAGTTACCACGGTACTGCCATGCAGGTGAGTCATATGAATAAATTCAGGAAAACTCCTGATACTCACGCACGTAAGCCAAGGGCAGAGACAATCTGCGTCAGTCTTGCAATGGCCCCAGGGACAATCGTGTTCGTCAAGGGGCATGGCAGAAATTGATGATGCTAAAGCAGCGACAACGACGAGGACAATTGTAGAGGAGAAACGCATTGTCTGTGACTAGTGTGATATCGTTGGGATCAGATAATTCTGAAGAAAATAGTAGGAAGACGGCTGGCTTTTATGTGCTGAATATTCTTTAAATTTTTGCGTATTGTGCCTTCACAAAGGCATATCTGCAATTAATCCAACCAAATGCCAGCAAATCTTGCTAACTATTAACTAAGGTCCATTCCAGGACCCTAGAAGAGGGGGCTGGTATAACGTACACTGGCAAACCAATGTATATCGATCTCACCAGGGTCAACGATCGGTCCGAATTTTTTTAAAATAGGTTTTCGTCACCACTCCACTTGAGTTTTCTGTCCGTTCTGTTCGCCCGCCGTCATATAAACGAGAAATACGTCACTCAGCTGTTGATCATCGTGCTTGACTTGCCATAACTGCAGCTTCGTCGTCTTCTGATCATCTTCGTCTGTGCTCGTGCCTGCCGTTTCGCTGGTGGTGTCGGATCAAAAGCTTCCTCATGACGCCGGGTCATCTGAAACGCAACTTCTTTGGACTTTTTGAAGTCTCAAGTTCGACGAGCTGCTAATGATCAGTATTTGGTTGGACGTGTGTTGCCTGTCGCTGCCCCTACCTTGCGGCACGTTATGGAGAATTTGCCTGACATGACTCATGGCAATCATGCCACCATCATCGTCCACGCACAGTGAGTCAGGCATCCGATCTGAAGTGACATGCTACGAGTGCACGCATGTGATGTTGAGTGTGCCATGTACGTTCTGATCATGGTTGTGAATCTAGACTGTCATGATTATTGATACAAAGCTAGGCAATTGTGTTATGAATACTTACCTACAGGTGGGAAGCGTGGCGCTCTTCTCCGTATATACCGAACCGCTGACGTAAAAATACAATCAGCATGGTGGTCTGGGTCTCAGATCCGGAGGGTTACTTGATGACTTTTGCTGAAGATTGATAACGACATCATCTACTTTAACACAGGTTCTTCCTCTTAGAAATCCTGGTCGCGGTGATCTCGAATTTGAACTTTGAAGTCCGAAGTAGTAGTAGTACTGCCGCAGTATTACAACTTCGGACTCAGGCTTCAAACCCCTGATAACCATGACTCGGATACCCGCGGGCCGCCAGTGGGTGCAAGCCGAAATGAGTGCGCGCAAATCAGCCTGAGAATGAACCTGTACAAGCAAAAAAAGTGCAAACAAGCTAGAATGACTCTGAATAAGCCAGACGAACATCGCCCGTACCACTTACGGTCGTTTACGGTTACGGTGTACCCGTACACCGTATCTGTAAACTTCAAGTTGGAACGTTGACGGCACGGGTACGGCTGCCAGCCCTACTCCCACTGTTCCTGCAATCATTCCTCATCTCTCCGCGCTCTATCTTTTTCTCGGCAGTTTAGCTCCGAGCCTAGTTTGACAGTGGCTGGCCTGTGCAACGGGCAGCTGCCGTTCGAGAACCTCAGGAGGTGAATAGGCTGACTCGGATCACTGCTGCGGTTCTGCAATTTGACGTGTTTCTCTGGACACGCGCCGCATTCTAAAAGTGTTTTTTTTTTCAACGGGAGGGCCTGTGAATCCACCCTGACTAGGAAAGTCATGTTTAGTGCGCCTTCCTTCCTTGATATGCACGTGCGACTACTATATAGCAACCTTATACTCACAACTGCCTACGCTTGCCTTATCACTGTGAGACCTCAGCGCAAGATTGATTCGAATTCGGTTCTAGCTCGTTTCAGCGTGTCGAGTATGCGTTAGTGCGCAGCATTAATTTACAAACCACTCGTGTTATTATCACGCTTGCGGCGAACTCATATCTTACCACCAATTGCATCTCTAAAGTGGCCGGTGGGAAGGGCCGACTGATGCGGGGCCCCATCATTCATGAATTGATGATCGGAGGTTCAACGTTCAGCGCTGGTTCAGCGGACTAGAAGATAATAAAGTACACTCTTAATAGATTGGATATAAAAAATTGAATTTTGCAAGGTACAATATTTTGATATTCGTAATATACATAACTAGTACTACAATATTCTTTACCACGTCGATGGCCCAAAGGTACCGTTAATAACGGCGTAAGACTTGCCTTTCCCATCTGCCGTATCCAGGAATACGTTGTTGCCCCACCATTTTGCGACGGTGTCCGCGCCGATAGTACCGTTCTTTGGGTATTGCAGGCAGAAGAAGACCAAGATAATAGAAACTGCGAGCCCAGAGTCGAGTGCAGCAGCCAGTACATCTGCGGGGCGTTAGCATGATGTCGTGGAGTGGAGGGGAAAGATACGTACAATTGTACTTTGTCCACCATGAGAAATGGCGGCGGCGGATAACATACTGGAATATGAAACCGACGATTGCCCAAGGCACGAAATTGACAGCAGTTGCCGGTGGTATGGTGCCCGTTCCTGTGAATATTACGGGGAAGCTATGCGCTCATTGTTAGTCCTCGAGTGCAAGTAAAGTGGATGGACACAAACTTGATGTAACGGATGATACTGTTCGGCCACTTGAGGGAAATGATCCAAGCGGCGAAAGGGCAAAGCGCGCCAACGAGGAAGAACCAGAGGAGGCCGCTGTACATTTGGCCAGGGGAAAACTGACGCCGAGGGCCAATGACACCCCACTACCAGACCATCTTGAATAAACAAAAACACACAACAAAGGTCAAACTAAAACTTACGATGATGGATGCAGTGCCGAACACTTGAGTGCTGGGGCAAATAAAACCATCACGCTGTGTCGTGCTGCATATGTCCTCGATATTGCTGAACATCCAAGCTTGCACGGCGAGCTGCACGGTTCCGGCGATAGCAGCTGCGCTGACCTGTGCAAAGAACATTGTGCGAGGAGGGATTTTCATGTAGTGACCGAGTTTGAAGTCCTGGGCGAATTGCAACGCTTGTGCCATGGTAATGTAACCCCATGTCTAGATAGGCGCGTCAGCGACTGCACCAGACAACGTAAGGATTCTCCCTGCCTTGAAAAGCATCATTGCCAATGGGCGTCCAGGGATAGCGTATCCAACGACCAACTCCGTAATAACATTCAGACCAACTTGTTGATTCGTGATAGCTTGAATCATGCCAATGGGGATGATGTAGAGGAAAGCAATTAAAAGTGCGAGAACGAAGCCCCACACCGGAAACTGGGTAGGCCAGACTTCAATGACAATGATACCGAAAACGAACATGACCACGAAGATGACGAGGTACCACCACTCTGGAACCTGACGGTACCTGGCCATGAGACGTGCATGAATGTCCGGCTGTTCCTCGATCGAGCGACGCGACTGGGCCCAGATCTGCTTGCGGAAGAAGAGGATGGCGTGCGTAACGGTGGCAGTGATTGACGCAAATGATAGACCGTAAGACACTGCGAAAGTCGTCGATAGGAACAGAGGGCTGTATGAGTCATATGCCGTAGCATTGAATGTGCCATCGCTACCCAGAATTGCAGTGACATTATAGGAGGCACCGGTGTTATCGTATGACGTGCGAGACAGGATAGGGAGGAATGTAGAATACCAGGTATTAGTATAGTAAAGGATCGGGGTAAGGATCCAGAAAAAGAACACGAAACCACCGAGAATGTTAGCCTCGCTCCACCATGGAGTCGCGAGTGGGTTGACAACGTAAGTAATTTGGGCCCAGTCGAACGTGATCATGCTCATGCCAAGGCCACTTTCATAGCCGAAGAGTTGGTTGACGACGACGTTATTTGGAGCGATCCAGCACACCCAGCTGAAGAAGCTAAGGGCTTGGAATAGATAACCTGGGACGAAGTACCATGCACATCCTGCGCAGAAGACATAAAGGAAGAAACGTTCTCTTGAAATACCACCGCGATTGCCTATACCAGCGTATGATTGTGCATGGAGGGTGTTAAATAGAGCGCACGTGACCAAGTTTGTGGGCCAAACTGATTATTATTTTAGTGTCGATTCTCTCGATGTATTAGGCAGGACTCACTCATGGAGGGAGGAAGAACTAGAAAGCGACGCATAATGCCACCCAGTGAGAAGCCAATGAGCTGGGTAGACATGACCAACATCCATTGATCTATGGTGATATCAGACTCAATAAGATATCGATCAAACTTTGGACACACAGCTGAAGTTGAAAGTTTGACCGTAGAAGACTCTCTGCACCGCAACGATGTCGGTCTGGCAAGACGATATTAATTGTGTTGATGAAAAGATGAGCAACCACACGTACGGCATATGCAGATTGCCATCCGACAGTAGCCATGATCGTGATCAAAACGTGCTCCTTGATGGTGAATGGTCCGGGGTTCAAGCGAACGCCGAATACTGAAACATTGGGCACGACAGCTGCCCAAAGACGACCCATGGGAAAAGCCAAGAGTTGTGCTACCATGCCGGTAACACTGACAGAAGGGTATCGGAAAAAAAAGAACTGGTTCAAGCCAGGGACAATGATAACCCAGAAAAAGCCTGGCTTGTGATCAGGTATATGATTTCTAGGGAATTTTTTGTGGACTCACCCATAGCCCATGCTCGAAAAGTGCTAACGGGTATGGACATGTCGTCGGTGTTGGATACGGCTGATCGGACCTCAGGATAAGGAGAGTCATCCTCTGAATAGTTGAGTGATGAGAGTGAATTTTAGTGAAGGAGATGATGGGCTGACCTAAAACGCCAGCTATGGCTTCTTCCTTGTCGATATTTGGGTCATCAAAATCGGCAAGGAGTAGAGGACCGACTGCAGCTAAAGGTTTGAGGTGAGTATGGATAGAAGGATGTAGTAGAAATGAACTGACGGGCTGCTTTTTCGGAGTCATTCTTGTCGATTGAGCCACTGGTGCTCGACTGGCCAGCGTAAACCGACATGATGAAGAAGAAGGACGAACGGCCGAGATATACCCATGGTGATGATTCCGGCTTTTGTACGGTTCTGGCAAGTATGTAAGTGAAAAGTAAGATTCGACAACGCATGGGACATGACGGTAAATGTAAATCCGTATTTGGAAACTGGACCTCCCGCCGGCCGCCGATCTCGTTGAACGTTATGTAAGAATGTTAGATTGTTCGGGTACCAGCAAGATGTAACTCACCAGTACCCCATATCATCGTCCCCTGTGGGGCCTTTTTGGCACGTATTCATTGGTCGATAACACTCACTGCAGGTGGGGTAGCTCCTGGTCATAAACGCATTTGAATTTTGATGGCGACTTCCTCGGATCACCTCCATGTGACTCGCGCATCGGTACTTTCACAAAGCACATGCTCAGTCGTTCTTAAAAATAGATTGATGAGGACCACTGAGCGTTCATTTTGGATAATCGCCTGGCAGATTTGTTTCCCCTGCGATAGACGGTCCTAGGTCGGGTATTTCATGAACTCGTGGCAAGATAATCGTATCTCTCCGCCATCAAACAGGCCCTCTTCTACAATATAATCGGCCATTAAAATAACAACACCTTTCGTCAGGCTGTGGTTTGATTAAAGATGTACTTTGAAAGACAATGTGTACATACATCATTTATGTAATATCCCTTCTCGCTGTCCTTATATTTTCGGTTGAAACGCCCCTGGCCGAGAGACGTGCTGCGGATCTGAATCACCTCGAGTTAGGTACTAGTACTACAAGCACTACGTATACAGATGGCGAGATATTGCGACTTCGAGATTTGACTCGGATCTTAAAATAGAGGCCATCTAGTACAAAGTACTGGATCACCTGGAGTCCTTGTTTTCGTGTATTTGTATCTACTTCCAGCTCCTCGGTCCGAAACTCGAACCGTCTGATATTACATCTCGCCGAGCTGCGGTATAATTTCGAATCCTCATGGATTTCTCCTGGTCCAGTGAGTTGTTTCATGATCATCAATTTGCGATCGTCGACGACCCTTGTGTACAGCTCCTCTTCGGCGGAATGCTCACTAACTTGCCTTTAATTCCAAACGAAATATATCTTGCAATTTTTGAGTGCATAACACCAACAGATCACCCACTGGAAAGGCAATACATTAAAACATTCTCAGCCCTCGCACTGGTGTGCCGTTTTTTCTGCTCCGTTGCGTTGCCGCGTCTCTTCGAACATGTTACATTTTCGGGCTATGTGACGAACGGTAACAGGATGCGGCGCAAGACCAAATGGGCCAGACAAATCGCGGCAAATACTAAGTCGGCCAAGTCGATCGCACTATACGTCAAGGAGTGCAATTTCAAATTTTGGTTTTTTACAAGGGGCCCAGGTGGCTCCTCCTTTCGTTCACGACGCTATGTTGCAAAGCACTGGCGCGCATGTCGAACATACGAAAAGTGGTCTTCTCTATGTCTTTTCTGATAAAAGATCATTGGGATGCGCTAGCAGAATTGAAGCAGCTCGACGTCCTTGAGTTTTACATTTGCTCCTTCATAGAAGATCCGCCTGATAAAGAATTGACCGTTCGCACCGTCAAGCTCGTTGATACAAGACGCTCTTTAACTACCTTCACCCTTCGCCCAATCGCAACTACTTCCATGCGCTCGCTCACTGCAGATGATGTAGAGGCAGTCCTGAAGATCGTGGCCTTTCGTCAGCTTGCCATCGACAATTTGGTTCTTAATCAAGCAATTTTTGACGTGGAACCACTACTTCAAGTGTTTCGGCATCTGCCTGACCTCCAAAGCTTAAGTTTTGGGCTCAAAGGAAATGCAGCCCCTTCGCTCCTCATCAGCAAGCTTTCACTGAAAAAGCTCTTCACTCGCTTGCATTCTCTCACTATAAAGGTGGTTGATGATTGGGAAGTTGTGCCGCGGCACGATTTTGAGATGGTACGCTTTATCTTGCATGTACTGCCACCTCCCCGACTCATCTTCGCGACAGCTGGTATCTGCTCTTTGTGATGGACCTGGTACTCTTCCTAGCTTGCAGGAACTCAACATTTCAGATGATGGATGGACAATAGCGATCGATATCATCTCTGACCGCTTGAACGGGACAATAATCCCTGCATTTCCCAATATGAGGTGCATCAATGTTGATAATGGTTTCATACGCTTGGAAGAAGGTGACTGGAAAGTGCACTACTTTAAATAGGATGACGTTGGGAGTTGGTAATTTCAGGACTCGTCAGGAGCATATGGTATAGGGCAATACATTTTGTCTTTGAATATTCATTGTGCCCAGTCTAATGTTACAGGCTATTCAAACCATGCGAGAGCGTCCCCCGCTTGGACACTTGCTCCTTCCCTAATCCCTTTACCGAAGCTTTTCACCACCTTTCCAACATTTTCTTCTCCTGCAAGAATATTGATCTCGGTCTTCATTGCTTCGAGGATGACCAGAATATCATCAGCAGATTGTATGACATCTCCAGGCCGGCATTTGATCTTCCAAATTGATGCTGATATAGAAGAAGTGACACTCGTGCTACCAGGTCCAAAGTCTGCGGACGAATCAGTCGAAATTATCTCGATATCCGAACGCTACCCGAGCGTACCTGTATCATCCACCAATAACATAGGCGGGGCTTTCATGGCTTTCTGTGCTTGCCATTCACGCAACAGTTCAGTCTCCCTTGCAACATCGCCTGGAATCAAAAGATTGTAGCTTATCGTTCGACACCCTCACTTACCGTGCTTCCTCTCTTGCTGTTCCTTCAGCCTGTTTCCGCTTAAACTCCGCAACGTCATGTTGTATACTGTCAGTGAACGTGATGTACGATGCCATGGAAAAGACCGCTGGTTCGATCTATCACCGCATCATCTTGTCACCAATAATTCACCAGCGCCAGAGGTACCACATGCCTTGAATTTGTACTGTCCAGCATTAAATTCCTGTTCAATCTTCGTGACATGTCAGGTCAGAAATACCAAAGCTTCCGGCGAAATAGACGGACTTCGAGATAGCGTTCCTCGCTGACGGGATCGAAGAGGACCTTGTGACGTTAGTAAAGAAGCGAACAACGGATGCATTGACCAGGCACTCTACCTGGTCAAATGGCTGAAGCAGCCACGGTCGATCGGAGGCAAAATCAGGTCCCTTTCCCCACGTCTGCCAAGCTGGAAGCGTGCGCCCAAACAGCTGATACCCTCCAGGCGAGACAACCGGATAAATGGCAGCCACGGGACCAGCGATACCGACCGCTCCCTGCCACAATTTGACATTATCGCCCATGTGATTTCTTTCGGATCGACGAAACTCACATTTGGAGTGTATGTTCGTGAAGGGTTCATTTTCTGCCCGACCAGGCGGCACCGCGGGTCGATCTGCTCTATTGTTAACAACAACGACAATCATTCCGTTGACATCGCCTCACCGGAACTAAGAAAGGACATGCTAAATAAAATCCGACGCCAAAAACGAGCTTTGGTTTTATTTTAAGCGCCGAAATACGATTGTTCATAAGGGCACGTACCCAAGCAGAATCCATCAGTTTCTGAAGCGCCTCATCGACACCACCCTCCAGACCATTATTTCGCGCGAGGTAATCGATATTGCTGGGTAAGTAAACCGCGCTATTTCTGGATGTTTGCATGTATCGTTGCAATGCATCGCGACACCATCGATCGTCGAGTACGATCGGGAACGTGATTTTGCGCCCGGAGAAATGGAGGTCTGATGCGGAATCTGGCAATGAACGTTCCGTGTTTAATAGGATGGCGAGTACATCATCCTGGCAGATCACCGATGGATCATAATGGCACTGAATAGCGACTCCGATCAGAACCAGATCCTCGCTATAAAAGGAAACGCACCATCGTGGAGCGAATGCATGGCGCAAACGTCCACATGCCTTTAATCTTTCTCTTACGCACTTCCGATTCTAGCGCGTGTATGCGCGCTCGAAGAACGAAATCTAGATGCATATCTCCATATTCTACCAGAATAGCAGAGTCACCAGCCTAATCAGGCGTTAGATGTGACGGCCACCACGCGATCAGTGGCGAACGTACCTGCCGGAACGTTACAACAGGTCTCAGACTTCCTGGCAAATTTCTGTGCAGGATTCCGGATAATTCCCTACTTTCCAAAGCACCGTCTGCAAAGTCCATGTCTGGTTGACATCCGGCGACAACGGCCTGCACAGCCTCGATCCATTTGAGCTGAGCTCTCATACAAGCTTGTGCATCCTGCCACGAAATCTTGCGAAAGGTCACCGTACTACCAGGGCTCAATTGCCCCAGCTTCCACCTATGGGTACCGATGAGTAGGCCTCACCTGATTTAGAAAGTCGCCTACCTTTCCCCAGTTGCAACGGTACACAGGCAGACATACCCGCCCATGTCTGGTCCTTCGTTCGTCAAGATGACGGGCGTGTCTCCATTGACGTTAATCGTCCCTAACGCATATCCGTTATCTAGAATATTACTTGGGTGAGATCCACCCTCGCCACCAGTGTTACGGGCCCAATCTATGCTTTGATCGCTCTCCAGCCGTATCCCCATTCTGTTACTTGATGAACCAATAGACCACTTCGTCGAGTAAAACTTGGTGTTTCCTTCACGCGTCAAAATTTCCTCATCGTCATGTGGTCCAGCCAAGACTCGAACGACCCAATCTTGAGGATAAACCGGGATAAGGTTTGGGGGAAGTAAGAAGGCCACTGGACTTGTTTCATCTTGCTCTAATGATGATTGCGAACCTAAAGAAAGTTGATCGCCGACTCTAAGCGATCTTCCCTGAGGGTATAGTGAGCAGAAGTTAAACTTTGACTAGAACTCGGAGCACCTGATAGCCTCCAAGGCCCATCGACGTTGACTTAGATCCAAGATAATCTGGCACTTCAGGGAAACCACCTCTGACTGCTAGATATACTCTGAACCCAGGACCTAGCGGGCCCGCAATATCAAGGATCGCATTTTCGGGGACGACGAGGCGAGCCCACATCGAAACCTGCTCTCCGTTGATCTTGACAGTTGCCGGCCTGCCGGTTATCGCTACATTAGCGAAACAGTGGAATTTCAGCTTGCATCCGGCGCCGGGAAGGACGACGATCTCCAATGCTTCCGTCTCCGGTGTGTTACCAGTAAGTATATTGGCTGCGCTGAAAGCCCGAGAGTCCATGGGGCCGCTTTGCGGGATGCCTAGCCCGATACGCCTGCCGGGTAGGTCTTGGATAGTCATCTCAATACCAGCTGATAGGACAGTGAATGCGCTTCGAAATCAATAAGTCAGCTGGTTGTTTGGGTCGTATCCAACTGCGCGCACCTTGGGGAGAAATCAAAGTGATCTAAAAATCTTGTTGTAGCCTTCCCTTCTCTAAAGATAGTGCTGTCACATATTGAAGCGAGGTAGACCAGGTTGTTCGGCGGGCCAAAGACTTTGCAGGCTTTCAATACTTGAAGCATTCGGGAAACTGCTTGCTCTCGTGTTGAACCGGTCACGATTAATTTACATAGCAAAGAGTCGAAGAATTGGGTCACTTCCGTTCCCGTCGATACCTGCAAAGTTTACATTTGAAGGCATAGTGCTGAACACAGAGCGACATGCGTACCCAGCTGTCAACACGAAGCCATTCTTCATTTGGAAATTCCACGAACTGTAGGATGCCTGGACTGGGTTTGAAGCCTTCTGAGGGGTTTTCACAATAGACTCTGGCTTCGATGGCGTGGATACGAGATTCAACAAGGTTTTTGTCATAGATAGCTTGCGTCATGCTTTGGTTCGTATGATCAAGACCTCTCGCTTCGGACCGCTGCGCGATTCCTTGTGCTATCATCATTTCTACGAGGTCCAGACCAGGATGTATAGCCTCTGTGATGGCATGCTCGACCTGCATGCAATTAGAGGACGTGTTTCCCGACGTTGGTCACAACTCCACGCACCTGGATACGTGTATTCATTTCAAGAAAGAAAAACTCTCCCGACTCATCGTCCACCAAGAATTCTACGGTACCTGGCTTGCAATAAGTAAAATACGACGATCGATCATTATAGGCTATCCAACCTGCAGATGCATATTTGATAGCTCTGCACAGCTTCACGGCTGCATCACACATATCTTCGCGAAGACCTGTGAAATATCATCACACGGTACTTCATCCAACTTTCTTGATGACTTACCTGAATGACCTGCGACGAATGGACTCGGGGTCTCTTCCACAACCTTCTGATGTCTCCTTTGAACACTGCATTCCCTCTCCCCCATATGTACCACGTCGCCCAGTCCATTACCGAACACCTGTTATGCCGAAATGCAGCACAGAGTGAATTGGAACTTTACAAATACTGACCTGTATTTCGATATGGCGTGCTGCAGGGTAGTATCGTTCGATAAAAACTCCTCCATTACGAAACAGTGACTGGGGAATGTACATTCAGCTTCGATGGCAAGTGTGTCGACCATCGTACTTACAGTTGCCCTTTCTTGAGCGCTGATAAAGCTCTTGTAGAGGTCATCGCCATGTTGACAAACAAGAAGGCCCATGCCGCCTCCCCCTGCTGTCGCTTTCAGAATCACAGGAAAACCAATTGTATTTGCTATGTTTAGGGCCTCATCGAGAGTATTTACAAGTCCTTGGGAGCCTGGAACGAGTCGCAAGCCAGCATTCAAAGCAATACGCCGGGCTTCGTGTTTCAGACCCATAATCCGAATAACGTCTGGTTGAGGACCGAGCCAAATCATCCCGGCTGCCTCTACAGAAAGAGCAAATTCTTCATTCTCCGAGAGGAATCCATAACCTGGATGAACCATGGTAACGCGATACTGCTTGCATATCGAGATAATGATAGCGCTCGATAGATAGAGCTTCGATTCTGATGCTTGTTGCTGTTGGTCGCTGGCGCGATTCTGCAAATGAGCGGCTTCGTCTGCGATGGCAACGTGAGGGGAGAGGGCGTCTGACGAGGTGTAAATGGCTACTGTTGCTATACCCAGTCGTTGAGCGGTTCGAATGATTCGAACAGCGATCTCTCCTCTGTTTGCGACTAATAGCTTGTGACTAGCATATTCGCTATCGGGCAACATGTTAGTAGTGGTGATATCGGGACGGGTTTCTCTCCATACCATGATTCCAGGCATTATATATACCAACCTGTCAGAGACCGTCTGAGTTGAGTCTGATAAGGGCCATTTAAAGCTGGGCACACCGACATCATGTGTTCAAGCATAAAACGCGATTAGAGTCTGGTGTTTGGGTGTGTTATAATTAGTCTCAGGTTACCAAATGATAGGGAACTAACATTCTTTCTTATGACTATACCTACCACTCGAATCATGCCAATCAGCAATAACGGCTGATGGAATTACAAGAACCGAAAGAACCGTGTGTGACCAGGACTGACACAAACTACTGATGAAATTATAAGGACGGACTTGTCCGTGTTTTACAAGGATTTTCAAATCGGGAAACCATGTGAGCAGTGAGCACTGAGTTCTCTCTTTTTCTTTTCGCATCGCCTCTAAAGCGTAGACTGGTGACCAGTCCATCTTAGTTAATGTCGAGGCACATAGCTGAGCTGGGGAGAAAAAGAAAGTTGCGGCTGGTTGCAACTTGCTGGTACTCCAATCGAACTTGGATCAAATTTCAGGCTATGTTGCTTCATCAGGCAGGTACTTCGTTTATGCTGGCGTTGGGAGGCTCAAGAACTTCGATGCGGAGGCACGGAGCCTCAGCTGCACTGCCGTACATTGACGGTCACTTATTAAGTCAATGCCTCAGTGTCAAGCCAGCCACCCATCTTTTCCCCTCTTGATATTGTGAGCACCAGACAGACGGGCGGGCATGCAGAGACTTGTATGGGTCGCTCTCTTACTTCTATACCATGCACGTGCTGTCTTAGCGGCCGGTAATACGACATGTCTTAGTGGTCAACTGGACTGGTACACAACCGCAGTCGGTGAAACGCCCTGTAAGTCATTACAGCATTTGAAGTGATTGAAAAGATAAATTGCTGAAAGTCAGGCGCGACATATCAGCAGCTTCGACAAATATGCAACAGTGCTTGTGAGTGTCTCCAAGCCTCTCTTTTGGCATGCACTGACACGCATAGCAAACAGACGTGGTTGGAAATTTCAGTTCGACCACCCCCGGTGATCGTTGCGATGATCAAGTCTGTAGGTCCTTTCTTATTGCGCCGATCTACTACGTTCCCTGAACTAATCATTAGCGGATTGCTGCTGCAATTCTGTCGCATTCGGATTGAGCATGCTCTGCATGAAGTAATTTATATTCTTCCCTTTCACGGCCCGCTTATAACAGTCATCTAAACATGCAGTTGCCAAGAAGATGCTGTCTCAGGCAATGTAGCTGGATTCGATGCCGGTAATATGAGTTAATTCTGTTTCAGCACGACGACTCACTTGTTCTGCAGCTCCTGGAACATACACTACTTATCTTGCTGGTTGTGGTCCTAGCGTCAATCACTCGTGAGTAAACTGGGATTGAGGGCAACGCACCCACTCACAATGTCATTTGGTACAATTTTAGGCTTCCAGCAGATATTCAACAAGCTGTGTGCAATGAGAACATCAAGATTGATAACTTTTTATACGATATCTATTGGTCCGATGGATCCTGGTAAGTTTCTATTTGACGCACTCAGTATTCGTCTGACTCTGAGCTAGGTTCTAGTGAGTTGAATATCAAAGGGGACATTAATTCAATCCTCACGATGACACAGTCGATGGACGGCCGATCATGCAACAGAGCAGCAGGCGATAAACAACAACAATACTTTCACGGTTTGCCCGAACCAAGTCTTGGCTTCGACATCCCTCCCCACATCTACAACGGTCAATACTGCAGCTGCAGCTGCCTCTGCCACTCTCACTAGTATTATCTCTGCATCGCCTTCCAGCTCTGGGAATACTACTTCAGTCACGGTGGCCTCATCTACTTCTAACTCAAAGACAGCCATCATCGGTGGTGCAGTAGGCGGCGTTGCGCTCACCATAATCGCCTTGCTCGGTGGTGCTTACTGTTATAGACGGAGTAAACGACCTCGTGTGATCCAGGATACGCCAACCGTGTTTCTGGGCCAGTCACGTGGTGTCCAGCCGATGTACGGAGCGTCCGTCGCGGATACTGAACCAGGTGCTTGTACTCGTCGTGTGTTCATTCAAGCACTCACAATATTCCCTAGCAGCCACTCAGAGACACAGTAGTTTAAGTCCAATTCGGCGGTCTAGTGCCAATTCTACTGTCCTGGTGACACATTCTTTGAGTCCCGAGCGGGTCCAGTCCTTCAACATGCTGACTGGCACGTCGTATCTTGTGAATGACAATCACTCTGAAGGTGTACTGCACAGCCGAGAAAATGATGCTGGCACGTTGATTCCCCCCGATGACGCGCCTGCAGAAAGACTTCCACCTCCGTATCATTCATCTTGGGTGTCCAGAAATGCACCACCAAGCAACTCAGACCCTATTGAAGGTAGCTTTGTTTCGTGGTGTTACACTCATTATGCTCACTGCACAGTCATATAGATCGAGTTCTGTTAAACCAAACTGTGGCTGAGCAACGAAATAGAAATACACCCAGGAGGTCTAAAAAGGTCGCAAGAGAAAATAGCAACCAGGTGGACTGCTTATAACTAAGCAAATGAGGTGCAGCATTATGTATTAACATTGTTCATCGTTCTGGACGTTCTCGCAGTTGCTCTTGTGATGCTTATACGCCAGTTTCATGATACCAATAGTTTTATCTTGAGATCATCGATATGAAACTTTTAGTTGTGTACGGTCCTCTCGAGGAGCCATGCATGTCCTATGGAGCATGGAGCCAGGAGGATTAATTGCGTTATGTCAAGAGGTGTGCAAATTTGCAATATAGGATATACACCTCTCGCAACTTCGGAAGCCCCCCCCACACCTGACCTTCCCAATAGGTAAGCCTTACTATGCTGAGCGATCATGTGTATGGTTCAGTATTATTTGGCTTAGTTGCAATAATCCTCAACACCGGCATTAAATCATGTACTAAATCATCTAATACCTTCAGGTATTCTACAGTAGGCGGCTCGGCAACAATGCCTTCGGCAGCAAAGGTGCGCATTTCCCCGTAGCGGGGTTCTCACACCCCTTGCTCTTGCTCACCGTCATTGCCAGTGCCCTCCCATCCTCACTGTCCTAGGCTCGGCAAAGGTGCACATTTCCCCCATAGCGGGGTTCTCACACCCCTTGCTCTTGCTCACCGTCATTGTCAGTACCCTCCCGTCCTCACTGTCCTGGGGCTTCCATCTCGGCCTTCTCAGCCTCTCTGGACACCATCCCCGACCTCTTCTTGCGCTGCTGCCATCACCATCCTGCGCTCCCAGCCTCTGGCATCTTCTCAGCCATCTACATCCTCTGTTTTTCATTGTCCACAGCAGCATATTCCTCTGTAGCATCTCTCTGGTTCCCCCAACATTGTACCTGCTGCTCTTCTGGGCTGTTATGGTGCATGGATCTTCCAGGAAAATTACAGGGCTCTCAAAGGCCATAATCTCGAATGGATTCCAGTGCTCTACTCGAGCTTCTCAGGTACTCACAGCAGGGAAACAGCAACAGCGAAGGAATGCGACTGATGCAAAGCGCCGATCACACGTCCAGGGTGCGAGGCCTATGTGTAACTCTTACATTCTCCTGAATTGTGTTTGTAGAAATGACTAGCAAAGATCGGGATCTTGTTGAGAGTATGATGGCTGATACTAACATTGACATAGATGATATACCTTACAGTGCACCACCTGGTGAGGAGGGACATGACTTCAGCCACGAGGGCGGAGAGCACGAGGCTTTTGAAGGATTGGCTCAGCAGATGGCAGATCTCTCAGGATGGTATGTAGTTGTTCTTGTTGTCCTACTGATTCATACTAAAGCAACATTGGTGTTGATAGCCGCTATGTGGATTCGCGCACTCGTACTGATCATATAGGACTTCAAAATGAACATTGGGGTGTTCAAATTGAGCGTCTGGTCAGCACGTACCTTGACTATTGCACCCAGGATGGTGGCGACGGTATGCCAAGCTTTCTGCCTTCAGGTGAACCCACCCTGGATGGTGACTGCCTATCTCTCAAAAATATTGAACTGGTTGATATTTTTAGTAAGTTTGGGGCATATTGTGTGGCTTTATTGTTGACATTGTCCAGGTCGGAAGCACGCATCTTTGCAGCCTCATCCATCTCACAAGTATCCAAACGAAACACTTATTCATCATGGTTACTTAGGCTGCTCTCCATTATTTCCCACTGTCGCCATCTCCATCCGCACACTCGCAGTATATTGGCAGGTTCACCGAACTTGTCCCCGATTCAGCATTCAGGCGCAATGCAAGGCATTATGTCATCTCCATAATGTAAGCTCTTTAGTCTGTCATAATCGTTTACTCATTTTGAACCCTTCTAGATTCCATATTGATCATACTTAAATGTGCAGTTTTCAGATGCTTACGACATTTATCTCAAAATCTTGCATCGCGTCGATGTCCTTATCAACCAAGCACTTAACCGCGACTCACCCAACTTGGCGTCTCCTGAACTCCTGCCCATGTTGCTTCTACAAGCTAGAGGATGAAGAAAATATGGCTCTGGAGTGCCTGGTGACTATGGATGGCAACAATAGCTTAAAATGATGGACATTGTCAACTGCTCGACACGATTCACGGACATTCCGTTCTGACTACTGGCTCGACCGCTCGAGAGTTGATAAGTTTAAGGATGAAGTGCGAGGACAAACTGTAAGTCTTCTCACTGCCACCCTATATGATGCTGCAACTCAACCTGACTAGCACTCGACTGCGGATACTGAAAACTGGCAAGACATCGAGAAAACTGAAACAGTGCCATCATCATTTACTTGTGTTGACCGGTGGCGAAATGCTGGTCCAGAACAACGTAAAAGGATGTTTTCAGTGTTTGATGAGTCGGGGATATTTATTGCTGCATGTCGACACTGGTTTATCCTTCTCGCCTGCGATATGGTTAAGAGTGGTGAACTGTAAACTATTTTATCTTCCATTCAATTTATATTTGCTGATCATTGTTAGTGCGAAATATCCATTGGCGGTTGTTGATCAACTGCTAATGGTTTATGGTAAAAATGGAGGTTGTGCATTTGCTAAGACGCTAGGGAACAGTACTTTGGGACCATGTGCTTCCACCCTCAATTTCCGGATGATGATAGGAGCGTTTCACGGCCATGCACATAATCGAAGGTGCCAGATAGATTGGCATCCTATGTATATTGAAGGCACTGGACACACAGAGGGCAAAGGATGTGAACACATTTTTTCTTCATCAAATGACCTTGCACGAAGCACTCGGCACGCTACAACTTTTCACCAACATCAATTAATCGAGCAACATTTTACGTTTTGGGATGAGGATAAGTATACAGCATTAAGTACATTTTATAAATATCTACTTGATGACCGATTATGACACCCTTGTCCAGGTGTTTTTATACGGAATCATTATCGGGAGGCCCTGGCAGATATCTGAACCCTCACAGCAGAACTTTCAGTCATCTGTGAAACCCTTAATCTTTCTGATGCTGACTTTATTCGTTTTCATGTGCAAGAACGTGAATATATTGATGGGTTGAAACAAGCACTGGTCAAGGATCTTGTCAGTATCCGATACGTCAATGTACTTGACGAGCTTGCTGAGCGCCAGTGAGTTCTGATGTTTCGCACTAGCAAATTTATTTATTAAGTTTGACCGAGGTTGGAATGGAACCAAGCCCAAGAAGCAGCTAATCGATCACTAGTTGAAATTCATGTTGGCAGCCTGAGTCATATGCACCTTGCTCTCAATCAAGCTCAGGTCCGTGTCAATATGGCATATTCGAAACTTCAAAACACGGAACAGTTAGCTGGATACTTAGAGGTTCAACTTGGCATCGACAAATGCTGGGAAATTGGAGGTGAACATTACAATCGGTTTCAAGAAGAAGCCTTGCTTCTGAGGTAGTGCTTGATGAACTTGAATGCCTGGTAGTCATGCACCTGTTTGAACTGTCCAAACTTTCGTTATCAGGGACAGGTAAGTGAGTTGTGTTCATTTTGTTTTAGGATTAAATTGTAGCTTGTTTAGGTTACAAGCTACGTCAACAGATTACCAAAGCCCTTCAATGACATTCAGATGCTATTCAGAACACTATCAATCGTTACAACACTCAGGCCGCCGCTCTGGTCCCACCTAGGCCAAAACTGGCATGGAAGGATATTGTCGAATATAGCTTCCTTGGCGAATTTGACCTATTGCATCACTCACGTACTGACATTCAAGACACTGACTGGACCACACCTGCTCATCAGGAAGCTACAGTTAAATACTTCAAGCTCCAACGTGCTTGCAAAGAAATACAGCGTCTGAATATAGAAGTCCGTCGTCTGCGCACGGCAATACATGATGAAAAAACCAAGACCATTGCAACAATTGACCAACTCCTCATCACAAATTCCCTGCTTGCCGTGGAGTTGAGAAGGAGGTGGCAGGCACGTGCTGCTGTCAATGCTGTCCATCTTTACCAACTAGATCGAATTGAGTCACAACCTGCATTTTCGGGCAGACGTGGTATTGGTATCCGAGTGGCAAATCTGTCAGTGTCGCCGAATGGTCACCCAGAGGTAACAGTTTCATCGCCAAATGCTGGTCTGTGTGGACTTTGTTGACTTTGTTGTTCTACTTCACTAATTGATGATTTACAGGTGTTTCTGTAACCAGTATCGATGGAGAGCATGCTGAGGGACTTGACTTAACTGATATTATCTCTTTTGAATCAACCGGTGATGTTCTCGAGGACGAGGATCAAGTGCAAATGACGGATGACTTTGCTAGCTATCTACTCTCAGTTGGAGACTAGTATTTATTTACAGTGCTTATCCTCATGTTCTGAATAATCATATGTTTTATTAAATTAATCTACAAAGCGGTCCAGTGAGAACGAAGATCAGAGGTGAGCAGGCAGGCAAAGACACATGAAATTAGGTGGTAGATCTGATAAATTGGGTTGTGGTTGGCGGTATTGCAGAGGATGAAATTAGGTGGTAGATCTGATAAATTGGGTTGTGGTTGGCGGTATTGCAGAGGATGAAATTAGGTGGTAGATCTGATAAATTGGGTTGTGGTTGGCCACATCATAGAGGATGAAATTAGGTGGTAGATCTGATGAATTGTTGGGTTGTGATCGGTTGGTCATGCCGGTGCCATCTGTCGATCAGGAGTGAGTACTTAGTAAGTACTGAGTTTGTAACAGTAGATCATTCAGAAGTGCACATGTCCAATTGACTTCACTGGTCGGACTGCCAACAGCAAGCACTACTAGTACAGTGAATACACTGGATGCGAACATTTTTTATTACTGTCTATCGAAGCCAATCCTTGCACAACTGCTCAAAATGTGGTGGACTTGCCAGTGCATTAACTGGTAAGCGCCATACTACTTAATTGGAGTGCCAGTTCACTAATTGCTTTCAGTACTCCTTGGTACAATCCAACATCTACTATGAACTCGATCATATTCTCCCCTTTGAAAGTCAAATCAGCACCCTCACGACTCCATGGTACACCACAGCCTATATCTCGGATGTCGCCTGCCATCACAAATGATGTGCCCAGCACAAACCAACCTCGGTTTTCACTGGCCAGCATTGCTGCCTTGGACTCAAACACATTTGCTCAGGAATTTACCAAGACCGAACGCCAGGCGGCTGCACGTGCACTGCTCAGACATGATGCTCACCTTGATGGCACTCATTTTCATACCAGGAAACCCACTGGTCTTCATCCTTCGTATATCGCTTTCAACTCATACACAACTTTGGATGAGAAGTCTATGATGCATGAGGAATTTGTTGAGGCAGCATTGCAGGACCTTTTGATGCAGTGAGTACAACTAGTCCTATCTATCTGGCAGGATACTAATGGGATGGGGAACAATAGGTCGCAATGCAAGACCATCTTGATGGCGGGATCTCTCTTGTTATTTGTTGTCCTGGCTCTGAAGCTACACCAACTTTTTCACCCGAGCATCTCTCTCTCGATCTCTATATCACACCGTGTGAATTATGTGAATCTCCTGACCACATTGGAGGAGATATATCTGTCTTGGTGCAGGCTTTTGGGGAAGAGTTTGCAGTCCCACATTTGCAGCACTTCACAGAGCGCTGCCACATTGAGGGTGTTGTCCCTCCTCACCACCGTAAGTCAGCACCTTCCTTTTCTCTCATGACGATCCAAAATTGATTTGCATTTTTGTTCCTACAAGACCCAGCAAGTCAGGTCAATCCATCTGCAGTCCCGCACTTGCCGGTACCTATGGCTGCTACAGGTTCCCGCATTCATTGTTCAGTGCGTCCTCCTCAGCAGTTTCAGCATGATCTTCAAGCTAATGCCCAGTCCAACACAGCAACCTCCTCTGCTGTTCAGGAGGGTAGAGCTATGGCACTTTTGGACTCCGACATGCCACCTAACAAGATTCGACGACGTCGACCTGCTAACACATTTTTCACTAAGGGTTTGATGGTTCCCGGAACCGAGATACAAGAGATGCGAGCACCAACATCCTTTACACCACCACTAATTAGCCTCGGCCCACATACAGATGCTGTACTTGATCGTTTCAAAATGGATGATATGATGCTTCTTAGGCTTCATGCATTCATCAGATCCATTCGCAGCAGCCATTGGGAAGCAGTGCTTCGATCCCCGAAATGGGATCTAACGTATGAACAGGCTTCAAATTTAGCTAGAGCCCTCCTTGTGGACCTCCAGGGAGTGCATCAACAGGTTTAGTTAGTCTCCTTCATTGCATTTTAGTTTGCTGATGATATGGTCATTCACAGCCGCCTCTCTCGTTACTTACACTCATTTTCAGGGTGGTTGGCAGCCTAAGTTTTTTGTGCACAATTTATCTATTTTATCTGTTCTTCTCATAGATCACCTGCTGTTTTTTTGCTTCCATTTGTCATTTTGGTATTGTAAATTGTGTTCACACTGTTGACTTATAAAATCCATTCACCAACAGCATGAATTTTGTGGCACCAATGGTTTTGCACAGCTTCATGGTGACGAACAGTCGCAGATGGGTCCAAGCCCAACCCTCTCGCCGTCCAAAAGTGACCCTCAGCAAGGAGGCTCGTGCAGCCATAACTGCCCAATGTCGCAATAAATCCCATCAGTTTAGGGTAGCTCTTCACAATGCTTGGGATGAGCTCGATGAGACTATGAAGACCATTGCGTCCTCGCACCATAAGAGTTTCTGTCATGTCCAGAACGACTTATGCATGGGCCATGAGATGTTATGCTACCAACGCTCTAAGTTGAGTGCATGGAACATGTTCTGCTGGAAGAAGCATCATGAAGACAAGGAAAATGGTAAGTAACAACATATTTGTCCTTAGCATGCACAAACTGACAATGCACCAAGGGGCCACAGGAAAGGCTGTATTGCAAGATCTCATTAGGGATGAGAACTGCGATGAATATTGCAACCTCACAGACAATGAGAAGGCACAGCTTTTGCAGGAGTACCGTGAACACAAGGAGACGAAGACTACCGGCATCCATATCTTGACAAAATCAAAAGTCAACGATGTAACACAGACACTCAAGGCTGTCGAGAATGAGGTAGATCATTATATATCTGTCATTGTACTACTTATTGACACATCTACTAGCTCAAGAACTTATGGACGTGTACAGGTGCCGAGAGTATCCTCTATACCACACGTGGCTCTACAGATCTCCCCCTCCGTGGTATCGCTTTTGCAACTGAAGGTGTCCATGAGTTCATGGGCTCGGTGATGAATATTGATGACCAGGACCTTGTGAGTAAGATGGAGGGGTTTGCTGTCCAGGGGATGAAAGGTGAGGATCGTTTTTTCAAAGACTTGCTTTCCACTGACTGCATCTATTAGGCGCTGCGAGGAACCACCAAAAACGCACATCAGATATTTGGAGCACAATTCACCAGGAAATCAACAAGACACTTCGTAAGTACTCTACATTTGAAGTGTTTTTTTATGTTACTGATGACGATGTAACGATGGTCGCGGCGCTGGGCTCGGAACCAGGCAATCCAACACCTACATTCATACCATTCCCCGACCTCCCTTGACCTTCCAAAGGCTGCGTGCACTTGTCCGAACCTTCTGCAGGCAGTTCTCGTGTTCCGAGACCCGTCCAAACCTCGCAAGTTACCATACCATGTCCTATCCTCGTCCTTTTGACTTCGCTGGTGCGTTTTCCTTCATTCTAACTATATGTTGACTACGTCTTAGTGCTACACGGATAACATCGGCATCCTGTCGGTGTCTTCTTTGATAGATGATCTATAGATGAACACCTACAAAATCAAATATCTCCACGGTCAGTGATTCAGACAAATACCAATGACTGATAACGTGGTTGTTCGTGGGTGGCCTGTCAGTATATCCAAGCTACAGTCAGACAAAGGTACTCTATGATATCAGTCTAGAAACACTAGTCAACCCAGTGGTATGGTGTTGACTAAAAGAAACAAGAAACAGAAACAAAACTAAGACTAAGCACAATCACTGGTGCTAAACAGAAATGATAACTAAAACTAGGCACAATCAATGGTGCTATATTCTAAACTTACTATGAAACAATCGTGCGAAGATGTATTGGTCACTCCCACAGCACAAACAGGTAGGATCAAAGGTCAAGACTTGTCAAAAGCTTCCGTAGAACTCTTAGCCTAATATTGAATCTGCTGCCAAGGAACTCACGATGAGTATTAAACAGAATCAGAAATGGACGTCCTTGGATTTCAATACCAAGTCCCCTATTCAATAGCTAAAGCCTATCTGACAAATAACAATCCTGGCTCAGTATACTACTCAGATGTGTGAGGTCAAGTGGACAATAATCAACTTCTGAAGTCTCCCCACTAAGCTACTCTGAGCCTTTAGCGGATGTAGAGACAACACGAAGAATTCAAAGATAAGGCTCGAATGTATTCGCTACAATCAAAAGTACGTTAGTATCAGCAGCAAGAAACAAACACTCAGAATATATTCGCTAAAATCTATAACACGTTAGTGACACAACAATAAATGAGCACTCAGACTGTTAGCTTTCAATGGGTAGAGAGTGAAACAGATAGAGTGAAACAGAACCCAGACTAGTGAAACAGAGATAAGGAAATAGATCCCAAACTAAAAGAAATAGATCCCAGACAAAAAGAAATAGATCCCAATCAAAATGAAATAGATCCCAATCCTAGAGAAACAGAGATAAAAGAAATAGATCCCAGACTAGAGTGAAATAGATCCCAAACTCAAAATGAAATAGATCCCAATCCTAGAGAAACAGAGATAGAGAGATAGAAATGAGACACGCACACACAAACACAAACACTCAGAAAAAAACAAGAGATTTCTCCAAACAAATAAGCCAAGCCTTGCAGGTTGTTGAGCACAGTGAGCTCAATGGCTCCTACTGTCTCATCAATGCACCTGACAATGTCGAACAACTCTTCATGGTTGTTGCTGATGCTGATCACACACAAACCTCACTCGCAATTTTATTAAGGGTGACTCTGGGAGTCTGATTGATTGCATTTCAGGCCAAAACGGAGGTCCTAGGTATATTCAATTTTCGTTTTCTCATGTACCTAGATATACTACATTATTTGTCATAGATCATAATACCCGTGTGAATCGTACGTAGGTGAACATGATTTGTCAGGCTTAGTCATAGATCAGCTGACTGTGGTAAGAGAACATGGTTTACATAATATGTTGAAACTTGTTTGTATTTGGTGTTATTTAGAGGCGTAGCATATGTCATAAAGCAAAACTGGGTAACACGTGTATTTAAAGTTTCCTGGAAGTTCCCACAAACAAACATATGTGGAAAGTATTTTTCATGGAAGCTTCAGATGCGTGAGAATCTAGCTGAGTCATCTTCGAGCCAAATAACACAAAATTCATTCCATGCAAAATTCCCAAAAAATATTCACTAACACCACATGGTCATGCACCGGACCAGTTTGGTGCAGGTCATCGGGAGTCTCGGAATATGTATAAGCAGTACGCATCGCGGCTTATTACATAGGTTCGGACTTGCTTATCTTGCTACTAGTTTCGCCTATGGATTCCAGCCTCTCACGGAAGTAGGATATAATCTTGCTCGCTGGCTACTGATAGGGCACTTCACTTCCCGTACTTCGAATAGTAATTAGTAGAGTCACCTCGGTATAATCGTAAACTGCGCAATTGATCCTTGTTCATTCGGAACGATTGTCTGGCTAGACCGCTGCCAATTTCGCACTTTGTTTATTCTCGAGTCCCGATAGATTAGCGTTGTTCCGGACTTCGGACGTTGCGCAAAGTCTTATACTGTTATTCGACACATCGACACACCAACATATATAGACCTTCGGACAGCCTTCGCAAGCCTTGGAAGGCATCGCGCTACTTCGGACAACACTTTTGCAGCCTCGGACAACCTTTGGTCGCATCGGACAAGTTTCTTGGTACTTTGGAAGTAGTCTCGGAACTACGGACGAGCATTAAAGAGGTTTTCTCCAATATCTTGTCTACTCTCTAACTGTATAAGACTTCCCTTGCATTATCAAGGTAGTTTTTAGGTTGTCTCTTGGGACGAAGCATACTCGCATCTCTCAGGACTAGGGACTCACATTCAGTAGAGCCCAGCCCAGATCTACTCTTTACAATGACAATTTTTCTAGAGGCAATCACACATGATCCGAAAGCACGGATGCACTGGGCACACTACTGGTGGAATATTGTCCAGCGCTACCTTGTCGTCATCGAAGGTTGGCCCGAAAACATACCTTTTGTCAACCTTAGCACAGTATCCAGCACCCTACCTGATTTGGAGATGCTTTTGGACAAATGGGAGACTGGAGAAATCCATTGGAAGCATCTGGACAAAGACAAGTATGAGAAACTTCGTCAAGAACGCCATGAGAAGGTTAGCAGTGGCAAGGTCATTGAAAAACGCCGCCAGACTCGCTCTGACAAAGGAAAGAAACACGATCAGCCTTCGAACCACTCTAGTCACTGCAGGAAGACATATAAGAGCGCCCAAACCGTTATAAGTGATGACGAGTCAGACATCCCTGATGATACAGCCTCCCGCAAGCATACGCCTGCTGGCACCCCCAAGCTCACATCATCCACTCCTCCCGCTTCGTCGTTCTTCAATGGTGATATGTTTGGCATGGACTTCTTGCCTGCAAATAGTCCTGGCGCTGGTACATCTGTTGACATGAGGTCCGAATTCAATTTTGATGGTATCTCAGGTATGCTAGACTTCATAAACTTTGAATAGATTTTAGTTACCTTGCTTGTCAAATATGGGCTATATTCTTACTGTTGGTCAATCAAATAAAGCGGCAATGAATTTAATTAGATTGATATCAAGTAAGAACAAAACACATTAATTGTATGTAGACTCATTATACGAAGAACGGCAACCGATGAGAATGAACAAAATCCGAGAGATCCTGCTTGACACAGGAGTAAAATGGGCCAAGAGAGCACTGTTGACAACATTGGGGGACGCTGGAAGGAAGAGGCGGCTGAGAAGGCCGAGATGGGGGCCCCAGGACAATGAGGAGGATGGGAGGGCACTGACAATGACAATGAGCAGGAGCAAGGGGTGTGAGAACCCAGCTACGGGGAAATGCGCACCTTTGCCAACCCCAGGACAGTGAGGGCACTGACAATGACATGCCAGAGGCTGGGAGCGCAGGATGGTGATGGCAGCAGCATAAGAAGAGGTCGGGGATGGTGTCCAGAGAGGCTGAGAAGGCCGAGATGGAAGCCCCAGGACAGTGAGGACGGGAGGGCACTGACAATGACGGTGAGCAAGAGCAAGGGGTGTGAGAACCCCGCTATGGGGAAGTGCGCACCTTTGAGCCCAGGACAGTGAGGATGGGAGGGTACTGACAATGACGGTGAGCAAGAGCAAGGGGTGTGAGAACCCCGCTATGGGGGAAATGTGCACCTTTGCCGAGCCTAGGACAGTGAGGATGGGAGGGCACTGGCAATGACGGTGAGCAAGAGCAAGGGGTGTGAGAACCCCACTATGGGGAAATGCGCACCTTTGCTGCCGAAGGCATTGTTGCCGAGCCGCCTACTGTAGAATACCTGAAGGTATTAGATGATTTAGTACATGATTTAATGCCAGTGTTGAGGATTATTGCAACTAAGCCAAATAATACTGAACCATACACGTGATCACTCAGCATAGTAAGGCTTACCTATTGGGAAGGTCAGGTGCCCCCCCACCCCTCTGTCACAGTGACAGTAACACCAATATATCCATATATGGTGACCGTTCGATCATTTTCATCTGGACGCAAGACAAAAACAATATTAATGTTAACGATTGATTGCAAGGGAACGGCACGAGTACATGACAACGAGAACTACTGTAGCTTCCGGTGCATGCTGTAGAGTACGTACGAACTAATAGAGAGCATTTGTTCTGAAGCAATAGAGACATAATGAGCAATACAAGAAAGTAGTGATACAAAATGAATGTGAACAAAGAGAACATCAAGCAAGTGAGGCGGTACTAGTAGGCTGCTGAAGTAAAGCACGAACAATGTGAGTACATTTTGCAGGCTTGTAGGAAAATGTCCAGATGAATCAGAATTATTAATGCTATGAGACGTGTAATCTGATTCGTGTTGCGAAATTTTGTGTGAGTCGTTACTGATGCTGGGAGCTGAAGTGTCATAAATTAATGGGAACCGGCCTGCATGCGATGGACGAGTGTTAGAATACATAATGAATAAAAGTGTGTCTTTGCAAATGAGAGTTGGTGGGCCGACAGGACAGAGAGGGCATAAGAGTTGTAATAAGACGCGCGTTATTGATATCAGACGCGACTTGATATCGAAGTCACATGCTCTCACACATGACATCCAAAATACTGGATTTTAGTGAGCAGCGCCCTTTAACACGCGTTTTTCATTAATTTAACTATCAAGATGTGTTCTACGCTAGCAAAAACTCCCCCTCTTGGTCTTCAGTGAACGATTCTACTAACTTCTGACGCCGCTATCGAGGAACTCAGAACGGTCTGCTGGCAACTTCAAGCGCCTGTGTATTAAGGTTTAAAAGCTTATCTAATGGTGGGCTGTATGTTCGGCATTTCCCTTTTGCACGCCTCTTGCGTTATGTCCAAGTTTACTATCTGATATCGTATCAGGCTGCAGGAAGACGCCAATTGTTCTCTTCGGTTCGGAAACGATCGAATAGGGCATATTTACCTTGGTCACCAGTTGTCGATCGATGTCCCGCGGGCCACAAGACTTGGAGTTTGGAGTCTGAAGCTTCTTACTCCCCTCCCACAACCGCAAACTACTCTACCGGTGGGTCATAACTACTGTATGCAGCCGGCCGGTCATTGGACACGTTGCAGTCGTGCGACGGAACCTGTACTCCCACTAGGTATATGATACTAGGCTTAGTATTTCTAAACAGAACGAGAAGGTTGGTACCCTTTGACGAGAATTTTCACAGGTTCGAAACCGCTGCCATCTCGGCCCATTCTGGCGTTCCTCTTGCCCTAGCTAACACTGGACCCTTATTCCAAGAGACGCATGACTGCAGCAGGTACTAAGAGCGTTGTCTATCTCGTGACACTCTGCTGGACGCTCTAGCTTGGGCTGCACTTATTTAAGCCAGTCGCTAGGCACACTCATTTCACGAGGTTGGGCTTGGGCGCGGGGCTTGAGCGTTGGGCGTTAAACGTTCAGCTTTTGTGATCGACCCAACCAAATCACTATATAATGTACAGTGTTCAAGCGACCTATTCCAATCTAACCACGATCAAACAGTCATCTCTCCCATTGAACATACAATCATGGTTTTCTATGCATATATAAAACATGTACGTCTAAAATTCATTCTTCGATGTCTGCGCTAAATCGTAATTAAGCTCACGGACAACTGGAGCTCTCGATATCTCATTACCTTCGCTAGCCGCGCAGTTGCCGATGAGTGGTGGCGTGCCGTGTCCACTTCCAACACTAGTTTCAAGGACGGCATTCAGCGTGTCGACGCCCAGTTCTATACCCATAACACAGGCCTGGCCAACGCCCCTGACTCTCTCACCACTACTGGGGTTGCGACTCAATTCCTTGGAAAGGTGTTTTTCACCTTGCTGAACGACTTGAATTTAGGTAGTCGCGGGTTGAACATCATCCCGCCACTTGATCATTTTGTAGACCACATTAGCGGGAACTCGTGAGTTAGTTTCTTACGGGCTGTTCGACATTTGGCTGATAGTGGCCTTACCAAAGTTTCTTCATTCGCTCTAAAGTCACTCCTTACGACTATTGGTACTATCCTCAATCGCGCAACGCGACAAACTCGGTCTATGTTTCGCGCACCGAACGCACTCGCTTCACTATTAGTCGCACCGACAGAGGTGCTGCAGGGATCATTATGATTGGCTCTGACAAGATCACCATCGGTTTGACCACCTTCAATTTGTTCGTTAACGTCGAGGTCACCATCGGTCAAGTAATTCTTTCACATGCTCCGTCGGAGTTGACATTTAGTGCACTTCTGAGCAACTTCACCGTTGGACCTACCTCGTTTATCAATGGTGAGAGCGTGAAGGAGCTCCTCCACAGTAGGAATGGAGAGGAGTGGGAACTCGCTTGAGCTGCTATTATTCGACACAAAGGTGTCTTGTACCGGTGTTGTTATAGTCTCCCATAGAGAGTCGCTTATAAACGAAGGTGTTTGTTCCTGTACTGATAGTAACCAATTCCATAACTCCTGCGATAGTACTAAGTACATCATAGACTCGTAAACCATTTATTCTGCCTACGGGCAGTTTTTGAGATGGCGTGATTTTAACCGTAGGCAAACTAGTCGATCTCGGAGAGGGGAAGCACGCAGTTTGAAATCTTGCAGTTGTCGAATGTGCCGCTTTACGTGTCGATGTTGTTCACCCGGGATACATGGGTGGTGACTCTGTTGAGTACTGAGTACCACCGGTTAAATCGGCACTCGAGCATCCGACTTGCTGGTGCTTGTGCTTGTTTGTACTCCAATCAAATTTGGATCAAATCTATCATTGAATCAACTTGATCGTTGCTTCGTCACGCAGGCCGGTACTTCGTTGATCCAAATTGATCGATAAGTCGATAATAAGCCTGGCCTTGGGAGACTCGAGCACTTCGAACTTTGATGCGGAGGCACAGAGCCTCCGCCGCACCGCCGTTTATTGATGGACAGTTATTAAGTCAATGCCCCGGTGTCAAGCCAACCACCCACCTTTTCCCCTCTTGCACCAGACAGACAGGCAGGCATGCAGAGACTTGTATGGGTCGCTCTTTTACTTCTATACCATGCACGTGCTATCTTAGCGGCCGGTAATACGACATGCCTTAGTGGTGAACTGGACTGGTACACAACTGCAGTTGGTGAAACGCCCTGTAAGTCATTACAGCATTTGGAGTGATTCAGAAGACAAATTGCTGAAAGTTAGGCGCGACATATCAGCAGCTTCGACAAATATGCAACAGTGCTTGTGGGTGTCTCCAAGCCTTTCTTTGGCATGCACTGACACGCATAGCAAACAGACGTGGTTGGCAATTTCAGCTCGACCACCCCCGGTGATCGTTGCGATGATCAAGTCTGTAGGTCCTTTCTTATTGTGCCAATCCACTATGTTCACTGAACTAATTATTAGCGGATTGCTGCTGCAATTCTGTCGCATTCGCATTAAGCATGCTCTGCATGAAGTAATTTATATTCTTCCCTTTCACGGCCCGCTTATAACAGTCATCTAAACATGCAGTTGCCAAGAAGATGCTGTCTCAGGCAATGTAGCTGGATTCGATGCCGGTAATATGAGTCAATTCTGTTTCAGCACGACGACTCACTTGTTCTGCAGCTCCTGGAACATACACTACTTATCTTGCTGGCTGTGGTCTTGGCGTCAATCAGTCGTGAGTAACCTGAGATTGAGGGCAACGCACCCACTCACAATGTCATTTGGAATAATTTCAGGCTTCCAGCAGATATTCAACAAGCTGTGTGCAATGAGAACATCAAAATTGATAACTTTTTATACAATAGATCCTATTGGTCCGATGGATCCTGGTAGGTTTCTATTTGACGCACTCAGTACTCGTCTGACTCTGAGCTAGGTACTAGTGAGTCGAATATCAAAGGGGACATTAATTCAATCCTCACGATGACACAGTCGATGGACGGCCGATTATGCAGTAGAACAGCAGGCGATAAACAACAACAATACTTTCACGGTTTGCCCGAACCAAGTCTTGGCTTCGGCATCCCTCCCCACATCTACAACGGTCCATACTGCAGCTGTCTCTGCCACTCTCACTGCATTACCTTCCAGCTCTGGGAATACTACTTCAGTCACGGTGGCCTCATCTACTTCTAATTCAAAGACCATCATTATCGGTGGTGCAGTAGGTGGTGCTGCGCTCGCCATAATCGCAGTCCTCGGTGGTGCTTACTGTTATAGACGGAGTAAACGACCTCGTATGATCCAAGATACGCCATCCGTGTTTCTGGGCCAGTCACATGGTGTCCAGCCGATTTACGGAGCGTCCGTCGCGGATACTGAAGCAGGTGCTTGTACTCGTCGTGTATTATTTCAAGCACTCACGATATTCCCTAGTAGCCACTCAGAGATACAGCAGTTTAAGTCCAGTTCGGCGCAATCATGGGTCTAGTGCCAATTCTACTGTCCCGGTGACACGTTATTTGAGTCCCGAGCGGGTCCAGTCCTTCAGCACGCTGCCTAGCACATCGTATATTGTGAATGACAATCACTCTGAAGGGGTGCGATACAGCCGAGAAAATGATGCTGGCACGTTGATTCCCCCCGATGACGCGCCTGCAGAAAGGCTTCCGCCTGCGTATCAGCCATCTTGGGTGTCCAGGAACGCACCGCAAAGCAACTCAGACCCTAGTGAAGGTAGCTTTGTGTCGTGATGTTATACTCATTTAATTATGCTCACTACAGTCATATAGATCAATTTCCGTTGGACCAAACTGTTCAGACTGTGCGGCCGAGCAACGAAACACGCCGAGAAAAGCTAACAAGGGTTCCGCAAGAGACAATAGCGTCGAGGTGGAGTGTTGATAGCACAGCAAATGAGGTGTAACATTATACACATCCTTCTGGACATTTTCACACTTGTGTGATGCTTAAATACGACAGCCCGCATGTTATTTATATTTCATGATACCAATGGGGCATATTTTTATCTTGTGATCAGCGCTATTTCTTGTCTACTTCACACTGTCATTGGCGCAGCCCCCAGTATGTGCAAACGCGGGCCGAAGTCCTCGGGACCCATAAGGTCACCTGCTTTCAGTTACTGGCAGTACCTCCAGGATATTCAGCTTATCAGCGACATCGTCTTGTCATCTGCCTTCAGTGAACGCCGACTTTACGGCCGAATACCACGCGAAATAGATATACCATGAGCAAACCATTGAAGGCTACCGTAAACTGTGATATGGGGGAGGTAAGTCATGCCATTGCAAGCAGTCGTTCATCACATTAACATTGCACAAGGGCTTCTCCTTGTATAGCATCGTATGTATTACACAATGCACATTGTCTCATTCGTTTTAAGAGAGCACCGAATAGGGAGACGACGAAGCTCTTATGAAGACGATCCATTTGGCAAATGTTGCCTGTGGATTCCATGCTTCGTTGAGTCACGCTTATCAACTTTGGTTGCTTGTTTCATGTATTAAATTCGCTCAGCGACTTCTCAATCATGAACAAGACAGTGGCACTCGCTAAGTCTAACAACGTTCTCGTGGGAGCCCACCCTTCCTTGCCTGATTTACAAGGTTTTGGGCGTCGCGAGATGGCAATTGAGCCGGTGAGCAATGTCGTCAGTCAATGTAAATGCATTGAAACATTTACAACTTTGCAGGATGAGCTAGAGTCCTGCTTCATCTATCAGGTAGGTGCATTGGACGGGTTTTTGAAACGCCACGGCCTTCCAATGAATCACGTACGGTTTTCATATCGATCTCCATAGTCCAGCGGCTGAGGTAGCTATAGATAAAACCCCACGGTTCTGTTTATGGTCAGACAGCACGCTCTATCAACCTTGCACGGGCAGTTGTTGGCGTCACAAAAATCTTCAAATCTAGCGCGGCCAGTCCTCAAGGTGTAGCCTTTATGGGGCTTGCTGGAACAGCTCATCAACAAGCTGCAGAAGAACTCGGCGTGCCGTTCATTGCAGGTCAGTCATTGCTATACTGATTTGTAAGACTGAGTAACGAGAAAAATTTAGAGTGGTTTGCTGACCTCGATTACAACGACGAGGGAAAATTGTTGATAACGAAGTTAGTTCGTCTGCCATCGCATGATACTTTGATTCACCTAAACCCCGGACTCTAGGAAGCATGATCCAGTACCCATTGAAGTTGTGCGCCAACGAGTGAATACCTTCCTTGGCCTATGGCAGCGTTCAGCCTCTCATTCGTTTTCTTTCTCATCTGATCGCAGGTAACAAACCTTTTGAGGTTCCACAAAGTTTCTACAGTCGGAGGCAAGCTGCTCGACATTGGAGCAAATGTCGCTGAGGTCTCCATATGTTGCCATTCCGATACTCCAGTGAGCACTCTTTTTGTAATCGAGCATCTGGCACAAGTTCAATGCGGCTGATTTTAGGGTGCGGTGGAAATTGCCCAAGCAGTAAAAGCTTTGGTAGACGAAAGCAACAAAGAGGCACACTATGTGTGAACGGAGGAATTTGATAATGAGTGCAAGAGGTTCCAGTCCGAGAATCTCCCATTACTAAAGACTAGTATGTAGTGCGAGCTGTTGCGCTAGCACTAGCCATCCAAGTCTCCATCTGATAGTCCCGAACCATTGGCAGCGCGCACGGAAGTTGGATTAAGACCAGCATCTTCATGTCTAAATGGATTTTCATTCGGATCTTCCTCCTGAAGCAAAACAGCAGATGAGCCTTGGACGTGCCCACACGCTCATATAGGCTCGCATCCTTAGTAACTCTGCGAAGTAATCACGGGAAAACATACTCCAGTTGCCTTGCATCTTGAACTACTAATTTTGAAAAGTACAGGTGATAGTTCGAAGAAGCTTGTCATGATACAGCCATTGCCCTATGGGATGGCATCATGGTTTGACCTGATGCCAGCGTGTGAACATGAATAAGACGGGCATCAAAGACTAGCTACTCCGAACTCGGAAGAGCAGGTTCGGAATTTCAATATTCATAACCGGAACCAGCTGACGAACAACGGAAATTTTTATTGGCGCTATCAAGCTTCAGAACTTGAGATATAGACTCGGAGGACACGATGAAAATTGATGACATGATGTCTTGTTACTGGGACAAAAGATATCCTACATGCGCAGGCAGACGCTCGAGCTTTTGGATGCAGGCAGTTTAGTGGTTCAGGTGAGTGGGTGCGAGAGAGCAGGAAAACCAGAGGTCCAAGGGAGTCTTTGTATTCTGTACGCTGAGAAAAGGAAGCAATGTGATAGGCGGATTGCATGTCGTTTCCAGACGGTCATATCGCTGTGAGCCACCACTTTCAAATTAAAACTCGGAACTCTCCCTGACTCTTACAGGTTCTCCGAGTCTCAACTTCAAGCAGTAACAAATATCGCAGTAGCAATAACTAATCCAGAGTTAAAGCTAGAAGGCTCGGTTTAGGCACTTGGTGCGCTAACACTTTCCAGTGCTATCATCTGGTGGGTGTCTATTGTTTCAGCTGTGAGTTGACCGAGTTGTAGTAGGGTTCGGGACTGTCATTAATGAAGCGGACCTATGATCCGTCAATACAAAATGCACACATTGTCCTTTGTTACTGAATCGCAATGCAATATCGATGGCCACGAAGCTATTTACTCAAGGATGTGTCTCTCAGGCCTGGGAGAATTGCCGTCCAAGAAAAGCGACTACATTCGTTAGGGATGAACATTTGAACCATGTTTATCATACACTCGCGTACCTGGCGATAGAACTTCCGGAATGTTAATAAATGTCCATCACAATACAGCATGATACCCGCTGTGCTACACCAGCGAATTAGGGGTGCTGGTTCAAATCTGGTCTCCGGGGGAATGCATCGTGATACGCGAAGGGAAGTGTCGAAAGGGCTTGTGACTGCACAAGGCACTCGATCAAGAAGCTCTGTCAAGCAGGCTTGGACAAGGGCTCCTGTCTTTCTCTGGCCAGATATTGACTTGCGCTTGCGCGACTAAAGTTGGCGTCACGCGGATTAGGGATATGACGTGGGACACTAGTACTCGGACATGAGTTATTTCTCCTGTTATCTTCGCGAGCAGATCCTCTTCTTCAACAGATCTATTACATTTTGACAGGCTCGGCACCAGGCTGCTTTATCTGAGGCATCATTCCCATACACGACACCCTTTATCGAATCGACTCCAGACCAAGGCCAGTTACTGAGAGCTTATCAGTATTTTCCCATTGGTCAGTCAATTGTCAGTCAGTACTTGACTGACTATTTTTGGTCAAACACTACCCGGAAGTCTTCGTTTAGTACGCAGGTCACGTTGGGCCCGCTTGCTTGACATAGTTGAATGCCCTCGCCAAGTACGCGTCGACGTTTGAATCCCGGTACGCAAAGGCTGGCCCCCTGTGTCAGCCGCGCGTGTAATATCCATCAGCTCCCAAGCATGCTATATGTTTCGGACTCGCATAAATAGCTGGCTCTTTCTTCATCTTTACCCTCCAGCTCCAAATCATGGTTCAAACAGTCACACTCTCTGATGGTGAGTTTCTACCATCATAAGTCCACGTAGTATCTGATCAACACAAATCGTCTAGGCCACACCATGCCCACTCTTGGGCTTGGTGTCTACATGAACGAGGAATGTGCGGAAGCTTGCATGGTTGCCCTTCAAAATGGGTACCGGTAGGTATTGCACACCACTCAAAGGTTCAAAACTCAGTTAGATCATCAGAATGATCGATGGCGCCCGGTACTACGAGAATGAAGTTGAACTCGGTGTTGGGGTAGCGAAAAGTGGTGTTAAGCGCAAAGACGTCTTTATCAGTGAGGATACCTCATCCGGGAGCTCCTGGAAAATACTCACCTATTTGGTCCCCTTTGCCACGGTAGCTTCCAAGGTCTTCCATGCGGATTACACTTACGACGGCACGATGGCTGCTTTGAAAGACTCGATCGCGAACCTTGGATCATGCAAGTCTTGTGCCTTCCTAATGATTACATCGCTCACAAGACAGGTATTAGCGTATTATGATTTATACCTAACCCACAGCGCCATCGGAGGCAAGGAAGCACGTCTTGCTGCCTATAGGGCTCTATTGGACGGCAAGGCCAGCGGGATGATCAAATCTGTCGGTGTCTCCAATTAGTAGGTGTCATCACTCATAGGTACCCTCTCGGCTGACGGTTACGCAGCTCAGAAAAGCACATAGAAGAGATTCGTGAGGCTGGTCTAGAAATGCCCGTCGTGAACCAAGTAGAGGTCAGTATTTCTACGATTGACTCGCACAACCATTGCGAAAAAGCTGACACTGTCATCAGTTACATCCGTTCTGTCAGCAAAAACCGATAGTCGAATATTGTAAGAAGAACAACATCGTCGTCCAGGCATACTCCCCTCTTGTGCGTGGTGGTTTCGACAACGCAGTCATCCAGGAGCTCTCTAGAAAGGTGACTATATACTGCATCTGCTTGCGTCATGATGTCTGATGCGTTGCAGTACTCCAAAGATCCTGCTCAAATTCTTGTCAGATGGTCTTTGCAACGAGGGTGAGCGACGCGATTAGGATTTCTATATTCTTATCTGACTCCACGTAGATTTGTGCCTTTGCCCAAATCCTCGCAGCCCGAGCGCATCATATCCAACGGCCAAGTATTTGGCTGGAAAATCGAACCCAAGGACATGGCAAAGCTTGACGCGTTGGACCGCGGGAAGGAGGGCGCGATTACCTGGAATCCAGTCGACGTTGAATAGGGAGTCAGCTAAGCTGCCTCAAGCTGCCTCCTCGTTTTAGGTAGCAATGTACTACATAGTCTAAATTTCTAACATATATAAGCACGAGTTACCGCCAGCATCGGCTGCAATTGTGTCCACAGCGTCACAGTGTGTTGCTGCGTGTTCTGTGACTTCCGAGTCTGTTCTTTGCTCACTACTATAGCGACTTCTGTGTAAGCCCGGTCACGGTGGCTCACCTGAGTTCACATAAATACTGTCCGCGATCATCAAGCTGAACTTGGATTATCACTGCCTCTTGGCCTAACGATTGAGGGACGACAGTCTTGCCTCCTTGCATTCTGCTTCATTTAACATGGCGTCCAAAATGGAAGCAGGTATCAAGGCAAAAAGATGGACTCATCGCCACTCTGGAAATATTCGTGTCAATAGCTTAGTCAGTCAATTAAAATAGTTTATGCACTATATTTAGTCAATGACTGACGCCTGACAACTTCATCATGATGTTAACCGAAATGGTTTAGTCGCATGCAGATCTCACTGCGTTTGACCTACTTGCTTGTCATAGTTAGTCGCCTTCACGAGTACGCGTCAGCGTTTTAACCCCGGCACGAAGAGGCTGGCTTCCGTGTCAGCAGTGCATACAATATTCATAAGCTCCCAAACACGACTTCGGGCTCGCATAAATAGCTGGCTCTTTACCCTCCTGTTCTGAATCATGATTGAAACAGTTACACTCTCTGATGGTGAGTCTCTACCATCATAGGTCCACGTAGTATCTGATCAACGCAAATCGTCTAGGCCACACCATGCCCATTCTTGGACTTGGCGTCGCCATGAACGAGGAATGTGCAGAAGCTTGCATGGTTGCCCTTCAAAATGGTTACCGGTAGGTATTGTACATCAGTCAAAGTCTCAAAACTTAGATCATTAGAATGATCGATGGCGCCCGGTACTACGAGAATGAAGTTGAACTCGGTGTTGGGGTAGCGAAAAGTGGTGTTAAGCGCAAAGACGTCTTTATCAGTGAGGATACCTCATCCGGGAGCTCCTGGAAAATACTCACCTATTTGGTCCCCTTTGCCACGGTAGCTTCCAAGGTCTTCCATGCGGATTACACTTACGACGGCACGATGGCTGCTTTGAAAGACTCGATCGCGAACCTTGGATCATGCAAGTCTTTGTGCCTTCCTAATGATAACACCGCTCACAAGACAGGTACTAGCGTATTATGATTTATACCTAACACACAGCGCCGTCGGAGGCAAGGACGCACGTCTTGCTGCCTATAGGGCTCTTTCGGACGGCAAGGCCAGCGGGATGATCAAATCTGTCGGTGTCTCCAATTAGTAGGTATCATTACTCATAGGTACTCTCTTGGCTGATGGTTGCGCAGCTCAGCAAAGCACATAGAAGAGATTCGTGAGGCCGGTCTAGAGATGCCCGTTGTGAACCAAATAGAGGTCAGCTTTCTACGATCGACTCACACAACCAGTGCGAAGAATCTGACATTATCATCAGTTACATCCGTTCTGTCAGCAAAAACCGATAGTCGAATATTGTAGGAAGAACAACGTCGTCGTCCAGGCATACTCCCCTCTTGTGCGTGGTGGTTTCGACAACGCAGTCATCCAGGAGCTCTCTAGAAAGGTGACTATATACTGCATCTGCTTGCGTCATGATGTCTGATGCGTTGCAGTACTCCAAAGATCCTGCTCAAATTCTTGTCAGGTGGTCTTTGCAACGAGGGTGAGCGACGCGACTAGTATTTGCCTATTATCTTGTCTGACTCCACGTAGATTTGTGCCTTTGCCCAAATCCTCGCAGCCCGAGCGCATCATATCCAACGGCCAAGTGTTTGGCTGGGAAATAGAACCTACGGACATGGCAAAGCTTGACGCGTTGGACCGCGGGAAGGAGGGCGCGATTACCTGGAATCCAGTCGACGTCGATTAAGAAGCCAGTCGGCCACCCCAGGGCTGCCTCCTTGTTTTAAGTGGCAATGAACCATTACAAACAAAGAACCCGATTGCTTTGTTTCACGAGCATGCAATATAATAACGTTCAAGCACATACGGAAAGTACAACAAGAATGACAACAACAACCTCACTAACAATGACAGAGGTAAACAGAAGGTCGACAAGAAAGAAGATCTATATTTGCACGAAGGTCTAGCAAACGAAAACACATCGTAAACCCCTCGCAGCGATCAAATATTATTGCCGAAAGTCATGAGTTTTCGGCGAATGTCTGATAGGCGTTGTTTTCTTGTCGAGAGTGATGCGCGTTTCTGAGCAACGGAAGGGTCTTCGCTGACCATACGGTCAGAGAAGTTGGGCCCAGACGCAACATCGGTCAGCAAGCTCGTAAGAAGGCTCTGCGACAGCTGTTGCGTCAGGGCATGGTGGAGGGCATGTTCAATCGTTAGAGGAATATGGTCAATGATGCGCTGCTCGGGGGATAAACAAATTGAAATACATATGATAAACGAGACTCACCTTGTAGGCGACGTGATAATAGGCTCGAACATCGGCCATTACGATTAGCTCTTCTTGGAAGGAGTCGGGAGGTAACAGACGCGCAAGATCGGGTATCTTGAGATTTGCATACCCTGCTTCTGCAAGCGCCCTCAAAGCTTTGGCTTCGGGCGTCTCCGGCATCGACTGAATGCGGGATGGAGCGACCACCGAATCCCACTGACCAGGAGCCTGCACTATTGGGGATACGGCACGTACAGCTGGTCGTACCTGCGCCTGTGGAATATAAGCTACTGCCCTTGGTGATTCATAACGTTCTTGCGGTGCGTCGGAAATTTGTGGCAGTGTTTCACAACATTCCGACAATGTTTCCCGTACATCGAATACCCTTTCAGCTATCGGCGGTCCTTCGCGATTGTCGTCAAAGTACGTGGCTGGATAACTCTGCTGAATAAGATGTACGGGGGCCTTGTACTGAGACGCTCTACTCCGAACTATCTTGTAATGAGCCAACCATTTGTCGCGGAGTGTTTCAAGATAGTGCTTGTTCTGAGTATAGTACGGAGTAGTTTCCAGGGCCAAGACTGATTTGACAGCTTCTTCGGCGCGTGCCTTGCAGATACCAACCTCAATTCTAATCAAATCGCTAATACCACAGACAATTTAGGCCAAGGCAATAGTTATGAGGAGTCAATGCTTACCCAACATAGCCCTCGAGTACTCTGAAGCGTCCAAAATGGGTGCTTATGAGTGTGTCGATGATTTGATCGAGTACATCATTGATACCGGCAAGACAACGCTTAGATGGAGCGAACCAGAGTTTAGTGAATTGAGCGATGAGGTTCGCCTTCGCCTGATATGGTACATTGTTCGGAAGCTCCCATCCAATTGCCCTTGATGATTGGTTGAGTTGATGTCCAACTGCCACAACCAAACACGAAAAACATACTCGTGAATGACCTTTCTGACGTCATATATACCCATCATTTTCACGCCGGGGTCTCGTTCAGTAAGAGTCATCTTCCCCGCGGTGTCATCCAGTGGAACATACTCTTCCGGTTTTTCAAAAGGCCTAAAGTCAGGAGCAGTGCCGCGTATATCCCTCTTAAAGATAGCATAGAGAGCGCGATTCCGCTGTGCAAGACCCTTGTCTTCGTGACTGCCATTCACAAAGCTCTTGAAGACGTCGCAGAATGTGTTAACACGTCCCAAAACCTCAATTTGTGGGTCATTTGTAAGTGGCGGGGGCAATGCGTCGAAATCCTTGTTACATTGAGCAAGGAGCTTGTCGATATCTTCCCTGAGGCGTGGTAAACTATAAACAGTGTCAGTTCTGTTATAGCGAGCGAGCTAGGAGAATCACGCACGCTTCCTCGATCAGCTGGATGAGCAGTCGGCTGACATCGGAGACAAAACCCGGAATTCCGAACCGACGACGGTCGGTCACGCCATTCCACGGCGGCGTTGTGTCGAAATATTCAGCGGCACGCCTTTGCAACTCAGCACGAGACAGGCGCTGTGTGCGTTCGGCATCATCAGGAAGACGCACGCAGTAAAAACCGTGCTTCAATTTGTGATCCTCCGAACGGCCCTCAATGATTTCTACCCATCTCTTGCGCTGATTGATAGCACCGGCACCGAGCGTGTCAGGTTTCGTAAGGACACCTAAACAGATTTGAGTTATTTCATCGTATTACAACTTGGGGGCATACCAATTGTTCGCTTTCCGTCGGGGTCCGCAGCCCTGGCAAGACTCATGGATTGTTGATTTTCCATGTCATCTAGGAAGGCAGGCATCAACTCGGTTAAACAGGATTTCGCAGTCCATACACGTACCACTCATGGGAATTGTAGTCAATATGATGGTATTATTTTTTTGGGTGTAATGTTCCACCAAACTTTTCACGAGGGCAACAGTTTCGGCTTCTTCGTTTTGGATCAAACCTTCATTACACATTAGCTGTATTGTCTCAATCCAATTCAGCATATACTTACCCGGTAGATCATAGAAGGACAAGTCTGTCGCATCGGGGTCTTCAATGGAGACGCACACCACGTTGCGGGAGAACTTTAGTGTATTCCTTGTGTTCCTGAGTTCCTCGATGGTCTTCGTGTGGAAATTTGAAGAAGGGATGTTCGGGTTGAGAATGGCTGACTGGGCACGACGCAGCCAAACTTCAACCTCATTTCTATCGGTAATCGTTCGGCCAAAGGGCACCGTAATAGTCTTTGCCGTGTCTCGACCATTACTATCGAAGCTCATCCGCAAGGTAATAGTGCAAGACCACGACGTGGCATGACTCGACATGGTACATTCCATAGGACATCTGCATAGCGTAGCATGAGGATCCTATGTAGCGACTGACTGTGGTATGGTCACCTTGTACATGTCCCGCTGTCCCTCGGGACATTGATCTTTATCATAATGGAAAAATAATGAGCCAAATGACAAAAGGACAAACTATCTGCCGACGTACCCCGCTGACGGCTTCGACGAGCGAGCTTTTTCCCGCTGAAACATGGGGTTGAGTACAGCTGGGGTTGCAAGAGGAGGCGACCACAAACCTGATTGACCACCAATGACGACTACTGATGGTAAGTCAATGAGCGCTTCGGCACTGTAAGAGGTCGCATGAGCAAGCTGTGCAGTCAGATCCACAAACACTCACCCCATGGATTTGAGGTCAGCCATCATTTTCATAAGCTCTCTTCGCCTATGGGCATAGTCGGTGGATGATATGTCAACACCCGTATCTGGAGGGCTGGCGGAACCAGACAGGGAAGAAATAGATGTGACATCAGGAGACGGGTCGCCTGACGATGTGGCATGTCTGCGCCGCGTAGTGAGAAATCCGTTCATGATAGTAGATTGGGTCTGAAACTCGGAAGTGTGGGGCACACAACATCTGAATAACCTCTGATTTTATAAGCATAGTGTGCATCACGGCCACAGCTTGAGATCCAGGGTAAGCCACCTCAAGTTGCAGGTATAAGAGAAAGCGCTGAGAAATGTCGCACGCCGTGTACAGCAACCATCAGCGCATGATCATCTGTTGGTGATATTGTTGTTCCCTATACAAATGCAAAGTGACGTTTTAAGACTCATGTGCTAACCAGAAGAGATCTGCGATGACCTATTCGGCAAATTGTGTTATTCTGATATTTTCTGAGATCAGAGTACATCAGAACCTGTCCATACATGGCAAGGATGCGATGAGAATCGCCGACAAAAGAACACGTACACAGGACATAAAATTGTTATCTCATACAGGAGGTCCCGTACTATGATCGCTTGAGCTCGTGTAGGTCCATAAATACAATGCCTTGAAGCTGTGAAGTCTGGAGAATTCGGCAGCATGCGGCGGCGCCCGCTGTCACGTGCAGGACTACAAAAGTGTCTTGGCGGACGGTGATAGTAGGCTTACATAGTCACACCCTTTGTACTCAACCACGATGTTGGCGACTCCCGAATGGCACCAGGATCAGGAGGAACGCACCACCTACATAGTACAATACACGTCCTCATTGTGCCTTCATTCCCCGGGTCTTCTGATGATTGATCGATCTGCACCTTCTTTCACAGCCACAACAGCATCTTCCAGTGGAGTATCTGACGAAAGCACAGCACCATATGGTGCTAGGGCATTAACAATGGTTCTATCTCCTGGAAGAACGGATGTGCGTGTTCCTAGTGCAGTTAGAGCAGCGCTCAGTCAAAATGGTCCAATCAAGCGAACACAGGGGCATACTGGACATGCTGTAAAGAAGACTGCAAAAACTACCAAAGTACAGGAACGTTATTGAATCATGCTATTCACATCCAAGAATAACTAACTTACGAGCACCAGCAGTACCTCTTCCAGTATTTTACCCGCGTTACTAACAAATTCAGCAGGAGCGGCTGAACTCGCTGGATCGACGAGGGCCGCAAGAATGGCTGTATTCTGACCAGGATCGCCGGTAAGCAAACAGCAATTACTCCTGTAGTGCCACCAGCAGACATCTCTCTGCGATCACCATCGCCCACAACCGTTTCAAATCTGATTCAGGGACCAGCACAGCCTGACATGCAGCTCCAATACCCTTGTCCACCTTCCCTTCTAACATACCCAAACCCTGTGAAGTCGAACCCCCATCAGATGAGGATTGAGAAACTACAGAGGGAGAAGAAGTGAAGGTTTGCAGTACGGCCTCCACCTGCGCTTCATCTTCGGCAGGGGCTCTGACAGCCGGTCACGAACGTACACAAAGCCAGGAATGGGCATCAGTTGGAGCATTCAGGAGCGCGAGCAAGTCGGGCTCATTGTCTTCGTTGTTACCTGCAGCGACATGTAGTTCATTAACATCTCCTGGCCATGCGGATGGAACTTGAATTCCCATCAATAAGTTCGTGATACCTAGACAGTGTGACATTCACAATGGAGATTGAGAATCTAGGTGCGCGTGTCGAGGTTATACATGGAGCACAGTCGACACGAGATGGAACAATCTTCTGTGACGTTAATTCACATAAATTCTTTTGGACCTCGGTGGTGGAATGATGCCCCGAACTTCTTCCACTACTTTTCCAATTTCAAGTTGCTATATACCGTCAAGGTGGTTCGTAAAATTATAGTCACATCTTCACAGAGCAAGCTCATGGGCATCAGACATGCGCGCCTCCTGAAAAGCAAAAGAAGTTAATATCGGAAGATAATCTTAATTGAATATCGTACCTCCACCCCAGTAGATAACTGCTTTGGTCTATCTTCCGCCAGGTATACTCACCAGGCGCAACATCTCAGTAGTGAGCTAACGAGAGTATTCCAACGATGCCTGGTTCATTGTGTAAACCGAGTCTCAACTCGACGTGGTTATCGGCAACCAGAGAAAAGTTGCACGATTTGATGCCACACAGTGGAACAGTCAGATTTAAGAGTATTACCGAATGTTTGTGCATGAATCAATGTTGCCTAAACTCAGACTGTAATGAGGTTCGTGTTCAGGAACGTGGCAATGTCTGAGTGCAATACCAATGCTATGCAAACGTGCAACCATTGCGTCACCAAGGGACTTGGCACGCCAACGTGTGGGACTTGGGCACTTGAAGTTACAAGTAGAATTATCATGAGCACCGACAGAAACAAGCTAAGAAACACCAGCACTCACCCCCTTTGCCATTGAACTTGTATAGGCACCAAGGACCTTGCACACAAATGTTTCCTCCGAACCTCTCAGAACGACCATTCACACGGCTTCCGCATCTTGCCTGGTCTGGGGCGAAGTAAAACGTCATCTGCATTTAGCACGCTCACAACTTTCAGTCCCGGATGTTTCGCAGCTAGGCCAACGCTCAAACGATCGTCAGTGTAATTGTTGTTGATGACCACCACGTTTCGATGGACGGGGCCATTTGAAAACACAGCAAGCTCGATGACCGCTAAAATTCGTTTGGCACTTGGGTTTGCGAGCGCACCACGAGAGAGGGAGGATGTTAACATTCCGTGGCATGTATAACTCACATAGGCGAACTTTTGAGCGGCACCCCACCAGAGAGAATGGCAATGCGATGTGATGGAGAAGAGGCCGCAACATGTACTATCTTAGTTGCAGCATGTGTCAAGAGTGTTAATGAACTGAGCATGCATGAAAGCTTACACGCGGAGCGCAAGATTCATAGTCCACCGCTAAGCGATATGCAAACGAGCCCATTGATATCGGAAGAACCGTAAATGTGTCTGTGATGGATGGCAATTTGACACTAGGGTTCGGGATAGAGTTCCTTGCTAATAACTCTCTATGGCTGCCTGTACCTCAGATGCCCATGTATATACTGCAGATCAGGTCAGAAATATATATCATTGAGACTTGAGTCAACCAGCGGCTGGACAGCTTGGACTGACATATCATTGATTAGTTGATATTGCCATACAATCTTTCGAACCATCAAGGTGCACCACCGCGATGAGCATCATGGTGATGTTGCTTTCATGCACAGCTACTCCATTTCCGAGCATCTGATCGCCACTCTTTTTCCTCAAACCTTCCCGTATCTATGATACTTGGTTGGACGATGTGCGGGAGAGTTCTACGACACTCGATGTGGAACCGAGATAGACTTGAATGCTGATGGGTTCCTTGTATGGTGGCTGACTCGGCACCTGACAGCGCGGGAAAAGATAAGGGTAAGTCTGAAGAGAATGACGAGTGGCCAGCGGGAAATGGCCTTAAGCGCCTTGGCTAATTAGCCAGAATTTATAGCGACTTTTTTTGGTAGTTAAAAACGACATCTGGCTAAAAAAATATAACACCCTCGGGCTGGCTAAAAAGCTTGCCTGAATAGTTTTATCCCAAATCCTAGTTGGCACACCATAAACCTCATAGACTAAGGAGTCGTTACTCACCTGTTGGATATGAGCGAAGAAGAGATATCACGGGAGCCTTGGTAGATGATAAGGTGTTCAGTGAAGGGGTCACTTGACTCGTTTGAGAAGCAATATATTGTATTAATGGTGCGGAGGTACGCTCCACCTGACCTGACAGCGGCGTTGACGTTTAGTGCGACGGCTGACGCGGATGTGGTACTGTCTTCAATATTCTTCCAACCCGCCCGTTGAACGTGATGGCGTGACTGTACAAGACAAACGGGGTAATTTGTTGGAGGACCGCGATTATGAATGGAGTCGGTAAGCTCTTACGAAAATAAATAGCCAATGAAAATTCTGCCGCGTGGCCCGAGTTCCAAGTATTTTTGAAGCGCTTCTAAAAATGTTGCAGCATATAAATATTTTTGAAACTCAGTTACTAATTAGGGACTAACTAACTCGACAAGTTACAGTTAGCAGTGCAAACTGTTCTATCAAGTGCTTTTTATGGACCTCCATTTGAAGATTTTCTATGATGTGACTTTGTCGACAGCTTGACGACTGGATATCCAATGAACATCTTTGAAGAAATCAAATCCCATACATGGCCGCTGCGCAGCTTGGTATTCGGCACCTTATGCTGTCAAATCGGTATAAGCTTTACTCAACCTGGACATAGTGCGCGCTGGATAAGGCCACGATTTATAGTTTTATTTTTGGCCGGAGCTTATACTATCATTTCGAAATTCGAAATGCATGTTGCCCATGTAGCACCCTATATATACTGGTTCTGCGTCTTTTACTTCGGGTTCTGTTTCTCCTCCCACTATTCCGGTGACACGGAGTTAACCGTCTACAGCTTCTCATACATTTCCCAGTGGAGTTTCCAGTCCTGCAGAACGAATATCCTCCTTTCCGACTTCCTCCCGAATTTTAAACTCCCGCATATATTGCGACCCGACGACTCTCCGTGTCAATCATCGACCTCTTTTTGTTTTTCCAACCACCCAAACTAATCGACATGCGTTTGTCGCCGTTCTTTGCTTCACGGGCCGCAGTCTCTTCTGCTATCATTGCAACCACATTCTTTACATTGTCCGCCAGTGCGCAGGACCGCACCACTGAACAGGGCGAGGCGCAGATCACTGGTAAGAATCAAAATATCATTCTTGCGTGCGAGTTACAGGCATTAGCCAAGACGGTTCAGAATGGAGATGCATGTATGTATATTCGCGGGAGCACTGTGCACCCTCCGAATCGTCACATTGACGCAAAGGGTGGACGCCGCTTCATTCGAGACTCTGCGTTGTTCAATTTGAACATGGACTTTTTCACTTGAATACAACATCATCATGCGACCATCTATCCCCAAATAAGAGGGAACCGAGGAATGTTCTGGCCTTCCATGCGGCCATGATGACCATGGCGACACCGCGTTGCTTTTTCATATTTTCCCGAGCAACATGTTAAAAATTCACGCTGATTACTTATCAACTCAGACCCCAATCAGGAGTGCACCCCATATTACTACGCGCCCGTCTCTGCTGCTCTCGCTGCGAACCAGTTCCCGCCTATTTGGACAGTCGCGACCATTCTCAGCAGTGACACCAATGCTCAAGCCAAGTACCAGTCCATCCAGAGTCAGATCCCAAATATTCAGCCCAAGGGCACCCAGCCCGGCTCCCTCATGGGTGACTTCAGCAACTTCACCCCGACGTATCCTTCGTCTGATCCAGATTGCTGGTGGACATATGATCAATGCACTACTCCAAAATTGGCTGGATTACCTCCGGATCTGGCTGCCGTCCCAGAGGTAGGTTTTTCTATCTCACCATGATCTAGCAATTGACTTTGTCTAGCCTGATACTCTAGGTTATGGTTTTGACGATGGACCTAATTGCTCCCACAACGTGTTCTACGACTTTTTGTCTCAAAATGAGCAAAAAGCCAGTACGTCTATTTTGCTTGTTTCAATTCTTATTATAACTATCCTCATTGCAATTTAGCTATGTTCTACATCGGCAGTAATGTCATGGACTGGCCTCTTGAGGCCCAACGCGCTCTAGCTGATGGTCATGAAATTTGTGTTCGTGAGTCTTTGCACGTTCGTTGTAGTGATGGCGCACTGATGTCATACTGGCGCAGACACTTGGTCGCACAGATATAGTAAGTGTTACGTGAACATGCTCATGCGGTTGATTATCTCACTATGTTCATAGCGACATCTTTGACCAACGATGAAGTCTTTGCAGAGTTTTACTATAGTATGTCGTCTGAGATAATCCCATTACCTTCTACTCTAACAACCTCTTCTTAGCTGTGAGATTTTTGACTAAGCACAGTCAGAAATTTATTGAGCTTAGCTTATAGATGGAAGCGATCAAGTTGGTGGTCGGCGTGACGCCTACATGCTGGAGGGTAAGCCTAACTACTGCCAGGCGTATAACTGTCTAATGCATTCATAGCCCCCCTACGGCGATGTCGACGATCGGGTTCGGGCTATTGCCCATGCACTGGGCTTGCGCACTATCATTTGGAAATATGACTCCAACGATTGGCGTGAAGGCGTGAACAACGTTACTGCTGCTGACGTCGATCAGAATTACGAGGCCCTCATTGCTCGTGCACAAAATGGCAGCTTCGCTACCGTACATGCCTTCCCTACTCCTATCGCAATCTATCGAGGACTGACATCGCTTGCAGGGCGGAACCATCATGCTCACACACGAGCTGAACAACTTTACCATGTCCGAGGCTATGAAATTCTACTCCCAGCTGAAAGCTGCATTCAAGTACCTCGTTCCTATGGGTGTCGCCACGAATCAAACTCAGCCATATGTCGAGACCAACTACTCTCTACCATCATTTGATCAATGTATGACCAATGTTATTTTATGATATCTATATTCACAGTTGTCCAGATATCAGCGGCACGACAACAGTCACCGGTGGTGTTCCAGTGGGTACATCGGGTTCCTCTACTTCAACAGGGTCCGGATCATCTTCTGGACACAAAACCAATTCCACTGGTGCTGCGAGCAGAGCCCTATATGACGGTTTTGGAATACTTGCTGCAGGTGCAGCATTCGTTGGCTTCTCCGTGAAACTCTTGGCGTAGGATCCTTGTCCTTTTTCTTCTATCTTCTCTTGTCTTTGTCGCGCCTATGGCATGCTTTTATTCCCAATCGTACATGGGCTATATCCCTGAACATTGCAACCCTCTCCACGCATAACATACCTCTTCCCCATACCGTCAACAAAAGTAGCGCCAATACGCTGGTGTTATATCTGTGCACGCCATTTAATATACCCGGTGGACTTTGCCGATATCACCTTTTGAGATATTGTTGTTCTATCTCCATGTTACCGGACTTTTTTTTTTGCTTTGCTGTCTCATAATGGACCACTATGGACGTGTCGAAGCGACGTTTCTTAACAATGTAATTACCATACTTGACGAACAGAGATGTTACGAACGAGGTTACAACGTAACGGAATATTAATGTTGGCGTTACGGCGGTCTACAGTGGTGAGCCGACTACAAGGATATGAGGTGCTCAGTAGTTCTTTAGTTACAGCCGCGTTAATCAATACAGCAAACTACTAGAATCAGAATTACGTGACCCCGACGACGGTCAACGTCTTGGTATATGAAGTGTGCCAATATGATGAGGCCCAGGTCTACCTGGGAGACCGACTTTAGTATAGGCATCTAGAATAGCGTCGCAGTCTTGAATGTTGATGGATTCTATGGTATGATGTGGTCAAATTTGATCTCCAGAGGAATCTGACATTACGGTCCCGGGGCTCATGTCATAGAAGATCTCGAGACGGGCTGGTCACGAGTCTAGCTAGGGCCCATGCATAATATGTGGCCATTTCCACGCAGGTCGATGGATTCTAAGACTCACCACATTGGAAATCCAAATTACATAAATTCAAACACATGATTTCAAATTGTAAGTCTTGTGGCTGTGCGTTGGAGTAAAGTACGGTGACATCATGCATCCAAAGTCACATCGAGTAGCTCCTCACCGCACTCCCACTAACACTCATCTCTCGAGCTCAGGCTAAATCTTGGTAGGTTTGCACAAGAAGGTCTTAATGTTCGCATATATAACGTTGACGATTGCAGGAAAATACCTCTCACATTAATCCCTCCTTAAGGCTTAAGCGTGTATATCCCTGCAAATCGTAGGATCGCGATGTCTACCAGAAAAAGATCAAAACGGGATCGTGCTTCTTCAAAAGCAACCTCGCAAGCCAAAGAGACATATCTGCCAGGCTCTTTGTCTGAAGGCTCTGACCATGTCAACCAGTCAGACTTGCCGCCTTCAAGACCACGCAAGGAGATATTAACGCCTGTGTCCCCACCTGGACATAGGGCGCCTTTGCGTTACTTCATATACACCTTGGTGACGACAGCCCTTCTCTTCACGGTGTGGTATACGTACACCACAGCTATGGAGCTCAGGCAGTGGAAAGAGGAAGTCGGGTGGTGGGGAATGTTCGTTGGGCGATTTGGGAGGCAACATGATGGATTGTATAGCAACCAGTGGAGAGGTCAGGAGGTGACGGGAGAACTTGAAGGGCATCTCAGTCAGCTTGCATTCGCGCTCGGAATCCCCGCAACAGACTTAGCTTCGGCTGTCAAACCACTTGTGCCACCTGCGACACTGTCTAGTCTTGCGCCTCAGGCTACCAGTGAGGCGATGAAGGTTCTTGTGGAAGACTTGCGTTAGAAAAAGTCCCCTGATGGTGTTGAAAGCACTGCTGAAGGGCTTGTGACTCAAATTCCACTTGTACATCGAGGACAATCTGTAATTTCGAGGATCAATGCTAGTTCTTACCGCATCGTAGGAATTATAAATAATATCAGACTGTATATAAGTCTGCTCTGTGTTGGCTCTGGGCACAATTACTGCAAGGGAGACTGAGCAACACCAATAAGATGTGTTTGACATAGACAATCCTGATTCGAACAACCTTTAGCGCTTTAATGATACAAATACATACAGTATCCGAAAACTCGTACGATGCTTTCAGTGTAATAGATGCGACACCCCCTAAGACTGGAGGATGCGTTCAATTAAATCCTGTGCCGCCAACACCAAACCGTCATTGAATTTTCGGCTCACAGTCTGCAGCGACACCGGGGCTCCCTTGAATATCGCTGCATCATCTGTACGTAATAGTCAGCTCATGCCATCCAATTTGTAAGAGCGCGACTAACACAAGGAGATGTTGTACTCATCCGCCGCGCTCATCGGGCTAGGTGACTCCAGATATAAATCAATGGCTGTGTCAGCGACGAGACCTGTCGGGAAGACTGCTCCTGGGTAGTCTAGCAAATTCCAGATAGCCGTGTAGCTAAATTATGACCTGTTAGATAGCCTGGCGTCCTGCGATATATTGTTACGAACCTCCAATATCTTGTAGTGTCATGGGGGCTAGCTGTACCTTGAAAGGGTGGGCATACAACGACGTCGACGTTTTGGGACCACCAGTGATCAGAGTACTCCCGCCGGTAGGTATCACGTAGATCACGTAGCTGGTAAGGTCAGCACCCTGTCGATAGACAGCAGAACGTCTCACCTTCCAAATTTGCGCAGCATCATGATTTTTCACGTATGGTGGACTGATTACCCATTCTGTCAGCGGGTGCATATCTTCTCCACTCTCCTCCAGAATATGTCGAACTGTAGCTCCTCCATCCTCATAGTAGAGCTCGCGCTAGAAACACATGAGTTACATGATGTAGATCCAACAAACTACCAGACTTACAATTATGCTGTATCCACGGTCGTGGTCGTACGGTGTGTAGTTTACCACCTCGACCTCTGACGATGCCTCCAGCTTTTCTTTCAAAAATTTCAGTGCTCGGATAGTTGGGGGATGAGGCATCACAACCCCATCGTGCATCATGATTCCTACGCGCAGTTTCTTTTGGGTCAGGTCTGGCACTTTCAGTGGAATAGGCAAAGCATCTGGGTCCCGATGTGAAGGATTGGCCCCAAGGACAGCTTCGAGGAAAAGTCGCATGTCTCGTGCTGAGCGACACATCGGGCCTGTTGAAGGAAACACTCCGTCCTGGCCATGTTGACTATGGTAGCTATCAACATGACTCCATGTCAAAGCTTGATATACTTACTACCACAGAGTTCCGTGGCTGGGTGTTGTCCGAGAAGACGGACGGATTCCGTATATACCACAATGGGCGGACGGACATCGAATAGATCCTCCGCCATCGCTTCATTGATAATATATCAGTTTCTATGTCATGTGTAGGAAACGGACTTACGTGCCAATACCCATACAAGAGCCCTTCATGGCGACAAGGGCCGATTCACCACCGGAAGATCCTCCTGCAGTAAGGTCCGTATTGTGGGGGTTCAGCTAATTGATTTGAGCCGAATAATGACTTATACTCGAGGAACGGCATACCACTCGACTATAGCAAGACTTAGACTCGAGGTGCATTATAGACTGTGGCTGATTGGTCTTGACATAGAAGACTACGAACATGCTCGAGCGATATTATGTTAAAATAGGGATCAATTACATACCTGCACCTAATGAACGCAGAATGCTTGTCATATCGCAGTCTTCCGTCGAAGTTTCCACATTCACGAGAAAGCCTGCAAATCCAACTGTCCCCTTTATTCGGTAATGGGCCTGAGGACGGCGGGGATTAAGAATAGATGACTGCATGTTCGGTGATGATACACTAACTTTGACTGAAATTGGCAATCCATGAAGTGGCCCAATGACCTTGCCTTCTTTTTTGAAGTACTCATCCAACTGCCGCGCCTGCTCTATGCCTTCATCGAGGAAGAAGTCCGTAAGACAACCTGTGAGCTGATGGGCGATAGCTGCACGCTTTCCAAAGGCAGTGACAGCCTCGACTGCTGTCAGTTCGTCTGCGGCAATCTTTTGGCACACAGCGGTTGCATCTAGTTCAGTGATAGCCAACTCTTGGGCAGTGAGTAAGCCACACGTCTCAGGGATATGAGTGACATCAAGAGGTGGATCCTCAAGAAGTGCTAGGGGAAGCTGGAGACCCTGTGGAATCTTGGCTTCAAGATGTCCTCGTAAGACGCGAGCCTTTACTTCGTATGAAGGATTACCCCCTATGCCTTTGATTTTCTCTTTGAAGGACGTCGTAGCCATTCTTTAGACTGGAATAAAGAATAGGAAAGTTGATACACTGGGTTGCAGTTTATGTACCATTCTCAAAAGTAGCTCTTCAGATAAGCTGTCCGCCGAAGATAAGCATGCCTTCTGAAGTTCTTTGTGGGGAGATGTATATGTGCCATGACAGCAATGCCAGCAAGGGACGAGTCACAAGGTTGATGCAGATGAATAGAACGAGGACTCCAGCCACTGCGCTGTCAGGACACCTGGCACTATAGACTGTCTCCGACTGGAGTTGATGATTGCATATCCGCAGGTCTATCATTCCGTTGCTACTGATGGGGCAAGAAGCAGGACATACAAGAACCTTGTACCGCACGGCATGGAAGTATGATCCTTCGAGGTTGTTCGAGGGCCAAAAATTGGGGTTGCATTTTCAATTTAGGTTTCGGAGATCCCATTGCTTATGGCAATAACGTTCCTACCAAGTAACTGCCATCAATGAAATCGCAGTCTGCTTGGACCTCGGGAATGCAGACCATCGTTCATTCCTTTACCACGTTCTAGGAGAAGGTATGGGTTTTATTTATTTCCTGGTTGGCATACTTCCAGACTTTTTCGTACAGAAATTAAACGGCTGTTAATCGACATAAATGTCGGCGAGCGGCTCGCAGAGCAGAAAGCGTAGCTGCCCAACGGCAGCAAGAAGTGCATGACAGACTTGACTTAGGAGCATCATCAAAATCTTTTCCGATTAGCTCATTAAGGACGGAAATGGAGTGAATACAAGTACAGGTTCAAGCGCCGAGCCGGCTCGTGACGAAGGCATGCCAACGAAGCGTTATCCAAATAGGCTGGATGTTTTTTGACGAACCTGAGGTGGGCTGTAATGTGCGCGATGCGAGATGATAGCATATTATGCCGGATCCTAAGCTGCGGTGCCCACTAAATCAAATTTGCGACTAGTGCGTGATTACAGCCAGAGAAAGGTTGGCTGAGCCGTATCCGCATGGGATCATCAACGTTTCCTTCAACTGCGCTATACAGAATCCCATGCCACCTCTCGTATTCTGAAAGGCCGTCTTTACCGGTCTACGTGACAATCTGCCGGCAGCCTACCAGCCTAGCCCTTGAACTTTATAATAAACTCACGTTGTGCACGCCACCTTCCAGTTCGACTGCAATGTAGTTTGGGATATAAGTAGGCGCCTGTATGCTTAGCGGAATGATCGATATTGCTGGCTCTAGAACCATCCGATGCTTGGAACTTGTGGAGAAACGTGTACTGCCAGGGTGACCAGACGCGCAGCGGCGCAGCCCGGGTTTAAACCAGTTCCGAGCTTCGAAAAGCTAGTGCCAGGTGGAAGGTCTTGCAGCTGTGTGCTTGTGATAAAGTCTTAAAGAACAAGAGGCTGATTAAATGTGAGAGTCTCGTTAAGAAACTACCAACATGTCGGGGCAAGTTGAAAAGTGTACTGTCTTGATTCATGAAGAAACATTCAAAGCTCGAACAGACCGTCATCTGACTCCGGAGTCTGCAAAAATTGAAGCTGGAATTGAATGAACAAGTCAAAAGTTAAAACTAGGCTACTTCGATTGTTCTTGATTGATCCCACGATCCGATGATGACTCCCAGGTGACTGTTTGGTGACTGATGTTCAAGTTGTTGCACCCTGCTAGCAAGCACCTGAACATTCAGGCTCATTTCAGATACATCCCAAGACGTCTATTATCGATGTCTCTTACATCTCCCGATGCATTCTCAGTCGAGAAACAGGTTGCGATTGCAGCAGTACGGAGAGCATGTCTGGTGACTTGCACTGTGTTCAATCAGTTAGTCCGAGACAGAACGGATACCCTCGAGAAGGAAGACGAATCACCAGTCACAGGTATCTATTTCCGTTTTTCAGGATCGAGGGTCATAGCTAACCAATTTCATGAAGTCGGAGATTATGCCGCACAAGCGGTTATCAATACTATCTTGAGGAATGCATTCCCCGAAGATCCTATCGTCGGCGAGGAGGGTGCAGATGCTCTCCGGCAAGTGTCAAATACTAGACTGCGGGAACGAGTAGTTTCCCTGGCTACCAACGCATTGCAGGAAGATCTCATCGACGGGGAGAAAGCGCAATGGGGCTTGGTTCTCAACACGAGTACAGTTCAGACGCCCTATTGAAGGGCGATAGATGAAGGAAACGATAAAGGTGGTCCAAATAAACGTGAGACTACATTGTATGTCATTAATTCCATATTCTGACCTGTACTAGGCATGTGGACAGTTGACCCTATCGATGGAACGAAAGGCTTCTTACGAGGCGGCCAGTATGCCGTCTGTCTCTCCCTCATTGTGAATAGCCAGGTTGTGCTGGGCGTCATCGGATGTCCAAATATACAAATACACCCTGCAAACCCTGATGAAGGGAAGGGCTGTATATTTGTTGCTGTCCGAGGACAAGGCGCCTTTCAGGTAATCTCCAATTCTGTGTGCCATGTGTTTAATTCCCCTAATTTCCTTACACAGATCGCCTTGTCTGGCACTGGTGCGATTAAACTCCCTTACTTTCTTCCAGAGAAGTCATACGTCCTACAATCGGAAGAATTAAAGCACACTAATATACCATTGATTCGACGGGTTTCCGACGAACTCCACCTCACTGAATGGGGAATGGACAGCCAGGCCAAATATTGTTGTCTTGCCAGAGGAGAGGGCGCAGTGTATCTTCGCATGCCGGCGTCTACTGTTGGTGGTAAACGGCCTTACGAGGAGCGAATTTGGGTAAGTTGTGAGACAATTATTTATTTAGTAATACTGATAATCCTGACATGTAGGATCATGCCCCTGGAAGCATTCTCGTTGAGGAGGCGGGTGGCAAAATCACAGACTCTGAGGGCGCTCCACTCCGGTTTGGACTTGGCAGGGGAATGGGAGAAAATCGTGGCTTTGTGGCCACAGTTGATGAGGAACTTCACGGGCGAGTGGTATCAGCTATCAAGCGGGCTCAATTCACGGAGCATGCTGAAAATACACCTCAAAGATGAGGTACCACCTTGTCGTGTATCAGACGCTGGTACAGCATTTGGTTCCCTGCATACCTCCTATTCGGACAACTAGTAGAAGTTTGTCAAGCCGGGCGTTAGCTGAAGGAGTTGGTGTTCTTCGGTCGCCTTCTGAAGGCAACCAATCTAGTACCCTCTCCATACTGCTTCCCACAGATGAATTAAAACATTCTATTGGAAATTTCCGTTGCACTCTGGCACAGGGCGATGCTTGGCGCTTAACATCTAGTTGACTGTTAGTGCTCGTTTCGACCAGCTGATCCGTCCAATCTCTTGACCAAACACTCTGCCGAGACTCAAGCGTCTACGATTACGCCACATTTGATCATTTTGAGTGTTCAGCGCGCGTTATGACTAATTAAGGGACGTGTGAACAGATGGAATCAAATCGAAAGCGGTGATGATTCTGTCAAAATCTTTCACATCCCAGTGGGTGGCGCTTGTCTTTAGCACTTCCTGGCACCTCCCGTTTTGCCGTTTCGCTGCCGCGGAGCGTTCCTATGAGCACCTTGGCCGGGCGCTTGATAGCATGAGCGCTATATCTGATGCTTCTTGCCTCATGGTCATCGGCCGCGACGACTACCAGCGCTAATTCGCCTGTTATTTACTGCCGAGCTTTTTGGTCTACCGTGTATTCTATGCTTCCTAGCAAAGATGATTGATCAGGCCACTCTTCAAACTGCGACATATAGCATCAGGCATATAGCTACCGGACAATACGCTGCTCTCGAGGACACCAATAGGACTTCGACTTTGATTGTCCTTCAAGATAGTCATTTCGAGCACCTTGCAGTGAGCTTTCACAGAGTTGGCGTCTGTATGCTAACTTTTCTTTGACAGTGGGTCTTGGACAAGCTGGCTGGACTCGAGGACACTTATCATATCAGGAGTTTCTTGCAGAATACTTTTGCTCAGACGGGAGAGTCTCCCACCGCGGGCGCTGGGATCATTTCTGGGACGGAATCGTACCCGTGGTTCATTCGTCCTGCTGCCAGCGGTTTTGGTGACTTCTACCTGTGAGTGACGTAGTCATCATTGACATGTTTTTTAAACATGCAACGTAGGATTTCACCTCATGAGGATCCCTCACTCTATTGGACCATCGTGAAGACAAGGGATGGTACAAATGTAAGCTTATCGAAATTTGACTTCCAGCCTCATGCTCATCAGCTGTTGCAGGCTATACTAACCAACAATCCACAACACCAGGTATACTGGCAATTCGTCAAGATGTCTGCCTAGGTTTGGTACAAGCTGGGAATTGGGTGGGGTGCGACACTGGACCTGGGGTGCCAAAGTGGAGTGCGAGGTGTCATAGTTCAGCGTCACGTCCAGCCAGATCTCAGCGGGATGTATTCGTAGGTAGTATGGTTTTCTATGCTCTCAATGATTCATTAAAATTTTAAAACGTATCTGCCTTGCATCTGAGGCTGTGCTTGCGATGGGTAATCCAGTCACTTCTTTTTTTTTTTCCATTGCCGGCGGACCGGCATGTGTAACGTACCCTGTGTTCATTTATTTAAATGATGGCATTCGCGGCTGCAGTCCGAGCATCACGCCTGTGACGGCAACTTGGCGCCACCCCAATTATGCATCTTCGCCTTCCTCGAGGCCACCTAAGTTTGAACTGCCGAATGCCTGTCCATTGAACTTGAGAATCCGAAATTATCCTGTGACACCGTTTCATATGCTGTCTCGACACCATCGTGATTGTCGTTACGAGGCGAACTCGGACCACATGGTTGACCCCGATCCGACTATAAGAATGGTTGGTAAATGCAAGGTTTGCTCTATACACTGTCCCATTTCGAGAAACACAACTCGTTCATTTGCTTCCCACTCACTTTCGCGACGATGACAATTCTAGGCAACCTTAAAACTGGAACTTACACTCTTAGGAATGCTAGTACAAATGACTTTCTCGTTGTACAAGGCCCAAAGGATGCCGCTACCCTGGTAACAGGCAATGATGGCCGGGCAGAGAATGCCGCAGTACGTCCAACCTACAGGTCATATAGAGGGGCATGATAAATAACATTCTATAGTGGGTCATTGAAAAACTCAGTGGGCATTACGACAAGTACAACATCAGAAGTTTCGCGCATAACTCCTATGCCACTGTCAACTCTATCCAAAAAAGAAGTGCTGCACTCACATGTGGGCGCCAGGTGTGCCCTTGGAGCATCAGACCAACTGGATATGGCACTTATGTGTCTGTCTCCCATCAGAGTTTATTATGCCCTATCTAACAGACGAACATGTACATCCAGGATATCACCACACTCAGACGCTTCGCTGTTTTGGAGCCTAAAAAAGTTTGATGATCGCTCACAGGTAAATGCTCTTGTGAATTGCAGGGTCTACTTACACAGCAGTTAATACAGGCGCTGTTGACGGACGATCGGACTAACACCGTCCATTGGTACTTGCAGCGTGTATCGGCCTGAAGACCTGAATAGACAATGGGCTGCGGTACAGATGAGGGATCATAACCCCCTTATCCTTATTCCAAATTTTGTGTTCGACGCAGAGTGATTCCTTGATGGATAAGGCAAGCTAAGCGGAGGCGCTGGTATGATAGTATATGCGATGTGACTTCTATGTATTCGAACTCAGACAGATTCTTCGAGCTACACCTTTATAGTCGATCGCTTAATGATGTTAGATGGCATATCTGCCGCATACCGAACAGCTGCGACCGTAAAAATCGATTCCAGTTGGAACTCCATATGATGATACGCCCGCAGGCAGCGAATAATATTGCTGTCTGAATGCGTGCTCAAATTCAGCCCTAGATGATGCCATCCCTGACTACGTATAGCTTGAGTGACCTAAAGAATGGTGAAGGTCTTCGGAGAACCAACAAAGTCGGTGACTTGAGAATTCTCATCATTCTGCGTGCTGGTGATTGATAGGTACACGGGACCAGTATTTGTGGCAGACTCGCCTAAGCACACCCGATATTTGGACTGCTTGCTTCTTGTTCATACGACATCAAGGTTTTAATAGTTCAGGTTACACACCGCTTCAGTGAACTGCGTGTCAGGGGGCTCCTCATGAGCGTAGCGCTGTTCTAAATTGTGTCATCAGGTGGCATACCTTCCGTACTCACCTTCAACGTTACATGCAGATGTCATAGTCAGCAAGGCTTCGGCATCTTCGATACGACACCATCGGCTGTTTCTTTGACAGCCACGACACAGCCTGAATCACTTGTTCAACATGATACACGCAGCCTGCTGCGTCTTACAAAACGTTTACCAGTGCTGGTTGGATAATCCTGTCAAGATATGGAGCTACCCAGTAGACTCGCGGCTGTGTGTAGAAGAAGAGACGCTTGATGCGCAGCTTGGATTGGGTCCGCGGCGTTTCTGGGTGTCCAGCAATTATATTGCAACAGCATCCCAAGTCAGTTGACGAAACAATCTGTGTGGGTTTTCTGCCTGAAAAGTTGATTTCGGGGACAAGGTGGTTTAGTTTGATCAAATGATTTGCTAACATTTCCATGGGTGAAGGCTATCGTTGATTCATCAACGGTCTTTTGGGGCACCTCAGCAGTGCGGCAATCAAAGGCAAGTTCCCCACAATGTAGAGCGCGTATTATGGAATCGCAGAAAAAAAAACTCCGCTGTGAGGTGTGGAGACGGGAATGTCACGTCGATGAGTGATCTGTGAGGCGTACAAAGAGTGTGTCAGTGGCATGTCAAGAAGTGGGTATGTGTGGTTGGATCAGATGCGTGACTGGTTCTTCTGAGGCACGTATAACGCATGCCATACATGCGCAAGAAGAGCCAACTTGCATAACCGGCGTCTTGATGCAATAAAGTGAAGCTGCCGACCGGTATGATGGTAGGGCGTGTCACAGTGTGTGAGCAACTCGGGTTGGCACTAGTCACAGAACTTTTCAAGGGGCCTGTGTGAAGTATGATTTGGATAGTCACTGGTCGCTGTGTCGAGATATGCATAGTTTTGGGCTGCAGATGCCATCATCAGATGCAGCGAGGCATAGAAAGAGTATGGAAAGAGGCGTTGTTCCCTCTCTACACTTATTGTGTAACATATTTCGTCACGGAGCTTGAAACGATCTTTGATTTGTTTCGTTTAGAAACACTATCTGGAATTGCGAATTAAACCAAGCTCATTCACAACTATCATGGGCAGGAACAGTACGCAAAGCACTCCACGCTCGTGTTTTTTCTCATCTGTTGGTTTACAGACTCCCAGAAATCATCTGTACCGCAAAAATCCAGTCAGTCCTCATTCCCATTTCTCCAGCACCTATTGCAGAAAGAACAAACGCTGATCGAGCCCAAAATGTTGCGCACCAGAGCTCAAGAAAGATCCTGGAATACCAAGGCTTCCTCAACTAAAGGTTCGGATTGCGGAAAAGCGGAAATCTAGTTCTGTACGTTGCAAGTTTTAACTGTTGGTACTTCGTCTTGAGCTGCTACCCCTCATAGCCTGCTATACCCCAGCCCGACGATCCAGATGCCTACATGGCTGCTGAACCCACCCTGTCTTCACTAGCAGCTCTTGCTTCAGAGGCTCAGGAGGCTGTAGACCAGGATGCCGCCTCTTATGCGTGTTCCTCACAGAAGACAAAGGAGCAAATTCGCCGCCACTACGTCCGTATGTTGCACAAAGTAATCGATGAAAGTGACATCGTCATTCTTGTGCTTGACGCTCGCGATCCGGAGGGATGTCGGAGTCGACTAGTCGAAGAAGAGGTAAGACGAAGAGAAAGCGAAGGGAAGAAGCTTGTATTTGTGCTGAATAAAATCGGTATGAATGTTGGTTTCATTTGGTGTTTGCATGTTTCCTCACCGTGTTCTGCGAGCAAAGATTTGGTTTCAAAAGAGAATGCCCAACAATGGCTGCGATACTTTCGACATTCCACACCGACACTCCCATTCCGTTCTGCTTCCTCCAATCAACGTTCTAATCTCAGCTCTACGACAGCACCCGGACTTATGCGCCTTCTCAAAGCATTCAAACCCAGTTCACAGAGTATCACAGTCGGTGTTGTTGGTTTCCCGAATGTCGGTAAAAGTAGCCTCATCAATTCTTTGAAACGATCAAAGGTCTCAATTTTCCTGCTACTACTCCTGCCGAATGTCTTACATGTGATTCCAGGCTTGTGCAGTGGCTGCACAGCCAGGTCACACGAAAGACCTTCAATCCGTGCAGCTGGAGCGAGGAATCAAAATAATCGATTCACCTGGTGTAGTCTTTGATGAAGATGACTCTAGTCAAAAGGGCAGCATTCTCCTTCGAAATGTAGTCAAAGTTGAGGATATGGAAGATCCCATCGCTGTTGGTGCGACAAACTCAGTTCTTGGTGGATGGATTGCTAATCGCGCTGTTTCAGTGGAAGAGATCCTTGCGCGGACAGAACACGAAACACTCCAAAAACTATATAATCTCCTTCAGTTCTCAAATACACTGGAGTTTCTCACCATGGTTGCGCTCAACAGCGGACGCCTACTCAAGGTCAGCTTTATTTTTGTGAATTCTAGCACTTCACACAACTGTTTCATTTACAGGGAGGTACCCCTGACCTACTTTCAGCTGCACGTCACGTTCTCATGGACTGGAATCACCAAAAAATCCCCTACTTCTCCGTCCCGCCCACCATTCATCCCTCGTCGATGCCTTCTGCCGCAACAGGCGCAGAAACCGTCGGACAGTCCCAAATCCTTAATTCATTCTCCAAACCATTTGAGCTTGCAGGTTTGTTTGGCACAGCGGACGCCGGCGCGTTCAATGAAAATACACCAATGGAGGAGGTAGCTATGGATAACGGTGAAGTCGACAATGACACTGCTGTACAGGAATCTGGCATGATAGTTGATGATGGCATGACTGCATCAGCACTCTCACTCTCACTCCCGTCATCCCGCAAGCGTATCCGTTCGCCCTCGCTGGTCACACAGACAGGAGCTACCGACTCCTCGGCACAACTGCGCATACCGAAGCGGTTCCGTCGCGCGAAGGACCTTTCTGCATACGAAGAAGTCGCTGCGCGGAGCCAGAGCCGCGCGATCAATAGGCGGTCGCTGAAGCAGGATCGCAAGCGTGCACGAAGGGCTGCTAACAAGTTGACTAAGGCTGAGTCGAGGATGGAGGTTGATGGGCTGCAGGAAACATTTATTGCTGATGTGCAGGGATAAATCAATGTTCTTTCTATCTGCATATCATGGTATTTGGTTTTGTGCAATGTCAAGGGAAGTGCTGCCCGCCAGAGCCCGGCGCTGTGTGAAGTTTCGCTGTGAGCTACCTTTGTTGCGATGACAATTGCTGATGTAAACTAAAACATGTCCAATCCTCCCCGTTGCCAGTCATTTTCGGTCTGCATTTGGTCGCAAAATGCATACTAATTGCAATTCTGTAGGCAAAAGGAAGAACTCACAAAAAGTAAGTCAGCATCCTTGAATGTAGTGGTGCCACTGCAGTGGGATCAGTGTATCGTACACGAGTACGGCAACAAGACAGATGATGAATCGCGTAATAATCATGATGATAAGGAGTCGAGCTAACTTTGCAGCCCATTGTGCCGTCATAGTACATCAAGAGCAATTTCAAAGCTCAGAGTTTGCGGCTGAAACGATATTCGCAGAGCAGAGCAGTAAACTGCGCATTACTACGAAGTAGTGCTTTCTTCCCGCTTCGAAATTGATGTAGAGGATACGTCTTTATGTCCCGATGCGAATTTCGTCACTGCAGGGTTATTGCGCATCACATGACCATTGACGCGAGTCGGCGTCAAGGTTGCTGGATCTTCTGATCATTCTGACAAGTCTCAGCTTACCATCGAGGGCATCTATAAAAATGTGCTTGCCCATCTTTGGAACCTGCCTGTCAATTGTTCTTCGTTATCGAGATTGCATCGAAGCTCTTGGGCTTAATATCGAATCAAGTCCTATACTAGTATGGCAACCAGTTGAATATCACTGAATTCGTCAGGTAATTACTGACACATCATTCCTTGCTCTGCAGGATATAAAGTAAGGATCAGGTTAGCAGACTACCGCACTTGAATCATGGTCGATTCCGCCACACCAGCACAGACAGACCAGCCCCGCGTTGCACTCATCACTGGCGCAGCCCAGGGCATTGGACGCGCTATTACGCTGCGGCTCGCAGAGGACGGACTGGACATTGCCATCGCTGACTTGAAATCACAGCGCACGAACCTCGACGGCATCGCGGATGAGGTAAGGGCGAAAGGGAGGCGGTGTCTCGTTTTGGAGTGTGATATTTCACAAGAGGAGGAGGTCCAGCGCATGATGCAGGCTACAGAGCAAGAGTTCAACAGTTTGGACGTCGTACGTGTCTCGTAGGCTGTCCACCTACCAAACTGTCTGACGGATGGTATTCTAGATGGTAGCGAATGCCGGACGAATCGTTGTTAAGCCTGTGGTTGATTGTAAGCCAATCATATATTTGGTCTGTTTCCGTGATGTCATCGTATCCCAATAGCTACCCTCGTCGATTTTGATGAGGTCTTCAACACCAATGTGCGCGGGACATTTCTCTGCTTGCGTGCTGCAGCGCAAACTATGATCAAGCAGGGGCGTGGCGGGAGGATCATCAGTATGTACGGTCCTTTGTTCTTTTGTTTTGGATAATAATACCGTTTCTATAGGCGCGTCGTCGGTATTAGGAAAGAAAGCCATGCCGTTCAACAGTATCTACAGTGCATCAAAATCTGCCATTCGATCATTCACACAGGCGCTCGGTGATTCTAGTCATTTCATTACTTCGTCTAATCTCATCTTGGCCTTTTTGCGCTGTAGCGAGTGAACTCGGATCACACGGCATCACCGTGAACGCCTACGCTCCTGGACCAGTTGATACTCTTTTCAGTATGTTTGCTCCATGCTGTGTTTCATCTGCCACCTTCGTCTCCCTACCCTCATCCATTATTAATCTTCTTTGTTAGTTTTTGTATCCTGATGCTGACGCTAGTATCCAGTGCGAGGCTCTGCCGAAGACTTTGCGAAACAGGTAGGGCTTCCTGATGGCAAGGCATTTATCCAAAATGTATGTATCAGTATCTCTCTCTTGAGATGAGGTTTTTTGATCACTTCACTCGCTTAAAAGTACCAAACGAATGTGGCGCTGGGGCGGATTGGAACGCCCGAAGACATTGCGAACATAGTATCGTTCCTCGCAGGCAAAGACTCTGCCTTTATCACTGGGCAGACGATCACAGTTGACGGGGGATTATGGATGGATTGATATTGTACCCTTGCTGGTGCATTCAGTGATAAATAGCTGAGTTTCACGTCCCGAAGTGGTATGCTCCAGAGGGAGAACCAGTATCCGTTACCAAGATACCTTGTTTGCAAGCACTTCGGTCATATGGGCGTACTAAGAAGGGTGAAGATATATCATGAGACAATGTTACGATTTCCAGCTTCCATCGCAATCCACACAGTTTAAAAGTCTTTAGAGGACGAGGGTCACGATGTTTTCATCGCCTGCCCAGTGATCGTCGGATATGATTGTCCTGACATCACCCTTGTATCTTCGGTGCATCATCGAGGAATTAATGGTTTCGTAGGAATCGTACAACCACCAGTACGTCCGACTCGGAATGGATGTGAATGAGTCGGAACAGATTTAAACCTGTCGTTTGGTAGGTAGTACAAAAACTTTTTCCACCATTGCAAAATCGCAGCCCTTGAGATGGGGGGTTTCCCTCGGGCCTTAATGCCTCGATCAGAATTGCGCTGGAAGGGCGTAGGCCAGATGTCTGATGAAGCGTTCCGAGTCGGAATCGGAGAACCTCATCAGACATCTGGCCTACGAACTTCGGATGGGAATTGAAGGAGCTTGGGATTATTAGTGTCCAAACGGTGTCGATGTTGTACTAAGTTAGGAGACTAAGTCGCTCGCTAAACAAAGTTGAGTCGGAGCTTGGAATCCCCTCCTCAGTTCGGACTTGGTGAAGGAGCATCTGTGCTCGAGGTTGATAGCAACATAGGTGTGTCATATCGAGCCTCGCGAGTGTTCGGCCCAAGCTCACGCAGGCTCCTAGATCTTATTGATATACACATTTTACGATCCAGTGAATAAGCATAACTATGCGAATAGAGTCTCAACCCTTGATTTTAGCATCGCTGGTACTTTGTAGCCTGATCGACATGGCAATCCCTAATGAGGATGCTCGAGCTTCCGTCCCTAACAAAGCCAAACATACTTCATGGTGAAATATTTTCCGAACTAGCCCGTGCACGGTGTATTGCTAACATAATGCCATTTGAGTAGATTTCCATGAACCTTCAAGTAACTGCATACGCGCGTTGCTACAGGCGGCAAAATGTAGAGCTTACGATTTCATCCCGTAGTGAAAAATTGCCATCGCGCTCATTGTCGATGATCTACCAGAGGCTCTCCGAGTCATAGTCACCATGTGCGTAATTCTGATAGAATTGATAGCAATACCTGCTTGACTTTTTATATCACCTTTAGATTGCTTGCGATGCGAAGCGTCTTGATTGGTGTTGGGCAGGTTGGTTTAATAAAATACAGTCGGTCAGATCTGCGCTTTAAAGGTACGCTGAGTAGTCTTATTAAGTGAGACGGTCGAAGGAGGATGCTAGCTGTTTTGTTCAGCGTCCCTGTACATACCATGCCCCATCTTCGTATTACATGCATCAAATTCATCGTGCTGATGGTCGTCGCAGGTCATTTTTATCGCGTGTTCAAGCTATGAGGTCGAGAGGTTAACGAGGAAGACGCGTGATGCATTCATTTGGCCCGCATGTATCAGCTGTACTCTATAATTGGTTGGTAATTGTATATTATACCTTTGTGATGCAAATGCAGCGACATTGGTGGCATTAATTTGATCCTAGGTGAGCAATCGGAGTATTCGCAAGAGCATTTACACCTGTATTGCCTCCGGATATGGGCAATTACTTTGTGGTTGTGGACGTGATTGTGGATGTTATGGTACGTCCACAGTAGCCCAGCATTTAAATTCTGACATGCAGATAACCTTCACCACCAGACACACCACCACCACCACCACCACCACCACTACCACCTTACAGTATTTGCAACGTTGCATCTTCTCTATATCAACTATGAATTCGTTCAGGAACATTTTCCAAAAGTGAGTCTACCGTTCTCGTGCTCTACTCGTCGTCATCATACTAATCAATACACCTCAGGTCCAACGATGACCGGAAGGCGTCGCTGAAGCACTCCAAATCAATGACCTCACAACACACACACTACCATGGGCCGACTGACGCAAACGTCGACTCATGCACAGACTTGCTGGACAAGTCTTCCTATTCCCCTGAACCAACTGAGCGCGTCCCTCGACGTGGTTTCAGAGCGCTTTCTTTAAACTCAAAGAGCTTCAGGCCTCAAGTGCCTGTAAAGCAGAGGTATGTTAATCAAGCTTCAGCAGATGTACTGCAGATCCCTAACGACCATACTTTCATTGTCAGACTGGCAGAACGTATTCGCACCAAGTCCAATGCTGGTCGCTTAAACATCCCTCCTCCATCCGCTCCTGCTCCCCCTCTTCCCAACCACCACTACCTTCATCGAGTACTCTCGCGTTCCGCATACAAATCACTCGTAAACATTAGTGAAGTTGCGTCCCACGTCGCCGTCCAGACTCTGGCGCCAGCCCATCCCAAATACGATGAGATTTTGCAGGAGCAGGACCCGACTGTACTCCGTAGAATGATAAATGATCATCCCTTGTCGCCTGTTTGCAGCGAACCCTACCCAGAACATATGCATCCCATGCATTTTGACATGGACGAGCCGCAGCTTGGGTGTCCCAAGAAGACACTCCAATTCTACATCAACGAGGCATTGGCCCAAGGCCGTCCCTTGGATGTACGCGCAGGTGGCCGTTACCGCCGTATCGTTGACGCGCATGACCCGATGGACATCGTTTCGGAGACTGGATCTGATTGGGATGAGCGGAGTGGAGAGTAGTGATTTTATGGACACCAAAGTTTGTTTTGTGAAGAGAAGTTTGGCGCTAGTTTATCTACTCGTATATGATACCTATGGATATGGATATGATTTATGTAACGAACTTTATTTACCATTCGAACGAGATCATGTTCAGTAGGACTCATCGGAGAAATTTTGAAATTGATTCGATTTAGTAGCATTCACTGTACACGGACTTGGATCCTCCAACATATGTTTTCAATAGTCAACATGACCAACGTACAGTACCAGAACAGATGAGACATCCGCTCTCTTGGATTGCGGCTTGAAACCTACCAACAAATAATTTTTTTACCTTTTATAACACCTGGACATTTACTCACGTACATATGTTTGTCGGATGTGCATTCATGGCGAAAGTGGTGTACACGGCAAAGTTTCTCTTGGATTGACGGAGCTTAAAACCTGCTGACAACGATTCTTTTCATTGGAGCACCCTTTGACACAGAGGGCAGAGCTAGTAGTAGGTCAACTCATGAATTAACAGAGGGAGGGTACGGAAGCGCATATCGCAAGACTGAGAAAACAGTAAGCAGTAAGCGGCATTGTCTGGAAAAATATATCACCGAGTGGAAGAGTGTAACTGTGTAAGAAACTCACGACAGTAAGATGAGAAGCGAAACAGTGTACAACAGGGGCCTGGGATGATACAAGTGAGTCATGACCAGGCCGAAATGTAGTCGGTACTATACGAGGTAGCGGTCGGACACGGCGGACGAGGAGCAAGACAAGGTGAAGATGCTATCGACAGAATGATAAACGAAACAGTTTTGAAGAGATCTAGAGAAATGCACGCTGGACGATGAAAGGAGGAGAATATTTAGTACACGAGCGCGCTGGATAAACAATGAGAAACGAGGGCAAAACGATGAAAGACTGAGGGGAGGAGAGCGCGAGTCACGCACGAGTTCTAGATTGCAGTCGACTTAAGCTGAGATGAAGGGTACCCATTTATATGCATCTAATGATCCATTATCTTCAACGACATGAGCTAATTCCGGTAACTTCTCGATGTATTAGTTCGTTCGGCGAAAGGGTTGGGCCGAGGATTAGGTTTGCGATCGACACTAACATGACACTCTTGAGCACTGAAGTGGAATGTAAAATAAGCAAACGCAGGCTCGCATGGTCTTGGCTGTAGTGAGCTCGCCAATGTTAGTAGAGTGTCGCAGGTTTCACCTGCCAGTCGGAGCTGGTTCAAGATTGATCCGGCAGCCTGAACGGCACGTCATGACAACCATGTGTGCTCGAGAGGTTCATAGCAAACACAGGTGTGTGATATCGAGCCTCGCGAGTGTTGGCTGCCGCTTAAGCTCTTAGCGACTTTAAATGAGTTTTTCGCCTAACATCACGTGATTGGCTAAAAAGCAGCTAATAACTCCCTAACTCTCAGACTGGCTAAAAAACTTGCCAAAATACATTTATCCCGAACCCTAATGTGATCTTTCAATGGCCCTCATCACCATCTCAGGTTACCCATCCTCTGGAAAATCAACACGCGCAGCCCAAATCTACGATTTTCTCTCAGTAGCTTCAACCCCTCAGCTCAAAGTAAAAGTCATCTCAGACGATGACTTGGCCGTCGACCGCGTGTCATATGATGGTATTATCCTATCTTCTTCCTTCTCTCCTGACTGACCCCCGGCAACCAGACTCGCTCCAAGAAAAGACCGCCCGCGCAACTCTCTTCACCGCTATCACAAGGCACATTAACAAAGACACAATCCTCATCGTAGACGGGATGAACTACATCAAGGGGTTTAGATACCAGTTGTATTGCAAGGCCCGAGAGGCTGGTGTAAGGGTCGCTACGGTGTGTAATACATCACGATATCCTCACTCACACAACTGATGCAATCGAGAAAAGTAGGTTTATGTCCTCGCTACGCCTGATCAATGTCGGAAATGGAATGACGAACGAGTAGATGGGAAGAGATATAATCCCAAAACGTCTGTCTTCCCCTCCATTTTTTCACCCATTCCTAACCTTGAAACAGCCTCGACGCCCTCATCCAGCGCTTCGAAGAGCCTTCATCTATGGTCCGCTGGGACGCCCCACTCTTCACCATCCCCTGGGATGACCCAACACCTCCACTCGAACGCATATCGGATGCAGTCACAACTGGCATCGTCAAACCTCCCAACGTCGGCACCCAGATCACACCAAAAGCACCCACAGACGCCCTCCGCACGCTTGAGCATACGACAAACGCACTAGTTTCTGCGCTCATGGCTGCTCAGGCTGCTGGCCCGATTGGGGGACCTATCGTCATCACCGTCGATGCGCTCGAACCTAGTTCGAACAACAGTGCTATTGATAGTTCTGTGCTTCGTGTCTGCTTAACACTCCCACATCGTGCACTGACGCTGTCAGAGCTGCAACGGCTCAAACGCCAATTCGTGGCTGCGCGCCGGAAAGCTGTAACACTGGGAAGCACGGAAAAGGGGAGGGTGGAATGGGGAGAGGAAGGCGTGGGACGTGCGTTTGCTGAGTTTTTGGAGGAGGGGTTGTGTGTTACGAGGTGACTTGCACGTTAAGTATTCAAAACAAGAGCATTGGATTCAGACTCCTGGGAATAATATAACGCAGGGCTTGGGTACGCATATCGAAGATCAAATGATTAACCCAGGTGAACACAATCTCTCATGGAGTCTCACTTTTTCGTACAGTTTTCATAGATGGGTCGCAGTATTCAATCTTCGAATGTTTTAGAATGACTTGCAAGTCTTCTCCTTTGTGCTGCGCAGGACCAGGTCTTACCTTGACGTTGTGCTCAGATTCAGCAAGTACAACAATGCCGTCAGACCATCCAAAGACTCAGTGGTGTATGATGTTTATCACTCTGTTTGACGAAGCTGCCGCCCGCGTGCTGATTTCCTACTGACTATCAAGTTGTGTCTTCGTTCAGCATAATTTTGGTCATGGTTCCTCCGATGCGTTGCAGTATACCTGACCATCCATGCGCTTATCGTTGGACACAGATGACATAGGTTTCTATCACAAACTCATGAGTGACCGCATCACCAACTAATCATATATCATGTCACCAGCCTGTACGTCGTCATCCAGTATCTCCACCCCATCCTCGTTAACCTACGAGCAAGTAAAGGATGATCGGGGCCAGATAATGGTGGTAAATTGTATGCATTGGTCAAGCACGTAACGAACTCTACCAAGCCTACCTCCACCAGTTATCTTGTACGATCCAACCATCGCTTCATGAAGGACGCCTGATAAGCCACAAGATGAGACATCACACCGTGAAATTTGCAAATGATATGTCGGACATTGGGATATGCATAGAGGAGCTAGAGCCTTGTGCATGGTTCACCTGCCAGAGATGGAGGTGCATGCGCGTGGCGAGGGTTGCAAGGATCATGAACTGGAAACTGTACGTGGGTGTACGTTTCAGGTATTATTAGTAAAAATACGCAGCAGGATGTGGAGATGCATACTCATACAATATGACGCGGTAGGAAGACTGGGGGGTTGCGGAACATCAATGGCTCGATCGTAAAGGACATTGTGGAAATACACGCACATGCAGGAGCAGCAGTATGAAGACGTTCGTTACTGAAAATACTTTAGGAAAGAGAATAAATATGGATGAGGACGAAAAAATGGCGCATACAAGTGTTAACTCACGAAGACCACATGCATAATAGGATATGCTATGCTTCACCAGGACATCATACAGACAGCTTGAGTTTCTCCGCCAGTCCTGCATGGTACGTATGAGCGTGAGCATCATGAGTCCTGTGGAGGACACCTGTCAGCACGTGTTTGTACATATGTGTGGTCCTGGTTACCCACCCAATTGCAACACGGAAAGGAGAAGAAATGGTATGAATAACCAGTAAGTGGTCGAAGACTGGTAGCACCCTGTGATGCCCGAGATCGCGCTAGTTGCATCTGTTAAATTGAATGTAACTTTTTAGTGGTCGTGGAATGCTAGAAGGGAAGGTGAGTGCGCGTACATGATGCGGTAGCAGTGGTGGCGATGACAATACCACTAGAGGCCCCAAGAAAAGACTGGTTCATGCATCTGTTACTAACTTGGGTATGGTGAGTGGATTGGGAACTCACGAGAAAGGTGGACAGCATGGCTACGAGCAAGATTCTATGATTGTCCCAGAGCACATATATTCTAAGAATGAAAAACCCTAGATGAATCGCATCAGAACCACAAGTATAGTGTGGGGGAACGAGAGATACATTCGGAGAAAATAATTAATACTAGGTCAAGACCTGTGATAGAAAAGTAGCAGCCTTCGGCACGAATATGCGTAGATGAATGTACAATACACGTACCTAGCTCAACATTGTCCAGTGCTCGGCATTTCTGGTGAAGTCATGCAATAAGTTGTTCGTTCTCATCAACTCTCCACCGTATCACATACATCTGCATTGTCATTCGGGGTAAATCCCCCTGAAAAACAAATGTTAGTTCATCATTGTGGCGATGTGTACTGGAGCGGAACGCACTATATAGATCCATGGCGAGGATGATAAAGGGGAGGTATCGTGTAACAATGTAGAGACCTTTCATCTTGGTCCAGCGCGATTTAAGCAGAAATCTCCACTTGACACAACATATTGTAGGTATTGAAACCGAGGTGTATCATGGAACAAGTGTATTACCTCCTCATGAACACAACATGCATAATCATAGATCTAGATAAGCGGGTTGGACAGCGGACGTGGATACATCAGAATAAACCTACCCAGAACGTAGCCACTGACACTGAACTATGTTAGGATAAAGAATATCATGGGTGAAGACAGTACGCACTGTGTATATACTGAAGGTACATGAATTGTCAATTATGATTCGCCCTCCTATGATACGACAAGGAGACACACCTTAGTTGACTGCAAGCTCCTCGCTGCTGCAATATCAGCAGTCGAATATTCCATCTAGAGATCCAAAAATGTGTTTCGTACACAGTATGCACCTTTTGAGTTTTAGAGCCATTCAAGTTGGCCGCACGTGGCAGTGTAATGCTGGGGATCCAGAGAGTTAGTTCAGATTTAAACTTAGGTTGCTGCGGTCGTGACGGAGCGTTTTACCATCATGATTCACTGGATGTACAGGCCTGGCAGTGACTTGATAAATATACAATTGCACCTTGACTAACAGTAAATAACTTTACCCAGTCTGGGTGTAAAAATACTTGAATTAGCTAATCGTAAATTTCCCTGGACTCTGCAAGCTTGGGCCTTCTGACAAGACTTTGATCCAAACTGTATGTATCGCTTTCAGGTCCATTGCATCACTCGATTGGCTGAATTAATTGCCGTGTAACACAATGATCCGTTGGCTCGGAGCTGGACTGGAACTTCCGTCGGAAGAAATTGCTTTCTAGTTGTCAATTGACCTCACGGACAAGGATGCCATGCCATTGATGAGAACATGACTGAAGCCAGATATACCAAGTAACGATTGGAAACATTGCTTGAGTGTATATCATTGCGCCGTCCGGGCCGGGCGGCATGCTGTATGAACCCCATCATGCGCGACCATCAAGTTGTTGCATTATGATCTAAAGGGTATTCATGCCCGTGTACTAATTTCTCAGGTACCCCCTAGTATCGGGCTTGCACTATCTTAGTACCTCCGCCATATAAAGATCGGGGCGTCTATTCCCCAAGGTCTCTGCATCATGTCTGACTCTGCTTCCTCCTACCAACCTCGTGTTGCACTTATCACCGGCGCAGCCCAGGGCATAGGACACGCCATTGCCCTACGACTCGCAGATGATGGGCTCGACATTGCCATCGCAGACTTAGCATCACAACGCATGAAGCTCGACGGCGTCGCAGAAGAGGTGAGGGCGAAGGGGAGGCGCTGCATTGTCTTGGAATGCGATGTGTCACAAGAAGAGGATGTCCAACGCATGATACAGGCTACGGAGAAAGAATTCGATGGTTTGGACGTTGTAGGTGCTTCCTCCGCTGAAAACTGCGACGTCGCCTGACAACTGGGTAGATGGTTGCGAACGCTGGACGACTTCTCGTGAAGACTATGGTTGAATGTGAGCCCATACTGTCTTTGATCCCTATATTTTTCGATGGTAACATCAAACTCCGATAGCTACCCTCACCGAATTCGACAATGTATTCGACACCAATGTGCGCGGGGTGTTCCTGTGCTTGCGTGCTGCAGCGCAGGTCATGATCAAGCGAGGACGTGGCGGGAGGATCATCAGTATGCACGTCCATTTTTTGTCTCGTATCTGATAATAATACTCTTTGTCATAGGCGCATCATCAGTATCAGGGAAGAAAGGGGTGCCATTGAACGGCATTTACTGTGCGTCGAAAGCTGCCGTTCGATCGTTCACACAGGCGCTCGGTATATATTCCAGAGGTCATAATGCTTATCTTATCTTACTATTCTTGCATTCTAGCAAGTGAAATCGGATCACATGGCATCACCGTGAACGCCTACGCGCCTGGACCAATTGATACGCCTCTCCGTATGTTCATATTATTTCTTCTGCTACCATTTTACCTCACTTTCATCACACATTTTCTCTTTCTTTTACATATGTACCCTGGTGCTGACATGCCCGCATCCAGTGCAATTCTCCGCAGATTCGTTGGAGAAAGTGGTGGGGGTTCCTGATGGCAAGGCAGCGATCCGATATGTATGTGTTAATCTCTCTATCTCTTAGTGAGGTTCCCACCCCCCTGATTGATCGAATCGCCTGGCAGTACCAATCAACGACTTCAGCACTAAAGCATATTGGAACGCCGGAAGACATTGCGAACTTGGTATCGTTCCTTGCGAGCAAAGAATCTAGCTTCATCACTGGCCAGACAATCACAATTGATGGGGGAAGCTGGATGGACTGATTCCATACCAAGGACTATATAATGTAAATTGTCTTTAAAGTTCAAACCAGCTATGTAAGTATATCCCGACTCTTCGTATGACCAAATCTTCAGTTGCCTTTTCATTCATTAAGATGCGTTACCATGATATTTTGGTCTACATGACCTTCTCATAAGGTTGACTCAACGTTTGCGTTTGGGTGAAACCAAGATGATCGAAAAGCACCCGTGGAGAAAACAGGGAAAGATTCCTTGACTTATGCATGTCCATGCTTAGCGGATAATACTATTTCGATGATTAGTACTACATGATGAGTTGGCAGGATTGCTCGTCATAATATATCAAAAGCACGGAAAGCAGGAGTGATCCACCCACCTTTGATACAAGACGGATCCCTGTTGAAGGCATTCACTTCATGACTAGTAATTTTGCAACTCCAGCGCCGACTGACCGACCCCGTGTTGCACCTGTTGTTGGTGCGGCTCATGAGGGCATCGGGGGCGCCACTGTCATCGCGGATGAGTAAAGCTACATAGCACACGGAGATCGATGGCGCCACCGAGGCGAAAGGGAGGAGGCGTATTGTTGGAATGCGATGTTTCACAATAAGAGGAAGTCCGACGCATGGTGCCTAGGCTACGAAGCAGGAGCGTCGTGCTTTGCGGGCAAAGACACCACCCATAATTATTGGCTACACATGATGAATGGGAAACTGTTCAAAGGTAGACTGATAACGTTTATACAAAAGGAATATCTCAAGCTAAACATGTCTGATACTTTTGTACAGTCAAAACGAAGTTCGAAATACAATACACTACCCAAACTATTCACGCGCAATTACATATTGATAAATTGTACTTGGCCCCTAAATAACTCCCTGGAAATGATTTCGGCATGAGTGCACCCATGGGCCACAAGATGAGGGCTATACCTTCACCCATAGGTCTGTCTGCCCTTACAAGCTCTCACTTACTCGCCCTACTGGTCGTTCGCCGCATCCCAAATATCTTTGTGCTGAGAGCGGTATCCGAGTCGTCTGCCTGTAACAGATTGCTAGTCGATTTAGATTTGAGGTGGTGTTCAGAGTTATCCATGCTGTTGGGGCTGAAGTTGGATGCGTCTAAAACTTTGATTATACCGCTGTAGAGATGATGAAATAGTATGAATGGACGAGGAACCCAGTGGGAAGGCAAAAAAAAACAAGCGGTCGAGATGTTCACATGAGCAAAACACGAAAATAAAAGCATGATAGTATTACTACTGACCGTTGTGTCGCATCCACATAATTTTCCCTGTCAAACCTCTTCGACGTCTTGATCGAGACCCCTTTGTCCGATATAGAAATGCCTCTGTCTTGAAGACTGCGGAAACCCAGTTGAATGTTTAAATTGGGTGAGCGCATATTTCAACGTACGATTGCTTCGTTTGTTGAGCGGCTGCTGAGAGGCTTTTCACAACGAGGATGATGATGAGGATGGTCCCCAAAAAAAGGGTCGTTATCTGCAGGACCAGCCCAGTTGAGGAGCGACGAGAGAATGCTGGCTTTATGCTCACCGTTAGAAAGGAGAATATATCAATCCTGATTGCATGAATATATAAACATGAGAAAATGATTTAGAAGGCGAGGGACAGGGAACACACCAAGAAGCCATCGTTTACTATGTCTTGCAAGTGCGGCACACGACGACAATTAATAACGACGAGCCAAGGCAAGTACTAGCAATCAAGCAACAATTTGCGAGGGCTTCGAAGACAAGGTGCGCACAGAAAGAATTGAAAGTAGAAGTGGGACTTGAGAGAGCTTGCGGTGAGCGTCTGGCTGGGTAATAAGACTTTGTGACGTTCAATTGAAAGCTGTGATTAACTTGGAACATGTGACAATAATTTTATGAGGCTCGATCGACCGAATTTAGCCGAGTAGTAAGTACACTGCCACAGTCCGGTTAGAACAATATTATAACAGTTCCCGAACCGAACTTTGACAATATTATCCAGAGTAGACGTTACTTTGTCAAGTTTAAGTTAAGTTTTAGTGATCTCAAATCGAGTCCATCACAAAGTCACTCAAAGACTTGACTGCCGCGACAGAATCGCTGGAAATCTCCACAAACATTCACTTTAATCAATCGATTCTACTTGCAATTATGTGACAAGACAAATTATATAAATCAGTCAATTACATTGTTATAAGAGCCAGATAGACCATGTGAACTTAGTTGCTTTAACAATGCTGGAAGATTGAAGCACTCTGAGAGTCCCGGGGACCCCGATGTTCTATGTAGACTGTTAGTCCGTGTAGAAAGATGGCAACGAGTGTATATCCCAAAAATATCTCAACGCGTGCAAGACAGTTCCAGATTCTAATATGAGAATATCATCAACCAAGGGTTGAGGACAATCTACGAGTCATATTCCCGTCAGCGAGGAAGCGGTTAAGGCTTGAGCAAGTGTGACATACAGGGAAGAGGATATGGCTTCCAACAACGATGCTACACGGTCAGGTAATCATGAGTTTCAGTTCGTTGGCAGCGCAGGCACACAACTTACGCAAGCGGCAGGATAACTGCCCAGTCAGTCGAGTCCACCTGCCACCCAGCGGGCACCAGTGACGTACCGAGTATAATCATCCCCACCACTGTAATGCTGCATAGTATCAGTGCAACGTGAAAGCGCTTTATGATCCTCGGAACTTCAATGAAGAAGTTTGATCGCTCGACCTCCTTTTTCGTAGCACCCCACGTGATGTTGTATGAAAATAAATGGGAGAGTAATGCTTGAGAAAGGTGAATGCTTAGCCCCCCAAAGAAGAAGAAACTATATCGGTACGACGATGTACTTTTGAGTATTTGTTTGTCTAACAAAGAGAGGTTTAGTGCTCACAAGAAGGGTATCCAGGTCACATTCTCGATCGCCGAAGCTAGAAGGTTGCGGTGACCAAGACGGTACTCGAGAAGCGTAAATCCGAGATTGCCAACTCCAGGGAAGACGACAGTACACGCTAGCCAGACTTCGAAGCTGTGTAGGAAGAATCCGTCGACTTCAATCTGAAAGCCTAGCAAAAGGTAGTTGACCAAAGAGAGGACCGCAGCCGCTGCAATGCCATCTTCCATATCACAGTGCGTCAGCGTTCACCGAACGTAAAATAGAAGAAACAATCATACAGTACGAGAACATGTCTGCGCAGATTTCAATTGATGCATTTTATACGCGATGAGGACCACTTACAAGCCATCATACTAAGCTTATAGTGCACTGGGGCTCCAGACCACACGAAGATGCGGAGCTGCTTGGCAATGGGTCCCATCTTCCACCAATGGATGAGCGGATTGAATATAAGCTCATTGCATCCTACTTATCTTAGCTCGAGATTCTTTAGATGGCGAGAATGGCTTACCATATGAGTACTTCTGCCACCGATTCAACTCGTCATCGACAGTGAGGGACACGCCTTCCTTGAATCCACCATTGGAGTACGACGCCCATCGGATACTGTAATGCTTCAGCTGCAACCGCAAAGCCATGTCAAAGTCCTCGGACACATTCGACTCAGACCATATCTTCTTCTTCCCATCTTCAGGATCGATGAACGCCGCGTCCTGGAGAGCTGACCACCGAAGGAAGGCGTTGTGTCCCACAAATGGAGCCATCTCCCCGTTCGCGCATCCGATTGAGATGCACTTGTTAATCCGCCGCGTAAAGTGCGCAATGCCGTTCTCGAAGTAGTGGTGCGCGACTTGCATTACGTCTGGTAATAAACGTGTCAGGCATCTCACATTCATGTGATGATAGGACATACCCGATTCGTGCTGGATGATACCGACGTCGGGGCTTTCCGCAAGTTCTCGTGCGGCATCGCGGAAACAATCCTGTAAAAGAAATAGAAAATGAGTATTTCATTTTGTCAAATAGAAATAATCTGTCACCTCAGGCACAATCGTGTCTGCATCAACAATCAAGATAATTTCCCCGACGCGTAAAGACTTCCCATTGCTTGCCCAGGGCTGCCACTTCCCACCAGTTTCATTATACATTTCTTCTATGGCCAATGCCAAAGCCGTGTCTTCAAGACACTCGTATCCGGCGCTGACATCCAACTCCCCCCTCTGCTCCGCGTCTTCGAGCACCTTCAAATGCTTCTCAAGCTTCAAGCTTAGCGCGAGCCCGTAGTTCATGTTTGACGCCTTTTTGAACCTGCCAGCGCGCTTGAAGCCGCCTGGTGTGTTATCATGCTTCGGACGCGCGACCCACCCAATGTTGTGGTCGGAATAGAACGCTATACGTTCTTCTCGCTCCTTGGGGCTAATGAGCTGCAGACCGTCGTCATGCACAAAAATAGCAGATGTGCCACCCTGCCTAGCGTATGTCTGCATCGCCTTCTTGATGGAGAAGACCGAGGGCGCACTGATGCAATAATCTCAGTATATTCTATCTGCCGCCACCGAAAGAGGCAACTCACATAGTGTGTTCTAGACTCTCTTTGAATACAGGAAGTTCGATGGTAATGTGGGGTAAGGCGGCATCGACTTCCTTGTTCGGCTTGGGGGGAGATTGCGGAGTAATATTTTGAATTCTCATGGTACTGAGAAACCGGACCAAGCCTAAGACGTTTAATGCATGATTACGTGAATTCATATACCAGTGACGAAATGACCTACACCAGGGATATGTTGCCCACAAGCTGCAAACAGAAGAACTATATTTGATGATCAACTTGGAGATTCGGAGAAAATATCATCAGTCTCTCACCAGTGATATGCAAAAGAGGAAGGGTGATGTAACGAGCAAGATGAAACGATTATAATTGTTATCGAGAAGCCATTCAGCCACAAGGATGCTAACTCCACTGCCAATGAAGACTTGAGCAGATTAGACGACGCAGGAGCAGATAACCTTATGTGTCTTACATATTGACAGCGCCGTCGCAAGGCCACAGTAAAATGGGGCATAGAGGCGAATGGGCCGAGAACTTCCAGAAGAACATTCTTTCTCCAGGTCGTATTCCTCGGCATGCGCGCCTCGCTTCTCCGGTGAAACTCGCCAACTCCAGCCCCACCTTGATGTCTTTCTTCGTGATTTCGAATGTACGTTATTTCGCTCTTTGTCCGTGACAGGAATAGCCTCTGTGAAGACTGTATTTCTTTCTGCCAAATTAGCGTCAGAAGCGCCAATTGATACAGCGTTGGAAGATGGCGCGATGCTGGGCACATGCGATATCTCATTACGCAAGCGCCAGACCAACTTGATGAGTTTGTCCTCTATTTCACGACACAAGGGTATGATACTGTCAAAATTATCTGCCCATATAACGATGACTCGTTCATCGCGCTGTAGTGATGCGTGTCAGTATTATACAGATCAAAAAAGGGGTTCACTAACAATGAAAGCCGCACATTGCTCCTTCTCGGCACGAGGTAGCAAGTGCATGGAATCAAACACCTGTATCTTGGTGTCAGAATCAATATAGATCGAAGCATCTGCATCAGTTCTGTGGAGGCCGTGATTATAGAATAGCGCTGGATAGAACAGATATCTTTACATTGTACTGAATGCGGCGTGTACGGCGGCGCTGCGGATTTTAACAGCAACGACTGGATTGAGCAGTCTGACGGCGGCCTCGAAGGGAGCCAGTGCCATCAGGTTGTAAGGAAAAACGCGGTAATTTCCTGCGGCCACCCGAATACAGACGCCCGTTGCGATATTCTCTTCTGTGGGTCGGAACCATGCCTCCCCTTGGGTCTGTCCAGAAACGGGAATGTCAATAACGGACCGCGTTTAGCGCGCAAGTGAAACCACCTGACCTGTTGGTAGACATGGTGAAGAAGAGCGTCATACGGGTCATAATCCATATTGTGCTGCTGAACAATAGGTGGTACCAGAGAACGGTGTATATAAGTGGGTGACCCAGCACTGCACTTATGGAATTTGATGGCAGAAAAAAGATCTCACCGATAATCAGACCTGAGAGCACAGACAAGTGACACCACGAGCTCACTTATGCCAATCAGGCAACCCGTTAACAAGGCCGAGGCCTAGAACAAGTGACGGAAAGATTTGACGTGTGGCCAGGATTATTGACGTTATGATCAGGATCAGCATGAGGGCGCCCGGGCAGGGGCTATTTACGACACCAGGAACGTAGAGATTATGAAAGAGCGCGACAAAGTGAACATCGCGTAAGCCGAGCAAGGAAAAAATGACGCCGGCTAAGTGAGTTGGACTTGGGATAAAGTAAAAAAGTCAGTTCCTGAGCTAGAGTCCAGGCCTGAAAAGCGTTTGACATTATCGCGCATCATTTTTTGGTTGATTGAGTCAGGGGCCTGTCTGGCGAACAATCGGCGTGTATCGTAATCCGAAACGTGCTGTGCGCATAACGATGACTCTGCAACAACTTTGCAACCCGGAACGAAGGATTTAGGCAAGTGTTACCTCACTAGACCCGACTTTCGAATTACCAGTCAAATTCCGCAACGTTGAAGTTTGAAAAAAAGGAACAATCGGAGTCTGAGTCGAGATGCATCCAGCGACTTGAGACGAGAGCGTTAGTCTAGAGAGTTGGGTTGAAGCTGGCGGCCATCATCGATCATCCAAATTGCAGAATCCCATGCACAAAGGGCCTAGGCCCTACTTGCTCAACTTTTTGTGTTGGATGTACGGTGAGAAGGAAAGATTCTTCTTCGAGCGGGAATTTTCACTTTTTTGTCCACGGTGACGCCCCTTACTCGCGACTAGGCCCAATCGGAATTCGGAAGTTAAAGAGTTTAACGAGATCGACTTCGGACCCGCGAGCCGGAAGCGGAAGCGGATGCATATCGTCCAATTACCATGTGAATTCTGACCATGACATGTCGCAGGAACGAGGCCCACATCATGACAAGAAACAAAGCATAAAATAGTATATCTTCTCCTTGTACCGTGTGCGAAGGTAATATGTACAACTAATTATTACCGATAAATAGATTGGTATGATACCTCTATAATAGAGTCGTGAATGAATGATCAAGAAATCTACATAAAAGTACCATGTCCATTCAGATTCAAATACAAACGGGTTTCTCGCCGCTCAATACGAGAAAATCATCAACCAAGGATTGAGCACAATCTGCGATGCAAGTCAGTTACCAAGAAAGGGCATTTGTGTGAATACGCACAGGGAAAAGAATGTGACTTCCAGCAACGAGCCTATATCGCATTTAAGCATGTGGGAAACCAGTTTTGACAATTTAACCACTTACGCAAGAGGAAGGATGACTGCCCAGTAAGTCCCTGGAATTTCCCAGTCCGCGCCGACAATACTTGGAAAACTTAAGATTAACATCAAAGCGAACGAGCCGAATGACAGCGCAAAGGCAAGCCAAAAGCGCTTGAGAATTCGGGGGACCTCGATGAAGAAATTCGAACGTTCCACTTCTTTTTTCGTGGCTCCCCAGGTGATGTTGTATGAGAACATGTGGGCCAAAAGAGCGGTGGTAAGGTGAACACTAAGACCACCAAAAAAGAAAAAGCTACGAGCATTGGCGTGAGCATGGACCTGAAATAAATGACAAAGACGTACAAGAAAGGGATCCACGTGCAGGTCTCAACAAGCGAGTCCCATATGCTACGATGCCCAAGTCTGTATTCCAGAAGAATGTAGCCCACGTTACCCGATCCAGGAAACACGGCGAGAATTGCCAGAAAGACTTCAAAGCTGTGAAGATAGTAGCCGTCCGTTTCAAATGCCAGTCCAAGAAGGATATAGTTGAGAGCCGACAAGATTGCCGAGGCTGCGATACCATCTGTCAAGTCCGTAAGCATAACACGAGTATAACAAAAGTTCTTTTCCTACAATAGGAAAACATGTCTTTCGAAAACAAAAGTCAGTATGATTGGTCGCGACTTCTCGGCAATCTTACTCACATGCCATCATGCTGAGTTTGTAATGAACCGGTGCATTGGACCATACGAAGATACGCAGCTGTTTGTTGATAGGACCTTTCCTCCACCATTGAATGAGAGGGTTGAAAATCAACTCGCTACAACCTTTACCAATCCCTAGCCATCAGCACAGGTTTTGTTGGCATAACCGTTCATCCATACCGTATGAATATTTTTGCCACCGATTTAATTCATCATCGACCGTCAAAGATACACCTTCCTTGAAGCCGCCCTCGGAGTATGTCGCCCACCGTATGATGTATTTCTTTAACTGCACGCGTGGGAAAATCAGTCAGATAAACGCCAGGTACAGCAATGCAAGTACGTACCTGAAGTCGTAAAGCCATGTCGAAATCCTCGGACACATTTGATTCCGACCAAATCTTCGTCTTCCCGTCGTCTAGGTCTACAAATGCGGCATCCTGGAGTGCTGACCAACGGAGGAAAGCATTGTGTCCCACGAAAGGTGCTATTTCGCCGTTCGCACAACCAAGGGATATACACTTGTTTATCCGTCTAGTGAAGTGGGCAATGCCATTCTCAAAGTAGTGGTTCGCGACTTGCATGACATCTTGAGTGCGGGATTGAGTTATGCCAAGATAGGAGTATGAACATTGACTAACCTGATTCATGCTGAATGATCGCAACCTCGGGGCTCTCTGCAAGTTCACGCGCAGCGTCACGGAAACAATCCTACAATGACATCAGTCTCGTGAACAAAGGAAGCGACATGTTGCTCACCTCGGGCACAATGGTATCGGAATCGACGAGTAAAATTACCTCTCCCATTCTAATGGATTTGCCGTTGCAAGCCCACGGTTTCCACTTCTGTCCACTTTCCATGAAGATTTCTTCGCAGGCCATATTCAAGGCGCGATCCTCTAGAGGTTGACCGTCGTCCTCTAGCTCCCCTAGTTGTTCTGCTTCAAGGAGTGCCTTTAGGTGTTTCTCGAGTTTCAAGGTAAGCGCGAGCCCGTAGTTCATATTCGACGCCTTCTTAAACCGGCCGGCGCGTTTGAATCCATCTGGAGAGTTTTCATGAGGAGGGCGTGCGACCCAGCCTATATTATGATCGGCGTAGAAAGCAATGCGTTCTGCGCGTTCCTTGTCCGAAATGAGCTGTAGACCGTCGTCATGAACGAATATAGAAGATGTTCCACCCTGGCGCGCATATGTTTGCATGGCCTTTTTGAGTGAATACACCGACGGCGCGCTAAGAAAAATATGAATTCCGTGAATACAACAAAAAACCGACTGCGATCTTACATCGTTTGCTCGAGACTTTCTTTGTAGACGGGAAGTTCGATAGTAACATGAGGGAGAGCCGAATCGATATCTTTATCCTCTTCGGGTTTGATAGCGGAATAGTAACGAGAGTTTTCATAGTACTGGGAGACGGGACCGATACTACAAAAATGAATGACAGTCAAGAATAGTCAAAATGAGTACTTACATCATGCCGATATTGCCGATAATCTGTAGGGAGAAGAACTAAAATTACATGTTAATTTCAATGAAGAAACGTCATGGGTCCGGACGACATACCAGAGAAACGCAGAATGATAGCGGGGCCGTGACGAGCAAACAAAACCGAATCCACTGGCCATCAAGCATGGACTCCTGGAGGAGCATGCTGATACCAGTACCGATGAAGACTATTAAAAGAGGTAAGTTCAAATTTGGTAATATCTGAAGTCGATAATTATTTACAGATTGATAAACCGCAACCTAACCCATTGTAGCAGGGGGCGATGAGACGTGTTCGACGGATTTTCTTCGCACCCTTCTCGGCGTCGCCTTGGTGCTCTGGACGAGTTGTGCTCCAGCTGAATATCTTCCAAAATGGTGATGATTGTTTAGTCGGCGGCTTTCTATTTGAAAGTTCTTTCTCAGTGACCGGTATCTCCTCCGTCAATTCTTCCTTTGTTGCTGGCAAACTGTCTCGCGACGGTAGAGTAGATGGAATGATGTCGGAGGGAGCCGCGGAGAGAGTGGCGCGATGTCTCCAGACAAGCTTGATCAGCTTCTCCTCGAAGTCACGACATAAGGGTATAATGCCGTCCAAGTTGTCGGACCAGAGAACGAGAACGGCCTCGTCTCGCTGATAGGTTTATGAGAAAATCATGACAACGGAGTGATGAGAAATGGAACTTGCCACAAAAGCTCCGCACTGTTCTTTCTCGGCCCGGGGGACCATAGCCATAGAAGCTACAATCTGAATGCGTGTGTTATGATCGACATAGATGGCAGATGCATCTTCGGGGCTTTTAGATTACAAAATAGGAACCGCATCAGAAAGTCGCCGGATAACCGACAGTGACGAAACATGACATACACGATTGCCAATGCAGCATGAACTGCAGCACTCCTCACCTTGACCGCAACGACGGGATTTAAGAGGCGGACCGCTGCCTCGAAAGGAGCCAAGCAGTCGTTCTCGTAAGGAAATACACGGAAGTGACCAGGTTCGACACGGAGACAGACACCAGCAGAAAGATTCTCCTCGGTTGGCTTGAACCAGGCGTCACCCTGAGTCTTATGGAGCGAAGGACTTTAGAGAAGAAGACGGCATTTGAAGAATGTACACGTACTTGCTTAAATATGTGATGTAGGAGTGCATCATACGCATCGTAGTCCATAGCCATAGTTGAAGGAAGTAGGGGGGAAAATGAGAAGGAGCGTCGTGGAGAAGGAGGGATATGTGAGCTGGGTATTTGTTCAGGGTTTGTAGAGGGGTATAAGAGTGGTCAGGTATCTTGACTCCCGATTTAGAATTTCCAGCTGGCAGTGTAAATTAGACCAAGGGATATAACAGCGATATGCCATGCCAAACCCTGGAGAAACGTACATGATAATGTAAAGGAACGGACGTGCCTCATCGGGCTGGTATCTTCTTTGGATATGCATATAGATTCAAATCGCAGCTTGGACTCGGACTCGAAAAAGTAGACGGACTTGAAAAGTATCCGATATCTACTGAAGACTGTAGGCACTTTGGTACGGGTACCTGGAAATTTATTTTTGGTGAACGAATATCCTGTGACTTGGATGTGGGAGCGATCAATACACGGGCGACCTGGAAAAGTCCACCCCTGCGCGCTAGTATGGTCTTGGACTCGCGCTCCCTGCACATGACATTGGAGTTATCCTCCGTAAGTATCCATGCCAATACAATGGACTATGTTTGACATTACATAAGTCAATTTTAACTCCGCGACCCATAATGGTAATCAAACGCCTCGACACGGAAACAAAAAGGGACGTGAGGTGAGAGATAAATTGACGTGTATTGAAGTTCAACCCAAGCACTACTACGTGAGATCACTCGGCGACCGAGGTACTACTTAACTTTCATTGATGAGGGTAATCCTGGCAAATCGGTATAAGCCACCAATGTCCTTCTCGGAGGCGCCGATTAATTGGTCAAAGATGCAGAACGCGGTTCCGGCGGAAGTTGAGTTTAATCAGTATAATATGCTCACCGGTATGGCATGGTGGTAGTGACACTTACCGAATAAACCCTTAAGGAATCAATAAGTACTTCGATGCGATATTGATATTTGAAACCTTCGAGCTCTCCTGGCCCTGAATGGGCCTGTTACTTGTCCGTGCATCGCAGGGAAGGATGCTCATGATCCTATCATCCGGAACGTGTTCCACTCAAAATGCCCTGACAGTTGCTCTAACTTGGTGTTATCGCTCACTCGTTGATTTCGGACGAAGACCAAGTCCATCAGTAACTCAATACATCATTGATCAACCTTACCATTCTAGCATGTGCGCACCGCGATAAGCAACGTTTGGTACTTGCTCATTATACTTGGCTTCCTTGATTTGCTGGCTGCGAAGTCAGAAGAATCGGATGGCCTGTAATCATTAATCAACACCAGCAACGTGTAATGCGAAAGTCGTCATCTTAAGCCGCAGTTCCCGCACTCGCAGGTTTATCTCGCTCAGAAATGCGATTGCGCCATTGAATGGTTTACTCAAAGGAACTTTAGTTGCATCCAAGCTAAAATTCGTTGACGTGCCTTTAGTCATGATGTCCCGGGTGCCTCGCATAGCCGTCTGAGACCTGAATATTCCATGTTGATGTGTAACTAGTTTCCCTAAGACGGTCTCTGTAACACGTGTGTCATGCGGGCATCAAGGGAAATTCAGCACAAGTACTAGGCTAGCAGGTCATCATCATACCCTGCAGATAATCACAGGGCTGCTCCATTCTTGGGATCCGAGTACTCCTCCTCCTTGCATGCCATTTTACGTCACTTGCCATCAATATTTACCTGGCACGTTCCTAAGCATCGACCACGAACTCTGCCAAAGTGCGCGACGATCTACGATGTATATCGCAATCCACCACCTGCGAATCCACGTCTGGTGAAAGCGGATCAGTGCTCCGATGACGTGCCGAAAGCAACCGACGGTCGAGCCCAAAGGCAATGCTTTTGTCCCGTTCTGTCAATTTTATTATCTCCGAATCTCCGGAAATCCGATTTATCTCCCTTGGATCGAGATTGCGTCGCACAAGGGATTGTCTAACATGACAGATATGGGAATGCTCCAGGCATCATTTGCATGAGTTTGTTCTATGCTTCAAAGGCTTTAAAGTTGCAATAAAATCGTCCAGATGTCCCCGTAGCACACTCTCTGTGAAGCACTCATGTCATCATCATCAGACAAGGATGGCGTTAAGCCACAATCCCCATTCTACTTCGCTGAAAATTCCAAACGCACCAAAAACAAATCTCACCAGTCCGCTCCTTCCGTTTCCAACAACTCTCGCCCATCCACTGCTGCAAGTTCCCTCGTAAACCCTTTCTCCCCACCTGCTAGTCTCGTCAGCTTCAACCTTGATCCCGTAAGCAACGTCTCCATGCCCGTTGCCGCAACACGTCAAGAAGACGGTCTAGTACCTCGTCATGGTGTGGCCGTGCTTCCTCGCACCGCGTCATACTATGGCAGCCGTCCCAACACTGAAGATAGCCCCGGTCGTGTGGCCTCCGGTATTCGCCTTCGTGAAACATTCGCAGCACCCCCAGCTCGCCCCTTGACAGCAGTCTCGACCTCTGTTAGCCTCGCTCCAAGCAAAACAAACCGCATGCGTTCTACCATGCTTGAAGATCCGAGCACCTTGGACAAACCTTGGGTGACCAAGAAAGACCCATATGCGAGGATCGCCTATCTCTTGACCTACTCAGTGGCCTTCCTTGGCATAGCAGCCTCTGTTATTCGCTGCTACTTTGGTTACAAGAGCGTACCGTTGATCACCGGCAACTTGTGCATGGTGTTGGATGAAGATTTTAATTCCGATACCGATACAACTTTCGGACCTAACGGAAATTGGGTCCGTGAAGTGCAATTAGGTGGTTTTGGGTCAGCGAATCTTATACTTTGGCTGAACAAGAAATACTGACAGTTCTTCCAGGAACGGCGAGTTTGAGATGACAACGTCATCATCAAACAATTCATACACCTCCAACGGATACCTTTACATAACCCCTACCCTGACATCGAATATCATTGGCTCGGATGCTGTGTTCAACGGTTATACATACAACCTTACCGATTGCACGTACAACTTGACGAGCCCGGAAGCAAATCCGAGTTCATCAAACACCACGGGCTACTATCAAGCTTGCGGTGCAGTAAGCAACAGTACCACCGGCACGATCATCAACCCTGTACAAAGCGCGAGGATCACCACACTCAACAAAGCTAGCATCCGATATGGCCGCGTTGAGGTACGGGCCAAGCTGCCACGGGGGTACGTTTTACCCTTTGTTTCTTGATCTGATGTGTAGACTGACTTAACCATTGGCTCTCTGTAGTGATTGGGTGAGCATTGCATCGCCAAAGACAAGACCATAATATTTACTGACCGGCCCTGCAGCTCTGGCCTGCAATTTGGATGCTTCCTGTGAACAACACCTACGGACCATGGCCATTGAGCGGTGAAATCGACATCATGGAATCACGCGGAAACGCCCGCAGCTACCCTGATCAGTGAGGCATCTGATCAATTTGCAATCCACGATTCACTGACCAGCATCGTATTGCTGACAGGGGTATCGACTACGTCCGCGGATCACTCAACTGGGGACCCCTGTCGTTCTTGAATGCCGTGTACAAGACTTTTGGCTGGTGGACACAGAGACGCACCGACTATGGGGAAGACTTCCACACATATACACTGGAGTGGACAGAGAATTTCCTGTGAGTTTTATGCGACTTCCGAATGTAGGCAATCCTCTGACAGACTCGAAAGTCGCATTTACGTTGACACTCGTTTGCACTACATGCTTCAGGTTTCTTTCAACGAGCCTTTCTTTTCACGTGGAAACTTCCCCTCTGTGGTTGAAAATGGAACACAGCCCATTGTTCTGAAAAACCCTTGGATCAACGGGACCAATGCGTCACCTTTCGACCAACGTAAGCTTTTATAAACAATTATGAAGCTGCAGTATTCTAACCTCACCGATTGACACAAGCATTCTATCTCATTCTTGACCTCGCCGTTGGCGGGACTAACGGATGGTTCCCCGATAACGCAGGCAACAAGCCATGGTTGGATAACTCGAACACAGCCATGCGGCAGTTCGCGCAAGCGCAGGACACATGGTACCCGACCTGGGGCTCAGATGGGGAGAGTAGTTCATTGATTGTGTAAGTCGTTTGGTGTCCCAACGTGTTGTTCGTCTTCTGACATCGAGTTATGTCGCAGGGACTCCGTCAAGATGTGGGAACTCTGTTAGTTGAGCCATGGACAACCTTGAGGATTTGAGATTTGTACATACCCTTTCATATTTTATACTTCACACCATGCATGAGCGGACACTGTACGTTGCACAATATGGCAGTGAGCTCTTCCTGAGCTCCTGTCTAGATAGATACCCATTAATTATAAATTATCCGTAGTCCGAAAGAAGGAAGACGGCTGTTCCCTCTTGGATCAAGAGTTGACGTTTGAGTAACAGAATAAGAAACGGAAACTCGCGCCACAAGACGGGTGATATTTTCAGCAAAGGACTACAAATCACTTGCATCACGGGGAGAAAATAGTAGGTCGAGAACAAGAGCCGACTGCCAGCACGGTTCCCAGTCGAATTGCCGCGACTCGTGTTTAAAGTCCGCATATCAAGTTTAATCCCCGATAGAGTATACAGATTACCCGGAATTCAGCAACCGAAATTTATGAATAAAATGAGTTCATCAGTGGGGTGGATTAAGTATTACACTCTGTAGCAAATTATGTTTCCCTGATGTTGTATCGATATAGCTCCTGGGTGGTGTTAGATATCACACATCCCCCTACTACCATACAGGGGTCTTTATGCAGGAAGTGTTGATACAAGCCTACCATCTGGATATGATTATCACAACTACAATATCCCCAATGTCTGCGTCAAGACTTGGTAGATCGAAAAACATAAGCGATACTGTAGGATAAAAAAAATGAAAGGGTTAAAGTGATAGTCGAAGGCGCCAACTTAAATCCAGGCTGAGATGAAACCGCATGCTCAAACGGTTAGGGACACAAGCTTGCAGTAGTGATCCACGACCAATCCTGCACACACCAACGCTGCGCCATGGCGACCTGCCTGTAGCACAATATGATGTCAGAATCAGCTTGTAGTTGTAGCACTTCAACCTACCTTGAATTTCTTCCAGCTGTCTAGTGGATCATTATGGTCAAATGACCATATGTGCCATAGACAGAGGAGGAAGGGAGCAACGACGCTCATCACGTAGAACGGTAGGTGCTGGCCATTCAAATACCCAGCCCACAGAAGACACGCAAAGAACGTTGCACCAAATACGCTCAATGCAAGACGAATGCCATCGCCTAGATGGACCGCCATGGACTTTACTCCAGCTTTTACGTCGTCCTTCTTGTCCTGATATGATGCAATGAACACCCACGTTTCAGTGCAGAATCAAATGGTCTAGTCACCTGACACGCGTAAATAGTGTCGTAAAGACACGTCCAGCTAGAAAGGCGCCGTCAGCTTCTCGGAGAAGCAAACGCCTTACCGGCACTCACCAACATGACGCAATTCCGACGTTCAGAATCATGCCCCAATCAAACTCACCCGTGATGGCCACCCACGTGAATGGGACGGCCCAGCTTGCAGCAAAACCTGGGAACTAGATGAGACGGCACACAACTTTTCTATGGCAAGAAAGCTATACCAAGGTACAAAGACGGCCAATGCATCCAGCGCTTCATTAGTGGATACGTCCCGCCACAAGCAGGGAGACCGAAAACACCGAGTGAGAGTCTGGAACAGCGGCTTGTAAGAGAAGTCTCAACACTTTCTAAACGATTCACTTGCGCTGTAGGGCCGGCAGTGGAAAACATATAGAAGATGGCAACAACGAACACGATCAGAAGAACCGAGGCCTCTAGCACAGTAACAGCTCCCGACGCGATCGGTCGATTTTTTGAACGTTCTAATTGAACATCATCGTCAAGAGATTAGCGACAGTCAGGACGGAATCGACATACCAACTTTGCGATCGAACTCGCGATCAAGCACGTCATTTATGATGCAGGCCGCACAATGTATCAGTGTGCCCAATAACGCATAGAACAGAGTGTTCGTGACAACTTCGTTCATGGGCAATGCAACATGGTATGATGCCGCCAGCGAGCCCCACGCTAGGCACAATGAAATCAACCAACAAGTAGAGTCCCACGTGCATCCTGTGACTTACCGAAGGGCCAGATAATGCAGTCGGACCCCACTGGAAACCAATGAAGCCTGGTGAGCTCGAGCAATGATCTTGTCTTGGAGGGCATTTGTCACAAGTATGCGAGGGAGGGAAGCTGGAATGGAGGATCACATAAACCAGCCGTACTCATTTTATACACCTACGGTTCTGGAACCAGTCGTAACATCTGCTGCAGCTTTTCATAAATATGCAAAATTGCGAAAATTGAAAGCGTCGAAAATAGTTCAATTATCGTGAAGCGAATTGAAGCGAGTCGAAGTGGTCATTTTTGATGCTTCTTTAGACTTCGATGTGAGCGAAGTTATTCGATATGAAATAAGTTATGGTTATACTGCACTTTGCTGCACTTCGCGAAGTAAAGTAGATTAGTCATCAAATGTAGCTACAGAAGACGAAGATTGGTTCTTATTCTCATTTTCGAGCAAGTTCGTCAAGCTCGCTCGAACTTATACATGGAGTTTATAGATGCTTGTCCTGAAGTCTACTAGTCCTCTGCAACGAGATCTGGGACGAGAATTCAGCGTATCTTATCATCTTAGGGGCTAAATGTTGAATGCCTAGGGCACGTGACAAGGATTGGTGCCGTTTGAGCTTGACGTAAGCCTGCGAACAACATGCTCAAACAAATGTTTACTAAGCGAGACAAACGCGCGCGCCGCTGATGGCGCGTTCTTCGTTTTTCTCTCCTCGCGTTTGCTCGCCGTGTTTTCTACACACGTGGGTTTTAGTCTGTGATTTGCCCGCCGTTCGCATATTCTTATACTCACAGTTTGGCGAAGCTTCCTCTTCGCACTTGCGTTCAATGTGTTTCAGTTTGTTGTTTCACTCATTGACGCAGCGGCTATTTTCGTCTGCGCACATTAGAATCGCTGATGCAGACCACAGCCAAAACCCCAACCCCCCAACTGGCAAAAGACCTCCCCTGCATGCTAGGATTAAGCGTTTTACAACACTCTCAGATCGAGCTACCCCTTCATATACAGTATCTCAGTATGCCTCATGTACCTTACTGCTCACTTGTACTACATCTATCACACTCGTTTCACATGCAAAGTTACAAATGCATTAATATAATTACTTCTATGCGCGCATATCACACTAGTAAGCAATAGGTCATGAGTATTTCTCGGATGGAAGCTGCCTTCACTTGCCTGATCAGAGGAGAATAGCTTGTGCAGATACCATTAATTCAGGCTTAAGAAGGGAACTTCCTACGTACTTAGAATTAGAAGTACAAGCGGTCAAGGTAGCGGTACTACGCCCCCCCTCCCCCGACGAGAGCTTTCGCAGAGCTGCCCTACCACTTTACTAGCCTCTCTCTTTTCTAGCTGTAACAGCCCAAATTTACCTTAGGGGACAGCGGCTGCAGCGGTGAATACATGAGGTGGTCAGCCTAGGAGTAACAAAGACCTATCTCTCTTCGCTTCACTCGAGAGATTGCTGAGTGATTTCGATTTAGAGTTTGACAATCGGCAGAGAAGTTATTGATCAGTCAACACTGTTCGGTATGAAATATGTAAGATAAGAACCTGAGAGAACGGTCAGTTGTCGTGTGTATCGAATCGCCATCAATATAGGCTATGTCCCCGGGTTGCCGAGCTGGTGCCAACGCACACGCAACCTGTCGGATCACCACTCAAACCGAAAGTCTCCAAGGACGGTGATATGCGATGGCCCAGATCAAGAAGTAAAAGAACACCGATCTAGAACACTTGTCGTGTATTTCAATCCCGTAAGCACAGAAAGTCTGGTACGGGCGCCCCAGAGGTCAGCACTGAAATGAAGTCTACGGTGTTACATATCACCAGGACTGCGCGCACGTGTGATAAAAAGTGCTACTCACACCCCAGGCAATGAACCAAAGATGACCTATTCAGTGATTGTACCATTTACCTCTTGGGAATCCGACCGTATCTTAAATATCATCGATCCTATAATAGGGTCGCAAGGGGCGTAGGACTGCAACCAGACATGAAATCTGTGGTTTAATGCGGCTGTAGTATATATATAAGAATACGGGCAGATGATATGGCCTAGATGTGGGATGATGGTTTCACGTACTGGATTCCGAGAGTGGCGCCTTTCGGGTGCAAGCCGCAAGTGGATCTTTTTTCCAACATGTCTGCAATGCCAGATCAATCGATCACATGGTAGCTACGGCTACGTGCGCCTAGGACCGAATCACATCTAACGTCAAAGGAATATCGAATCAGAAGCTTGAATGACGATGTGGCAAGCGTAGCGCACATGTAACAAGGCAGGACAATAACTTATGTGTCATGCTGTACGACAACGATGACAACGGAACAGGTCAACACCCAACGTGATGAAGAACGTGATCCACGGATGATGAGGCTCCTTGGAAGCTCTTTAGATTTACACGCCCATCTCCAGCTTATTGTCAAAAGTATTTTGAAGAGGCCACGCTAATATTTGGTAATGAACCTTGAGCGAAAATTTCAGTCTCAAGTGTCGGTGTCGGTGTCTGTGTATACGTACTTGCAAAAAAAAGTGAAATGAGCTTTGAATTCAAGAGGTCGGTGAGATGACGAGTAAGACTTGTTTTCAAGATTCGAAAATTAAGCACGCATGAGAGTAGAGATTTTGAACAGTAATAGCATGAAACTCGATCCTGAGAATCGGCGTTGTCAAATCCCGTTGCTTGTTTGAGTCCGTTACCGTGTCTTTCTCAATCATCATCCTCGTCGTCAAGCGGCACGAGCTCACAAAATTTCCATTGTGCGCCATCGTCCACCTCAACATCTACAGGGACGTACAGCGTCGACACTGGTTTAACCTGGGCCGCACCACGACCACCTCCAGATAATTCTACTGGATAACACTCATTTTTAAAGTTTCTCTTAAACCGAGCCGAGCAACGCAACACATTACCGTTACCAGCAGTCTGCAAAAACCGGAATCGTCCCCTCTCAATGCCCAGTTTATTCTCGCGGACCCGCACTACTTCAACAGCAGGCAAGAAGCACTCGAGTGGCAATCAAGATCCACCTTATGATGAGTTTGGGCGCGTAAATAGTAGGGGTTCCGCCAAAGATATCACTAGTAGCAGGTGTACCCCTACTCCTCCTAGTACGCTTGTGAAGCAGAAACCACGGAACCGAACCCTCAGCACTCCCGAGACAGAACCATTCGCTCACATTCCTGATGGGTCATTTCTCCCTTTGAATTTGGAACCCAAAGATATTGACCACGAGCAGCAAGCGCATGACTACGGATATTTGTCTTATCAGCGGCACGTTGTATTGGGTCTTGGTGAGGTCGCGCGCCTCGTGGACGTCGTGGCTAGCGAGCTAGGCACCAGAGCACTAACCACTCCATTTATTTTTTCGACTTTGGCACTTGATGTCTCGGCTAGCTCTGTTAGGAGGCTTATCAGAGCATTCTTGGAAACGTGTCAGGGTGGAATCGATGCAGAACACCGTTGGAGAGAGGAAGCAAGACTCGCAGGTCCACACGAGCTTGGCATGTGCATACGTTGGGGACTCGCCAGACTCGTAAGAGTCGTTGGTGGACAGGCAGTGAGAGGCCTCATTGCTTGGGACCATTATACAGAGTTTCGAGACTCCGAAGCAAGTGAGCGTCTTTTCTGTCCTCTTCCATTCCAACATTGCAATCACTCCAATCCTTCACATCAAACGCTCACTTCATCTATTGGCGCTCGCTCTATATTAAACGACCCTACTAACTTTACTTCAGTGCAGAGCTATCCCCCGAAACACTTTTCCACCTTCCTCCCACCTCTTCCTTCGACTCTGCGCTCGATCCTACTCACTCTGTTAAGCCTGCTTATTCGGTTCACAGCGCACAGCGCCAGCTCTGGACACACGCCTCCGACTCTTTCCCCCTTATTCGGACCCTTGCTATTCGGTCTCGGCCCCGCCACTCTCGCATTCCACCACACCTATATCCACTACCTCCGCGCCGTTAACGCCACCGAACATCTTCTTCTTTCATTCATTCGTTGGCAATCTACATCTGACCTCGGTGTTCCTACCCGGCTCAAAGAATGGATCCGCTCCTATCCCTCAACGCTTCCTGCCTTGCATCACTCAGCCAAGCATGAGCGTCCACAAGCACGTAGAGGTGCACGTACAGTGCGTGTCGTAAGCGTAAGGCGTAATGTACGAATGTATAGTCCGGACCTAGTAAACACTGCTGCAAGCTGGGCACATCGGTCACATGGGCATGGCCTAGCGGGATCAAAGGAATGGGAAAGGATTGCCCCACCTTCGCTCAAACTACCTCCGAGATACTCAGAAACATACAAGAAGCGTATGGATCTACCGTCACATGTAAACCCATACACTGGCCCCAGTATCGCTCCAGCATCTGCGACCAACAGCACGTCGTCTTCTCTATCTGATGACAGAGATGCTGTGATGGGCCTGGGACTGCGGGAGGGCGAGGAGAGGTTTAGGAGCCTTACGGATTTGAAGTGGGGTGAGTTTGAGATGATGGGATTCGGGGCGATCGCTACAGATGAGAAGAAGTTGCAGTTTGATCTGACAGAAAGCGCACGCACGGTACGTGTAACATTCATGCTAGATTTTCAAAAATGCTTACTGCCCCACTGTCGACATATAGGCCCGTGCTGCGAAACGTGCTACTCTCACATGGACCGACTTCTCTACAACTGGTTTCACACGCACAGATGCACCTTTAAGCACTACCCTCCAATTTAGCACGCCTCTCACTCACACAATCTCCTCGTGGCCCTCGCATAATGCCGACCTTACCAAAAAGCTTAAAAAGACTGCCAGCGCCTTGCCTGCTTTTGGTTGGGACACAGAGCCTGTCCTCGGTACGGAAGAAGTAGTGGAAGAGGCGTTTGTGGACGTATTTTGCGATTTGGTTTGGGGAGGGGGTTGGCGGGAGGAAGTTGGCGGGGTCTTGAGTGCAGAGGGACCTGCAACAGAGGTCGAGAGGGAATGTAACTGGGCATTGGTGGGTGTTTTTCTTCTTTATCTCATCTTTCCCTTTCTCTTTTGCTGATGTAGCACTTAGATTGAATTCAAATCTCTTCCGATATCTGCATCTACATCCTCTCCCTTTCCCACGGCTGGTAGTGGCACTGACCCAAGAACAAGCACAACACTCGTCTTGTTTGAGGAGTTTGTGCCTTTGGAGTATCGCCAACAGCTTGCTAAAGACAGCGGCGGGAAGCGAAGGCTGCCTTTTCTGTTCATGTCCCCTAATAGTGAGTAGTGGTTTCCTTTTCATTGTTTTAACCTTTCTTTTCCTTGACAATCTACTGCATGTACTTTCTTTCTTTCATTCTACCCTGACGCCCTTTGCCAATCAAAACTAATGTTCATGCATAAATAGGCAAATCTCGCCAGTGGAAACCGGCTGCCACACTCAATGGACGTCCTTATGTTGTCGGGCACGTCCCTAAAAGTCCGTCATATCGCGAAGTCGAATTTGAGGGACTACTGAGATCGAATGGAAGTAAAGTTCTTTCACTAGACAAACCCAGCGGGGTTCCGATGTTGTCCGGCACAACTGGGGTCCTTTCTCCCATAGCTTCAGACGAACAATCCTCCACGCCAGCTCCTTCCGCTCGACCGACTGTAACTATCTCTGCACCACTCTATACCCGGCCAAAAGACAACGACAAACTGCCAGGGACGCCTGCAAAAGACAAGGTCAGAGACTCAAAGATAGAGCGCAGAGCTTTCGACTCACCCATCTCCCCGACATCCGCACGTAAACTCGCCTCGCGCTTTCGTGTTCACCCCAGTTTTCGCCGCTCAGGGATCGTCCCTGCTGAATATGCAGAGGCCACAGTAGATTTTGAAACGAGGTTGGCGAGTTATTCAGATGATGAGCTGAATAACACGACATCTTCATCTGCAGGAGGAAGAGGGAGGGAGGAGAGAAGGCGTTCAAAGGACGATGCGTGGGTGGATATCCTAGTCGCGACACACAGCCGGCGGATTGGTGGGCAGGATGCAGATATTCGTCCGTTCAGCAAGCGCGGGAAGGGCATGCAAGACCCAGAGATCGCGAGCCACGAGGTAGCACAAGTGCTTGCGGGCGTGGCGCTTGCGCAGTTGCCGGCAAGCGACGACGAGCCTGAGCCGATACCTGAGACCGTGACGCCAAGCATAACAAATGAGGATGTGGATGCGGATGTGGATAGTGTAATGTCGTATCCAAAGACGACGACCTCTAGTGTGCCGAAACGCTTGGGGTACTTTGATTTGCATCCAGAACGCAGGCCTGGACATTCGCCGCAGCCATTGAGCTTGGGCGATGACTCAGATGGAGATGAGATACGCTATGGAAGCCCCGAAAGACCCTCGTCGTTGAAGTTTCCCATGCCTGCAAACACCGATACAAGTGCTTACCCCCAGCCCCTACGAGGCTCAATGGATACCGAAGAAAGTGACTATGCACCCACTTCCACGCACTCGCTCCAGCTTGATGAGCTAGATCTGGTGTACGAAGACCACCGTGTAGCAAAGGATAAAGATAGCAGATACTCGGGGACGGGAATTATGACTATGCCGCAGCTTATAGCTGTGACACCCGTGACGCCAGGGAAGGGAGAAAAGGATAGAGACAATAGCCGGACGTCTGCGCTGATTGGCATGTATCGCGAGCGCGAGGAGAAGTCGCTCACGACTAGTCCCGTGCCCATATCAAAGCTCCCCGTGCATTCAACTTTGTTGTATTCTCAAACGAAGGAATCGCCATTGCCACCCGTGCCTGTGGTCGAGACAGAGCATGTTGTAGTGACCCCCACGGAGGATGTTATTGAGGAGCATGCGCGCACGGAAGGCTCACAGGGTGAGGAACTTTTACAGCCCCTGGGTTTGTTGTATAACGGGAACGGGCGGGATAGTCCCGCCAGGTATGTGCATGGTGCACCGTTGCATAATGTGATGGAAGAGGAAGAGGAGGAGTGAGTGCTTAAAGCCATCACCTCCTTGATCACCCATGCAGGCCTTTCTTCCTTTCTCCGTCACCGTCGTTGATCCAATCCACCAAGAAATGCACCGCGCAACTCGTCTTTCTATCATGTATACCTGAACACCTACTTGTATATGAATCATTCATATCTTGCTCCCCAGCACCACAACATCCTATTCTAAATATCATCACCGTCCCCCTATTTTTTCTTCCGATATCAATTCGCCTTGAAGTATTGCAACGAAGGCGCGCTTCGTCGAATCGGGCTGATACCGGATCTCGAAATTGGTCGACTGGACTTTGGATTATTTCTCTATTCAACAGCATACATACATATACACCATTCCTTTAAAATTGTCCCCCACATTCCTGACCTTCTGCTAGCGCATGCTAATGTTCCAGGGTTTGTCTATATATTCGTAGCTCTACCCTCTCCCTATGTTGTTCCCTCGTTTGCCCTGTTTTATAGTGGAATTTATTTGATTTATTGCTCAATGGTCCAATGGAGCGATTGCGGGGCCAGCGGCCCTCCGGAATCCGAAGCCGCGAAGTGGCAATTCACCTGACCTTGGCCACTAGATTAAGACTGGTCATTTGCTACCGCTGTGATGTTTGAAAGGATCATTTCCATTCATTAGCTATCGCTGTGCTTTTTGTTCTTGCTTTCTACGACTATGGTTGAGGTTCCCGACAAATCCATTCGCATCTGTGCAGACAGAGGAGGGACGTTCTGTGATGTTCATGCGTAAGGCCAAGTCAAAGGTCTCAATTGCCTTCGAAGCTAAGATAGAACAGATCGTATCCTGACCCAGGCAATCCAAACGAGCGGAAAGACATCGTTGTCAAACTCCGTGCGCGTCTTCTAGTGCATATTCTCTTACTAGATGCTCAATTGTCCTACAGTCTCACAGGACACAGCCAACTACGGTGATGCACCAACGGAGGGTATCCGCAGGGTGCTTGAGATTGTGACGGGAGAGACTATTCCCCGTGGGTCCGTGCTTGACACTAGCAAAATTGGTCTGTACTAGTAATCCTCCTGATACGTTCGTTCACTTGTCCTGACAATGTCCTGCGTCCAGATTACATTCGTTTGTCGACAACAGTGGCGACAAATGCGCTCCTGGAACGCAAGGGACATTGTCATGCTTTACTCATTACAAAGGGATTCAAGGACCTCCTGCTTATCGGGAATCAGTCACGCCCACGTATCTTCGACTTGAACATTCGCCGCTCGAGTCCTTTGTACTCTGAAGTCGTTGAGGTGGACGAGCGTGTAACTCTTGTTGGGTACACGTCGGATCCCAAGTCGGAAGAGAACGCTATTCAGTGGAATGATGATGGGTCCATGGAAAGAGGCTACAGGGGTCCTGGATGGGATGGGGAGGGCAATGCGGAGGGTCCGGGAGATATTATTCGAGGGATCTCAGGAGAAGCAGTTAGGATCTTGAAAAGACCAGGTGCGTGTTTTACAGCACTTACAGCATTAGGTTTGTTGATCACGATTTCTCAGACCTGGACCTTGTGAGGCACGACCTACAGCGATTGTATGACGCTGGATATCGCTCCCTCGCGATCGTCCTCGTTCATTCTTACACCTTTCCCGAGCATGAAATACAGATCGGTAAGCTCGCACGGGAAGTTGGGTTTACCCAAGTCTCGGAATCCTCGCAGTTGCTGCCCATGATCAAGATGGTCCCTCGTGGTGTATCGTCTACAGCGGACGCATATCTCACCCCTATTTTACGAGAGTATCTAGACGGGTTCTTCTACGGTTTTGACGCAAAGTTGAAGGACGGACGGATAAAGAGTCCTCGTGTGGAGTTCATGGGTAGCGATGGGGGGCTTTTAGATCTCAATAACTTCTCTGGCTTGAAGAGCATTCTAAGTGGCCCGGCAGGAGGCGTTGTGGGGTATGCATTGACGAGCTGGGACGCAGACAGGAAATACCCCATCATTGGGTATATTTATGCTTTATTCAGTATGCTCGGCCTGACGTATGCTCTTGCTCTGCAGCCTTGATGTAGGTGGGACATCGACTGATGTCTCTCGCTTTGATGGCCGCTACGAAGTGGTTTACGAGACAACAACTGCCGGTGTCACCATTCAGTCTCCACAGTTGGACATTAACACTGTCGCAGCTGGTGGAGGTTCTTGCTTGACCTTCCGAAACGGCTTGTTTCTCGCAGGGCCCGAAAGCGCTGGTGCACAACCAGGTCCTGCATGTTACAGGTAAGCGCAAACTGAAGGTGAAAGAATTTACTTGAACCTGTACTCAGGAAAGGCGGTCCGCTAGCGGTCACAGACGCCAACTTGCTCCTAGGTCGCCTCATCCCAGATTATTTCCCAAAAATATTCGGAAAATCAGAGAAGGAGCCTCTGGACTCGGAAGCATCACGTGTGGCCTTTGAGAAGGTCGCGAAAGAGATCAACGAAAGTCATGAAATAAACCTTGGCTTGGATGACATTGTATACGGGTCGGTACATCACGGTCATTCATGGTGATATACACTCATTCTCAGGTTAGGTTCATCAAAGTGGCCAACGAGACGATGTGTAGACCCATCCGTGCACTAACGGAGGCGCGGGGATATTCAACTGGAAAACATGTGTACGTATAGTACTTATCTCGCACGTCTTTCGGCTTTTTATATACTTGTTCTCAGACTGGCAAGCTTCGGTGGTGCAGGTGGTCAACACGCCTGCGAGATTGCAAGTTTGCTTGGCATAAAGACCATTCTTATCCATCGATACAGCTCGATTTTGTCTGCATATGGATTGGCATTAGCAGACCGGCAAGTGTTTGTTCCGCGTTGCTATTGACGTCATTCCTGATCTGAGGTCAATAGCGCATACGAGCTCCAAGAACCCTCATCAGCATTCTACTCTGCGCAGACACGCCGGAACCTTATCGCCCGCCTTGATAAGCTTACTAACGACGTCAAGGCCGAGCTCAAGCATCAGGGATTCGAAGGCAACCGCGTGAAGGTTGAGCGGATGTTGAATATGCGGTTTGAGGGCACCGACACTGCGCTCATGGTTCTGCCTAACGAGAATGACGGTGATGGTGCCGAGGACTTCGAGGCAGCATTCAGGCGCGTGTACAAGACAGAGTTTGGCTTCCTGCTCGATACCAAAAGCATCATCGTGGATGACGTGAAGGTAAGTGCTATTTCAAGTGACTGAAAGGTACCGGGTGAACATGCCCTTAGGTTCGTGGCATTGGGAAGACCTTCGACCACCTCGGAGAGTCGGTCTACTCGGAGGTAGAACGGCTTCAGAAGAATCCTGTCACATGTGATCGAGCAGACTCGACATATAGCGTGTACTTTGATAAAGTTGGCCGAGTGGCCGATACCCCTGTGTTCCTCCTGGATAACCTAGGCGTGGGCGATGAAGTCACGGGCCCTGCGATGATCATTGATAACACGCAGACTATAGTCATTGTTCCAGGCGCACGTGCTGTTCTCACTAGCAAACACTTGTATATCACACTTTGAGGATAAGTAACTAGGACAAGGTACAAGCTCCTATATATCAGGGTTATGGGAACTATAGAAGGGTGTAATTCTGACCAGTGAAACTGGCAATTATGAACTGTACAGCCCCCTGAGCACGAACCCGAACTTGAAAGCCACCACTACCACTGCCAGCGGGCGCACTCATTTGATAGCAGTTACACTGTGTGCACTGTCTGGCTTCCTTTTCTTAGCGACAGGGACTGATCGTGGATTTTCGATACAAGCTAAGGGCCTGAAGGGACCAGTATTGGACTGCGAAGGCACATTTACATGGGGCACTGCTTTGCTCATAGTGGATGCAGGACATGCACAACACGGCAAGTATAGCAGCGCAGTTTATTGAGCGACTTTATTCAAGTTCGAGCTGCGGATGCACATTGCGTCGATCAACTCTACAAATCACTAGTAACTCCGAGCGCGTCAGTGTCAACGACCATACTCCACCGATGTGAAAGCAAAAACATGACTCACTGTGCAGAACCTCAAAGGGCTCTGTCATGTAGGTGAGTCATGTTATCAAGTCCAGGGAAAATGCTGATACTCGCGCAAAGATGCAAAGAGCATCTTCTAGACTTGCACTCTACGTTTTCCAGGCAAGACGAGGGACATGTATGACCGGTGGGATCAATTCCATCACTAGTAGTGGGCATGGCAGAGCTTGACGATGCCAAAGCAGCGATGACGGCGAGGATAATTGCAGAGGAGAAATGCATTGTAGGTAATACCAAAAGCGATAGTAGGAAGACGGTTGGCTTTTATTTACTGCTGTGTGGATGTGCCTTCAAATGGATACATACCTACGATCATACTTAGCTATGTAGTATTGTGGGCAGAACTGGCATTGCCAGGCATCAGATGGCAGAACCTTTATGGCAGACAGGTTGTTGCAGAAACCCTGCACATGTCAGGTTCTGCCAGTACTATTCTTGCAGCAACAATGTCTGCAGATAGTATTAGTTATATACATAGTACATACGAAATGGATACTGACCTCAACCGCGACTAGCGGAGTCAACTGAAGAAGGCAACCTTTAGATCGAGTAAGGTTTTGCACCTCCCCACAGACACCTCTTAACGAAACCAAATTTCAGAGATAGTGAGTAAACTATAGTACCCACTTTGGGGCTCTACAAGTGGTTTTCGGCAGTTGGCGGTGTAATGTACAAAGCTTGCTTCTAGTTTCGAAGGCAGGGTGTGGGAATAGTGTTCGCAATCAGAATTTAATAAATCGAAATGAAAAGGATTCAGGGCTGGTAACAGTCGAACGTGACCGGGGCGCCAAACTCAGAATGAAGGATAATTTCGAGCAGGACTGGTCGAAGGTAGACGCTATGACGAAAGCAAAATGCATGTGCGGGTTCGACGTCTCCCTTGTATTCATCGACTGTTCAGGCAGGCAAATGACGATTGGACAGTATCTTGATAAGCGGTAGTAGGCTGTACTACCAAGGCCTAGTCATGCATCAAATGATTCTATATGGTGTTTACCGCCTCAGGAACAAACCTAGAAGAATCGGCCACGGTGAGGACCTCGGAACCCTAGTATGAAAGAACGAATATGTCCGTACTAAGAATGGTTGGCTCAGGCTGCGATTTGTGCGGGGAAAATCCATCTTTGATGGTGTCCCAATTGGCAAACTAGTGAGGTTTGGCATCGCTCCTACCGACTTATCCGTTCCGGAGGAGAATGGTAGAGAACAGAGGACTCGGATCCGATCAAGAGTGTCACGTAGTTGACGCAAAGGCAACACCTCACTTGCGAATTGTCCCACAGCAATATTAACAGGTTGCTGCAAGGTCATGACCGGAACTTCAACACAACCACAGCTATCGACTCCACGTATCTCCCAGTTGGCCTGAAAGGCTGCTTGCGGCACATGTAACCAGTGCTATATAAATCTTTTGATCAAGCTTGCTCATTTCAGGTTATGTCTATGCCGAACCGAGCAACGTTCCCCCTTATATTTCATAACCCTTTCCCCTAGAAGTTCTCCCTTCTGCGGTCTTCCTTGGGTACGATTTTGCTATGGCTTCTCACGAGCCTGGTCCACCTATTGACTCCCCGCCTACCACTCCAATTCTTCCTTTAGAGCCAGACCAGCCAAAATCTACTCTCTCATTCCTTGAGAATGCGTCAGACATATCCTCCGGAAAAAATGAACAGTCCTTTGACTTCAAGCAGGCACTCAATGACCTCATGAAACAGCGAGTGTTTTATATGATCATTTCATTGTCTAATCTAATATCTCATTGTCTCTTCTTCAGTCGTCAAGATGAAGGAATAAAGGACCGCCAACTTGGTGTCATGTTTGAGGATTTGCGTGTCGTTGGTGCAGGTTCTCGCACCTCCCTCCAGCCCACCGTGGGCTCGCCTTTCCAACCCTCGACGCTTTTGGCCAAGCTAAGGGGAATTCGCCATCCTTCGATTAGAGACATCTTGTCCGGATTCGAGGGTGTGGTCACTCCCGGCGAAATGCTGTGTAAGCACAGGCTTTTCCTCGACCTCCTGTCTTGACCTTCCGTACAGTGGTCCTCGGCCGTCCCGGCGCAGGGTGCTCGACTTTCCTCAAGACACTCGCTAACCAACGTGGGGAGTATCATGCTGTCGAGGGTCAAATCTTCTATGATTCATTCACCTCCGAGGAGATATACGACTCCTTCCGTGGCGATATCACATACTGCCCGGAGGACGATATCCACTTCCCGACGCTGACCGTCGACCAGACGCTCTCTTTTGCTGTTAGAAACCGTACTCCTGCAACTCGTCTTCCTAACCAGACGCGCGACGATTACGTTGAGGATACCACCACGATGTTCATGAAAGTCCTTGGCCTCTATCGTTCGAAACACACTCTGGTTGGTAATGCTCAGATTCAAGGTGTTTCCGGTGGCGAGAGAAAGCGCATTTCTATCGCAGAAACTTTAGGCTCTGCAGGCTCACTTGGTGCATGGGATAAGTAAGTTGTTATCATCCAAGGTGCCATGCTTCTCACTTTTTCCCCATTCAGTTCTACTCGTGGACTAGACTCCTCGACTGCCCTTGAGTTTGTTAGCGCCTTGCGTTCCCTCACAGACGCCAAACGCACAACTACGATTGTCTCCCTCTACCAAGCAGGCGAGCCATTATACGAGCTGTTTGATAAGGTTTGTGTCATCGCGGAAGGGAAGATGGCCTATTTTGGTCCAGCAAAGTCGGCGAAAGATTACTTTATTGGTATGGGCTTCGAACCACAAAACAGACAGACTACTCCCGACTTTCTGGTTGCAGGTAGGACATTGCGACTTTCTTATATTGTCTTCTAATCATCATTATCAGTTACGGACCCACACGGAAGGAAAATCCGCTCTGGATATGAGAGCTCTGTCCCGCGGACGGCGGAGGAACTAGCTAGCTATTTCATGGCTTCTGACTTAGGTCGTCAGAACCATGAAGCTACTGAACGGCGCCGCGAGCAATGGGTCGGAAATCACGAACACAAGCAAGCGTATTTGGCCAGCGTGGCCGCTGAACATGGCAACACATCTAGCGTGTATATGACTTCTATCCTCCAGCAAGTCAAAGCAGTCATGAAGCGCAGTGTGCAGATCATTATCGGTGATAAGTTCGAGTTCTTTATACGACTGGCGTAGGTGGTATTTGTTGCTTGACAACCCTTAGTAACAACTAGGTGACAGTTCTCAAGTCTTTCAAGCGATAATTATGGGCACCGTCTTTCTGCAGATTCCAAGTGACACCTCGGCCTTTTTCTCCCGTGAAGGTGTTATGTTCTTGTAACTATCTTCACCAGTCTTCATATATGTTGTGCCTCACGAGTCTTTCAGCTCCCTCTTCTTCAGTGCTATTACGTCTGTAGCAGAAGTCCCATCGCTTTTTTTCCAGCGTCCGATCGTGCATCGTCACCAGAAAGCTGCGTTATATTATCCTTTCATTCAGAGTCTCGCGCACACTATGGTCGATATTCCGGTCGCTTTGATCGTCCAACTTGTGTTCGCTGTAATACTCTACTTCTTGGTCGGGTTGCAACGTTCCGCCTCGCAGTTTTTGTAAGTTATTCAAGCCGTTTGTTCTCCGCTTTGATACTCACCATGCTGCACAACAGCATTTTTTACCTTTTTGTGTTCACAATGTCACAAACCATGAAATCATTCTTTAGAGCTATTGCTACATGTTCTAAAACTCGTCCTAGCGCCCTAGCTCTTAGCGGTATTTTCATTCTCTTAATATCGCTCTATGGTGGGTACACAGTTCCTCGGCCAACTGCTCCAAAGGGCTTAAAGTGGATCATGTGGTTGAATGTACGTCATACCTTGTGCGATACATTCTTCCGCTCAATATCAATATTGCTGTCTTAGCCATTGTGGTGGTCGTTCGGTGGACTTGTCGTGAACGAGTTCCATACACTCAACGGAGTTTGTTCCACTCTTGTCCCACAGGGTTTTGGGTACGAGAATGCTTCACTTGCAAACCAGGTCTGCGCAACTGTCGGATCGCAACCCGGACAGCTTCTCGTTGATGGCAACCTCTATATTGGATTGACGTTTGACGTTTGGTATAGTCAACTTTGGAGGGTAAGGTCGTCACTCTATACTTCACAGATGGCTTATAACACCACCGCAGAATTTTGCTGTCCTCTGCGCCTTCTACATTGGGTTCTTGGTCATTTTCCTAATCGCCACAGAATTCAATATACTGTCTACTGTAGACAGTGCTGTCGTTCTCTTCAAGCAGGGATCTTGTGCTGTCGATGGGAATTCCAAGGTCTTTGACGAGGAAAGGGCAGAAAAGACAGATCTAGAGTTGCATTCTAATTCCAAATCCCTCTCCGGGGCAGCACACCCCTCGACTTCCGTCGATCCCGAGAAGGTTCAGGACCTCTTCACGTGGCAGCACGTGCAATACGATATCCCCATCGAAGGAGGGATGAAACGCCTTCTCGACGATGTCACAGGCTTCGTTTCCCCTGGAAAGCTCACTGCATTAATGGGCGAATCTGGGGCTGGCAAGGTATATCTTCCTATGATACCAGTCGCGCATGCCATTTACTTGAATGCTTGTAGACGACGCTCTTGAATGTTCTTGCACAACGCGCCGGTATTGGTTTAATAACTGGCGAGCGATTCTTTGGTGGACAGCCGCTGCCCATAGACTTCCAAGCTCAGACGTAAGTATCGCCTTAATTTCATCCGATCTTACCTTACTGTCACGTTTAGTGGTTACTGCCAACAACTCGACACCCACCTTCCCGAGGCGACTGTTCGTGAAGCGCTCCTTTTCTCTGCTAATCTTCGCCAGCCACAATCAGTTCCTCTCGCTGAGAAGGAAGCATAGTGCGTACGATTTTGGTCATGATTCACTCTCGTCTAACTTTCCACTGCAGCGTTGACAAGTGCCTTCAAATGTGTGGTCTAGAGGAGTATGCTGACGCTATTGTTGGCTCTCTCGAGGTTCAGTACCGTAAACGCACCACCATTGCAGTGGAGCTCGCTGCCAAGGTTTGAACGCAACCTCTTCCAGCTGTAGTTGTGCTGAGAGATTAACAGCCCAAACTGCTACTCTTCTTGGATGAGCCTACGTCTGGGCTTGACTCGCAATCTGCCTGGGCTATCGTAAATGTACTTCGTGAGCTTGCCGACCACGGCCAGGCCATTCTCTGCACGTGAGTGCAATTTTGACATAGGTTTTTCGATGCTCATGAGTTGTGCTAGAATTCATCAACCTTCGGCGGAGCTCTTCCAGGTCTTTGACAGATTGCTCCTCCTTCGCAAGGGTGGACAGACAGTCTACTTTGGTGACATTGGCGAGAACTCGTCGACCATGTTGAACTACTTTGAGCGTAATGGTGCTCCACGTTGCAAATCTGACGACAATCCGTAAGTAAGATGCAATCATACGAGTCTTGTGCTTACCAGGGAATTGAAGGGCGGAATACATGCTTGACGTAATAGGTGCTGGAGCAACTGCAGTCTCTACAACTGATTGGTACGATGTCTGGAAGCACTCACCAGAAGCAGCGCAACTTCAAGAACATATCAACGATTTGCATCAACAGGGTCGTTCTCATCAACGGCAGCTTAGCGACCAGTACTCTGTCTTCGCCACATCATGGTTGCATCAGTTTGTTATGCTTACCCACAGAAATTTCCAAGCATACTGGCGCAATCCTACGTATATTCGCGCTAAATTTGTGCTCAATATCGCTGGTGGTCTCCTTGTAGGCTTTACATTCTTTCGAGCAAATGACTCGTTGCAAGGCACCCAAAATAAGCTATTCGTAAGTATATCAATCCAGATTCTTCGTTTGATCACATTCTTACTCCTCTTTAGTCAGTCTTCCTCTCACTTGTGCTCTGTGTTCCCCTCGTCCATCAGATCATGGCCGTCTACATCGACATTCGCACAGTGTACGAGATACGTGAACGTCCCACTAGAATGTATCATTGGACTGCTCTCGTCATATCCCAGCTTGTCGCTGAGCTTCCTTGGAACATGACAAGCTCAGCGATGTTCTTTTTCTGCTGGTACTGGACCGTTGGATTCCCCGCAAGCCGGGCAGGTTACACGCTGCTCGTTCTCTCCGTCGCCTTCCCGATCTACTATACCACGCTTGGACATGGTATTGCGTCCATGGCACCAACCGCTCCAGTTGCATCCATATACTTCACGACTCTCGTTATCTTTATGTTGATCTTGTGAGACACACTTTGAATCACGCCAGTTCGGCATGCTAACAATCTACCAGTGATGGCGTCATCCAGCCGTTCTTCGAGCTGAATTGGTGGAAATGGATGTACAGGGCCTCTCCTTTCACGTACATCATTCAGGGCCTCCTCGGTCAAGGTTTGTGAATGAGTCCTTGCTGAATAATCGTACTCATATTAGTCCCCCTAGCTGTTGGCGGTCAAGCTGTTATCTGCTCCTCCACGGAACTAGTCTCCGTCAACCCACCGATGGGTCAGACCTGCAGCGAGTACATGGACCCATTCATCAAATTCGCTGGTGGCTACCTCACAAACCCCGGAGCTGCAGAGGGTTGCCAGTACTGTCCTTACAAGACCACTGACGAGTATATGTACTCGAGGTTCAACATTACATACAGTGATCACTGGCGCAATCTGGGCATTATCTTCGCATTTGCTGCATTTAACGTGAGTCACTGCTGGATGTTGCTGAGATCTGATGCTGATGTTGATGTACCCTGTGCAGATGATTGCGGTTTTCTGGTTCACGTATTTCATGCGCATTCGCAGTGTCAGCGTGTTTACTTCTCTTAAGCAGAAGTTATCTCGTGGCATATTGCAAGTAAATCGCAAATCATGAATATTAGAGTATACTCCTCACATGCGCTCATACGACCCGAGTCAAATTTTTGTACACTAGTAGACGCTCGTATCACGACGCATTCGATTCTGCCCCGCTCAGTCGATACCGCCAGGATATTGATATAGATATGCTTATTTAAATAAGTATGTACTCAGATCAGACATTATGCATTATTAGTCATGTCCTTTCCTCGAGCTACATTCTTTAGGGTGATAATGACAATTAGTAGATTCAATGGCTTATCAATTATTGGCATTACCATGTCTTGAACTTGGCCATCGACCTGTTCACGTAGCACCGGGCCGCTCATACATGTAACCAGCAGAAATCGGCGGCCTCAGTAATAGTGTAGCACCATTCAAGCGTCCAGATCCAACATCAGGACCTGCATGTTGCAGTTCTCCACGACGCGTTGACGTGAAGCACGATGATATCAGATGCCTCGGGGAACGTTACGATGAATCGTGGCATTAGCAGCTGTGTCATATGGCACTCCCTCAGGCTAACCGTTTGATCGAGGATGGTCAGACAGCTACCATCGCTAGTTTTTGCAATACTTTCCATTGCGCTTTTGGATCTCTGGACTCTCGGTTGTGTGCGAAAACGCAAGCTAAAGTTTTCTCTGCTTGTGCTCATGCCTTACCAGAAGACACGCAGCACTTTTGGAGCGCAATATACTACTGGACACGTCCAAATCCCTTCGATGGTTTTACCGAAAGTAAACTTACCATTACCTTTCCACCAGAAGGCCGCGGCTTACTACATGTAAATGCGCACCACATCGGAGGAAGTTATCGATCACTCCATCGATGTTTAGGGTTTGAATAACTTGCAGAGTCTTACATCAAGAAAAGATTGATACATTTTTGTGAGTCCGTTGACACGATATAGGATGCTCTTTGACTGACAGTTTTACCACTACGTGAGATCCTTGAGCCTGGCAAACCGAGAGTTCTACTATAGGTAACTCCTAATTTTGTCGGACCTCGGGGATTCTTCACTGCGTCGGTGATCGTTCGAGCACTTGTAACTGTCCGTGCGTCCTTTCTGATCTTCGGTCGGGGCCGTCTTACTCGCCGATGCCCGTTTCTACACTCCCGGCCTAGGTATAAAAGATAACTGGTATGACCATTGATCTTCTGTATCATTTGCTGCTGCCACAGCTGCCATGTTGTTCTACTCCTTCACTATACTCGCTTGCATCCTTAGCATCGTTGCCCGTGCCGCCGCTGCATCACCTACAAAGCGTGATCATGATGTGAGCGTATGTAAGTTCATCGAGTGTTCAATCTCTTCTGCCCGTTTTCTAACTGATGGATGTAATCCAGATCCAGTAATCGACGACGTTACTGTGGATGCTTTGGATCGACGTGATGACTTGATGGTTAGAGTCGACGTTGACACTAGTAAGCATTGATCCATTTTGGCGTCCCTCCTAGCTGACTTTTTCTTAGGCGACGTTGTAGATAGTGCCGATCTCCTCAGTCAAAAGCGCGGTGACGACAGCTTGCTTGGCGTTGTCATTGGTGAGCACCGTCTTTGGTCAAGCTGGTGGCTATAAATTAATGGTATTTCATCCAGGTGTCAATAACGTTTTGAACAATGCTACCATAAGTGTCTTGAGGTAGTAGTAAATGACGACTGACGAGTTGTAAAACGCCAGATTTCAGGCTGCTGTCATGGATTTGTTAGGTAAAAGCAGACATAGCTGCAAGTAGGTGCTGCTATGGCCTTACAAGGCCTTCGAACTATATATCGTCATTCAGTACATGCATTGCGTGTTTGAGCTTCAGTCTATGTGTGCAAAACATCTCTTACTCGCAATCGGGACGCATGATTTAGCTCAGATCCTCAAGCTGACAGCGAGGAAAAGTAAAAGACAATCAAGTGTTCGTTTCCATCAAGGTAAATAATGTAAGGCCTGCCATTGAACATTAAATAGATTTACATAAAGTGTGCAACAAAGAATCGTAGCAGTTTGTCGTGCTACACCGCGAGTGAGTTATTCGAGGTAAGTAAAACAAGCTTCTACAGGGTTACATACATGATAAGTTATATACTTGCAAATAACATGGAATGTCAGGGATGACAACAAATGGACTGACACATAGCATGCCTGCCAGGTGTACAACAATCTGAGGGGTATACAATTGAAAGTCTTGCAAAGTCGGAAGGACAGCTTGCTGTCCGAGTCTGGTATAAATATTAAATTTCGGATGTCCCTCCTGAGTACGATTGTTTATGAGCTCTGCACCATTCCCAAGACTTGTCGACACTCACTTTTCGTGGGACACGGGAATTTGGAACAATAGTCATCGATTTCCAATTGCATTTCACGCAAGGCTGGCCTGCCTAGCGTCCTGAGGAGTATACCAACAGGGCCAGTTACAAAGTCCATGATGCGCTTGTTCTGTAAATCGATGATGTCTTGCAGATCATAAGTGAAAAAAATGAAGATGTTAGCGCCATGAATCAAACCATGTTTAAAAACAAAAACTCACCACGGGTACCACCGGATGCATAAGCCCAGGTTGGTGCTGATAAAGGCATCGAAAAGGCCAATTGGATGGTGAAGAAGAAGCTGAAAAAGAGTGTAAGGAGAGCTGAAGTACGCATTCTGCTCTAGGACGATAATTCTGCAGGGGATGAAGGGTTGAGGAAACGTTAAAATTGCGATTGCTGTGTATACGTAGGCCACTTTATATGCTAATTTTTGTTTCGTAAATGACGCTATGGCTGTCCGGATCCGTGTCCCAAAGAATTTTGATGGCTTCCATTCGAACTTGATGCGGACTACTTACTGACGCGGCTGCCGATCAAGCACCAAGTTGAAATGTAAGACGATTTCCTGATCAATGGCAGATGTAATAAAGTGGAGAGATCGAATATATTTTTTAGACTGTGTTAGTATGATGGACTCTAGCTAGGCTATATAGGGTTAACTTATTCACCAAAAGTCACGTGACTTCCTGCCGAGTAGGTAAGGGCTTCAGAAGCTATCAACTGGCCCTGACCTCTCTGCCAGGGGCTTCGGTACCCCGGGGTACTCATCACCCGACGCCTGCCGCTCCTCAGCTCCACTGAATGACTCCTCCTGTTCGCCACGGTACATCCTATCATTATATTACGTTTTCATCTCTTCTGCTGCTTTGTTGCACCAGTGGACAGTACACTTACTAACTTACGCTGTACCTTTCCGACACCTCCCCGACTCGGAACTTCTCGAGTCGTGCCTGTTCAAGTTACATGCCACTGCTCCCCTGAGCATCTGCCTGCCCCTCACTCAGTTTATTACGTCTTTTTCCACAATGGGCTCCTTTGAGTGCGTGCTCTTGTACCATCTTACATGAGCTCTCACAGACCTTGTGCCCTACTCTTGCACACCCATTGTCTTGACTCTCTGGTGCCCCGACACTTCCCGCCCATTCATGTGAGCTTCCCGATGCCCCCGCGCCTGTCTCTATCATGGTTTAAATCATTTCATGCATAGTATATAGCAGTTCAAATTCATTTTGTTCGTTTTCTGCGTACCATTGGCCCGGGAATGAGACAAAATTTAAGAATTTGTTGATACATATGATAGTACCGCCCACCACAAACGAGCGGGCGCTATAAGTTGGAGAGCGGGGTTTATGTAAACTTCGCCCGAAGCCAGAGTCTATATAGAATGTTCTCGGACTCCAGCTCACACAAACAGTGAGCCGAGCTTTTGCTCGGTTCTGACGCTGGCGAGGGTGGGCTAAAATATGAGAGACGAGCAAGGAGACTGTAGTAACGAGCGAGTAGAATGTATGAAGAACAATGTCCGAACACACTCCTGCTCAGTTGGACGTCTGGTGCCGGTTCCTTCCAGGTACTCGGGAACCGGCGGCACCTTGCATATTAAGTGACAAGTCTACAGGCACCCTAGCGTATATATTTCAACAAGATTTGGCTACATAACATTATGATTGCCCATCAACAACTTTTCGCGCCTCTAGTCCCAACACATCCAACATCTTGTTTCTTGACCGCACTGCCGCCCTTCTTTCTCTTCTCCTCTCCATTGGCTGCTCCTCAGCTTCGTCTTGTGCAATCAAAAAATCCAGGTAGGCTCGTTCTGCCGGACGAAGTATGTCGTCAAACGAGTCGTCGGGATGGAGTGCCGGAATTTCTTCCAGTGGTGGTTCAAAATTAGTTGTGTAGCAGAGGCATGCCACCGGTGCAGTATCTAAAGGTCCAATTGTTTCACCAAGTCGCATTATTTCGGAATATCGCTGAAGTACGGCATTGGGAGGTGTGGCAAACGGATTTTCGACGTCCCAAACAAAGCCAGATCTTGAATTGCCAAATAGATCTTCCTCTTCTTCATTACTTTTCGCTAGACATTTGCATGCAATAGATGTTTCGGCCTCCTCAATCTCACCAGGCTCCAAGGACAAGCACGCAAGAGATGTCGCGGTCTCTTCAATCTCACCGGGCTCCAAGAACGAACATGCACCGTCGTCGCTGACGATAGTCGGCAATTTTTCGCCTTTCTCGACGGGTGTCCCGTTGGAGCGCAAGGGTTTCAAGACCACGCGTTGCGTATACTCCCCAGCCACTCTGCGCTTATTGTTCTTCTTTACCAAGTCCGTCGGCAGGCCCCTACGTGGCCTAAAAACGGTCACAGCGCTTGGATTGCGGCTACGTGCACGCTTTGCATCTAAATGAGCCATCATCTCTCCCAGGCTATCGCCAACTCGAGGATCCTCTTGGTCTGCCAAAACTCTAGCAAGGCTCCCATCCTGGTCCATGTGATTGCGTGTGACTGCAATACCGAGGATCTTCGCAGCCTTGTGATCTGAATTAGCGAAGGCCTTTCGCTCGGCGGGGGTCAGTCTGTTTGTGAGCGAGGGTGACCGAGTGTCGGTGATACACATCAAAGTAGCGCTACCGGAGCGCTTCATGTCTGTTTGGATTGACATGTTTTCCATATTATTGCAAGATTGAAGTCAAGGAAGAAGACGCAGGGCAGAGTGAGCGATTTGTGGTAACCTCCATTGACACTGCGAGGTGCATTTATATCCTGAGTACTGTGGACGGCTTTGGCGCATTCGACCGTCCACAGTGCCTATAATGGGTCAGTGTGCAAGCTTAGTGGCATGTGTCTTTGTTCATCTCGCTTTGATTACCAATTTTGACAGATGGTCCAGCACGGTGGAGCATCAGTGGTCTTCAGTGGCATGGGGATATGCTGTCTTAATGACTTGAATCCTTCGTAATCGATACGATGGGAAAGCAAGACGGTTGAGTGTGTGGATATGATACTAATCATCTGCTCGCGATAGAGTGGAACGAGTCCGATCATCTATACAAGCTCTCCGCAACTAGAGTCGCATTGACCAACGCGATCACTCATGTTTGTCTCATATCGACGGATGTTATGACATTTCCATGACTTTGTCTCTGCACACCTACGCACATGACCCATCTTGCTGAACGTGTCCCTCACTAATTCAACTAAATGCCTTGTGACACTACCTTGTCGATGCGTATATCTTCAGGTGACATAGCTTATGATGCACCGAGGTCCGACACTCTTCAAGTTCTTTGGATAGCAACAAAACTTGTCCTGGGAGAACTCGATCAATGCCTATGATATCTCATCATTTCATAGCGGGCCGTCAGCGCTTTCAGACAAACTGGTATTTTCAACGACTTTACGCCATTTCGTACTGTGGCGTCGCATGTCTCAGATCGATGTCCTAATTTGAAGGTATTTGATGCGGTGGCACTCCTTGTTCGACTTAGCTTATGATTGCTAATTATAAAATTATGACTCGAGGTTTATGATTTGGTACGAATACATTTCTCGACCGACACTAGGAAGGCGATAAGCCCATTCCCGACTGAAACATTAATGTTGTGATTGGTAAACCTACTTTTACTAGTGTGTCTCACAGGTGAGCGACTCAAACCCTGTTGCCATAATTTCTGGTGGATAAGCGCCTACAGGTTTCAACAACGGGTACTGCATCATCAGTACTCGACAGATACTGCCTAGCGCGATTTCAGAATATCTCTATTCGTGCAGGCGCTGATGATCACTTTCGGCCATCACAGACCCCTTTATAAGGCGTCTCAAACTGTTTCTACGAGAATCCCTTCCCATGTTCTCCGCTCAGATTCTTGCTGTAGCGACGTCGTGTACTATTTTCCTGATCGCCGCTTTGCGTCTGAGTCGCAAACGTGTCTACCCCTTGCCTCTACCGCCTGGCCCTCGCGGTTTACCATTTCTTGGTAACGCACTGCAATTGGACACCAAACGACCTTGGCTCACATACGCTGCGTGGGGAAAGACATATGGTGGGTGGACCGAGGTCTTTTCAAGCCCTCGCATTGAAATTTATCCCTCTTCATAGGCAAAATCATTCACTCTAGCATTCTTGGGATCGATATGATCATCATAAACTCTGAATCGATCGCGCGAGAGTTGTTAGACAAACGTTCTGCGATTTATTCAGATCGACCCGTCATTCCCACCAATGAGATGTACGTCTTGTCCTCATCCAGCCTAGTTTGATCAGTTGACGAGGTAGATCTGGACTGGATTTCAATACTGTACTCCTTCCGTATGGGGAGAAATTGCGACAACATCGCAAGCTCTTCCACCAAGTACTTAGGGCCGAGGCCTCTGTTTCATACCAGGAGATGTACTCTCGCCACGCGACTGAATTGATCTTTAATCTTTTGAAGGTCACGGATGACCTGCAGAAACCTACTCAAGCGTTCGTTCTTGATTCAGTAACCTCCTATGCAGCTGACGATCGAACGATTATGACAGATACACGGCATCGCTGATCATGTCCGTGACGTATGGATATACTAGTTGCGGAACTCAAGACCCATTCGTTGACCGTGCTCAAGAACTTCTGGATATTGCCAGACATCTTCTTTCTCCCGAGAGGGCTGCCATGTTCACGGCCTTTCCTTTTCGTAAGTAGTCAGTGCTATCGACGACATCGATTTGATCGTTTCGCACGTCGGCTGCAGTTAAAAAGCTGCCAGTGTGGTGCTTTCGTGGAGCTTATTCCCTGATGGGTCGCAGCAGAGAATTATGTCAACAGCTTTTGAACGAGCCGTTTAACGAGGTGAAGGTACAGATGGTACGTCTGTCTATTGTGGCTGGACGGTTTGCATGATTTGCTTGCCTGTACTAGGCAAATGGTACCGTTACAAAATCACTAGTCGCTGACTTCCTCAGTCAAGCTGAGGAGAACGCCGACGAAGACACGATGAAAGCTGTTGCATTGATGGGATACGTAGGTAATGAGTTTTTTCAAGACACAGGATTCATTATTTGACGCGGATATGGCGTCTTAGGCGGCATAGACACGGTGAGCCATTGGTTTAGGAAATCCTACTCGCTTCCCCCCTTACTTTGATGGCCCACAGTCTACATCCACGTTGCATGTATTCCTGATGGCAATGCTACTCTACCCCGACGTCCAAGCCAGGGCTCGTGCAGAAATAAATGAAGTTGTGATGCATGATAAAATGCCGACCATCGATGATAGACCATCGTTGCCATACCTTGATGCCGTTCTCCGTGAGGTTCTAAGATGGTATCCACCCATACCCCTAGGTCGGTTCAATAATGTGCCTTGGTGTTTACGCAATTGCGTAGCTAAATTGTTACGCAGGAATGGCTCATGCGACAACAAATGATGACATTTATGGAGGGTACTTTATACCCAAAGGTTTGTCGTATGACTCGGGGTTTCATTGACTTATCTATAGTTTAATTAGGTACGGTGGTGATAGTTAATCAATGGTCTGTACGATGCAACGCCGATCTAAATGCTTGAGCTGAGCATGACTTAGGGCATTGTCTCGGGACGAAGACGTATTTCCTGATGCATCGCGATTTGATCCCACTCGTCATCTCACGGCTGATGGGCAGCTGAAGGATCAACATTTTGTCAACCATTTTGCGTTTGGTCACGGCAGGTGAGTGTCTCACAATCAGTATTACTTTCAGTTGTTCACCGACTCATGCAGGCGCGTTTGTCCTGGTAAGATAACTCATGATTCATCAATTCGAGGGACGACATAATTATGCCCATGACAGGTCGTTGGTTTGCAGAGAACAGTCTGTGGAATGCAATGGCTACCATTCTCGCCGTCTTGCGCATCGATCATGCCAGAGACTCAAACGGAAACAGGATCGAGGTAAAGCCGGAAATCACCACCGGCATGGTGATGTGAGTGGCCTCGATGTGCGGGCGCGATGGAGCTAACTTTAAGTCCGAAGTCGCCCGCAACCTTTCCAATCCTCGTTCGAGATTGTCAATTCGGCGAGAGCAGGACAGCTTCGTGCGGTGATGAATTTGAAGTAGACGGATCTTTGTATTATGTCCATTAGGTACTTGGGGTGTACATTGTATGGCGCACAATGAGCTGAGCGTCGAGGCCTAAGATTTTGTAATTTGTCTCTGTTGATACTGAAAATGATTATTATTATCGTCTGTTCGAACGTTTGACTCGCAATATTGTTATTGCCACAACCCTGATGTTTAGCGAAGACTAAAATTTTGTGTTCGACTGATACGGCCCGACGGGTGACTATTGGTCAAATGCATCTTACCTCAAGGCCGCCGAGTTGGCGAGTATGTTTTGATGTTTCTTCAGAACCTGTTCATGGTGGCAATTGGTGGGCGACTGAGTAAGATCAGCTTCCTTTTCTCCGCTGTGATATTTTGCACAGTATGCGACAAGTTGACATGTTATGTAAGTTGATGAGTCTAAAGCCGCGTTAATTCAGCAACAGTTCATATGGTCTAGGCGTCAAGGGAACGCGGCGGGTAAGTAGTAGTATTGCGGTGCCTCAGAAGGACTGTACTTACACACTCAACCTGATAGAAGATTACTCGTAAAATGGTGGCTCTCTATCGCATGTTTCACTGGTTCGTCATCAATTTAACGCCATCTCTTCATTAATATGTGGTCCGACGCGCCTATGTGCCCACGACTTAGAAACACGTCAAAGCCAGCCTCGGCCTACAAGGAAGTCAGTCAGGAATTCGCGTATCATACTGGCGGTCGAGATCGTGGTCGTCGCGTTTAGCGTGGGTACATTAACCGAGGAATGCGGAGATTACTTCAACTACTTGGCCCGACGGTGATGGAAAGTCACAGTCAAATGTGTCATTCAGGCATCAACATCCCGACACGGTGACGAAACTTGATGTACTGTTTTGCAGAAATGAATAGGAGGAAGTGTTCTTGAGCGTCACTGCTAAGCAACTGATTTTAACTGAATACTCAGGCTGATCTGACCTGGCAGATAGACTGTCGCATCTAGAGCAACACAATCCTCGAAAAGACGATGCGTCTCAGATATTACGCGATTTATATATATCCTAACCCTTTCATGAAAAAAGCACGTTAAAAGCCGATCTTGCGTTTACGTATAATTACGTGTAGGTAAGTGATGCGAACGGCATGTTCTTCGTGATATCCCAAAATGATTACTCAATGAACTTTTTTTTTCCAGTTTTTCCTCGCTTCTTCGATATACTAACGAATGTTATTGGCCGCACCCGCATGCAAGTATTATTCGGGACCCTATCCCTGAGCAAATTCCGGCAACCCCGTCTTGTTGTATAAAATGCGAGCGCTCGCACCCTGAAAATCAGCTTACCACCGTTAGCTTTTTCTGCTGTGCCCCTTCCTACTTCTTCCCATCGCCCTCCACTCTTACTACAATGCTCTCCAAATCCTTCGCTCTTTTTGCTGCCTTCGCTGCATTCGTCCCTGCTTTTGCAGCCCCCCTTCCAGGAGGCGTAGCTGACGTGACTGCCGGTAAGTTGAATGTCCACCTTGCATTTCGCTTCTTCATTGTCTTTTTCCTTTGTAGTTGTTACCAACGTTGCCAACGACCTTGTGGCCAACGTAGCGACAAAACGCGCTGGGGTAGACCCCGTCGGTAAGTACTGAATATTTTCATAACCTGACGGCAATGTTAAGCCGAATTGTGCTTCAGTCTTCGACGAAGTCATCAAAAGACTTGAATTCACGCAACGAGACAGCGGGTGCGGTCTCGCTGACATCGACGTTAGTGAGTCACCCCCCCTCTAACGTCACGGTGCACAGTCTAATAATAATTGAACAGTCGTCAGCAACGTGCTAAACAATGTTACAATTAACATCTTGAAGCGTGGTGACTGCGATGTTGTCGGAGTTTCTGCTGGTAGGTGTTTCGTTTTGTGTATTGGTTCAAATGTTGAATGATCCCTCAGCGGTGGTCGATGTATTGAACAACTTGCACGTCAATGTTGCATCACCCTCTAAGCGTGGTGAATACTCGCTCGAGCAACTCGAGTCGAGTACGTAATTTTTGTACTCGTTTTGTATTCATCACCTGACAGCGCGTTGCAGTCGTCTCAAGCACAGCAAGTAACCAGGGCTACAACGTTCCAAGTGGAAAGCGCTCCGATGCTGAGGATTCTGCTGCTGTGAACCGCATCCTTGAACAGCTCAGCGGCAATGTTAAGCGCTCCAAGGCCTCTCCATACACTGTTTCTCAAATTGCCTCTGGTATGGTATTTGCCGGTTCTGTTACCGTCAGATTCTGACCATCTTATAGCGCTCGCACAAGTCCTTAACGAGAACCAGGCCAGAGACGTGACCCCTGAAGCCCTCCTCGACGAGCTTCTTGGCGGTGCAGTCCTTGCCAAACGCGCTGACCTTGTCGACGCTGTTGTCGGTAAGTGATTTCATGGTGATAATGTGCATATCTCTTACATGAAATTCAGCGGTGACGAACGATCTTAACAATGCCAATGTGAACGTCCTCACCCGTGGTGACGTTGATGTCCTTGCATGTAAGTCATCTCATCTTCTAATATGCATGTCTCATAAATCAAATTTAGACGTTGAGAATGTTGCAGAAGACGCGACTGTCAACGTTCTCACCCGCGATGAGGCCTTGAACTGATACTGATGTCCTTGCGAGTTAGTAAATTCATGGCTGCAATGTGAATGTCTCCTGAATTAAATTCAGTTCTTGAGCGCTCTAAATTATCGTCAAAGAAATGGTTGGACAATGCGCAAAGAAAGCATTTCATACCCAATGACGCACAGTACACATACCCCCGCCCACACTCGTTTTACCACTGTCACTCGTTAACACACGTACTACATAGCCGCGTAATCAGATTTGCTCGTAATTTTCGTTGTGTCGAAGAAATACGGCATAGCATTTGTAAATTGATTCTCACCGCGGACTATGGAATCCAATATAGGTCATTGAAGTCGCGAACTACTACGTCCATCAGAACAACCAGAATCGAGAGGTCGGCAAGGTATCAATCAAATTAATCAGCAGTGGGACATTTGCACATACAGCAATGCATATATATACATTTGATCATGGGAAGGGTGCTTGCAGGCGGGCATGCAGAAACATCGAAGTCCTTCCTGGGTGATTCTACGGAGATCGGTTCAATGCTCGGGCCTACGGGCTTGGAACAAGGGATAATCCACATCACCCCTGTATGCGGCGATAACAAGGGGCTTGGGAATACTGGCGGGTAATGCATGTAAACGGTATGTGTCTTGTAGCGATAAGACTTGTTATTGTAATATTAATATTAATATTAATGAAGCTATATTGGCCCATTAGTATTGTTTAATATGATTGCCAAAAAAAGTCGGACAACGATGTAACCTTGTGCAAGGTTAGCGTGGAACGTCAGAAGGATCGTGTTCGGCGACGACGATCTGGACCCACGAGAACGCCGATGATCTAGTGTCAGTCAACGACGACGAGTCACAGAACGTTCTACGGCTCACCACATTTTTGGTAATACATCCCACTACATAATTTCAAAAATGGTAGTAGACGGTGATATTGCAAAGTACATCGAGAGCTATCGACGACGTGTTGTAGCGAGATCATCGCAAACAGCGTTATAAGCTAGCCAAGATAAGACTTTTGAAAACTACCCATGTTCAATCTGTAGAACAAACGAGGGATTCACAAATCGGTTGCAGGTGAGAAGCACATACTTTATATTCTGGTTTAAAGGAGTGGAGGTGGGCAAAGGATCAGTACCATGGTTCCTATGGCATACTGTACTTGCTTGCAATCCCATTATCGGTAAAAGATCGTCGCTTACATAAGCTAACATTTTGTGGTCCGAGCTTCAACAGTTTGCTTGGAGGTCTCCATGTCTTCACAACAACTTCTCGTCCGCCAAGTTGTTCGTTCAGCGCGTCAAGCCAGGGCGTATGACAAAGTCAGGACAGATTTCCCTGTAAAAGTGCATAAAAATGTGCGCGCGGTTTCATCCTCAGTGACACGCTCGGCAGCGGCTGCACCAAAACTGAAACCGACACCGACACCGACCCCGACCCCTCCATCTTTCGAGCCTATACCCCAGCGGGAGCAATCATGGTTGACCACGAAAGTCAAGTCATCTCCAATCCTTTTCTCAATATTCCTCTCTGTAGCACGTGTTCTTGGCTATGGCTCGCCGCAACAGTTTGCTAATCGGCGCACTCTGCTCTTATACAATACCCTATGTGCAACGCGTGCCGATGAAACGTCTGAGTTTTGGAAAGAAGGTATGCGCAACAACTCCATGTGACCCTTAATTAATTCCCAAGTAAGAATACGCTCTGCCGCCAACTTTTCAGTCCTGGTTTACAATCACAAACCTACATGTCTGGCTGCTCACCGTCCGACTCCGTGCCCTCCCTGAACCACATGGGATACAACATATACAAGGGCTCATCGATCACTTCTTTCAGGACATCGAAGAACGCTTACGCGCTGTCCTTCAACCAGGCGTGCTCCCTCCTCGGTCTTCCTCACCAAAGCTAGCTGGCACTGCTGAAGATGGTTCTCAATATCCACACAGCTCCTTTTACACCACACCCGCCCCTCTTCCGCATAGAAGCACCTTTCCTTCAACTAAAGCATACCAAGAGGCCTTGAAACTCCAGATACGCTCTCGTGCACCAGAAAAGTTGATAACCAGGCAGATGAAAATCCTCAAAGAACAATGGGCTGGGATGGGAATGAGCTTGGACCTCGGCCTCGTAAGGGGCGATGCCGAGATGGCTGCGACAGTCTGGAGAAATCTGTTAGGTGCACGGGGTGCAAGTGGGATTGGGTTGGAGGGCAATGGCATTGGTTATCGGAGGGCGGTTAACTTAGTTGGTGGACTTGTCGAGGACGTGAGAAAGGTGGACGTAGATAAGGAAGAGTTGAAGGACGACAACAGTGGTGTGCATGATTTTGCTCCTTCGGAAAATGACCGGTATGTGCATTATTTTTTCTGGCGCATCTTCTATGCGCATGCGACGATGCTATCTCCAGTGCAATGCCCACCCAGTGGCACTTGCACTATACAGCATTCATCATCTCGTGTTCATATTATCTCTTGCTAATCATCACTTACTGCAGGTACATCGGTTATCCAGAGCTTATGGTCACACTTGTCTCCTACATCCGCCGTGAACTTTCACGACTGGAGCGTCTTGATGACACTGTCATCATGGGACCACGGCGCGTCGGACGTGAGGGTGAAGGCATCCAAAATTTGAGATGGGGAGACATCAGAGACGCTGTCCGGAGGTAAGTCAGCAGCTCGACCGTTCCTAGATGACGAAATAAAATGGATGTTTCTCTCTCAGATAGTAGGCCAGACAGCCTGAAGCTGATGTACAGCTGCAGTGCTTAGAGAGTATATTACAACGCATATCTCAATAATCTGTGCTTGGATGAGCTCCGCTCCGACATTTTAGTTCCCACCTTTTTGCCTTTGACTGAATGTTTTCCCACTTTAAGCCGTGAGCTGTGAAATGAGATTGGTGTGTTAGGTCAGTCCGCGGGTTCATATTTCTGGTTTTGCGAGTGGTTGGTCACTGACGAGGTGCGTGACATTTGTTTCCGCCTGCGCCAGTTCCGATACGGCATCTTTGGCAAGGCCTTGAGAAGAAGGAAGACGGTGTTCCTTCCAATAATAATTTATGATGCGGCCAGCGCTCAGCACTGCCAAAAAGTTGTACCGTTTGACATATACATGTACGTATGAGCGCCATGTGATCACATGTTCTGAACTTCTGCTTAACAAAGCACTTCATACTGCGTTCGGTGGAGCTCGAGAAGCTATTGAATTATAGCATATAAATAGTCCACTACATCTCACTTCTACAAGGTCTGATACACCCCTTGTTTCATGCTGCGCTCTTGATGGCTGACGGTCCATCGTGCAGTACTGAAACACAAACACCTAAAGTATGTGTTGAGTTCAGGTGGGTGTTGAGTTCTGTCACTGATTCGCTTCTATATTGACAGGGTTCCACGCGGCCCATCATTCAGGCGTTATTACATTGATCTCATGTCAAATTCCTTCCACACGGGCCCTTCGAGTCGGCTGAATATTCGAAAAGTGCGGATTGTGCAGTGATCATCGAGTGGCATGCCCGCCCTGGGAGCCGGAGTTAGTAGAGGCTAGGCTCCCCGCGATCAGTGACATGATGAAATATCCATCCGGCCCTTCAATCAAATCAATGTTTCAAAATGCATGATCTAAGTCCGGTGGCGTGGTCTGGCTCTTTCGGTGCGTAGAGCGATCATTTCCTGATCCGCTCTACCTGACATGCCGTCATCTCGAAGGCTTGACATATTCTAGCGATTGCTTACGACACACTAGGTCACATGAATGGAAAATTTTCATTCCCCTGCCTCAATTCATAGGTCGCTTCGTACCGCTCCACAACATGTGAGTTAAATTTCAATGTCGTGGCGTCGCATAACTCGTCTAACTTGAACTCTACCCAAGCAGGAGTGTGCCGAGGTCAGGTTAATGACCCGCCGCATCAATGTTTCTGTACTGTACGTTCTGATCTCGGACTTAGTAGGGGTGGTGTGTGCTGTGGCACACATGCAGGGCTATGTCCTGTCATGCCGTATGGTCTCTCATCGTTCCCCGTCAGGTGTGATTTACATCACAAACGTTTACAGCGGCCGATTGCGTGCTAGCGCTTCTCGCAATGATGATCCATGTAAGTCATTTTCACACCGTCCTGAACTGCGCATCATTGAACGCAAAAATTTCACAGCCGCCGATCTGGTAATGGAGGGACGGTGTCACGGCATTTTGAACGTTTTGCCAGTACAGCTATCAGCTTGAAGCCAAAGGCCGGACTCGTGGGGTGGCGGGATTCACACTTTCGGCGTCTATTTGGAGCACTATGCTCGACTGTTTGACTTCAGCTTGGAATACTATGATTGCAGACAAACAGATAGCGCCGCCTTATATCCCTGGGGCGGTCTTCAATTGTTGTGCCGTCAAACCGTGGACGTAATCTGTAGAACTGGGTGTCAGCATATTACGTCCGCGATTACCTCGGGGAGACTGCTCGAAGCTGAGTTTGCTTGATGTGTCATTTAAATTTCATACTTGAGGATGAATTCACAGCGCCAATTGAAGTTATTGAACCGTGAGCACGTGAGCCCTGAAGAAAATCGTTGGCTGTGTTCAGTCTATGGCGCATGTAAGTACATGGTCTAGAACGTTTGAGCGGCAAAGTGAACGACATTGGCAATTACAATGGGCGATATTACGCGAATCGTACCTGGTGGCATGCACAATAACGTACATTCGAGGCTTCCACTTCGACGAAAAAAGATCTTTCGATTATGTCCGGGTCACCAAAGGTCCCAAACCATAAACCGTGGTCGCCGTGTTGAGTGAGTACTCACGATGTGTTGTTCGGATCGCAGATAAATTTTCAACGTTAGGTATAAAAACAGTCACCTTCCTCTCGAATCTTCAATCAACCTCTTCCCTCGACTTGTCTCTTGCTGTGTAACTTCCTCTCGTTTAAAATTTACAATGCAGCTCTCCCTTCTCGCATCCCTCGCTATCCTTTGCTCCTCTGCCTTGGCTGCTCCTCTTCAGCGCCGTGGTGACCTCGTCGACGTTCTCGCTTGTGCGCATCTGACCTCCTTGTGTCGTAGACATACAAACTGACTCTCCGTAGATGTGGAAAACGTCGGAAACGACGCAACCGTCAACGTCCTCACCCGTGATGGATCTTTGGCTGATGTCTACGCTTGTATGTGTCTAGCGTTGTTGTAGACTTACAAACTGACTCACAGCGCGTAGACGTGGAGAACGTCCTGAATGACGCAGATGTAAACGTCCTCACCCGGGATGCTTCATTGGTTGATGTCGTTGCTTGTATGTGTCCAGCCTTGTTGTGTTGTAGACTTCCGAATTTATTCTGTAGATGTCGAGAACGTGTTGAACGACGCAGATGTCAACGTTCTTACCCGGGATTTGCCCTTGGTTGACGTCGTCGCTGGTATGGCATTTCCTGCAGCTTGCAGTTTGTCGCTCAATTTTTTCCAGCGGTCACCAACGATCTGAATGATCTCACTGTGAACGTCCTCACCAAACGAGGAACTTTGGCTGACGTCATCGTCGGTATGGCACTTCCTCCAGCTCACAGTTCACTGCTCAAAAATTTTCTAGACGTTCAGGACGATGTGGACAATCTTAAGGTTAACGCTCTCACCAAACGTCAATTGATCGACGTCACCGCAGGTGGGTAGCATTCACATGATTTTTCGAGATTTTACGAATACCCCCTGCAGTTGTTGAAGACGTTCTCAACAACTTGGATGTCAACGTCCTCACTTAAGTCACTCTGCACTCATTACTTCGGAATCTGGTCGGGGATATTCACCTTTGCACTACCATTTTGGTAGGTATACCCATTACGAACGACATGTCCGTGTCTTCCATAGTGAACCTTCGCACTAGTTCGGTAGCATCCCACATCGCTTACATTAATTATCATGCATTTCAAACCTTATTGGGTCTTCTCGTGTGCGGGGCACGTACCCCCCAGTTCCAAGTTCCATCCACTAAGGGCCGCTGTTGTAACGCCCGATTTTGATAATCAAGGATTAACAACTGGGAGAAGACAGGGTCGGCAGCGTGAGTTTTGGCGGGACAGTACGAACAAAATATTCCGGTAAACCAAGAGTAGTACACCATATAGGTTACAGGAAACGAATTCCAATGCAGTCAGTCATTAAACATTCTCAAAATACGACATCATGAACATGTTGCCGATATACATTGCATATTAACGGACCATACCTACAGAATATTTACCTAATTCTTGTTGCTGAGAATATTAGTGGTGACGAAAACGAGCTCAATATAAAACTTCCAGTACTCACCGGCAGTGATATTTGTGTGCCGCTACCAGCCCACCGCAGTGACCACACCCGTGGTCAGCTGGTTTTCCTTTGCTTGCTGAAGTTGCCATCCAGTCAAAATAGATAGAACATGTAACAAATACCTTATCTTTCAAGCTATGAGCTATCGTTTCAGAGCAATGAGTGGTAATGATATTAGCAAGACGATTAATACGACATACCGAACGCAGAACTGGAATGATGGCCATCTGCTCATCCGAAGTACAAATTCGTCGACACAACAACACATTGACCGATACAGAATCTTTCTTGCTTTTTCTGCGAAGGTGGGTGCGAGCCCACCAAAAAGACGGTATGCCAGGAGGGATATCGATTGCCTGGGACAGAGGGAAAGAAGGACAACATTATCAGCAGAGCGAGTAGCACACATATGAGTTGCCATATAGGCAGCCAGGATGAATAAAGGGAGCCCACAGAAAGGGTGGGAGTGGCCACGATTAGTCTAATGACAACGTCAGTAGGACCAGATCTACCCACTGTCCACGGTAGCATGAAAAAATGCGCGATGGAGAATATGAATACGAGTTGCAAATGACCAATTTATGACGTGCAAGGAGAGTCCCGGCCAGAAGTCACAAAATGGGTTGAAGAGACGACTGCTATGGTGGATGAGTATACAGATAACAGGCAGATACTTAACCCACGACGGTGACAATGATTGTGCAGTCCAGGACCATGACGAGGGATGCATAGCTCGTGACAGCAATAGAATTGATAGATGTGGACACCGGAGGCGGTCTGCGACAGTAACGACAAGCGGGCAGCTCATGATGGTAGGAATAGATGATAAGCAGTCGCTGCACGGGATAACAAAAATATATAGAAGGGGATGTGGCCTAGTTGAAAAAACATAGATGGCCAAGGGCAAGCGGAAGGAATGGGTCCGGAAGCTGAGATGAAGTGAAGTGTGCTGGAGATCAGTACTGTTAAACCGTTGCCAAGCTAAATGATAGTAAAGTTAAGGCTCATGGTAGCAAGACAAATAATAGGAAAACGGAAAGATCAGAGATATTGAACCTAGCACGATGCCCCCCATACCGATACGTCTAGTAGACCGGGAGTTATGCAAGAGCTGAAGAGGATGGGATAAACACGCGTTGCTGGACCCTCTAAGAGTCAGACGCACGACTCGAAGCTTCCAATCACGTCACGTGAAGAGCTAATAGGGATGACGGTCCCGGAGGAGAAGGAAGCGAGGATCGAAGAAAACCCACCATCATACCCAGAGCCTTGAAAAGGACTACTGCGAACAAGGGTATAACACATATGGAGCTAGTCCACCACATGCCTAGGCCTCGCTCCAACGAACAATTACCAAGGATCCGGGATGGTACTAGTTATGGATCGATTCTTCATGGTGAATTGAAAACGATCCAGCTGTGCATTTATGTAAGGCTGAGTTGAGTTCCCATAATCTCCGAGTCAAGCGTATCCACAATACTAAAACATAAACTTTCAGTATCACTGCCTTTTGGCGTAACGGTCGACAGTCTTGACGAAGTTACAATGCGTCGGGACTGCAGTAGAGAGTTCGAAAGGAAACAGAAAGAGATGAGTAGAGCGAGAAATGGATGATGGAAACCGTGACGAGCCCACTCAGTCTAGACCCTTGCAGGCTTGCGCGTTGTAGAACCGGGGTGACGGCATACTACGTCGGGGAATGCCTCGGGGAGACCGTTTCGAAGCTGATGAGTCCGATTGATATTGATGTGACGTTTAGTTCGGATGACCCACGACTTAAACAGGTGGTACTAGGCTATCAGCGCGAGTCAGAAATCGCGTTCGGGAGTCTCTCTGTGCAGGCGCATGTGTCAAGTACAACGAAATCGACGCGACACGCCGATGAACAATGGCAGAATTACGCGAATCGTAGTACAGCCGGCATGCAGATAACGTAGTACCTTCAGGCTTCGAGGCTTCTAGCTCGGAAACAAATGTCCTTCAGGTCCCAAACTATAAACCGTGGTCGCCATGCTGAGTGCTCATTAAAATTATATTCTATTCGGATCGCTGATAATATTCTCAATACTAGGTATAAAAACAGTCACCCTTGGTCTATATTTTTCAATCGCTCTTTACCCTCGATTCCAACTCTTTAGCCTCTCCCTTATCCACAATTCACAATGCAGCTTACCCTTCTCGCATCCCTTGCTGTCCTTTGCGGCGCTACTTTCGCTGCACCCGTTGAGCAACGCGATGGATTGGTTGACGTCATTGCCTGTGCGTGTCTAACCTCATTGTGTGTTGTAGACATGACCTGACCTGCTGAGAGTAGATGTAGAGAATGTCTTGAACGACGCAGACGTCAATGTTCTCACCCGGGATGGCTCTTTGGCTAACGTCATTGTCGGTATGTCATTTCCTGCAGCTCACAACTTGCCGCTGAAGGTTTTTTAGATGTCCAGGACGATTTGGACAATCTTGACGTTAACGTCCTCACCCGGGATGGCTCTTTGGCTAACGTCATCGTCGGTATGTCATTTCCTGCAGCTCACAATTTGCCGCTGAAGGTTTTTTTAGATGTCCAGGACGATTTGGACAATCTTGACGTTAACATCCTCACCAAAAAACAAACTTTGGCTGAAGTCATCGTTGGTATGGCATTTCATGCAGCTCATAGTTCGCTGCTGAAGGTTTTCTAGACATCCAGGACGATTTGAACAATCTTGACGTAAACGTTCTCACCAAACGACAAGATTTGGCTGATGTCATCGTTGGTATGGCGTTTCCTGCAGCTCGCATCTCTCCACTGAAGATTTTCTAGCCGTCACCAACGATTTGAATAATCTTGATGTTAACGTCCTCACCAAACGAGATGATGGTTTGATCGACGTTATAGCCTGCGAGTACTGTTCACTTGTTTTGTTAGCTGTCACTAATGCAACCCCGCAGATGTTGAAAATGTTCTCAACGATGCCGACATCACTGTGGCTTAGCCAGCATCATCACATCATGAGGGTCTCTGGTCGTGGATATTTGCTTCTGCTCCATCACATCTGTACAGTATACCCCCATTATGAAGTACACTCTTTTCAGACCTTGGCGGCTGTTCGGCGGGATCCATACATTACGTAGGGGCTCATATGAATGAGCAATATAACCGTCATAGGTCGTTCTCTTGTGCGATACATTGAACTATATACGACCAATTATTTTGTATCTGGCAGGTGCGCTTGTGAAATTTACCTGAGATAGCGAAGTAGAAGTTCCAGCGTAGGCGAACACGATAACATTGTGAGTCATGATGGTTCCTCAGTGTTGTATATTTCCCGCAGAAGGTTGATTTCATGATTACGGAAGCGTTCTGCCCGAAGGCGCCTAATTTGACTGATATTCGAGTTCTTTTACTGATACGGCATTGCTACCGAAGAGCGCTAGAGCGTACATAGAGTACAAAGGATTTTAATGGAACGTTTTACCGGTGACATGGTGGGAGGTCCTGGAGAAAAACGGGAAGTCATGAAAGCCCACACAGATGGGTATAACACAAGGAGATTGACGACATGCACACAATCGAAGCTCGACTGTATGGAGATCCATGGCAGGAAGTCCTCGGCGGAGGCCGAGGTGTCATACCCCGCCTTCTCCTTGAGGTCACAAGTCACCGTTCTCGACCCTCGTACGTACTTCACACCTGCTAGTGAGACGGGAAGTTGCCATGCAGTCAAAAATAAATAGAACAAATAACAAATACCCTACCTTTGAGGCCATGAGCCGCATCGTTTTAGAACACGAGTTTCGTGAGCGGTAAATGATATCTGCAAAACAATTGATACGACATCATTACCGATTCCCGAACGCAGAACAATATGAATGATGGCGCTATCTGTTCATCCGGAGTAACAATTTGTCAATTATAATAACACGTTGGCCGAGGACCGATCCCCTGCTTACATAGAGCTGCCAACCAGGGTAGGTGCGAGCCCACCAAACACCAAAAAGAAGGAATAAGAAGTGGGATTTCAAAAGGAGCAATTTTCATTGATACCTGCGACGACAACACCGGAGGGAGGAACTAGTAGGAAGAACTGATAGAACGATTTTAGCATGATCCGTGTGCTTGGGAGATTAGAAAGTTCGATATGAATGTTCTATGAAACAAAACCCGAGACTCTAGTGGCTAGTTGTTCTAGGTTGTTCCATATCATGATTTCGACACCAACTAATCACCTTCAGCTGAGTTCAAGTTGGCAGAAAAGTACCGTAACTTACTAGACAATTTGGTGGATCTCAGTCTGTATCATACTGAGCGCCAATTCAAAGGTGCGATACATCGGACTCACAGTTGAACATAAGATATTACGCATAAAATGCTCCTGATTAAGTTGTAATAGACGCTGGAGCCAAATGCCGTGATGCGAAGTCTAATGTGTTAGCGACTTGGCATATCACATGATTGTAGACATACTACTTACTGGAGTTCAGTCTACCTAAGACCTACCCATAGGAGACCATTGACAGACATGTCGAACGCTGACCGATCAGGTGCATGAGATCTTCGAATCGAAGGTTACTGCGCGCACTCGGTCACCATCCGAATGTGAAGGGCCAGGTACGTCACCACTCCGTCGATTGCATTATGCAGTGTGCAACGCCACTCTTCGCGAAAGCTCCACCGACCACCAAGATACTCCTGTCGACACTCTCATAACCCTCGTGCTCATGAAACACTCTCGCCAGCGTTCTGATGTTCTAGCGGCTATAGCACCGTCAGCGATGAATGACTCCAGATCCAAGGTGACTGGAGTACGCCACCATCGAGCGTTCAATACCAAACAGCGAGGAGCTCGTGGAGGATGGAGACACAGCACCTCTGACCCCTCAATCAGTGCGCAGGCGCTGGCAGCCCTCATAAGATTAATATGAAGATGACCACAGATGAGCGCTATCTGTCATCCTACTCAGAGAGCAGTCACGGATGGACATGGTGAATCTCCCCCAAGACAGTACAGACTTGTCAATGCCCATCACACCTCATATGCATCGACTCAGTCCTCGCCCAAGACGAGGCTCTCGAAATAGAAACCGAGGCCGAGGACGAGAAGGAGAGCATTCTCAATTTGTGTTGGAAGGTGGCGGGGAAAGAGTCGGGATGTTGAAGGATAAGACCCACCAGCATTTTGACTATTGTAGTATGTGGTAAATGTGAGGAGATGATGCTGGACGATGTACTTACGTCTAAATATCGAAATGTAACGATATCTGCTGCGAATATAGAAATCCGAGAAGGGTTCGAGTGTCAAGAGGCCGTATTCAGCCCAAAAGACGTGCTCGTGTTCAAATAAGAATCAAGCCTTATAGGACTGCTAACAGTCACCTCGGTCCGATCTGGCATATCAAAGGGTTCTTTATTAGCCTTCATCTGAACTCACTTACACATTTTTGAAACAGTCTAGCATGTATGCTAACCAACCATGCTCCGTTTCCTCCCTCTTAGTCGCACTAGACAAAGAGTGAGCACACGGATCTAGTCATACACTGAGCTCAGCTTACCATCGTCTAATCTCTTTTTAATTGGCAGCCAATGTTTGCACATGCGTTTTTCATATGCGCTCAACACACCCGCAAACAGTGGCTCCGATTCGGGATGAGTTGAGGCAAAGGCACGTTCCAGGACATAAAGGTCCACAGCCTTATCCTCTACGAGAGTAGAATGATAGGCAAGTCCAAAATCTATAAGAACCTGGCAACGACATTAAAAAGACGGCCACAGCCTTTAGTGCTGTCCTGTACCACATCACTTTTTTTTTTCCTCAACATCATATTTGAGGTCGTCAGATCACCATGAATTATGTCGGCCAAGTGCATCTTTGCAATCTCAACACCGATCATATCCATCAGGGCATCTATGGAACGTGAGTATGACTTCAATCAGCGTATGAATGCTCCTACCTCGAGAGACTCCATAGTCAGCGATTGGATCTGCAGTGCCATTTTCATGGATTTCATCCACCTCTTCATGTTCGCTGATGTCTTCAAGTTCGGCGCCACCGGGTAGAAGTTGACGCACACTCTTGCCATCTATCCACTCGATGCCCAGTACACCTTCGTTCACATCCACCATCCGGATCCCGGGTACGGCGACGCCGGATCTGCCAAGGTCCCACGTCGGCTCATCACCAAATTTTTCCACAAGACGGCAAAAATTGGACATACCGCATGCATCTCATCAATGCGCGGGCTTCGCCGGCTATGCGTTGCCGGGTGAGTGATGCATCGAGCGACGGGTGGCGGTAGTGTTTGTGGAACCGGTGCTTCAAGAGAACCGGCTCCGACGCTTTAAGAACTGCACCGTGATCAACGCCATGACCTGAACTCGAGAATTGATGCAGATATGCTTTATAGACTTTCTGCGTGAAGGGTGATCGGGGGTTCAAGTTAGCATGGGGCTGAGTAAAGATTAGTTACGAGAGGAACTTGCAGCTTCAGCGCCCTGGGAAATGAGATCCGCCGACTGTAGCAGTTGCTGCGTCGGTGGTTTGGAAGATGATGATGAAGAAAGCATGATGAGCGTCTGAGATAAGATTCAATAACAACACAATCTGGCAATCCCCGATTGGTTCTCTCAGGCCATGTCTGACATTAATATTCTGACGACATTGACGTTCTCTGACTTCCAGTGCTGTCCTTTTCACTGCATGCTCCTGGCTTAAATGTTGTGAGCAAGGGTTAGTAAGTACAAAACTGTTCATGGATCATAAAATGATGACTTTGTACAGGCTCTGATGACCCTAACAACTGCGCTGCAGACTCCTGCGAAGAGCAGCTCCACGCTAGTACTAGTAGTAATAGTCACTGACAAGTCAGCTGACGACGGAAATTGACTTCAAGAATGCAAGCTTCGTCAACTGATCAGTAGTTCGAACCTGGTCGGGCCTAATCATCCTCCGACTTCAAGTTACGACGTGAGCCCTGATTCGGCCTATTATGGTGCAGGGTGGCCCAGAACGTGAGTTTGATGGATATATATACACATCGGAGGATAACAATCACCGTCCTACACAGCTGGCTCATTTCATATCATCGATGGCTAGGCGCGCACCCCTAATACATGCTGTTGTCAGCTTGCAACTCTACTACGTACGTGAGCTTGCGTACTCGAAATCGTCACATTGCTAGCACGACGCCAACATATGTTCCTCTAACCCGTCGCATGAAAACTTGAGAACACTCTTCCACTATCGCCAGAAACTACATTTGAATAAGTGAGTTATTCACGCTGTCCGCACAACCTGCTAACGCCAGCAAAGTTACCAATAGGCGTGCTGACTTGACAAAGAGGCGCAGAATCACAAGATAAACCTTTCTTGGATACGTCAACGCTTGCTAATATCTTCGGTCGTTTGTCCTGGCCGTCTGTTAATTCCCGGATCTTTGAAAAATATAGTAGGCCAAGCCTTCTCTTTCATCAGAAACACGTTTATCATACATACGTTTGCTTAGCATAATATATTTTTGGCTGGAGCCCAAAATCACCCCCGTGAAAGAAATACTGTGAAGTTTGGTTAACAAGATTGCAATATATTGGATTCAACTATGCAAGCGTTTCATCAATTTGTCCAACATCCATTTGTCCAACAGCACGAGCAAGCAACGGCATCCCAATACATGGTTTCAACATTTGACCCCGTTGAACCACTTAGGCAACCTGTCACTTTCCCGTTTAGCGGACGAACAGCAAAGAATAGGCTCTTGAAGAGCGCAATGTCAGAACGCTTGGCCACTTTCTCGACTTTGGATCCCTGTGGTCGGGGACAACCAACAGAAGAGCTCGTACGACTGTACGAAACCTGGGCAAAGGGGGATATCGGTAATTTTCATCCCATCCTTGATGACGTTCTAATCATCAATTTCTCGAAGGGATTATCGTCACTGGTAACATACAAATAAAAAAGGATCATCTCGAAGCTACAGGTGGTCATATTTTTTTTTTTGCGAAAACAATTGCGAGGTTGATGATGTCCGTGTAGGGAATACCATCATCGACAGGGACCTCCCCTCGGTCTATCTCCAGGAGTGGACCGAGGTGGCGCGAGCCGCCAAGTCACAAGGGAGCTTGGTCATCGGACAACTTAGCCACCCAGGGCGTCAGGTTTCTATTAACATACAGCCATATCCAGAGGCGCCATCTGACGTCGACCAACCCTCAATTGGAGGCGTTGTCTTCGGGCGACCCACCCCTCTAACAAAAGATGGCATCAAGGGCATTGTAGATCGCTTTGCATACGCAGCCTTAGTCCTGTACAGGGCTGGATTTGATGGCGTCCAGGTAATATCATTTTGCTAACATCGCGCTAGCATATCAGTTAACCAGACTCAGCTCCACGTCGCTCACGGCTACCTTCTATCGCAATTTTTAGCCAAGAAGACAAATATGCGAACTGACGAATATGGTGGATCGCTCGTAAATAGAGCTCAAATTATTCTCGAGATAATCGCTGCAATCAAACAAGCGGTTCAAAACCCATCTTTCATCATCTCGGTCAAACTTAACTTACAGGATTCGATTCCTGATGGTGTCTGTATCGAGGAATCGATAATGGTCGCCAAAATGCTCGAAATTGCGGGAGTGGACCTCATCGAAGTCAGTGGGGGAGCGTATGAGCGAACTGTACGCAGCTCTCGGGACAAGGTACCATTTTTATACTTGATAGTCGATCCCGAGTTGATGCCGAGCAATTGTAAGCCGTATACGGTTGAAACACGAGAAGGGTATTTCGTCGAATATACAGAGATCCTCAGATCTCATCTAAACCTCTCGAAAATAGTCGCCACAGGTGGATTCCAGACATCGCAGGGCATGGCCGATGCTGTCTCGCGAGGGGCCGCGGACAGTAAGTGACCTTTCGCAGATTGTACAATTTTACTCAGCGCTTGGGATAATATAGTTATAGGATTAGCAAGGCCATTGACCGCCGAACCATTTCTAGTCAGAGACATCCTACGAGGGGAGAAGAAGAAAGCCAAGGGAGACAAACTTCCTGAAAGCCCGATGCTGCGAGTACGCATGATCTTCATTCGCGTCAATACACAGCCTTGATATCTAACCACACAGTTCGTAGCATCTGCGGCGCAGATTGCTGAGATTGGAAATGGCCAAGATATCACTGACCTCAATAATGCGTTCCACGTTGCCAGATTCATAGCCAAAATGCAGAAGGAAATCCCTGCTGCGATATCGGAAGCACTTTTCTCCTGACTGACTGTCATGATCTTCGGTCTCGGGTTGATACTGCCTCAATTACCAACTGTTTCATTACTTATCATGTAGAAGCGCCACTTGAAATAGTTGAATACGTAGTCGCTGTGCTGTCGTACACACTAGTTTCGTTCGTGCTTCTTAATCTAGTCTCGTCCAGAACATAGCGCCATCATGCTGAAGTTGACGCTCTTGCTGTCCTTGATATAGTGTTCTTTGACGAATCTGGCTACGTCCTATAGATCCGGGACTGAGATCAACCTAGTATCATGCAAATGATCAAAGCTGCCTACCTGAAGCAAGTCTGTGCATTCGCCCCTATCTATCGGACCATTGCGACCTCCGTCCAGCTCCACGACATGCCACCCACGGACCTTGTTTTCCGAGTCCCCTGCAGTGACATCGGGTGCCTTCACGAAGCAGGTGAAATGGAGATAGGTATCCAAATCTTCAGGCACCGTAGTTTGTCCTGAGACGGCTGCAGAGGTATGGATCTGTTCGAATAAGGAGGTCTCTTCGAGAAATTTGATACGCTCTAACGGCGTTTTGTCTATTTATGCGATCAATAAATTTCGAATGTTTGACTGGAAGAAGTTTTCACCCTTGCATTCTTCAATAAATCTAGCTAATGGACTTTCAGGAGCGAAAGTGACATCTGACTGAAGTGATGCCGGTGAGAGAAAGTTAAAAAGGGATGGCGGCAGGTTACGTTTATTAAAGCATGCAGGAGGCCCATTGTTCCGCAAGCGTTTGTAATCTAGCTCTCATTAGTAGTATAAATACGAAGGACGCTTGGTGGATCGAACGTACCGTCTGCTTCATCCAGAAAATAGTGGGATCGATCGGATACTGCCCTTGAGCTGCAATCTTTTCATCCTCCTCTTTGCGCTTTGCTGCAATTGTCCCTGTACAGGGGAAGAGTAGTGTAACCGCCTTTACACCTGCCGATACCATTCCTAGAAGCTGGATCGTCGTGAACTTATGAGCATGAGTGAATTGAGAAGGCGTACTTCTGTATCAAGGCCATATATATCCTCGAATTGCGCCTGGGATGCTACAAGTCCGGCATCTATGGCCCACTGTACGAGTGTAAGTCATTTTGCGGCACTGTGAGGTATTGTCTTACACCGTTAAAGACCTGCTCGTTGTTGAATGAGAATAATAAGATGTCGGAGGCATGTAAAGCTTACATCTGGGTTGCTTTCGAGTGGGATCCAGCGAGATTCCGACATGATGATGGACAATCTCTAATTGAGCACTTACTAGTGCTACTTGACGCAGACTGTCGCGAACCTCCGCCGAGCACTTGCCTTGTATGGCAACTGCAACTGTTGCGTGACTGGATCTGTGACTCTTGAAGAGCACACTTCTTGGACTGACATGCCATGCTAAAGAAGAGATCGTCATCCGAATCACAGTCCAGCATGTATTCTCGCTGGCCTTGAAGGAAGGCCGACGTGGTATTATAGGTTTGTTCTCACAATCTTCATTGCCAGCGTATCATTACCTCACAATTTGACTGCAGACTTGCACAAGACGTTTGATGTTTCGAATTAGGAATACTCAACTTAGTCCTTCCGCAGCAACTTGAAGCAGTTCGTCGCTTACACCAACTGCGACACGTAGTCAGTTGATTGTATCTGCTTGGATATGCATCTATGGTGTGCAGCTTCCTACCCGGGGCCCGATGTATCGCTCTCGTTTCATGGGTGATGTTATGTTGACCATCGGAGATCTCACAAACCTGACCATGGAACAACCCCGGCACTGATCTACCAAATACCAAACGTGTCGCAGGTTATGCCTCCGTCCTGACGCGTGTTTCCCATTTCCTTACAAAGCAAGCACGCTGGAGGACATGAGTCTGCGGACAACCGGCCATTGAATTAGCGCTGTGAAATGATATTCCGTGAGCGTGGGGTACTCGGGGTCCTTTAGCCGTTTAGTCGGATTTCGGATTTATAAGTTTACCGACTTATTATTACATTGGACTCCATTACAGCGATCACATGCGTATCGGCGTGGAGTTAATCACGTCGCTTCAAGTCGATTATTCCTCGATCTTCTCTTCTCTTCATTTGTTCAGGTCCTGGCAATTGAGAACCATTAAAAATGCTCATAAAGGGCTCAAGTTAGAACCATCAGCTCTGTAGTTTCCCTCAATCGTCCCCATGGCTCTCGCTCACCACACAAACTATCGCTTCCGTATCTTGAAGGACATCTTTCGAGCACTAGTTGCACCCCCCCTGCTTGTTTCATTGTGCTGTAAGACGTTAAACCTTCGGTTTGGATGGTGGTCGATCCCTGCCTATCTCCTGGCCATTCCGCTCGCGGCATTCGTCAGAGTGCAATATACTGACTTCGTTCAAGCACGAGAAGCACGGCAACTTGGTGCTAAAACAATTCCCAGAGTTGTCGGGAAATGGCCAGGGAACATCGACGTGATGCTCAAACTCAGGCAAGGGCACGCCTCTCAGTACATTTACGAGCCGTTTCTCGATTTGTTCGAAGAATATCAGTGCACAACCCTCAACACTCGCTTTCTTTGGACTGACAATGTAAGTAGTCTTATCATCTACTAACGACCGCGCTCACCGTGTCGAAAGATCATTACCATGGATCAAGAACACTCCAAATGCGTACTAGCAACAGGATTCGGTCAATTTTGGAGAGGCACTGCCCAACGAGAGCGTTTGTAAGCAACCTATTACCCCCCAAAAAATTCCTAACACGATCTCAGAGAAAACTTTTTGGGCGATGGAATATTCAATCGGGATGACGAGGTGAGAAACGAGACCTACCTCGTTACCTGGGTTACAATTTGCTCACAACTATGCAGAAATGGAAATATGTACGACAAGCTAACCACCTGACACTCTTGTTGATGGCTGATAGGCTATCGTTATAGCACCGTTCACTCGCACGACCTTTTTTCTCCCGCAATCGCATTTCTGATTTCGAGTTATTTGAAAAATACACGGACCACACGATATCTATATTATCAAATCTTGCCTCGCGTGACGAACCCTGTAATGTCCAAGACCTTTTTGCTAGGTTCACCATCGACGCCGCCTCGGACTTTCTTTTTGGGCAAAACTTGGATACCTTGTCCAAGAAGCTTCCTGTTCCTAGTTCACGCTTCCAGAATGATAGAGGATCTACTACAGATGACTCGTGGGGAACATTTGCTCAAGCTTTTGAAGCAGTCCAACGCGTAATCACCATGAGAGGTCGCACTGGCTTCATTTGGCCCATATTTGAGCTTTTCGATGACAAAACTGCCCCCCACGTGGATATCATCAAACGATGGCTGGATCCATTAGTAAAACAAACGTTGGATCGTAAGGCGTTAGCCCACAAAACTGGTATACAGAACACCATGGAAGAAAAGACTTTCTTAGAACACCTAGCCGATAGCACCGAAGGTCTGTGTTTCCTCTCGTTCCTTTCCCGAATTCTGCGCCTCATCGCCGACAATCTATAGACGCTGGAATGATTCGTGATCAACTGCTTAATGTCCTATTGGCTGCTAGGGACACTGTGCGTACCTTTTCTCACTTGAGCGCTCATTTTCTGATGAGATAGCTTGACAGACTGCGTGCCTTTTGACCTATGTGACATATTTCATGGCGCTGTATCCGAACATCGCGGCCAGGATGCGGCAAGAGGTATTCGATGTGTGCGGCAACAACGTTCCTACCCACGAAAAAATTCGTAAACTCAAATATGGTGAGTTTGTATTTCATATGGTGGGACTTTGCTTCATGGCCTTCTTTCGTCAGTCAAAGCGGTTCTTGACGAAACTCTCCGCCTGTACCCGCCCGTCCCGTTGAATACGCGACAGACCAGACCCCAGCCTTGCACACTCCCTCCACCAGATCGTACTTATCCCACCGACTCCCAGCAACCGTTATATCTACCGAAGTCGACGACTATCTGGTACTCGTCATTGTTGACGCAGCGCAATAAAGAACTTTGGGGGCCTGATGCAGACGAGTTTGATCCTGAGCGATGGATTGATCCTCAGAGATTGGCCCGGTTCACGTCGAATCCGATGATGTTCACTCCATTTAGTGCAGGACCACGCATCGTAAGATTTCCTTTTGTGATTACAATTTGACAAGAAAACCTAACTCTTGGCCCTTTGACTTTTTAGTGCATCGGTCAGAACTATGCATATAATGAGGCATCATTCTTCCTTGTGCGACTGCTTCAGCAGTTTGACACTTTTACACTTGCAACGGATGCACAGCCTCCATCCTCCTTGCCACCTGCGGAGTGGAAGTTAGGTCGCGGCAGACAGAGGGTGGAAATGATTTATCCCGATGCTACGATGACGCTTTTCGTCAAGGTACGTTATCTTATCTTCGCATTGGTGTCTCAGCTGTATGATCTTACCTTTCGTAGGGTGGCTTATGGGTAAGAATGAAGAACACGCACTCACACTAATGTGATCACTATTTACTGGCAAATTCACTTATAAGGCTCTTTTAAGGAGAACTTTCATTTATATTGTTATTGCATATCTCGTACCCCCTGGATCATCTGTACTGGTATACGGACTGTAGATAATCTAGACTGGCGGCGGCGCCTGCCCGTGTTCCGATCATGTTTCAGGCCTCAAGATGTAAACTGCCTTTTCCTATTCAGAACGAACGATAAGCCCCGACATACGTCACTAGGGGTCCCCGGGGACTAGAAGTACTGATCCACGATTTCCATCAGAACATACCAGTACACGTGTATAAAGATGAGGATCAAAGTATCACCCACACCATCACGTCAAATCGTATATGTCCGATGGCGCAAGGATTCCGCTTATGTCACCGCCAAAGATTGAAGCACCCACTTCTGCCGTATGGATCACTCGAGCGGCTGGATCATCACCTAATAATAGGGGGAGAACATATGTGTGTCCTGATACACATGGACTGGTCGCATTATAATTAAGTGGCGTGTCGACCTCACAATGAAAATTTGCATCATCTGGTGACCATGATACCCGATTCCATCATGGAATCGTCTCACTCACCTCGTGGTCGCCCTTAGATGTTCCTTGAAAATGAAAGCGTGTAACCATTAGATATTAAAGCCACATGATCAGTGATAGAACCACTAGTATCGCAATCGTGGCTTGCACAGGACGTGCGATGAACCGACCAAAGTTATACTAGCTAATAAGCTCAAAACATTTTTTCCGGGACCGCCACGAAGAAAGAAACCATACCTAATGCCCGCGACAATCGGTAGAACGTTTGCCTTCTTCAACGTGAACTCGGGAAATGCGGCTCGCCAATAACTTACATATTTGAGACGGATCACGTTGATGTGAGAAAGATGTATCCAAAGGATGTTGTTTACTATAACATGTGAAGTCAATGAACACATGCACCCGTAGTCAAGAACGGGGATCATTAGACGTGTGGTCACTAGCCGCTTTAGATGCAAAGTTTTAGAGTACGCATCGCGATTTCAGGACATGTGCCGCCCATGACTCGACCCATCCTTTCTGGATCGCTCGTAGCCAATTATGTTATGGCATGGTTCAAATACCATTGAACTATCAGTGCAGATGGGTTACTCACGATCCAGTATGATAGTTACGATCACAATCATCCCTGCATTTTTTTTGGTGATGAGCCTCGGACGAACAAGTTTGAAACAGCAACTGAGACTGCGACTGCGACCGAAACACGCGGTGGTGAAGACCACATCACCGACATCATCCAACTAACTTTCCACCAACCTATAAAATAATGGATAATACGGATTACCAGCGACCATAGACCATATTCGAGAGGAAAGAACTTTGTGACGCACAACACTCGTGCTCGTGCTGGATACACCACCATCCAGCGCCTTCGTCGCTGAAATAGGCATCATGCATGGGGGTGAGCGTCTGTTCCCAGAGTAAGTGTCATTATGTGAAATTGAGCAGAGAAATAGCGTATAGTGGTCCGATATCCAATACAGGTGGTGTGAAGATCGCAAAGCTTGCTGTCTCAGTAATTATCAACGAGCGGCTGCAGTCTCTCCATTTTGCTGGTCGAGCCGCGGATATAATCCATTTAAGGTTTCTAAACAAGCCACATTCAGATCTGTCCGGGGAGTTGAGAAACGAGATATAAAATAGGCAGAAACTCAACAACCAGCCAACTTACCTCTCTCACCGGGGCTGCGGACATCCTTCTGCAACGCCTCTAATCACGCCCCACTAGCCCGGGTATCAGGG